TCCACTCACGCTACCCAGGCAAGCCGGGCCCTGATCACGCTTAGTTCGAAATGGACGAGGAATTAATTAACAAAAAATGGGAAGAAGGATCTAGTTTACGACGAGGGCGAATCAACGGTGGAAGCCTCCACGTCCATGGCCTCGTCTCCAGCGCCGTTATCGCCGCCGTCATCACCCACTGCTCCCTCCGACTCTTCCTCTGTCCTCTGCTCGTCCTCCTCACTCGAACTCTCTCCACTGTCCGCCTCACTCTCGACCACACCCCTCCTCTTCACGTTACCACGCGGCTCCTCACCAACCCGTCCCGCGATCCTTTCCAGGATGTCACCAATCCACTCACCAGCTCGCTCGATCGCGACCCTGACGGCCCTGACATCCTTCCTCAGCCCCCCAAGCTCTTGTATGAGGTCTGACGACCCAGCCCGGCGGCGCTTAGGCGTCGTTTCTGCGCCATGCTCGACCAGGTCACACCTCTGCCTCACCCGGGAGCATTCCTGGCAGGCTTTGCCAGGACCACGCACGCAGCGGACCTTACGTCTGACACACCGCGAGCAAGAGGTCCGCTCTCGACTGGGCAACTCGACCTCCACGACTTGGCGCTGACGAAAGTAACCATCAGTGTAGTTCAATTAGAGATGAGTTCAAGAAAATGGGCCTACTTACCTTGTTAGGCGCCGAGCCCTCGCCTGATTCCTCTGCGCGTCTCTTCTCTCGTCGAGCTTGCGCCAACTCCTTCTGGGCTCTGGCCCGTTGCTCCCTTTTCTCCTTCTCAACCTTCCTCCTTTCTCGTTCTTCCGCCTCACGCGCCTTACGCTCCTCCTCCTCCCTCACCCGTCGATCCTCTTCCTCCTTCTGGGCCTGCAATCGACGCAGGCGTCGTTCACGAGCTTTGGCCATCGCCAGCTCCTCAGAATCCGACATGCGCTCTTCTAGCGCCGCGTCCACCCAGAGAGACAGGTCGAGAATGTTGTTAGCGCGCGCCAAAGACATTGTAGGAAGTATCGAGAGGCGAGAGCGAGAGTGATGAACAAAAATTTTGATTCTAGCCAGCGGAAACGAAATCCCCGGAAATTGCCGGAAAACTCTCACGCCGTGGAACTTAGGCCTTCAGGGGTTCAGGCCTAAGAGGGGGATACTGTCACGGCCCCGCAAAGTCCCCGCCCCTCTACCACTTCCGCACCCCCATTCTTACGCCGTTACTCGCGCCCGTTAATCTCGCCATTGCCCATCACTTAGCGGCGCCGATAGTGGTTCCCGTTCTACGGCCCCGTAGCAGCGCCTCCTTCGTTTTCCCGCCACCACTTGGGTTCCTCAACCATTCGGCCGGTATCGTTTTATTCTATTCACTCGCTTAACTAACTAGCGGTTGTTATGGTCGCCGTTGATCCGCTCCTTATGGACATTCCTTATTGACAATTGATTATTCCTTTATCGATATTTGATTTATACGTATATTGACATTCTGATCCGCGCGCCTAGATTGTCGGCTTATCCTTTCTGCCTCCCAACTTCGCCGTTCTCTGTTCCATTCATCTCTTCTGTTCCATTACCCTGGTCCTCATCGCTCTTTAGTTCTGTCGTACTTATCATCTCGTTCCCGTCCCGCGCCGGACCGACCGGCCCCTTCTCTGTTCTCCTTTCCTATTTATACTTGTAGTTTACTGTCGATGTACCTCAGTTCGAATATCGACTAGAATTCCCCCCAAGTACTTTCATCTTAAGTTCGCCCCTCAGCTTCATCCCGCTTAAGTCAACGTCGCCGCAAGGTCCTTCCCGCTAACGTGAAATACGGGACAGCCTAGAACGCGTGGCGCAACGCTCTGGCAAAGTCGTTGAAGCCGAAGTCCCAACCCCCTCGACGCCTTGCAACGGAGTAGCTCATTAGCTAAGTGACCACTTACGCCGCCGTACTCCGCCCCGCTTCCCGCGATCCCCTCGAACACAGTTTCTGACAGGCAGCAATTAAGGAGAGAAATATTAAGTAGATATTTCAACAGGAGAGCTGGTTAACACTCCAGATTTCAAAGTGTAAACACAAAACAGTTATTTTGCTACTGTTAAAACAAGCAATAAAATAAGACAAAAATAAAACAAACTCAAGGGACACTCCAGACACAATCCAAATCCATTAACTGAGTAGAATCTTTGAAACTTCACCAAGTAGAAGATTTAATTCAAGTTAAATTCCAAATTAAACAACACTACACAGAATTACACCTAGACAAATTAAGAAATTTCAATAAAGGAACAGCTCTGCAGGGCTCGGTTTATCTGTAAGTCAATTCCCAGAAACTTTAGACTAACCCATAAAAATAGAATTAGCCAAAACACTCAAATTGGTACTATATTTACAACTAATAATACTAGTACACTTCCCCATCCTAACTAAAGAACCAGGGAACAGCTTGGTGGTGGTCTCGTTTGAACCTCCCAACTGACCTTCCTTCGTTCTCTCCTTCAACGCTAAACACACATGGAAATAAAATTGCAGAGGTGAAATCAATGCTCCTGTAGTCTAGTTATTGTCAGGGTTCAGCACCCTGCCTTAGGGTGCCCCGGACTCCCCACCTACTTTACCCCCTTTATTCTTTGATTGTTGCCTCGCTGTTGCCTTTGTGTGTTGTGTACACGCGCACACGGGATAGCGTGGGAACTTTCTGAGTGAGCAGCTTGCCCAGAATGTTCCCATGCTTACTGGGCACTGCCACCTGGGTCCTCCGGGTCACACTACACAACTCTAGGAGCTGTATAGTTGTGGGCATGTGACCCATTCCTTTATATAGCAACCATGCGGGGAGATGAGACCTTTACCCTTCTTCTCATCTCATGCCCCGCATAGGCAAGTGTATATATTCCCATTCTTTTACTATACATCTCATGCCCTGCATAGTGTGAGGACAGGTTAGATGGGGGTTGAGGTCAGGGAGCCTCTGAGTCCAAGGCCGGGCCCTGACAGTTATATCATATTTGAATTGAAAATTTTGTGTTTTTGCACGACCCTAACCTCAGGTTTGGCATTTCCTGAAATGACCCCCTGTCAGGGCACAGCCCCTAACCCCACACACCCTCAGGTACCTCTCCCCCATTTTCTCCTATTTTTCCCTTCACTGTTCCACAATCCCGCATGCATGCAGACCCATGGGAATGTTCTGGGCAAGTTACTTGCCCAGAAACCATCACAGCCACAACCGTGGGAACTTTCTGGGCAAGCAGCTCGCCCAGAATCTTCCCACGGGGGGGTGCCAATTATGGAAAGTCGGCAAAGAGCCGAAAACTGTATAGTTCCCGACTCCCATTTGTAGTGGCTTCACAGGAGGTTGAGAAGGTTACCCTTCTTCTCAACTCATTTCCTGTGAAGGCTGGGGCTAGCCCCCTCAGTGAGTTTGAAGATCTCAGACTGGGACTAGATACCCCAGTGACTAGGAGGATCCCCCTGGGCCCGTTGTGGAACGAGGGCCGGGCCCTGACACCCCCCTTGAATGTGACCATCAGCATGTTGGTTTCCTTTTGGATCATGCTCCCACAGTCAAGATCATGCGCCTGCCGGTCGGGTTGTCACACATCAAAATGAGCTCCCGGTTCATCACCTGGCAGAAATTTTGTGTCATGCTTGGGGTGCACCGGTAGTTGGTCGCGTGGGTACAGTATGTCTATTTTCCCACGGCTGTGCACATCGGTGGACCCCCCGAAAAACAAGCCCCCTCAGAAAAAATCATTCAACTTTAAATTTTATACAGTAGTAGACCAGGAGCTACTTTACAAGGCCGTGTCTTTTTTTTGGAGTTCTACAATTTCAACATGCGTGTATGGAGGAAATTCCCACTACTCTGTAGCAGGTCCTGCAAATTTTTTGCCCAGGACTGAATTCGTTTTCTGACAAGGTCCTCCATTATTGCCAATTCTGCATAACCCAGGGTCCTCCAATCACTATGTTAGTACATATTCTGTTCGGTGATTGTTACAATCCAATACCCATTCTCCTGCCTGTCTCTCTCTCACTTCCCCATCTATGGCCAGTATGTTCTGGATGTACTTCTTTTTGGGCTCTTGTCTGCATGTCCGATTCAATATCGGAAATTGATCTGCCATGCTTTTGCACATTTCATGCTCTGATGATAGTTCTGATCTGGACGGAGGTGACATCCGACATCCCCTCCACTGTTTCCGACAAATTTTGAGCTATTACTGTATCCGGATCGAAAGATCACCATTCAAAGTTCCGAGTTCATCACGGTTTGCATTGCTCCGTCTTACTTCTGAAATCTCTACCTCTACTTCTCCATCTGAAGATCCTTATCAGCGTCTGGCACGCTTTCCGTCTCTTGTCTCATGATATTACTTTTACTCCGAGGTCAATGTCCACTGGCCGCACCTCATCCTGTCCCTTGTTACAAAAGATTAAGTATGTTGTGTCACAAAGGAGTCGTCGACACATCTTCCTCCAATGTCATGCTTCGTATTTGCTGCAAATGTCATCGCTCTTTAGAACGTCGTCATATTCCTAAAATGGCCATAGCTAACGATTAATATTTCGGACCCATTCCGGAATCTTGCTGAGTTGACCATCATCAAAGAGGCCCTGATTGCGCGAAAAGTTGGATTGTCCATTTGCGCGATGATGTTTTGTCCAGTGGTCATTCTATTGATCCTCCTTCCAATCCCAGCGTGATTGAGCGAGTGTTCATAGCACTCCCTGTAACTGTCGGAACTCAAAAGTAGGGCGAGAAGAGTGGCGGGTTCTGCCGCGTCAGGCGGCGCCCATCAGTTATATGAATACTGTGCATTTCGGGAGCAAATGACTGTACTACCAGGCAGTGAGCCCGTGACTTGCCGACCTAAAGATGTTCCCAATTTGGTCCCACCGGTCCCAAATATGTCCGAGATTGGGCAGCAGCTATTGTATCAGATTCTATCTCACCTCGTGGCCACTTTCCTTCCCTCCGCGTTTAGGGCCAAAGAGTTGTGACTGAACACCCCAGCAGTTTGTACCAATGTTCTCCATGTTTCAAAACCCCAGTTGTTGGGTAATCACTCGTCGTACCCACACACTCAGGCGATTGGCCCCCAGTCCTGTATCGCGTTCGGTCGGTGGCTTGCTGAGACGGGGCTTCTTCACATCTCCAGCTCGACATGTTCATAGTGTTGAAGAGGTCTTGTCTCAGGAAGGCAGTTCCAGTAGACCATCGATATTCGACGAGTTCTCCTTGAGAGGTCGTGTAGGGGTAAGCAAAGACCCCTCCGTCGATTGAGAGAGTTTCGGCATCTTGACACGTCGATTCAGGTTGTGTCAGGTGCAAATCGAGGTCTTGGCCTCGAGATGGCTCTCGCACTATGTGAACTTGGAGCCAAGATCTACGCGATCGATCTTCCTTCGACCCCCTCGCATGAGTTCAAGACTGTTGCGAGCCACGTGAAGGCGATGGGTGAGGGAAGAAAGCTCGAGTACATCAATGGAGACGTCACCGATCAGATGACTATCAGGGCAGAGGTTGAGAAGAGTGAGCTTATTTGGCCATCTCTCATTTCTCATTTCTGCTGCCAGACATTGATGATTCATATGTGCACTTAAATACAGTTGGCATGAAGGAGGGGAGATTCGACGTATGCGTCGCTGCAGCCGGTACGTCTATGTCCCATACGGGTTCTTTCTTCTTCTCCCTCTTCTCCCAGTCGAATGGCCATGATAATTGAGGTATTTAGGTATTCTTGGGCCATCGACGCCTGCCTTGGAGCTTGATGCAAGAGAATTTGAGAAAGTGCTTCACGTGAACGCTAATGGCGTGTTTTACACTGCCCAGGCAGCCGGTCGGGAAAGTGAGCTAGCTTGATATATTCGTCCCTCCTGGGTTAAAGGTGCCAACATGACGACCTCTACCACAGTGATTAAATTTGGAAACGGCGGCTCTATCATCATGATTGCCTCGATGAGTGGCACTGTCACGAACAGGGTAAGCTCACTATTTTTTGATTCCAAGTCTTTCAAGTCGGCTTACACTCTCTGACGTCAATACCGGGGGTGCAACGAAAACCAAAAAGGATCACAAATGGGTTGCATACAATACTTCCAAATCTGCTGTTCTCCAAATGGCCCGAAGCATGGCTTGCGAACTTGGGCCTGAGCAAATCCGAGTCAACACACTCTCACCGGGTCAGTTCCCCCCCCCCAAACCATGGCTGATCCGTCTGGCTCCCAATTCTGACCGGAATTTTTTGTTGCGAACAGGTCATATCTACACCAAAATGACTGCTGTTTTACTTGATTCTCAGCCTGAACTGCATGCAAAGTGGGCATCTTCGAATCCCTTAGGTCGACTTGGGCTGCCGGAGGAGCTTCGAGGTGTCATTGCGTGGCTCGCGAGCGATGCAAGCACCTTCTGCACAGGAAGCGAGTTGAGTATTAAAATTCCGCTTCAACCGTCAACTGACAGTAACTAATTATCTACTTTTCTGACACATTGTAGCATTATCGTCAGTGGTGGGCACACTATCTGGTAAAACTCTCTCCCTCGGCCGTAGAACTTTTCTTTTACTCGTACAAGGTACGGAGATGTAACATAAGCAATTTCGCGGGTTTCAAACTCTTGTAGAATGCCTGTATGAAACAATGGATCATTCCGCTCGAGGAGCGTGAAAAGAGATCATGGACGGAAGAGAAAGATGTACTTGCCGACACAACGAACAGGCCTAGGATGGGTTAGAACAACATGTGTGGGACGGGAATTGCTGAGATGCGCTTGTGCAACCAACGTAAACCGACGAACTAGAACGCACGAAGACGATTCGAAGATCTTTCGCTGAGCATCGGCTTTCCAACTAGGCATAAACTTTGAAGAAGCTGGTGTTTCAGTCTGTTTGGTGATTTCAACTCGGCCTCGGCCGCGGACGCCACTGACTTTTTTGAGCATGCTTTAGCTTCATGCGTAGCAATGGAAGTACAAGGCTAGCCACAGTTGCGCGCGCGAATATGATAGTTTCTTGATTCATACATGGTTCGCCGAGCCCATAAATGACACCGTTGGACCATCTCGCCAAGGTTTCGACCGGCGATGCCTCACAGTCGCCAGACTATTTCGAGAGTCGGAGGTCCCCTTCGGATTGGTTTCCTTGACATCGAAATGCCACAGCATGCACGAGCCGCATACTCGATCTAAAAACAAAAGTCTTCTAACTACTAAGACAAGCCATCATGCCTTTAAGACCGATCAAAATTGAGTATTTGATATATTCCCTATCAAACCGCGTGCGGAAGGCTGACCTGGTACTAGACTGATGTCAAGTGTTGGCGCCTTGAGGAATGCTTTGCGGCACCTTATCAGTTTCCAAGATCACGGTCGCGCGCTACGTGCAAAAATAAAATGCTGGCGCGCGACGCGAAATTCGACCGCGAGGCGATTATGGTGAGAGATATGTGAGCCGAGCTAGTAACGAGCTATCAAGAGACCAGTAGTGGTACGCGCGCTTTTTTTGGCAACGAGCGCACTAGGGCCCATGATCAGCTGAGCCACTAGAAGAGCAATACGAACAAGGTACTGAAAGCCCGCGTTTAGGGGAAAAGCAACCTAGTGTGAATGGGTGATCACCATGTATGGCGATTTGATTAATATGAGCAGATAAAGCCTTATTCAATGACCATTTCGAGCTGCCTTGGCTTTGGCGCCGCAAGACAGAGGTTGAGCGGCCTGGAGCGGGTGCGCTTTGAATGTTTCGCGTGTATGGTGTCGGCCACCCCATCGTTCAACCAATGGGTTCGTTCATATCATAAAACTGTTTCACTGATACATAGTTTTCTACCAGAAATCAGGAATGCACTCGACCGGGAGCCACCTGCAAGAAGCTTGGTCGCAGAAACGGCTAGTTCTTACTGTTGCTACAGCTAGCTATACCGGAGAATGAGAGTGTATCATTGGGGCCGGGGCGCAGGCTACTGTTTAAGGCAAAAACAGGGCTCAGCAGAGTCAAAAAAGCAGAGGCTGGCCAGGCAGATATCATCAGGAAAAATGGCATGTTCCAGACTGCAAGATCGCGTTCGCCCCGTTTGCAAGGACAAACCATTGGGAGAGGATCAATGCGGCGGGCGAGTTGAATGGAAAATTTGACCACGTAAATACAACGCCGGCGGGTTAGTATGTGTGCCAGGTTTGGTGATGCATCGCCGTTTCTCAGGGAAAGGTCAACTGATGGAGAACAGCGATGCAGACCTGGACTTATCCTTGCGAGGTGTTGTAATATCAACAATCGGTTCCGACGACGGAGTGGCGAGGAAGGATTGATTGTTGGTGGCGAAGTGAGGTTTTGGGGCTTGTACTTTACACCCCCATTTTTCTTTATGCGACGGGCTCGCCACGGGCGTAGTTCGCGTATAAGAAAAGGGCTTAAACAGACTGTATCGGGTTTAAGTTGGAGCCTGCGGTGCGAGTCATCCTTTTGATGCAGCGAACTGCCAACAGTCAAGGGATACGCGAAGCGCATGTAGTCCATGTGCCAGCCCAAGGAGGGCAACGATAGATATTCCTGTGCATGTAGGGACATCAGCACTGGTTTGAATACGAGCGAGGAGGAAATGTGACTTACGGCCAGACCTGCTGGGTGGACACCACGCAGTGCAACTGATCTGCAGAGCTGATGCCCACCCTGACACAGGAAATGGGTATGACCAACGAGCGCAAGCGCCCGCGGAAGCATGGTACATACCGGCGCCAGTGGAGCGCCCCGATAGAGTGCCCCCCTCCCTCAATAAACGGAGACGGACCGTTCGACACCTGGAAGAAAATTGCACAAATGAGTTTAGAGAACATGGCATGATGCGTACGGCTTATGCGCCGTGAAATGTCTTAATCACACCTGTCGGTCCGGAGCGAGTGTGTCCACAGCATATTGTATTCGAACGCCCGGAGTCGGAGCAGATAATCCTAAGATTCGATGCCACATCGTCCTGCAGTGGAGCGTAATACGCGCTGAATGAAGAGCAGGCTAAGACAGAGGACGCAGCGATTGCCCCAAGTTGGAAGGTGCGCGAAGCGACAGAAAGAGCCTATAACAATAGTCTAGCCCCAAGGTAGTTCGTTCCGATGGAATGCATTGCGCCCGGAAAGGAAAGGCTGAAAGCCCCAAGCAATACGTGGCAGGAGATATGTTGAACCAATGAAGTAGACCTGCTGAAGCCGGTAAGAGAAAGCCGTTTTCTTGTAACCGCGTAGCCATTCGACGGGTTTGTACACTCGATCCGTTTGGGTTGGCCGTTCCTCAGTCATAAGGCGCACCAAGAGACTAATTTGTAGAACGACTCGTCACAGCCCCATAGCCCATTATAGTAGTTGGTTCGGGTCCAAACAGTCGCAGAAAGCAAATAGAGGGGGGAGTTTGGATAGTCAGGATCGCCGGTGAGGAAAGGGTCCCAATGTATAAGCAAGTGGAAATGGTTAGGCTGGATGAAGATGGAAAATGTTAGTCGAAAGGTGAAGGTGGCATCCTTTAAGTTGCTAAGCGAAGGTTGTGGTCTTGAGAGGGCGATAGACGCGATACAAGAAGTGACGTAGAGGCTCAGGAAAGCTGGAGAGTGGGTGAAGTAGAGGTCCCAGTGGCGGCCAGTAGCTGCAGAGTTGTGGAGTGAATGGTAACCAGGTGGGCGGAGGGACCTTGAGGACGGCAAACAATTTGGGATGACTTGGGGGTAGAATGGAAAGGACGAGCATTCGAAGGGCAACAGAGGAGGGGGGATCGATGGGATAAGGCGTACGAAGGGGAATTCCGAGGGTGGAGTCTGTGAAGGCATGCATAACTGAAAGATGAGGTGTGTATGTTTGGGGCCGCCAAGGCAGGCTGTGGCCCATGGCGAGGAAGGGACGATGGCGAGAAGGGAAGAGGAGCTGATGGGGGAATTTGAGGCTCAAGTCGCTCTTTTATGCATTTCACGCCCATTCAATCTTCGCCTCGCGATGGGTACCCAGCCAGCATTGAATATAACTTCCAAATTGGACGGTTTTCTTCGTCGAAGTTCCAACCATTGATATGAACATGATCATAGATCGCAGGGCTGACATTCCACAATTTTTGCGATTTCTCGCCTGCCAGTGCTTCGTTCAACCGCGAAACTGCTGGAAAAGTACCCCGCTGCAATTTCCGTGGACGAGGGGACGAGCCAGGTCAAGGCGGGGGGGAGTGAAAGAAGGCGTGTTGAAAAATCACTCACACCTCCTTGGCCAGGAAACATCCGCCCATCAAAACAATGCATCAGGACATTGCTCGAATTTGTTATTTACGGCTTATTGACCTAATTGATTCCGTACAGAAGAATCCTTGCGTCCTGACGAGGTTGTAGCCCTCAACCACTGCTGTGCTGGAGTACAAAGTCCGCCGTGTTCCGAGGACGTTGGGATCTCAGTCGAAGAGAGTGGTGCATAATGGAGTGTCGCCAACATCTGTTTCTTGCCAGCTCTGGCTAGAGATGAACTAAAAACTCCTCGCGGCCATTTCCATCGACGCTTCCGCAGATGCAGAGTGAGCGCGTCAACTAATCGGGGGTGCTACCGTTAGGTAGTGATGTTATTAATCAGATCGGGTGTCCAGATCTTCCTAGCCGGCTAGTTATTTTTGTTTGGTTGAAAGATCCTCCGACCTGAGGATTCATGAACTGGCCCCTTCCATCAGCTGCAGGCATAGCGAGAGTGTGGAAGGGCTGGAATAGGGCTGGACGATGAGGAGAAGTCTAACAGTGCCGCGGGGGATGCGCGGTTGGACTCTGTGAAAAAATTAGAATATCGAGTTCAATTCGCCAAATAAATATTGATATGTAACAGAGCTTACTGAGCACTTAGTTAATTGTGCTAACTAATGGGGAAGGTTCGTTCCCGTCGGCTGCCTTGTGCCGGATGAATGGTCCATAGATTCCACCACGTGTTTCATTGCTTGAAGACAAGCACGATCTGAAGGTGCACAACGGCACCAGGCAGGCCAAGGTCGCAGAGAAAGCATGCCAAGAAGGCGTACTGGCCAGACACAGGACCATCTGGGTGAAATGCAAGGGAAAAATCTTGCACAGGGCGCTTAACTCACTGTGTGGCGAGACAGTTCCATGACTCATACTAGGCTTTCCCATATCTGGTCATGACACACCATGATAGTAATGCGTTTGGAAACAACGCTAATCATAGGCATGAAAGTTGTAACACTGACACTGATGAAAGGCTCAACATTGGCCTTTGATCGCGCACATCGGTTGAACCTGATGAAGTCAGCTCCTCAACCGTATAACGGATCTTTCATTCCTGGTGAGCGCCGCGTCTTCACGCATTCAGTGGTCCTTGGGGCCAAGCGCATCTGCCTCTGCGATTATGGCAGCCTCAGGTACGCCCCACGACATCAACGTCGTAGTTCTCACAGCATCTCGACACAATGAGACACAGGTTGCTCAGCATGCACATAAATGTCCATCCCAGCCATCCATCCGAGCGCTCAATTGCCTGCAGAAACAGAAAGTTATCGATCGCGAGTATGGGACATGGCCCTTGATCCAAGGACTGGTGCCGTATCCTAATACTCGTGTATGCCGGTGATACGATCTGCCTGAGGGGAATATGGGCGTCTCGCACTGTCCTGCTGGAGTAGAGAACCTATTAGATTTCCTCACCCTTAGGTCGTTGTGGCGCAGGGAGACACGCCTACCCCGTCAATCCTCCTATTGTCCCAGTAAATAGAAGAGATGCGAACATCGGTATCACATTGGAAATGATAACGTCACTCAGTTTTTGAAGCGGCATTATTGTGCAGCAAATAACTTGTTCTGATGACTGCCATCAGCCTTGGCAGTTGAAAATTTCCCCAGGATCTCAGCTGGAAGTCGCAAATCTTTGTGGGGAGGGATGATCCCCTGGGCTGGGCCGAAACCGTTGAGAAGCATTTGCCAGAGAGAGTCACCAGCGTGCACCGCTAGGATAATGCCAGGAGCTGTAAAATTCGTGCCAGATACACATTGAAGACCCCTTTGCGAAAGGGGCTTTTTAATCCTGGATTTCTTTACTTCCTTCCAATGGCGACCAGGAGCGATAAGATGATCCAGACGGTCGCCCGCCTGGAATGATTCCGTTGGTATACTCCTAGGCCCTTACTTTGTTGGGGGAGACACAGGCCTATCCTCCGTCTCATCAAGAGAGATATAATCAACGAGTGTTGCGTGGTTGCGGAGCATGAGTGACTTGGGGCGGGTGTGAGAAGAGAAATGAATGTGGCGACTCCAGTACTGTAAACGGAAATCCCTCTGTGCTCATGCTTGCTTCCGCGTTCCCTCTCATAGACTTTGGACGATGAGAATACGTTGGTTCGCCCACCAGGCAATGTTGTTACGTGCGCTATGGTGGTCCCCTGATCTGAACTCGGGGATCCCTCATCTCCTAGTTGAGAAAAGCATGAATCTGGATTTCCTTCTGCGCCTGCGCAGCCTCAGTAGACTCGATGCACCACCCGCACCCCAGGACTCCCCTTCTCTACCTGCACCCCCTATCCTACGGGGTATGTAGAAGCCGTTGCCCGACATGCGGATGACAGTGCCCAACTCTCCCTGGACTCCGTCAACTTCGACTATTCCCCACCCGGGGTAGTACAAAAGGCACATTGGACACGTTGGGCGCTTACAGACAGCTGTTGATTCATAGACACGTAATCGCTCGCAATTCCAACTTCATCAGTGATCACATGCCCCATTCCTCAACCAGATCGTAAATGCTACCTCACGCACTGGCCCCGTTACAACTATCAAAGCCTCAGGAATACCGCGGCCAAGCAGATAGTAGAAATAACAACGTTGGTGAGTCCCTTATCTTTCCATCAACCATACCTGTATTGTGAGCCTCACATTGCATTAGTGTGAAGACTCGCTGGACTCAGCACACCACTTGAGTTTTTCTATCCCCTCTCCGACCTGTTCAGTCCACCCAAGGAAGCCCAGCAGCTGGCCTAAGGGCCTCGGAGCGTCACAACTCTACTGGAAACCGTACAGCCTATCACGCATTCACTGCCGAATGACAAGAGCTACAACATTCATGATTACGTGCAAGCCAGTGCTCCTTCGAAACGTTTCTATTCTCCGTGAACATACGTGGCCGGCACACAATTTACTCCCGCGACATCAAATGTGAGCTCTTCGAGATCGGCGAATGCCGATAATCGGGTTTACATGCGCGGTTGATTGTGAAAGTTGGTTCACGACGGAATTTCTGTGACTCGAGGATGGACTGTTTGCCCACCATTCGGAGGAATAACCCCCCTATGACCTCTCGTCAATCAAACCTAGTGTTTTATGTGGTCAATCCCCGCTTAGGTCCCGCTCACAAAAGTGTGTACTCTGATATGCGCGCACCCTCAATTTCCGCAACCATCATCTTATCTTGTTCATGAAAAACATCCTTTCGTTGGATTCTGTCGGCGAAGTTTGAATAAAGTTAAGACTCCAAGTTCGTACGCCGGTAGTACTCCCTAAGGAGATTTGGAACACCTAGCCTCGCCTGAGGCTCGCATAATTTGCCTCGTTCTGGATATCAGCTTATGTTCGACGTGCGGCCAGCACTGAGTCTAGGGTTGTTGATTGTCGATCGCACTTGCAAGATGTTGGGCCCTACCCTGGTTCGCGTTCCATTCCGGTCACTCCTGAAGAAATAATACCCTCATCCCTACTTAGTTGTTACTTGAATAACTGCGCTGGTACATATACGCATGCAAATGAAGTTGAGTTTGTCTAAGAATTGTGGCATATTCTGCACAGCAATCGTACAACGTGCTCGCTCCTCTTTGTGCCGGTCAAGTCAACACCCACTCGTGCACTCACCGAACTGTCAACGTGGCTATTCGTTCGGGCTACATGTGCTGGCGCTTAGGACAAGCGATGGTAACATCGATTTTAAAAATTACTGTTTACTTTTCATGTACTCCTAAATCAACACTTGTGACCTCGGGTATTTGACGATGACTACGGTATTTCTTCACAGCCCAAGCTGCCTCAGATCCATTGAGCCCCCGCCGGTATCCATTACTTAGCAAACCTGAGAGAGTTCGGGAAGTGAAAGAAAAGTTTTTGCCTGGATTGTCACTGAAATACCAATGTCCCGAACCAATGTCCTGATCTCTTCCGTACACATCTTTCAATCTTTGATGAGTACCCACGGTAGATGCTGCTTGGTCAATCCCCCTAAACCTAACCCGTGATAGACGACAGTTAGTACAGATGGGAGAGGGGCAACTCGGCCGGAGTTCACCGGTGGGCTGAGTGGGAGTTCCCACGTCTGGTGATAAGATAGATAAGGAAAATACGAAATTGCACACACGCGAAGTTTGAAAGGTGCATCAGCCCAGATAATAGGTATGTTGAAGAGAGGTAAATGATAAGTAAAGAATTGTCGGTAACCTCCTAGCCGGGCCCGATGAAACAGTGGCAGGATGATGCAGCTGGGCCTGCGGAGAAGTCATCTCGACCAAGTGAGGCTGGTCGGAAATAAGTGACAAAACGGTTGCGCAGGGGCAGTGGACGCACCGACACAGGCGAAGGGTGCGCTGGGGATGGGCATGGTGGAGCGTCGAAATAGGCGGTGACGGTACTGATCACTTCGGAATAAGCAATGGGCTCATCAGTTCAGAAGCAGGCTGTACATGTGGGCATGTCGTTCCATGGGGGTAACACGGGAAGGAAGTGGGAGGAGACGGCAGAGTGTGCAGGCACGTCGTCTCAACTGGGTAACATGACGGTTCAGAGGGGGCGCATTGAGCCCGATGCCTGTGTAGCATTCGACAAACGCGACGAGAGTGCAAGATCGTGTGAGTGAGCTACCTGAAATGCATGTATTTTGTGGACGAATTGTGAAGAAGGACAGCAAAGATTTAGTGTGTTCGAGGAATGGGGACTTGACGAGCTCGATCGCTATATCAACCCTAATGCATGTATGCTGATGTGAGAAATTCAAAAACTGGAGGTGTGTGTAATGCAAGCGTGGTACCCTTACACTTCCGATGTGTGAGATGCTATGCTATGTAATCCTGGAATAGGGATGCTCGGGACCATAAGCAGGACTACTCAACGACACAACTTTCCAACGTTCGAAATCGCTGTTTTCGGCGAGAATGTCTCATCACGTGCGCCTACAGCTTCCCGCGCTGTAGACCTTGAGGCTTGACCCTGTGCAGCAAGCTCCTTCGACCACGGAATGCCACAGAAGGAACGTCGTACGTCGTTGACCGTCAATTTCCCATCACATGAGGAGGATCCCACCTCCCAGGTTCGTTCGTTCAGACCAAATCCATTGTCTTCCACCACCCTGGTCTTCGATGACACAGATTCCATGGCCTTCAGGAAGGAGGTCGGATTCCCAGCCGGGATCACCTGAGGTTGAGGAGTTTCGTGCACCACTTCACATCCCAGGAACTCCTACACCTTCAGAGCTTTCAGAGGACGAAGATGGCCCATCGGCAGCGTTGGCGAAACGTCGCGGGTCCGTAAACGAGCGAGCTTTGAAAAAGCATATGACCACGATGGATTTGTTCGCGCTCAGTATATCGATGGCTGGTGCGCAAATAATATGGACAATGGAATTGGGGTTTGTTTTCTCTTTTCTATTTGGATATGTATTCAATTTGTTTGACGTTTATAGTTGGGGAACTCCTTTCCTCCTCGACATGGGCCTTTCGGAAAGTGCCACAAGCTTAGTGTGGCTTGCTGGCCCTATCAGTGGGCTCATTGCCCAGCCGCTCATTGGTAGGCTACCTATCTGGCCGCCGGAATTTGCATATTGAGATTTAGCTACTCAGGTGCTATCTCGGACGCCTCTACCTCGAAATATAGACGTCGTGCATGGATTGTTGGGGCAACTGTGACTATTACCGTTGGTCTGTGCCTTTCATATCCAGTGCCTGAATACCCCTCCGACATTTTGTATCACAGTATCATTGATCCTGGCTTTCACGAACGAAATATCCGGATTCATCGTGGACCTTTTTGGCGGTGGAGCTGGAGATTGGGATCCGGTCCGAAAGGGAAAGGTGTGCACTCGCGTTCCTCCCTGCAGCGTTAAGCCCTCAACCTAATTGCATAGGTCAATAGCACGGCAATTGCCATCTCCATTGCGAGTTTCTACTTCTTAGATTTTGCTTTAAATGTGAGCAGGGAGCCGCTTCCGTGCAGAAATGTTGTGCCCTAGCCCTTTCCACCTGTAGGCACTTCAGGCATCGCTCCGGAACCTTCTTCTCGATATCACGCCTAGCGACCAACTGGCGGTGAGTGGGACACCCGTGCTTAGCCGATCCCATCCCAACGATGCCCTTATCAGGAAGCTAATGCATGGCATGGAAGAATGACTCATGCGGGAAATGTAATTGGGTTCGGCATTGGTACATGATGGTGTTGTATCTATTTGTCCGTTCTCATAACTATCGTCGTACCCAGGATTTCTTAATCTCGCCGAATGGAAGATTCTACACTTTTTGGGGGGTTCTCAGTTCCGAAAAGTTTGTATTCTCAGCCTTGTGGTTCTCATCATCACTGTGTGGTGGACTTGCTGGTGAGTGCCATCATGTGATACACGCACTCGTTTAAACTGATAGAATATTATTCGTTAGGACTCAAATCGAGGTCTCTGGAGCGAAAGGCTTTAAGAATCGTGAGGAGTATGTAATACTCGCTTCCGGTCCGAGCACTTTCAGCTCATCAGATCTCGATCCTTGAAGGGGATTGCACCAAATTTTCAAGAATATATATTCTTCTGTTGTCAATCTGCCTAAGCCTGTTAGGAGGGTATGCTTCGTCCAAGTTTGTGCATTCATGGGATGGTAAGGCGCCTATTTCAGCGCCGTCATTGCTTTCTGATGTCTTTGTCAATGGAGGTTCCCTTTCTTATTTTACGGGTAGGTGCTCATCTTCGGCGAAGATTGGCGTGCTGAATTGGTGATAGGACAACCTGGATTGGTGAAGTTATGGCTCGGGAACGGGGCCTAGACCCTCCAGTCGAAGAAGCTACACGGGCGGGCGACTTTGCGATGCTGTGGTACAGTATTGGTACGTGGTATCCTTACTCGATCGCCTTCGCGGATTCATACAAATTCCATGGTTAGTGGCCATATTCGCTGGAACGTTGCTCCCGTGGCTCAACCAGCGTGATCGCCGACTCTTGGCATCTGAAGAAGACGAGAACGTCGACCAGGAATTGGCCCGCATCCGTGCTATGGTCAGAGAGTGGAAGGCAGAAGCAGCTAGAGCTGGAAAGCCGCTACAGTTGCCCACCATGCCGTTTATGCTGCGGAACATTTGGACGGCTGCTCTCGTTCTTTTCGTGGCCGTAATGGCGTCGACATTCTTTATTCAAACCGTTTTCCATGCTTCCGTTGCTATATCTATCCTCGGCATATGCTGGGCGGTGGCATGCTGGATCCCTTTCGCGATCATCATGTCGGTAAGCATCTTAGAACCTTCTTGTGATTTCGAGCAATGGTGCGAAAATACTATTCATGGTCGCAGTTCCTCAAAGAAATGGAAGACGAAGCAGAAGAACAACGAAAGCAAGCTGCTACTGTCGCGCCTTATCGCAGCCGGCCGCACCACCGCGTTGCCTCTGTCCCCTCTAATCTTTATAAGCAACGTAATCAGCCTAATGAACGAACGCAACTGGTTCGACGGCATTCACTCATGGGTGAGACGGGTGCTTTTAGTCATGATTTGCGCTACGTTGGCTCCGCACCCGTTGCGGGTGGAACCATCTTGGGCATTCACAATCTGGCTATCGTGTTTCCGCAGTTTTTAGTACGTCGTGCCCTTTCTGCCAGAAAGCAACACATGGCTAAACTCTTAAAACAGATTGCAATCATCTCATCTGCCATCTTCCGTATCACCGACAGAGGATTGGAGCATGATCCACCATACGTTGTAAGCAATTTCTAATCTATCCGTCTGCCTGCTTGATTCATGCCATTCCCAGTACTATGGTAAAGACGGCGTTTCTTGGGTGCTTCGAGTTGGTGGTTGCTTCGCTTTGGTAGGTATTTCAGTTGATGCTTTATCATCAAGGTTGTTCATCCCCACTTGCGTTCCAAGTTCGGGGCTCTGCTATCACGTATGGTGCCTCCTACTAAGACCGAGAAGGAAATGAGACGCCGATTAGCGGATATGATGGCTAGTGAAGAGGAGAACCCATAATGTCTTACGAACAAGTCGCACCACACCTGCGACACCCTCCACTTCACGATCACACACACGTCACATTAACTTAATTTTTCGGGCTTGATTGTGCCTCCCATTCTTGTTGACTTCGCTTCTGGATGATATTGGACGTTCTGCATAGTCTCACTGGTTTCTACACAAGCCATATTTGCAAAAAAAAAGTATTAGTGCATTAGAATGATGAGCCGCCTTCTCATATTTATATTCGTGAGTAAAGAACTGAATTGGGGTGGAGGATTCCTCTCCGCCTTGCATGGAGGTCGCAGGCATGTACAGGTTAGAGCAATTTGCAACAATCAGAGCAACAGTTGCATCCATCGAATTCGTCCTAGTCCTGATCGCAGAGAGTTGAAATTACTCAACAAATCAAAATTCGTAGCACAGAGCCTGATGTCAACAGCAAATCTCACTCAAAGCAGAACTTCTTTTGACTTCCGATTGATCAAGCACACAGGAGGCCGGGGTTCTCAGCAACAAACATACGGGCATGCATCGGGAATACTGGGGATTCATGCCTTCAACCAAAGTCTGTCGCATGATGTGGCGTTATCCATTTCCCGATCACATGTGTGCTGGGGAATGAAGATGAGGGGTCAATGCAAGCGCGAAGTGGAAATGTGACCGTTTGATACGTACATCCCACAGCACCAGGGCATTGACACAAAATAGGTGAGTTAAGGGGAAAGTCCGAGGGGCACCTGTTGGGAATATCTCGGCAACAAGATTGGGGGATTGCATGCACTCATTGCTTGTCTGTACATTTGAGAGGGGAGTCCACCCATCATATAATTTACAATTTGCTCGTACAGGTTCTGAAACAAGGTGATCGCCAAAGTGGTTACACGGTGGAAGGCCGGGCTGGACGCAAGATACTTTTGTCGCCTCGACCTCCGCACGTAGACCATCGGGGACGGAAGGTACGACGAGGTGACTATCGCAGAACAGAAGCAGTTTGCACCAGCCATTCTTGGGTGAAACGCGGTGGCAGAGGCACTGGATGAACACGTTACCTCCGACCTCCAGACTAAAGAAGGATCCACAGCGGGAGAGCGGGGGTCGAGCATCCGTTATTTCATAAGACGGATTGACAGTGAAACATCGGACAACAAAGGTAAGCATCTCATAGTATCCTTCGCCTGCAGCCTATAGCTCGCCGAGCAGAGTCATCGCCACAGTCATTTCCGCAAAGACGCTGGCACGAGACGTCCCAGTCCAAGAAGAACCAACACTTATGTTTCCCAGATGTAAACACCAGTATTTTCGTATGCTATTTGTCACAGTGGAAGATCATCTAGGAGACGACGAAGACCAGGAGTGCCAGTGCCAGTAACTGATAGATAGTCATTATTTACTGAGGGATCATGCTGTCAATAAGGAACCCCTACGGTCTGAAATCGGAGTTGTTCCGCTCGTGCCGCGTGTGACACGGCTAACTGAGCACATTCGCATCCTCGGACAAGAGTGCAACTCTAGGGCGCGACACCGAGCATATCAGAGGCACATACAAGTTACGTGGAAGAATCAAGCTCGTCTGCTGCGGTCCGTGCAGGTTCGGGCAGTAGCGCCCGACCCAACTTTGCGCAAGTTGCTAACGATTAACTACACCCTGCGGTGACGCGACTGCAACTGGAGTGGGGACATTCATCGCGCAGACTTACGCCAAAAAACATCACCGCTATTGCACAAGGTGGTGCATTCGTACCCAGGGAATGTGGCACTCAGAGTCATTGTCTATTTTCTACTTTATTTTCATGTATTTATTCCGAGACCTTTTGCCCTTGGCGCTCACGAGCAGCATCACAGAACACCTCCCAGTGTATCAGCTCAGGACCTCCAGTAAGAAATGCCAAAGATTGTCTCTCGCAGTGCCGTTTCGACCTCTACCGACGCAGTCCCAACTGAAAGCGCATCTGCATCACTGAAGGTATATTATTGTCTCTGTGGGGAGTTCGCAGTAAGCATATGCTGGTTTGGGACCAATTTGAATAATCAAAGTTTGCTCTTTAGCTTGTTATCGACAAGGATATCACTCTTCTACCCCGAAGAAAGACGGATGGAGCGCTGATTCTAAGAGCACAGGGGGTCGAGGGGCAAACCAAAGCTCAAATATTCAAACTTAATGTGAACATCTCTGACCCCATTTTCATCAAAAGGTGCCAAATTTGAAAATCTAAATCGCTTATTCTGCGCTGAAGCCCACGATGCAGGGACAACAGTCTAGAACTCCAATACAGGTATACATGTGAGGTATAACAACATGAAGGTGCGGTGCTGGTTCGCTGAAAATTTCGGTCTGTAGGTACTCGATGCACTCTTCCCATTGGATACCAGACTACTCCTCCAATTAAGTCCGGGCCTTATGTTTACCTGATCCATGGCTCAGTCACGCAGCAACAGGGGGTTGTGCCCCATGCAGCCTTTGAAGGCGAAAATGAGACATACGAGGCCTTGAGGGCCCGTGAAGAACTAGAAATTAACCCCCCATCAACGGCTCCAGAATAATCACAGCAATGCTTCCGACACAGAGTCAAGTGGTATCGGAAGATTGTTGCAGTGGTAGATCATTCGCCAAATGGATTGGGAGGCTCTTAATACTTGGTGCCCATCTTCGCTTTTGAAGCCCTTTACTCCAAGGTTCCCATGTTTGGCATCACATCTGACTGTTTTACATTATAACCCGGCAAGCCGCGTCTTGAAAAGGCGGGTGCTGCTACATGTTCATTCCTTCCATACGCCTTACGAAGAATTCCTGCCCTTTGCCTCGCTTCCCGTCATAACCTTGAACAGATCAGCTTCCTGGGAGACTTCGACCTCCGCTCCCGCATTGCAGTCAGCTCGAAGTCACACCCATTCTTATAGAATTCATCTCCTCTACTCTAACGAATCCAGCCTTGAAAGTGGAAGCCTGCTCAACTTTGAAGGTTATTTTCTCCTAGTGGTCTAGCCTGCCACAGTCAAGATTGCCCGAACCCATTCTGATACAGATGCACTGAGACAGAGGAAGGCCCCCTTTTTGCACTTTCGCCATCGCCCCTAAATTTCACCATGTTGAGATAGCCCACTTCTGCACGGAATAAGATTTGTGGGACCAAAGAGCTTAGTGGATTAACTTCGGAGGGTGCTAATGGGGGTCATAGGCGTCTTGTACCTTGCTACTGCAATCTGGAACAGTGTCGCCGGCTTCACTCCCTAAACGATACGGCGTCCTTTAACAGGAGATGTTGACCTTGCCCGCCCCACTTGGCTCCCACTCCGCCATGCTTGGCATCCCATGCATAGGTCAACCTGTCACTTTCTAACTTGCCTTTCCGACTTGAGGTCCCAAACAGTTTACTCATAATGACACTATCCGTGGGTTGACTACTGAAGGAAAACCTCGAAGCGAACATGCCTGCATTGATCCTCTCGGCGTTTCTCCCAGTGCCCAGCAATGCCTGCACAGAAGCTATGAATTGACGCTCACCTCATAGAAAGCTCTCTTGTATTCATGCAGAGGGTGTTGTAGCCTGAAGACAGCCCCGACATGGGGTGCTCGCGTGATTTGGTTGGTTCTCTGTTTCCTGTTATCACATCCCCTGCTGGTTCTACGTGTCTATTCAGTACTACATCCCAGTTTTCTATGTTGGTTGTGCTTACCAGATACCGGGTCGCCAGGTCATGTCCTCAAATTCAGCATGAACGGACCCTTATTGCAAATAAACGTGAAAAAATCACCGGATCCCATCAGAGGGTAGCAGACAAGAAGAATAATAGACATGTGGGCTATGTCTACCGAATACAAGTTATATTAATCTGGTTCCTCCATCAAATCACAACTAATGTTAACCAGCTATGGATCCGTTGCGTACCGAGCCTATCCAGCGCCCCGTTCTATAGATAGATTGTTGCGGTTCATCATTTACATGGGGAAGATCATTTGTGGCAGGTCACGTAGGTGGTCCTGGCATGAAGCCAACGGAAATCTAGGTCCTTTACTCGTCGACCGGTGAAAGGGGGCCATGCTACAATCCAATACGGGGGAGTCAAGTGTTTTGCTGAGGCGCTTCATGTTGTTATCATTTTCCCCGCGTCTGTCACAAAAGTGCAGCAGTTCAATACTGACACTGAAGGGGTGCCATCGCCTGCAGGTTTGAGACTCTAGTTAGGCGCAACAAAACTGCGCTAACTCCAGCGATGAATGTTTCAAGGTTTCTCCTGCTTGGCTAGGACCTTAAGGTCCAGTGATGTTAGATTTTAGAGCGTAATACGCTCTATGAACCCAGAGTAGGGATGATGTGAACATTGGATGTTGAGAACGAGACTGGCCCAGTGATTTGAATTTGAGAATGACAGATCGTCCCAAACACATGTCAACACTTAGCCTTTAGGCAGGTGACCAGCCTCTATGGAATAAGATCCCCGAGGTCACCTGCTACACACTCGTCCTCCTACCTTGTATCTGGATAGCTCCAACTGCCACGTCGTCACGAGGCTGCGGAAAAGAGAATCACTCCGCCAGACTCGTTATTACGGGTGATGATCACAGAATCCGGACTCTCTTCCGTTTTCAGAAAAGTTGTGATTTTTTTCAAGCAGGTTTATTCACAGACCTATAATCGCTACTGCAAACTGGGCCTGCGGGGCAAGGTGGGTCTTACTTAGGCAGGGCCCCACTGGCCTAGGTCTCACTTCTGCTGCATATCGCATCCTGAAGGTCATGTTGTAGGCTTTCGTGTAGTTTCTCGCATTTCTCCATGCCGCCATAGTTGGGGTCCTTATTTTTATCGGGCCAGCAGGTTTATTTCAAACGCTGTATGACATTGCCCAGAGACTTCACAACATGCCGTATGGATGGCTCATTCTCTTTGCCATCGCTAGTGAGTTCCTCGTGCACTCATAGAACGCTCACTACGTCCGTGAAACTGACCCTTCGTTTCATTCATCCAGTCATTGTCTCTTTCCCTCCACTCCTTGGACATACAGCCATTAATTCGATTTGCGGATTTGCTTTTGGCGCCAGAGGGTGTTTAATAGCTATCCCTGCAGCCGTTATTGGGTCGGCTGCGTCATTCTTGCTACTGCGAGCCACATTTAGACGGCGTGTAAAAGCGTGGGCGAAGCAGAGTAAGAAATGGCAAGCAATGGAGCAGGTCATCGTGCGTATCGTATCCGCCGCGGTGATGTGCGTCAGCTATAACGAGCCTGCGTGGCATAGGATGCGAAAGGCCTGCCATTGATCGTCCTCATTCGGCTTTGCCCACTTCCTTGGGTCTACTCTAATGCATTCTTTGCTTCCATTGAGAGCGTTCGGTTGTGGCAATTCGTCTTTGCGACGCTGTAGGTCTTTGCAGACTTTCGTTGAGATAGGACCATGCGCACAAACAGTTGTTAGGTGCCTTTCCCCAAAAATATTTCTCGCCGTCTTCATCGGCTCGCAGGTTGCCGATCTGTCCGATGGAACGCACCGAAAGGCCCTCTCCACGGGCGTCAAAATTCTAGACATCCTCTCCATTGCCGTGAGTGTTGGACTCGCGTTGGGAACTGGGTGGTGGGTTTACTCTTCATTTTCTAAGCATCCTCATTAACATTTTCACAGGTATGTGTGGTCGATGACTGACGCACATATTCAAAACATAGAGGATCTTCCACGAGAGACCGGTCGTTTGGTAACTGACGTTTTAGACAGTGTCGGCACTCCGCTATTGCACAATTTCTCGAGTGAGCCAACCGACGAGTCAGTGCCATTAAATCAGATTGTAGCGGATCTGACAACCCCATAGTCATGGAAAGGGATAAATGTGCAAGTCCATGATGTATTAGTAGTATCATACGCAGGTATTCAATAGTGAATCTTCTCTAATGGTCAATAAATCATACACATCTGGAATCTGACTTTGCAAACGAGTTTCAGTCATACAAATGTAAGAACAGTAATGCGAATGTCGCCATAAGAATAAAAAGCAGGATCCATTTCCTCGAATTCCGTCCTCTCTCTCTCGCTTGCTTTAGTTGAACATTGCCTTTCTCCACTTGAGTTTGCGTAGTCATAGCTTCATCATATAACGTATCAACCATTTCGGTCTGTCGAGCCAGCTGCACGACAAGCTCTGTTTGTAAAGCGCTGATTTCCAGTAGACGAGATTCGGCTAGCTGGACGCTCTGCAAGGTGTCCTCCATGGATTTGAGGATCGCAGAGTTTTCCTCCTCGAACTGCAGTATTTGCGATTGGGTGAGTTCAATGTCAGCATCGTCATCGGTGTCGGATTCAATATAGTCCACTGCGGTTACTGGGATGTGTGACGAGGGAACATTGGAAGATGACGATCCCATAGAAGCATAAACATCTCTTATTGCCGCAGCTTTAGTGTGTTCGACAGACGCGATCGACCCAAGTGTCCGAGAGCGGTCCAATTGTCGTCGTATCCGCTCCTCCTGCATCTCTTTCTGAGACTGACTGAGCTCAGTAAGGCGGCGGGTGAGATACCATGTGATATTTGAACGATGGGCGGCAACGAGATCCGCGAAAGGATCACCCAAGGATATCAGGGAAGGAAGGAATTTTGTGAGCGAGTTCACAGCGCTCCGCGAGGCGCTCTGTACTCGAGCTGCGGACGGTCGTACGTTGATCAGGCGAAAGTGGTAGACTATTTGTGACTCGACGGTGTAACTCACCTGCTTCGAGCTTTTCAAGGCGGGAAACCCTCTCTGCACATTGAGAAATAATAATACGTGCCTGGAGATCTATCTGATCTCTTTCCTCATTAGATAGGTGACGGATGTCCGCCCAGGAATGTGACCCGCTTGATAGGTCGAACTGGCGTGTTGGCTCCCGAAATTTGGCCGAAACATCGACATTCAAATAAGCTTTTCTTATGCCATAGAGCAGTCCCGATAATGAGTGGATATGGCCAAGCTATTCTTCCTTGCGTAAGTCACTGCGCAGCGACGCAACAAGCTAGGAGACTGACAATCGAGTAGGCTTCTGGTAGGTACACGTCCTGACCCCGTGCTGCCTTCGCGTTTTCAGGTGCGCCAAGATGCTTCCCTCTATCTGCCCTCGGTTTTGGAGGATAGACACGAGCGAGTTCTTTCACTTGCTCGCGGAAGCGCCCAGTGTGGTCAACGACGTAACCCATTGAGGATATGTCACGTTGTTCGCTTTCCAAAAATGGAAGTTGGTCCGCTCTCATGGGGTTTCGTCAGTCGATCCCTCCAGCAGGGATTTTTTCTGGTAAATCCGAGCCATGGACGCGTGACATCTATGGAGGCTGCTTCAACCTAATGTCTCTAGGTGGACACACACCCTTTAGGAAGCAAACGTCACGTCCCTCGTAACATCTTTCTCTGCAGGCGTTGCGCAATGCACTCCCGAGTCACATCTTATACTCCAAACCCTCTCTGACTAAAATACTATCCACGCTAGTATCCCGTTTCACTATAACAGCATTCCTCAACTTCTCATGGACCTAGTTCCCACGATGGGCTTCCAATTCATTTTTCAACACAAGAGTTCTTGTGCCACCGCAAGATGAGTAACCCTTCGCAGAAGCGTGATGTTCAAGACGGACCAAACGGCGTCGGCACTGAAACGCGTGCACCCGTCATGCGATCAGTAGTTGGCTCGTACGCACCAATTCATGATCGTTCGCGTGCCATCGTTCCACTGTGGCTCAGTGATGATCGCAGTTTTCAGTTTGCAGTCCAATTTTTTGGAGCTGGGGTTGCCAGTGAGTATGTGAGGACCATCTGTAGCCCCCGAAGGCTTAGCGAGCCTGGGGTACAGGCCACGTCTCCTACTTTGCGATGTTCACTAATGATGTGATAGGTATGGTTAGCGCTGTTGTCACCAATCCTGTCGATATCATAAAAGTTAGTTTATACTTATGCCTTCATCTACGTCCGCCCCATTCACCTTCAGTGCCTCGCGAATGGTGTGAAAGGTTCGGCAGCAATTGGATAGGCATTGTAATGTATCTTTCGCATTGACAACCCCTCACGTTAACTGGACCACATCTAGACGCCAGGTCATTGTGGGCTGTTGGATCCCGGATGGCCCGTGATGAGGGTCTCATGAGCCTCATGAAGGGAACCAGTGCGTCCGCAGCTCGCGAGGGCACGTATTCAACAACCCGCCTCGGGACATATGAGGTTTTCAAAGACGAGTTAGTGGGACTTCCTCTCTGTTGAAATCGGTCCCCAACTTCCCAGGTTAAAGGAACGGACGCGAGAAACTTTTGACCCCGAGGGGTTGCCTTTGAAAGTAACTGCTTCCGTCATAGCTGGCACCATTGGGAGGTACGAGTCATTCCTGCCAAACCCAATGGGGAACATACGTTCGGCTGATATACGCCTGCAGTGCCATTGCCAATCCAACAGACCTCGTTAAAATCCGGATGCAAGCTTATTATCCTCCAGCCACCTATCCTTATCACTCAATGCGGCACGCTTTCTCCTCAATTTACAACGAAGCTTCACACAATGGGCAGCCTCCATCCGTTATCGCTGGTCTTCGCTTTCTCTACCGGGGAGTTTTTCCGACAGTCATCCGTGGATGGACTGTTGCGGCAAGTCAGATGCCAGCATATGATCATACAAAGCAAGTATTGAAGTCCAAGCAGTTGGTCAGAGAGGGCTGGTTGGCTCATTTCGTGTGCAGCAGCATCGCCGGGTAACTATAACATTATTCACGATTCGGGGATTTACTGATACATCATTATTGTGCTAGATTGGTGGTTTCACTGGCATCTAATCCCGTAGGTGAGTGCTCTCGATATCGCAATTCGTTCGGAACGTTCATGTCATCAAGATGTTATTAAAGTTCGGCTAATGAACGATTCCATGGGTTTGTATAATCGGTCGATCCTCGCATGTGTTAATTCCATACTTTGCCACGAAGGGCCATTGGCACTCTACAAGGGATTTACAATGTGTTGGGCAAGAGTAAGTAGCCTTAGAAAGGCCAGATACAGTTTACTCACTAGTCTATGTAACACCGTTAGCTTGGCACACACACAGTAGTCACATACATGATATACGAGCAGATCCGACTGGTGCGTTTGATCCCCTGATATTTCTTCGACCCTGACGGCGCGTCGTTTTATCATTAGTTCGCTGGCGTAAAGCCACTCTAGACTATACCATACCACGCCCGGTGGCAGCCGGACAGTGGTAATGAGGCACGCGTTTGGATTCTAGATTAACATCAATCTAGTTTTACTTGTTTACAGACTTTGAATCTAGTTAAAGTACTGCGGCAGAACGAACTTGAGCTTCTCCCTATCTTCTTGTGTTTGGTAATCCCTAGGGGTCACGATGGAGTATCTCATTGCGCCTACCGCGCTCTTCAATACAGTCCCACTTTCCACCATATCATGGACATGACCTGCGATGGTAGCGATTACTTTGCGGGACGTTTCGGCGTTACCACGCAGAGTCTTCACAACTTCTGCGACAGTCACAGGCTCATAGCCCGCGCGCCAAGCGTCATAATCAGTGGCCGACGCAATGAGCGTGTAGCTGATTGCGGTAAAGTCAATTACTACTGCAAATTGTGATCGCTCGGTGACTAACCTGAGCTCAGCCTCCCTCGCCAGCTTGGCCTCTGGCAGCACGCTCATGTTGATAATGTCGCCTCCCCATGCCCGGTACATGAGGCTCTCCGCGCGAGTCGAGAACTGTGGACCCTCCATACACACCACTGTTTTGCCTATGTGCAACTGCCTTTCATGTGCATTCCCATCCCCTTTGATTGCTTCTTTAACAAGGGTCTCGACAAATTCAGATAATTCTTTATCAAAGGGATCTCCAAACATAGCGTGGGCAACGACGTTTGTGTCATCAAAAAAGCTAGCTTTCCGTGTTCCTTTCGTGCGATCGATGATTTGTGATGGGATGATAAAATCTCCGGGACGGATTTCTTCCCGGAGAGATCCCACAGCGCTGAAGGCCAAAATTGCGCGGATCCCAAGCGATCGTAAAGCGGCGATATTTGCTCGAGAGGGGACTGCCGATGGGGAAATTGACTGAGTGGCTCCATGACGCGACAGGAATGCAATACGATGTCCCGCAGGAGCCTCAGCAATGGTTATGGGCGAAGAGGGATAACCCCATGGCTGGTATGTGTGGGTCAATGTGAACAACTTCCTTGATAATCAGCTTACAGTTTCAGGGTTGACTTCCTCACTGCATTTGGGCGTGATAGGTGAGGGGTACGGAGCTTAGAAAAATATAGAAACCGAGGAATACGAACATGAATGTCAAACTGTCTAGCTTGTGTAACCCGGATCCACCTATGATACCAACGAGTACTAGGAAGCGCGATCACATCCAGATCATCGATATAGTATGATAGTATTTAGGCCACAGCTGTCACTAGGTCTAACAACTTGCGAACCTTTTGGGATGATCGATGACATGTTAGGTCTAATCCGGAGAGTTTGGACGATGCTGAGTAAGGATCTACGTTTGGGCAATTGAGGTGGAAATTCGACACGTGAGTGTGGGCAGCCGAATAACGACTACCTCACCCGGTATTCAAATTCAAAGATAAGAAAGAGGTTGTGCCATAGGCTCGGCGGTAATTTGATTTCGGCCTGTCTGCAACGTCTGAGGATTTATCGCCACTATCTCAGTCTGTCATGGACACTAGTTTCCACGCTTGGCTTTCGGTTCATTCTTCAACGAGTCGCCGATGTGTGGGCAACCGCCCGTTCCCACCACTAAGATGCACTAATCGGCGTCAGCGCTACATCAGGTACATTCACTACGCAATCGCTGCAATAAAATCGCTCGCGTGCCATCGTCCCACTGTGATCCGGTGATAATCACAATTGTGGGTTTTCTGCCCGGTTTCTCGGAGCTATGGCCGCTAACAGTGAGTCCCTTCATGAGGCGACTTCACCGTGAACCATTCTGACCCCAATGAGCCGCAACTGCCCGGCCCAGTTAACTTGGTTGGTCGTTGATGCGACAAGTATGTCACACTACCTGTGCAACTGAGGCCGACGCGTTCATGGCCACTGTCCGCGAGACATTGGTAGCCAATGGGGCGGATGCAGCTTTTGGAGACGGAATCGCACCTAACCTTCATACATCCACAGGAATATTGGTAACAACAACGCAAACCATGCCTATCGGATCGATATCATCAGATTAGTGTGGTGACCTAGCCACACTGCAAGGCGGGACATGTGGCTGGCACTCTAGGCCTACCAAGCCTTCGGGAGTGTAGGATTTACGAGTCACCTGTAGATAATAATAACCGGTTTCTCCTACCTTGCTGACACAGGGTGTATCCACTGCATGAGTTCGCTGACAACAACAGCAGTCATTGCGCGACCAACGCGTCCGCCGCACATGCATATTCAACGATCCGACTGGTGACATATGAGGCGTTCAAAGGGGAGCCAGTGGAACTTGCGATAAGTGTTTGTTGAATCTCGTCCCCAATTCTCAAGCTAAAGGAAAGAGCACGAGGGACTTTGAACTCTGAAAGATTGTAATTGCTTCTGTCATCGCTACCATTGGAAGGTTCGAGTCATTCTTGCCAAAATGAATGGCTAACGTTCACCCATTACCAATCCAGCAGACACATTTATCAAAATCCGGATGCAAGCTTATTACCCTCCCGCCACCTGTCCTTATCGCGGTTCAACACGGCATGCTTTCCCTTCAATCACATAATGGACAACCTCCAGTTGTTTCTCTGCATTCGCTGTCGGGCCGACGCGCTGGCCATCTGCGGATTGACTATCGTGGCAAGTCAGATGATATATGAAGCAAATATTGGGGGTTGGGGGAGGACTGGTCTGTCACATGAGACGCGCGTCAGCGCTAGTAATAGTCCCAGTAACCTAGCTAGTTGATAACAAAAGCGAGGGACAAGCCACTCGCTTTGGTGTATAGGGACTGTATGGATCGTGTCGATCGGGAAGTCGGGGACGATCGGATCTACAGCTGGTCTACGAGTCATTAGCACACTCTATGAGAAACTAGCGTAGAACGTACTAGGATACCTAAGTCAGTGTGGTATGTTTTATAAGGCAAAAGCTGGTTCCCTTATACGTGAACTGAGGAACGACGTAAAAAAAAAAAAAATTCCTGGTTTGCAAGCAAGTGCTCTGAACAGAGTATATATACAAGCCTGGTAGCAAGACGACCAAAGGTAGAGTAATACGATGCCGCAGGCTCAACTTAGCAGTGAGTCGGGTCATAGCGTACATCGATATCCAAGAAAAAATACACACAGCCTTAGCATCCACATACATGGCATATGAGCAAATCCAACTGAATATTTGAACCCCCATTGGCCCTGACAACCTTGAAAATATCGAAACGTTTTGTTCTGCAACGCTAGTGTAATGAACAAAGATAACGATATAACACGTTTGAACCCTACACTAATATCTGCAACGTTTCTACATCGGGTACACTGATTCGAAATCTAGCTTCTAGCTAAAGTACTGTGGCAAAATGAACTTCAGCTTCAGCTTATCCTCTGGGTTTTGATGATTCTTAGGCGTCACCATGGAGTATCTCATTGCGCCCTCAGCGCTCTTCAAAAGAGTCCCTCTTTCTACCACGTCATGAACATGGCCTAAGATAGTGGCGATCACTTTCCGGGACGTTTCGGCGTTATCATGCAGAGTCTTCACGACTTCCGCGACAGTCACAGGCTCATAGCCCGCACGCCAGGCATCATAATCAGTGGCTGTCGCAATGAGCGTGTAGCTGATTGCGGTAAAGTCAAGTATCACTGCTAACGGTGATGGTTTGGCGACTAACCTGAGCTCAGCCTCTCTCGCTAGCTTAGCCTCTGGCAGGACGCTCATGTTGATGATATCGCCTCCCCATGCTCGGTACATGAGGCTCTCCGCGCGAGTGGAGAACTGTGGACCTTCCATGCAGACCACTGTTTTGTCCGTGTGTAACTGTTTTTCCGGAGCACTGCCATCCCCTTCGATCGCTTCTTTGACGAGGGGCCCGACGAAGTTAGATAATTCTTTATCAAAGGGATCTCCAAACATAGCGTGTGCGACGACGCTCGTCTCGTCAAAGAAGCTAGCTTTCCGTATTCCTTTCGTGCGATCAATGATCTGTGATGGAATAATGAAATCTCCGGGACGGATTTCTTCCCGGAGAGATCCCACGGCACTGAAGGCCAAAATTGCGCGGATCCCAAGCGAACGTAAAGCGGCGATGTTGGCTCGAGAGGGGACTGTCGATGGAGAGATCGAGTGCGCGGTCCCATGACGCGCCAGGAAAGCAACGCGATGTCCGGTAGGAAGCTCAGCAATTGTTATGGGCGAGGAGGGATAGCCCCATGGCTGATATCCATGAATCAATGCAAACAACCTCCTTTTCCTCGATGACTAGCTTACGGTTTCAGGGTTAACTTCCTCACTGCATTTAGGCATGGCAGGTGAGAGGGACCAGATGAACATGGAGAAAACGAAGAATACTAACATGGGTGCCAGATTGTTTAGTTTGTACAATCCAGATCCACCTATGACACCAACGAGTGCTGGGATGCGGGATCACGTCCGGGCAATCCATATGGTGATGTCAACATGTAAGTCACAACCGTCGCTAGGCCGAGCACAGCTTGCACACCTTTCGGGGTGGTCGTGATCGATGACATGCTAGGGCTAGTTTGGGCAATGCCGAATATGGGTTTACGGTGTGCGATGGTTCACGACACCGGGTGAGCAATTTACATATATAAGATGGCTTAGGCAAATGACACGGGATGATGTCGGGAATCGGCACCTTAAAACTCCGTTTTTGGCTTCAGGTTCCTTATGTCAGCACATCTTCCCACGTTCGATGAGCGGTAATTCGGGCCAGTCTGATGATGTTTGTGCACTCTGTTTATCTGAGAGTGTTGAAATCTTGGTTTTCTTGGGAGTTATAGTGCGCTGTGGCCAACTCACAATGTGATGTTGAGCTAGCGGCGCTATATTTCCTTTCTTGGTATTCCTGCTGCCAAAGTCAGTGCGCCATTGAGGCGACTGCTTATAAAAGCAGTGAACAATTTTTTCACTTTCGTCTCCCTCAGTTCAACAACGATTGACTGAGGTGAGACTGCGCTTTTACCACACATTTATCTTGTCACTCATGTACCCTCATGTGCCCTAGCGTAAAACGCTAGGTAATTAGTTCCAATCTAATTAGTTCAACAACGATTGACTGAGCGTAAAACGCTAGCGTAAATCGCTAACATCCTAATAGAGAGCTGATGGGATGACGCTTGAATGTCAATTTCGGCGGTGCTTCAGAGGAGCTGGATATATTACTTAATGCGATCGTTCGAGGGCTGAGGCACGTGGTGCGTCGAAACGCTTGGTTAAGTGTGAGGCAGCCTACCGCAGTCAATCGCTACCCCTACGCCCGCCTGAAGTTCCTTGCACATTAACGCTCTGTATCCTATCGGTATTGGTACCTGACGAGCCGCATACATCCGGGGTAGGCTACCAGTCTCTATTCGAACACATCCGCATTAAAGCAGATTCTCTCCATCAATTCCTCACGACTAAGAGTCTGTCTACAAGCACCGTCACTCTTGCATTTTGATACTAGGCCCAGCATCGCCGCTGCTTATATTCAGTTTCTATGTCGTCACAGCAGTCGCCAGAGGAGGATTTACTCCCTAAAATAAAGGGCGCATACCGCTTGCTAGCCCTTTTCACTGAGCAAGGGAGTAATGGACTGGTTGATAAAGTCGTCATCCCCCAAGATTCCCTTCGAAACCTGATAGACGTTCTCCGCCCTGGAGCCTTCGAATCGATGACAAATGTGAGTACTCAGCCTTCTTTTGCGACAGAGCTTGACATGCCCGGAAGATCAATTTTGCTGCGCTCGATGAAGTTCTGCTCAAGCCTGTCGGAATCTACGGCAGCAAATCCCGTATAGTTGAATTCCTTGAGGAAGTGAATGCTATCGACACACCTACGTATGTTCTTGTCCTATTTCTTTATTGACTGACCAATCCTTTTACTTCCTTCCCGATCCTAGTGCCAAAGAACTTCTGATGCCATTGCCTCTTAATGGAGTTCCTCCGGGTCCCTATTTAAGAACGGGAATATATCTAATACTTGATGGCCTTACCCAACAGAGGGAGCATTCTATGGACCTTGACGCAGGTTTGGTGCAGCCTGCCTTCCTTCTCTATTGGCCCGAGGAAAATACCTGGGATGACGACGCTGTAGGAGACATCACTAGAAATCGCACGACCTTCATGCAGTAAGTTCTCCAGGTCGTGCATGACATGGGTGAATGGTCACGTTTATTCGGTTTGCCTCAGTTACTTAGGCCAATTGAGCAACCAATTAGTCGCGCTTCTTTCCAAGGAGCACGCCGACAGCATTGTGTGGGATGGGGATGCTGCAAATATTGCTGAGGGAGAGGTTCCCGACTCAGACGAGAGCGATGATGACCTAGTTTTTCAGTTTGTCGTCCAGAAAACTGTTGAACAAGAAGAAAGTGTGAAAGTACATGAAGGCTTTGAGGTCTGATTACGCAGATTTATGGCCGTCATGTTTCCGACTTACTCGTTCTGGACCAGATCCCCATTTCCTCTGAGTTGTTATCTACGGTAGATCCAGATCCTCAACATGCTGGAGAACTGGATGTGCTCTTGAAGCCGCGAGTGGTGTTGGGTGACACGCGCCAGGCCTTGCTAGTAACGGAGTTTATTCCTCAACGCCGCAACCCTAAAAAGATCACCGCACACATCAGCGGCATGGCCCTTCAGAAAAAGCTCACGTATGTCGCACTGTCCCTGCCAGTGAAAACGCTGATTTTGGACACACCCTCAGAGACAATGGGAACTCTATTCGATTAGCTGATGATCTTCGTGTTGAAGCACTGGAAATTCTCATCGAAAATGGCTTGGAGAACCATTTTAAGTCACTTTGCGAAGACTACAAGGAAACCAAGAGGCGAGAAGAGCTCATGGTGCAGCAGGAATTCCAGTCACTTTGTGCTGGGGCCGAAGAGGCTCTTGCCAGTGATACACAAAGGCTGGAACATCACATTTCGAACCAGCTCGTGCAGCATTTAGTGAATATGTATCCGTAAGGAGTGAGGTTTTCCAGCTACATGACTGGCACTTTACTCCAATTAATAACAGGCCGTTCGAAGTGGAGTTGGTATCACAAATACAAGACGTCACGTATCGAGGTAACAGCCAGTTTGTGCTTTAGTTGCCCAACAGAACATTGACCGATCCTTCTGACCGTCTCACTTTTTGCCTTACACTATAGGCCCAGATGACGTTGTTGTACATCATCTATCGCCCCTGAAGGATGGTGTCTTCGATCTGCTCACGTTTAACTCCATTATCGAACCCGGCTTCCAGGATCTCAAACGCCGCTTCATGGCCTCTGTCGAAGCCCTCAAGTTTCGCAAAACCGAGGTCAGCCCCAATGAACTACAGAGGCTCGACACCGCTATTTTGACCGGGACCAACTGGGACAGTGTAAAGTCTACCATCCTCGAGGAGCCAACTCCGTCAGGAGGCAGTGCCCTGTTGCCAACAAGGCTTGTCGCCTCCATCACTTCGACAGTTGGGCGTCGTACTGGTTTCTTAAAAGCGCGTCGGCCTCAGAGGCACGAGACAGCTCCCATGAGTGATCCTGAATTCATCCGACGCATACACAATGAAGATTATGGCGGAACACTCGACTTGTCTGTGACCAAGCTTTGCAACAAGGCATTAAATTGGCTCCTGCGTTCCATGGATTCCGAATCTCGGAAACTGGCCCAGTCGGAGTCAGCTGCATTTTTCCAGCAATGGAAGTGTGGCATAGATACCGAATATCGTCTCAAATCCCAAGAGAAAAGATGTAAGCTGCTGCTGCAACTTAGAGACCGAATCAACGATGAAAGCAAGGCGAAGGGCACCGGGTGCGTACTTATGTCCTAGGAACCTTTGCCATCACTAACTAGTTTCTGTAGAAGTCTTCAACTATGGGTCCACGATATCGCTCTCAATGGTGGTCACCACAAATGCAGCAGTACGTGAAATGAGGCATGGTGACTCTGATCAGCTGACTGAACGCCTGCATATCTTTCCTTGGTCCCAGGTTTCAAATTCACGTCTATGCAGCTGAAGCACGAGCCTGCGCATTTTGAGCACACACTACACCTACTTGGATTGATGACTGAAGACACCCAGGAACTTACTGTGGACAGTTCAGTTGTGCCGCGCCCTGTTTTCCATCCTAGGGCACATTCCATCTGCTTCAGGGTGCCGGCCACTTCCAGACTAAGGTCGGTGAACAAATCAGGTTTTGTTCAGTGTGCTGACATCGCCTTAGGCATGTTCAGCTTCTGGAGGGTTCTAAATGTATCGTGGTTGTGGAGGACCGTGACTCTTCAACCGGAAGAATTTCCATTTATCTTGATGATGAGGCCCGGATACCCGCTATGTTGGATGCTCGAACATGCAAACGGGTGTTCAACTCGGAACGGATTGGAGAGGATTTCTTGTTTTCCGTTAATGAGCCAAGGAAATTAGTGGCATTGATGGATGTGGGTCGGCGGTACTGCTCGTCTGACACCACTGGATGCTGACTTGACGTGATAGGCCAAGTGTCATCTCTGTGTTTATGCAATTGACGCCTCATATTCCGGTCTCCATTTACGCGGCTCTCCGATCGACCTCCGACGCTTAATGATGGGCTCTGGTGCTGAGGCCAAATTTCTCAAAATGTGTTTCATAAGCGGTCATGATGAAATGCTTCTCATTGAGGACTCGGGATATGCAAGAATATACTCTTTCGAGCAGGAACAATTCAAGTAGACCTTCCCTCTAATTTACTTCGATTAGTTTACTAACTGCCTCATGCCAGGCCAGCATTTTTGAAGTTGGATTCCCCTCCGACAGATGTCTGTTCCAGTCCAGATGGCTCATGCATCTTTATCTCGGTACCAACCGATTCGGGCACAGTGCAGACTGTGGCGTACCACACAGCATCTTTTGGGGGTAATGGGTCCCAAGGCATCTCACTGCAGCTTCCCCATGCTTTTGTATCGACTTCAACCACCATCACCTCATTTGTTACGCGGAAAAACGCCTACTTAATGGCTATAAAAGAGGAGACAAGACAGCTCAGTGGAATTCGCTTAGAGATCGCGAATAAGGCCGGCGAGTTTACTTTCCGTGCTTGTGGAAAAGTCAAGACCGATCGAAAAAGGGAATCGCGTCACAATTCACTAATTGACTGTCATGCTGGGGTTTGGACCAAGTTTCCTGTTGTATCTGTAATAAGCAGAAGTCCTTCATTCAAGATTCGTCACCCGCCTTCTATCTCCTTCACGGCAGGAAGCAGCTCTATCCCCATTCACCTTTTACGATCCTACTTTTCACAGATGATTCGCTCATTCGAGGATGGAACGCGAAAGCCAACGGATAGTAAATTGATTGCCATTGACGTTCGGCACACCCCAAGCCCGTCCCTGCGCAAGTCTATTCCTTCGGCAATCACCACATACTTCACTGGAAAGTGGATTGTCGATCTTATCTGCTTAATACCGATTCATATTGCTGTTGCCACTTCCAACCGTTTTACGCCACTCAAAGATGGTATCTCATCTCCTGCATTCGAGCAGCAATTGCTTGGTGCCGATATATCAGCCATTGCGGACAGGTATGGTCCCTTTCCATCAACCTCTGACGATTGCCTTACATTTTTGTTGTAGTATATCCATTGGATGGTACGAAAGTATATTTAGGACCTACATGGCTTCGAAGGTGCGTGCTCGAGTCTTACGCACCAATTGACCTCCATCTAAACTCAACATACATCAGCCCGTGAAAGTCGTCTCTTCTATGGGCATGTTCTTGTGTGTCTTTCACTGATCGGATGGTCGGTAATGTATCTGTTCTAGGCGAGCAATCCGTAGGGAAGAGTTATGCCCTAAATCACTTTGTGGACACGTCATTCGCTGGATCGGCAATGCGGTGCACCGAAGGCGTATGGTTGTCCGCAACGCCAACCGATACGAATTTGATTGTGAGCCTTGATTTCGAAGGTGGGCCCATGCAGTGACCTTCGGTGGAGCGATACGTTGTCAATGAACCGTTTGTAGCAATACATTCTATTGAAAGGACCTCGCAAGAGGATATGCTACTGGTTTTATTCAATGTGGCGCTTTCTAATTTGGTGACCAATCCTGCCTCAATCCATCCTCGAATCATTGCTGACCTCAAGGCTATCTTAAGGTATTGTTCCGGAATAATTTCGTGCTCTCACGAGATGTTACTGGTATGTCAATTCATCTTTATGCATGTCAGTGTTGTAAGTGATGGAGCAATGTTGCTGTGCTCTTAGAACTATTCATGGTGGGGACGGTAATCCGCCTTTCCGATTCCATTTGTTCAAGTTTCTCCAGAGCTTCCAAGCATCAGCAGCGCAATTTGAACCGTCCGAAAATCCTGGACTTTTCCAGTCAACTCTGGCAATTATAATTAAAGTTAATTTCGCCCTCATCATGCAATTTCTCTCCCACTCACGCTTTGATGCATTGTCAGGATGTTGTTGCTTCTGATACAGAAGAAATTGTCCGAGAGTGAGTGACTTGGTGCTTTTCCAGCTCACTTCAGAATAAGTCCATTGTTTTCGGCAAAAATCAGATTCCAGCTTAAGTTCCAGAAAATCGTTCATGAAGAAAAGGAGAGGAACTTCATATCCAGATTGCACTGTGGAGAACTTGTTATCCTTCCATGGCCCGTTATACAATCTCCAAAGTTCTACACTTCGATGAAGAATCTAAAAAAACTGCTTGATGCCCAAGATTCATCTCATGGGACCGCGTCCGTATTTTTGGAACGGATGAAGGTCCTGATGGCGAAGTTGAGGGTCAGTGGTGATAACTCCTGCGCTCGGTGCTATTTCCGCTGAAGATTTAATTATTAGGCGAGCGATTGGGGAGCTCTTGATAGTGCGCTCTTTTTTTTTCTTTTCTGGACAAACTCTAATTCCACGCTTGATGGATGTCCAGACGCTCTCGCCTCGCACCGCGCTCAGCTTCTTCAGAGTCTTTTGCCAAATGCCCTAGCATATGGTATCACGGAGGTTAGAAACATGGACAGCTATCTCAAGGTAGGAAGAAACAGAATATTCCGCTCTATATGGTTAAGCCTGTCCGACAGAATCTAGATACCGATGAAGAAATTCAGTCCGAAGCAACCATTCAAAATCATTTTTACCTTGACTTCCTTATGAAAGATTCCGAGGTCAGAGATGAACTCCTGGTCAAATTGCGGCGACAGGGCACTGCTGCCATCACAGCCATGCGTCAACGCGTCCCGGATTCAGAGTGGTTTAACTCGCTTGCAAAGGTTTTGCACTGGCAAGCGGAGGAGCGAATAGAGTATGTCAGGAGATGGATTAGCTCAAATACAACCAGATTCTCCGAACAAATCGACATTCAGCTGCTTTATCGCCATTTCAGTCAACTTTCACTGGAACTCTTTGCGGGTGTAGATCTGTGTGGAGTCAACTGCAACAACTGCAACCTCAAATGTATCCTGTCCAAGCACCATTTGAGCGAACACGATTGCACCACTGACCATCGCTGTGCTTTGATGTGTGATGAATGTGGATCCGGGACCCAGGAAAAACTTTGTGGCATGAGGTGAGTCAACGTAGCTTTCCCATGATGATTCTCCTCAAATTCCAGACAGAGCTGGTCATGATGGCAGTCATATGTGAGCGTTCTTTTGAACACGCCACCGAGTGGCTAGGCCACTGATCTGTGTGAAGATGCGACGTGACTCAGCACGTGTGCAGTGAACCCTGTTATCTGCAGGATAGAAGGGGATGCCAACATGCCTGTACAAAAGCAAGTGTCATTGCTTAATCTGAGGCAAGGGGATTAATATATATCGTTGTTCCTAGCCCGTCGGACACCAAGATGCCGTCCATCTATGCTCTACGCGCATCCACTTCTGCGGTGAACCTTGTCGTCTCGGTTTGATCGAGCAAGATGGTTCACCGTTATGCTCGAAACCCTGCGCAATCGATTGGTATGGGATTCCACGAGCTATGATGCCCCCGGCGTTAATGAGATCTACATTGTAGCCGCGATGAACACGACTCCCACCAGTGTGAAAACAGGATAACGTGTCCAGCTAAATGCCGACTCTGTAGTCGTCTGTGTTCGGTGGAATCACATATCCATCCACTTCAGAACGGTGCAATTCACCTCTGCGGGTTCGTTAATCCTTGAAATCGTGATTGTGACTAATATAGTGTCAAGGCAAGAACATGATTGCAAAGAGTATTGCGGATCACGGGGAATATGCAAAATTGACTCTGCTCCCCGCTCTATCGAGACCACATTCGTCGGCCGCAACGAGACTTTTCAGTATACGAAGGTACGTGGCGATATAGATTGGGTTGTATTCTGATTCTCGACGATCTTCGCAGTACACTCAAATTGCGAACAAGCTCCCCTGCGCTGTCCGTATCCCCAAGAACAGATTGGGACATGACGGAGTGCACAGTCATACAGCGAATGGAGTTGAGTTCCACTTCTGCGAGGCTCGTTGTCCCTTTTGCTCTTATTTCTGTAATCTTGCTATAGGTTGGCCCAAGATTTGATGTGTGAAAATTCAGACTAACTCAGAATTCAAAGATCATCGTGGGTCGCATAGCACTACGCACGGTAACATGGAACAAACCTGCTGGAGTTTTGAGGGAGACGATTCTGCCGTTCGGGAGATTGCTAGTAGGAAGTTCAGTACAGGCGACTCCGGTGCTCCGATGTATTGCAATATGTCCTGCAAAGAGTTGGGTCGGCACGCGCACATTGACTTCTGCCGTGCCCAGGAAGGTGAACGTTGTGTCGATGACACAGTGGAACATATCATTTCAAGAATGAATCCAGAACCAAAGAGGGATAAAGACTGGATTACGCATGCTTTGTGTTGGGCACGAACAGGTACACGATGAGCCAGTTTTACCGATATCCTCCACTTCTGAACCTCTGAGCCTCCGGTCCAATGATTTAGGTTTTCGAGGTGACTTTGATGAATTGGTATTCGAATTCCAGTCTCTAATGAAATCCGTAGATCCTTACCCTCAAGATCTCCAAGATGATTTCTCCAAGTGGTATGTTAGCATTTTTCACTCACTTCGTGATCTCACCTTTACCTTAGTGATTCGGAATGCATTGGTTCGTAAATCGCGGATAGTGAATGGAGGAAACATTAGCTCAATGTATATCTAGGTGACGAACATAAAGCCACCGGGAATACCAGGCCACAACGTTCTTACTGTATCCTTCCCATGTTCCATGAGCCAAATACTCGGAGTACTACAGGGTACACCTCTCGGGACGGTCATTCGTTCAACTGCAAAAACCCGGGGCTTTACCAGGCTACTTACCATGTGTATGGGAAACTCTTTCGCCGCAGTGCTGTCTTTACAGACTCACTCCATCACGCAGGATATTCGTGTTGGACTCATCGTCATCCATGTCCAATGGGGATCGACTTCCACTTGCTGGACAGGCAGCGACTAGCCGGATCACCCGTCGCAACAACAATAGATATGGTGCTGTACTCTCTGCTGTTTATAGTTTCTGGACGGCTCGTGCAGGTGCCGTACCGGGAGTTGTAAGGCACGATGCGTACTCAGTAATCGTATTTTCGTCAACCGCTACTGTAAGTCTTCCCGACTTCTTTCATTAGGTTTTCATGGAAGATCCGTCTACAGACCATAGTTGACAACGACATTGCCCGAGGCGCCGACGCACTCTTGGAACCTCTCCTAGCTGTGAGTCCTGGTAGAGGAACGGATTTTGCTGCTGCGATGAGAGAAGCTCAGAGAGTCATGGAGCTCAATTGGAGCGCAGATAGGTTCATCAACGTTTTATGGTCAAATGTTGACTCTCAACACTGATATACTGATTTTCAGGGCTCCGGTTGTTGTTTTCTTGTCCGACGGCGAAGCCCCTGCACCATCGGAAGAGGTCCGTTCGATCTGTAATATGGCTGTTTCTTTAGGGTCAGTATTGGTCAACGTCGGGTCCCCTGACAATTATTTGATCCGCATCATAGTCAACCTCTGTCATTCCACACCGTTTTCTTCGGAGCCAGATCGCACTCTGCTGTTCTCGACTATATGGCAGCCATTGCAGCAAAGATATACGGAAATGCATCACCAAGGACATTGAGTGATATTCCCTGCGGCTCACATTACGCCATTGATTCCGTGCGTAGTGTACCCCGTCCCGTGCTGCAAAACTGACGAGCATATAGATTCAATTGGCGCAAACATTCCTCAATATTGCTGATTCGATGCGCCAGGTCCGGGTGAGCGCTGGTGCGTCTTTCTAAGAAATAGATGGAAAATTTAAGAGTCCGGGAATGATCAAGTTAATATGATATGTATATACATGAAGCCGGGGATGCGTCTGCATCGGATGATGTAGAAGTCTGAATTTTATGGCAGATCTTTTCCGATCGGTGGTTGATCCTGACATGCAAAATGATGGAAGATTAAGATTTGAAACAGCAGGTCTATTGTCTACATTTTAGGTGCAGGTAAACTATCTCGAGCAACCTGAGGGAGATCAGTTATTGTTTTGCATGGCAGAAGGGAATATGGGAATGGGATCATCACTTGAATACATAACGATGGGGGGAAGAAACACCCACAAAATGGTCAAAGAACCTATCCTTGTCTCCGCGATTCCTTTCGCCGTATCCCCCTGCTTTTCTGTTCCTTTGTGGAAACTCCACGAAGGTCCTATGAGTTAGAGCTAGATAAGAGAAGGAACGGAAGAGGAAATGGAGGGAGGAATGATTCGTTAGGTTTGGTGGAAGGATCGAGTGAGAGGAGCCTCCTAAGGGTACAGGCAGCGATAGGAAAGTGAATATGTAATTGGGATGAAACGAGCGGGTTCCCGAAGGAGAGATAGATAGTGCGGTCATGGGTATTGTCGGAGTGGATAGCGTAAGGTGACGTTGGGCTGATGGTAGGCAGTAGACGCTGAACAGTCGAAGAGTGCATGTTGGGGGATATGTGCCGAGTGTCGAGGCTAAGTTCGAATGGGTGTCTGAGCTGCTTGTCCTTGACGTCAATGGCTCAAACTAGAACAGCATAATCAATCTGTCTCGCACTCCCTCCAACGCAATGACAACGACCCAGCAAGCATCCGTTATACGAACTGCCTGTGTTGAGACATTATCTGATCAGAACTTGTTGCATGCTAATGGAATTGCATACTCTTGGGTCACTTACCCCGAAGTCCGCATGCTGCTTTGGGCCATCACCCTCCCCAGCCCCATGCCTGCACGGCACACATGATGATGCTGATCAACAGATTTCCGCCAGTTGCGCCGACATTGATCGTTTGTTAGTTACATTGCAAACAATGGTGTGGAAACATGGAGGAAAAACATCTCAGACAAAGAGATGAGCATTCTTGATATTGGAATCATAAGTCGCAATCGTGACCTGTTATGAGTGGAACAGCCTATAAACATTTCAGTTCCGAACCAAAAACCTATGTCAGTCCCCAGTGCTCTCAACCGAACGCCCAACCGGGCGGTGCACACTTTGGTGGAGGCAGCGAACTGGGAGACGCAATGATACGGGAGATAGGAAGGTCCCCGAGGTCGCCAGCGGACCCAACTTGCTGGAATTAGCGCCTGGGATCATGCCCGAGGTGAGAAAGAGTCGTACGTTGTTTGTTGAGTGACATATCCAAATTTGAGGTGTGTAATCCTGGGTTGATGGCAGCCAGCTGACGATAGAGTTTGACGCTTTCATCGATGAATTGGAGCGCCTCTGAGTGCCGTCCGAGATTCGAAAGGGCGCTACATAGGTTGTAGAGTGACAAAGCTAAACCTGGGGTGTATGATCCCATCGGGTGGATGCCAACTAGCTGGCGCCGGAGTTTGACGCTTTCCTCGATGAGTGGGAGTGCCTCCGAGTGCCTTCCGAGATTCGAAAGAGCCTTATATTGATTGTTGAGTGACAAAGCCAGATCTGGCGTGTATGATCCGGGGTGATCGGCAACTAGCCGGCGATACAATGTGACGCTTTCCTTGATCAATGGGAGCGCCTCGGGGTGCCGCCCGAGTTTTGAAAGAGCGTTACATTGATTGTTGAGGGACGAAGCCAGATGTGGGTTGTATGATTCTGGGTGAGCGACAACTAACTGACGGTACAGCTCAACACTCTCCTCGATGAATGGTAGTGCCTTCGCGTGCTGTCCGACACTCGAAAGAGCGCTATATAGATTGCTGAGTGACAAAGCCAAACGTGGGATGTATGACCCTGGGTGATCAGCAACCAGCTTGCGGTAGAGTTCGATGCTTTCCTCAATAAATGGAAGCGCCTCCGAGTGCCGTCCGAGATTCGAAAGAGCACTACGTAGACTGTCGAGTGACCTGGCCAAATCCGAGGTGTATGATCCCGGGTGAACCGCAACCAGCTTGCGGTAGACCTTGACACTTTCCTCTATGAATGGGAGCGCCTCCGAGTGCCATCCAAGATTTGAAAGCGCATTGTGTAAACTGTTGAGGGACAAGGCCAAATCGGGGGTGTATGATCCCGAGTGAACGGTAACTAGCTGCCGGTAGAGTTCGACGCTTTCCTCTATGAATGGGAGCGCCTCGGTGTGCCGTCCGAGATTCGAAAGAGCGTTGAAGCGATTGTTGAGTGACGAAGCAAAATGTGCAGTGTATGATTCTGGGTCCACGGCAACTAGCTGCCGGTAGAGCTTGACACTTTCCTCAATGAATGGGAGCGCCTTGGAGTGTTGTCCAAGATCAGAAAGGGCGTTATATAGATTGTTCAGCGACAAGGCCAAATCTGGGGTGAATAGTTCTGGGTGAACGGCAACTAGCCGGCGCCGGAGTTTGATGCTTTCCTTGATAAATCCGAGTGCCTCTGAGTGCCGTCCGAGATTTGAAAGCGCATTATAAAGATTATTGAGCGACGCAGCCAAATCTGGGGTGTATGATGCTGGGCGAACAGCAACCAGCCGGCGGTAGAGTTTGACACTTTCTTCGACGACTGGGAGGGCCTCAGAGTGCCGTCCGAGTTTGAAAATAGCCAAATATAAAGTGTTGAGCGACCTAGCCAATTCTGGGGCATACCCCGAGTCCACAAAAACAAGGTATCGGCAGAGTACAACCGAATCGTTTGCCGCCTCATATGCCTCATGGAACCTTGAAAAAAAGACCAAATTCGACTGAAGCTGAATAAGTATGTTGGCCAGTGTGCACATAGCAGCTTTTGATCTTTGGTCAACCGCCAACTAGAAATTCGATGAGCTGATTCCATTAACACGATTGATAATTCACACCTTAGCCCACCCAGGCAGTATGGAGATATTGATGTAGCTTCCCATTCTCACACAAAGTTCCACCCAGCGACTTGCTTGGTGACTGAGAAACATGCGAACTGACCCATGGAGCGCCTGCGAAGGTTCCTGGACTCCACTAAGGTGGTAAATGGTGTAACGACATGCGTAATGCAAGTGCTCGGATAGTCCCTCCGGAGGAATGCGTGGCAACCCATCCCGCCCGGACAAATTGTTAATCAGTCCTAGGCCCTCTATAGAGCCAAGATCCTGGTTCAGAATCTCGGTACATCGTAGCGCAATCCGGGCGTTCCCCATCCCCACATCTACTGGACTGCAACGAAAGTTGATTGATTGGAGATCGATCCGATCCAAAATGAAGTCGCGGAAGGATTGGTGTAAGATGCGGATCGGGATGTGAGGATCTTCAACTCCTTCAAGGAGAGGAGCAAGTTCGGCCAGCGTATATCGAACAGAAGACTTCAAGAAAGGCGACAAAATCACATCCCAAGCTGCAGTAGACAGTGGTTGTTGTGCAACGAAGATTGCTCCCATCACAACTGGGTAGTCGTGCGCAAAATCTCCATCCTCCCAATCACACTTCTTCAGAATGCTTGTATACAAGTAATCCATCATCCCCTCAGCAGAAACCGCCGATCCCTTCGCGCCGGCATTGAGCAGTCTTTCCAGCGTCCTCATAGGGTCATTGCTGGCCATCCTCATATAGCGAAAGAGGGTGCTGATCCAAATAAACAAGCCACCTGCTCGTTCCAAGATCTCCCGTACCATTTCCTGCTCGTCCTGCAGTTTATCCCGTACATCGGGGTGACAATCCTTCAGTTTTTGCAGCTCCGAACGTATGTACGTAGCGCAGTCCTGCACGTTCGCGTCATCCGAGAGATCAATGGTAAGGTGATTGATAGGAAGATGGGGTGAGAGGAAGCGATCAACGGGCTTAAATTGTCTCGATGTGATAAAGAATTTTATGGAAGGCGGTAATTTGGGAACTTCCACCCGAAGAATATTAGCAAGGGGTTCGAATGCTTTGTTGTTACATTCGTCTAAAGCGTCAATAATGACCACCATGGGACGGTTGGAAGGGGGGGGTTATGGAGGAGGGGCGAGGCCACCAATTTCTTGAATTGTATCAGGAGTGGAGCCGTCGAGAGAGTAGGATCTTTCCGACGGGCGGAGGCAATGAGATCGCCGTAAACCGGATCGTGGTCTTCTAGAGCTGAGGCTATACCACTGAGCAGACGATCGGGCCACGACTGTTCCCCAGCTTTGAAGAAAAAGGACAGTAACAGGGTAGCCTCCTCTTCACATTGTTCTGCTACCGTGAGCGCAATCGAAGTCTTGCCAGCGCCGGCCACAGCAGTCAGTAGCATGAGCCGATTCTCATTATCGCCAGTATTGCGACACCAGGTCATAATGCGCTTAATGAGACCGACCCTGGTGCCGTTCAGGCATGGCCCAGTTGGATCATAATGGTCGGTGTTGGGGTGTCGAAGAAACCAGGAATTTTGTCGCTGTAGACGGCCTATACTATCTTCCATGGCTGGCAATGTGGCACCAATCGTCGAGTTCATCTGAAACTGCATCCGTAGAGAATCAGAATGGTGATGGAATGGTACCGCGAGGCAACCTACCTGCAACGATGCCAAGGCTCCATCAAAGTCTCTCTTAAGGCCGTCAATCCTTCCTGAATCTCTCAGGCGGGACAACGCATTTATTAAAGCGGACCGATTCTCTGTTTTTGCGAGTCTTCGATCGATTTCGGACTTAATCGTCTGTAGCACACTAGGACTTGATGTAAGAACGACACTGAATACCACAGAAAACAAATACAGCCTACCCATCAAGCTTTGTAGCGCTCTCCACCCATGACGTTGCCTCTTGCGCTGACGTGTCATAGGTCCTTACGGCTACAACTACCTTGGCTACGTTATCGACGACGTATTTCCCAAAGCCCTCCCATTCTTTCTTATTCTGCCGGAACTTCTACACGACCCAAACCGTGAGCCTTTGTTCGCGAACCCAGCACACGAACAGTCACTAACTCGGACTTGGCTGATAATGAAGAGTGCGCTGCCAGTGGCGCTCTTTAGGGGAGGGCGCATATCAGAGGCGGCATTGACGGTTATGAGGAATTGGACGCCTCCCGCTGCGAAGCCATCATCGATCTTTCGCCTAAAACCTAGAGTTTGGTGTCGCAATGGCATGGTCGATGTGAACAACTGGACGGGAGGATGATTACGCACGTGGTGATGCCCAGAGCCACGTTCGTACGATTATGGGGGGGAGTTGGAAGGGGAAATGCCGAACGCAGATTCAGAGGCCGTTGCCAGGTGATATTCCTCAATTAGGAGGTGGAGATTCTCGGTTATATCCGATTGGATTGACGACAAGGGACGGGCTGACATTTCCATACTCGACCCCGTGGGGGCTCTTATCGGTGGCAGCGTCAAATTATTGGAACAGGGTCAATTTCGCCGTTGGGTGGCATTATGTAACACTGATGCACTGATGATCCACTCGGTTGTGACACTGACAGTCGATCAAAGCCAGATGATGAGTTCATTCAAATCAATGGATATCAATTCATTGATTTGAATCATTCGGGTTTCCTGATCGGCGGATGCATTATCTACGTACTTTACTGCAAGTGGAGTGGTCGCCGCTGAGCGTTTACCACCGGTAAGTAACGACAACTTTCCGACCCTCATGCATGGTGCGTGTATGGTCGGGGGATGTGCATTCGCAGCGGCAGTTACGTACCTGTGCTATGTTATAAAACTAATTACTGTACATTGTCACTCTGGACGATTTCACCAGATTGGCTTTCGTCGTAATCCCACCTCTGTTCCAGTGCTTCAGAACGCCGTCTTTGTTTGAAAATTTTAATAGGTGAAGCTGCGGAAACACAGCTTACTCACCGCTCACACGAATAAGCGGGCGCGGCGCTCGTTTTGTGCCACTTCACCAAGTACTCGAGGCAGCATTGGATACATTTCTCTGGATGGTTAGGCGTATATAAGGGTACCACCATCGTAGTACATATTCTTCTTCGTGTATAGCCTGAGGCTGGCTTGGTCACATCATCAGAATATTCGTGTCATGTCTAAACGGGATCAGCTTCCATTGCTGGACGAGGCCAGACCGGGTGTACGGCGAGCCTCTCCTGCTACCTAGCTGTGAGTCCTGATAGATCATTTTTGCTGCGATCAGCGAAGTGGGTGCAGATATGTAAGCCCATCATTGTTTTTATTGGCAAATGTCAAACCCTGGCACTGATTCTATGTCAGGATTTAGGTCGTTGTCTTCCGGTCCGATGCTGAAACTTCCGTTTGATCTGAGGATATGTGCTGGCAGAGCCGCTTCTTTGCTGTGGCTCCCACTAATTATTTAGTAGTCAGCCTCTGTCATCCTCATCTCACCATTATCAATTCCATTATTGGGATAAATTATCCGTAGAAGGGCATCACCAAGGATGTCCGATGATGTTTCAGTCATATTGTGGTATTGATTCGGTCTACAGCATATCTGTTGGACGCAATGAACCTGTCTGCGTTCCAATTGCATTCCATCATTCTCCGGGCTTCTCTGATCGCAGCACCAAGATTGGTTCCTCTAGCTGGCCTTACGAGGAGAGTTGTCAGAAGCACGTAGTAAAAACATGAGTACTGTCATTGGAAGCCACAACTCCACTGTTGTACAGAACTTATATTCCTATTGCAAATATTCGGACACCTGCTGTCATCGAGCAAGAGGTCTTGTCTAAATATCACATTCACCTAGTGAGTTCGCTAAGTCTCCCTCCACGCACAGCTCAGTTATCGGCTCTAGCCAATCTGGAGGTTCTCACGACGCAATAATCCAGCTAAAGGAATGACTTATTTAAAGCCATCGTCGTTAGTGCGTTCAAAAACAAGAAAAACACAGATACCACAGCAACTAGGAGGGATGTATACCAAATCAGTCTCCCGAATTACTGGGTGGCGCTTGATGGTTGATGCAAGAAACATTGAAATTGAAGTCGGGAGATGAGGACCCAACATGACACTCTAAGACCGAGGACCTGAACCTCCAACTAGACAAGCTTCTTATATAGGACCAGTATTCATCGACATGAAGTACCAAATGATCGACAAAAATCGCAAATGCCAATCAATTATTGAAGCATCTTCAGCCTACATGGAAGGCAGGCAATGACAGGATCCAAAGGCAAACCAATTGATGGTGTGATAGACAAGACGATCGGAAAACGTGTCGACACACCCTCAATAAACTTCACCCATGGACATCACAAAGAGAAGGAGTCCAATAAAAAAACTGGGCGAAGAAGCACCCTGAATTGATGGCCATGTGCGTTGCAGTAGCTGGGTAAGAATGGTCGCTGTGATAAGGGGACCGGATCGGAGATCGGTGGGCGAATCAGTTGACAAATGTCAATAACAGCGAATTGACGCTGTTCAAAGGAGTGAAGAGAAATGGGAAATAAATGGAGGTGGAGATCGGTGGTAGTGGTAGTAGCGATACGGGTCTGCACTTCTCTCTCCAACATGGCTACGCTCTTGGACTAGAGCATCTTACAATTTATGAGGGCTCGCTTCCCCGTGATCTTCACCCAGTCTTTCAGATACTTGTGAAAGAAAAAATGTCTCACCAAGCAATGACGAGCGCTCCTTCACTCGAGTTAGAGTAGGTTACTTGATCCGAAGTTAATAATGATAATCGTGTCCGATGATGACATACAAAAATGATGGAAGATAAAGATTCGGAACAGCGGGACTGCCTGCTACGGTCTGCGAACCGGCGGTCTATGTCTATGTCTATGTCGAGCAAGCTTAGGGAGATCAGTTACTGTCTCACATGGCAACAGGCAATGTGGGAAGGGGGACACACTTGGATGGGGGAAGAGAAGAGAAGGGAATAGTCAGATTCTATCCTAAACTTCGTGTCCATGGTCCCTTCCGCCTTGATCTTCCCCGCTCTTCTGCTGCTTTGGAAGTGGAAACTCCAAGCGATGACGAGAGTCTTCTGAATTAGAGCTAGGCGTGCATGGCAAGAGAGGAGGGGTTGAAGGATCGGCGATAGCCTGGGTGGAGGAGAGTCATGGATGTGGGGTCCCCTGATGGTGCGGGCGGAAATACGCGCGATCGGGGCGGGGCGGGTGGGTTTCCGAAGGAGAGCCTGAGGATAGATCGGAAGTGAGGAACAGTAGTGGTCAGCTGGAAGAGTGCGGATTGTAGAGTCTTGTGGGGGGACATGCGTCGAGTTCGCCGAGTCGAAATTGAGTTCAAATGGGTGTTGAACTACTCGTCCCTGACGGCAAATGGCCCCTCAAACTAGAAAACATCACAACCAATTTTCCCCGCTCCCCACATCCCGCACGCCGCCTTGGATCATCACCCCCCGCCGGCCCTATACCTGCTCGGCACACATGACGACGCTGACCCACAGATTTCCTCCATTTGCGCCAACGTTGATCGTTTGCACCAGTCTGGGCTACATTGCATACAGTGGTGTGCGGAAATATGGTCAGAAATGAGCATTCTTGATATTAGGATGATAAGTTGCAATCGCGAGATCCGTTGTGAGCGGAACAGCCTGAGCCAAGAGGCCTTTTAAACGTTTCACTTCCGAACCAAACATCAATGTCAGTCCCAAGTGTTCTCAAACCGAACGCCCAACCGGGTGGTGCACACGGTGGCGAAGGCTGCGAACTAGGAGATAGGAAGATCCCCGACGTCGCAAGCGGATCCAGTCGTTCGATTTAACGCCTCGGAATGACGGAATCGAGCTTGAGGTGAGAAAGAATGCTATCTAGTTTGTTGAGTGACATCTCCAAATTCGATTTGTGTAATCCTGGGTTAACGGCAACCAGCGAACGGTAGAGTTTGATGCTTTCATCGATGAACAGAAGCGCATCCGAGTGCCGTCCGAGATTCGAGAGGGCACTACTTAGATTGTAGAGTGACAAAGCCAAACCTGGGGTATATGATCCCGGGTTAACGGCAACTAGCTGACGCCTGAGTTTGACGCTTTCCTCGATGAGCGGAAGGGCCTCCGAGTGCCGTCCGAGATTCGAAAGAGCCTTATATTGATTGTTGAGTGACAACGCCAAATCCGGGGTGTAAGAACCTGGATGTTCGGCAACTAGCCGGCGGTACCGTCTGACGCTTTCCTTGATCAATGGGAGTGCCTCAGGGTGCCGTCCGATATTCGAGAGAGCGTTACATAAATTGTTGAGTGATGAAGCCAAATATGGGTCGTATGATCCTGGGTGAAGGGCAACTAGCTCGCGGTACAGTTTGACGCTGTCCTCGATGAGTGGAAGCGCCTCCGAGTGCCGTCCGACACTCGAGAGAGCGCTATATAGATTGCTGAGTGATGAGGCCAACTTTGGGGTGTATGATTCTGGGTGAATGACAACTAGTTGGTGGTACAGTCTGACGCTTTCCTCGATGAATGGGAGCGCCTCAAAGTGCCGTCCGAGATGCGAAAGAGCACTACGTAGACTGTCGAGTGACCTGGCCAAGTCCGAGGTGTATGATTCCGGGTGAACGGCAACCAGCCTGCGATACAGGCTGACGCTTTCACTCATGAATGGGAGGGCCTCTGAGTGCCGTCCAAGATTTGAAAGAGCATTGCATAGACTGTTGAGTGACAGGGCCAAATCTGGGGTGTATGATGCTGAGTGGACGGCAACTAGCCGGCGGTAGAGTTTGACGCTTTCCTCTATGAATGGGAGCGCCTCGGTGTGCAGTCCGAGATTCGAAAGAGCGTTGAAGCGGTTGTTGAGCGATGAAGCCAAATGTGTAGTGTATGATTCTGGGTCAACGGCAACTAGTTGGCGGTAGAGTTTGACGCTTTCCTCGATGGATGGGAGCGCCTTGGAGTGCTGTCCAAGGCCAGAAAGAGCGTTATATAAATTATTCAGTGACGAAGCCAAATCAGGGGTGAATAGTTCTCGGTGAACGGCAACTAGCCGGCGCCGGAGTTTGACGCTTTCCTTGATGAGTGGAAGGGCCTCTGAGTGCCGTCCGAGATTCGAAAGCGCATTGTATAGATTGTTAAGTGACACAGCCAAATCTGGCGTGTATGATGTTGGGCGAATAGTAACCAGCCGGCGGTAGAGTTTGACGCTTTCTTCGATGAATGGGAGGGCTTCGGAGTGGTGACCGAGCTTGTAAACAGCCAAATATAAAGTGTTGAGGGACCTGGCCAATTCCGGGTTGTAGGTCTCTGAGTCCACAGAAACAAGGTAACGGCACAGCACAACCGAATCGTTTGCTGCCTCGTATGCCTCATGAAATCTTGAAAAAAAATCCAAATTCGGCTGAAGCCGGATAAGCACGTTGACCAGGCCGCGCATAGCAGTTTTTGACTTTTGGTCAACCGCCAACTGGAAATTCGATGAGCTGATTCCATTGACACTGTGATTGATAATCCGTACCTTAGCCCACTCAGGAAGTATCGAGATATTGACGTAGCCTTCCATTCTCACACAGACCTCCACCCAGCGACTTGCGTGGTGGCCGAGGAATATGCGAACCGACTCATGGAGCCCCTGCAAGGGTACATGGACATCACTAAGGTGGTAAATAATGTAACGGCAAGCGTAATGCAAGTGCTCAGACAACTCCTTTGGAGAAATGTGAGGCAGTTCATCTTGTGCCGACAAATTCTTAATCAGTCCTAGGCTCTCTATGGAGCAAAGATCCTGATTCAGAATCTGAGTACAACGTAGGGAAATCATCGCATTGCCCATCCTCACATCTACTGGACTGCAACGAAGGCTGATTAATTGAGGATGAATTCGATCCAGAATGAAGTCGCGGAAGGATTGGTGTAAGATGCGGATCGGAATATAAGGGTTTTCAACCCCTTCGAGGAGAGGTGCAAGTTCGGCCAGCGTATATCGAACAGAAGACCTCAAGAAAGGCGACAAAATCGCGTCCCAAGCTGCAATAGACAGAGGTTGTTGTGCAGCGAATAATGCTCCCATCACGACTGGATAGTCATGTACAAAATCGTCATCCGCCCAATCGCACTTCTTCAGAATGCTTGTATATAAGCAATCCATCATTTCCTCAGCAGAAACCGCCGATCCTTCCGCGTCTGCACCGAGCAGTTTTTCCAGCGTCCTCATAGGGTCGTTGTTGGCCATCTTCATATAGCGAAAGACGGTGCTGATCCAAACAAACAAGCCTCCTGCTCGTTCCGAGATCTCTTGTACCGTTCTCTCCTCGTCCTGAAGTCTATATCGTATTTCGGGATGACAACTCCTCAGCGCTTGCAGCTCCGAACGTATGTACTCCGCGCAGTCCCGCACGTTCGCGTCATCCGAAAGATTAATGGTAAGTCGGTCGATGAGAAGATGAGGCGAGAGGAAGCGATTAACTATATCAGATTGTCGCGATGTGATAAAGAATTTTATGGAGGACGGTAATTTTGGGATTTCCTCCCGAAGAATATGAGCAAGGGGTTCGAATGCTTTTTTGTTACATTCGTCTAAGGCGTCAATGATGACCACCATGGGGCGGTTGGAAAGGGGAGGTTTATGGAGGAGGGGCGAAGCCACCAATTTCTTGAACTGTATCAGGAGTGGAGCCATCGAAAGAGCAGGGTCTTTCCGACGGGCCGAAGCAATGAAAATGCGATAAACCGGGTCGCGGCTTTCTAGAGCTTGAGCTATGGCACTGAGCAGACGTTCGGGCCACGACTGTTCCCCACCCTTGAAGCAGAAGGATAGTAACAAGGTAGCGTCTTCCTCGTCCTTTGCACACCTTTCTGCTAAGGTGTGTGCGATCGAAGTCTTGCCGGCGCCGGCCACAGCAGTGAGCAGCATTAGCCGATTATCATTATCCCCAGTATTGCGACACCAGGTCATAATACGCTCAATGAGGTCGACCCTGGTGCCGTTCAAGCATGGCCCAGTTGAATGATGATAGGCGCCGTGGGGGTGTCGAAGATACCAAGAATTCTGCCGTTGTAGACGGCCTATACTATCTCCTATGGCTGATAATTTGACACCAATTCCTAAGTTTACCCTCAGCTACATCGACAGGAAGTCAGAATGACCATGGGACGATCCCTGAAAAAAGCTACCTGAAACGATGCCAATGCATCGTCAAGATCTTTCCTTAGGCTACTAACCCTAATCCTTCTCGTGGGGGACAATGCGCTTATTAGGGTGGGTCGTTTGTTCATTTTTGTGAGCTTTCCTTCGATTTGGGCCTGAATATTCCGTAGGGCGCTATGACATGGTCTAGGATCGATACCGAAGAATAGAGGGACAGATACAACCTACCCATCAAGCTTTGTAGCGCTCTCTACCCATGGCTTTGCCTCTTCTGAGGACGAATCATAGGACCTTATGGCTGCAACTACCTCGGCCACGTTTTCGACGACGTAGTTCCCGAAGTCCTCCCATTCCTTCTTATCCTCCTGGAACATCTGCGCGACCCAAACCGTCAACCTTTGTTCAATCGCGAACCTAGCACGAATAGTTACTAACTTGAACTTCGTTGAGGATGAGGAGTGCGGTGCCAGTGGCACCCTTCAATGGAGGGAACACATCAGCGGTAGAATGAACGGCTCTGAGAACTTGGATCGCCATGTCGCCACCCGCTGCGAGAATGTCATCGATTTTTCGGCTGAGAGACTGGCGTCGTGACATGGTCGATGCGGACAAATTGGTGAAGGGAGGAGTTGAGACGCAACAGCACACGTTCGTGAGCCCCTAAATGCTCAGCCACATGAGATCTTTGTACGATTATGGAAGGACGTGGACCGATATGATAAATCCATTTAGTGAGTGGTGAATAGCATCGCTCTTGTCCGTGGCGGCACCAAATTATTGGGACAGATGATTACGCCCATCTCAGTGTGTGGGGATCAGCAGACCTGCAAGTAGACTAGGCGCCGAATATGAACTTCTTACGAGCCAGTGTCCTGGGTTTGGCGGCAAGCGCCGGGGCCACTGGTTTTCGCTTTGTCCATTGCGGATGCGTCATTTTGGCGGAGTGGTCACCGCTAAGCATTCACCAATCGGTAAGTAAGCATACTTAATTGCACCTACAGTTTATCGACTACTTTCCAACCCGCATGCGTGGTGCGCGTCCCTTGGTGGACAGCAAGGGTGTGGCCAGGGAATTTGCATTCACATCTATTCAGCTCGTAGTGGCGCCTGCGTCGTGTTATAAATAACCACTTCACGTGCCGCATTAAGGTGCAATGTTCCGCTAGCGAAGCTCTGCTATGTAAACATCGTTTGATCCTTCAACAAAATCTGAATATGGAATATGCCGCTAGGCGCCACGCGATTGATTTGATTTCAATGAATTGTTCGGGATCGACAGGTCCCACATAATTCATTACTTTGAATTAAGATCACCGTAATCGGGCCCTGATCAAGGAACGTATTATTATGTAAACGAATCCAGTGAGCTTCTCGGCTGCTTCTTGTACGGAACTTGATATGGTAATACCAGGATGATAGGCGCAGATACGCCGAATAGTTGATCCATCTTTTTGTTGCATCTGTTCTCAGCAATAGTTCCAGACTAAAAGACACCGGAGCCATCGGTCGCACATGAATGTCCGGTTTTCCATAACATATTGGGATGAAAATCTGGGCTGATCGCAGACCGAAGTCCTCTTGGCAAGCCCGAACACCGGTGGGCAGCGCTGCAAATTTACGGTAGATCCTTACCCTCGGAATCTCCGAGACGATTTCACCAACGTTCTGGCGTCGCGATCTCACTGCCTCTGCCCTAGCACTTCAGAAACCGCTTGTTCACGATTCTGTGCCACTCCTATGTTCTACACATCTATTTCGCCTGCAAGTCCTCTAGATATATTTATCGGCATGGCTATTCATGTGTATAAGGGAACCACCATCGCAGCAATATTATAGGCTGGTCTGGTCACATTTTCAGGACATTCGGGGTCGATGTTCATGTCACAATGGGATCGGCCTCTGCTTGCTGGACCCGACGCCCCAGGTCTTCTGCAAATATTCGTCGCAAGGGTCGCCACAGAAGTGAGAACAAGCGGCAAAGGAAATGGTGGAAAATGACAGAGGGTGACCATGATGAAGATTAAATAATTGGCAAAGAAACGGCTTTACCACGGATCGAGCGGGGCGCTCGCGACGGTGCGTCATCTTCACCATTAGCCAGGGGATAACAACCGAGATTCTGACATGAAATCAGGGTCCTAGATCGACACTTGACAATAAAACGCTAGCGAACCTGTCTGCGATCCAATTGTGGTCCATGCTTCTTTGATCTAGGCACCAAGATCTGCTCCTCTAGCTGGCCTCACGCTCAGGAGAAGTGTCGGAAGCGCGTCAGCATCTTGGGTGAAGTTGTTTTCAATGCAAACCCGGTGAGGCATAATGCCATGGGAGGGCTAATGACAGCGTGGCCGCTAAACGCCTGAGAATGCGTTGCGCCTTATACTTGTGGTCAGTGATCTGTTGGGACGCCAACTGTCCAGCAGATGGAAGTCGATCGATCATCGCCAGACACAGTGCGTTTTGGTCGGTCAATGTGACTATCCTGACGCCAACCTATACAGACAGTGCTGCTGCAAACGAAGTCCCCGCACAGATGATAAGCGGCATGGTGGAGTCCTGAATGGGTGGAATGGCCCAACCCGAGAGATATGCCCCTAGCTAGGCAGGTGGCCAGCCTATCTTTTTAACGGGAAGAAGAATATACCCTGTGGCACTCCGGGCATGAACGAGGGTACGAAAGGGACAGGTAGGTGACCAGCCGCTATCGGAACAGGAAAGGACGTTTTATTCCCGGTAGCCCTGTGTTCATCATTACCGGCGCAGGTGATGAGTTAAGTTGTGTTCCTTCATTCACCGACTGCGATTTGCAAACGAACCACTGATGCGTCACTGGCGTCAGCCACTAAGACGGAGGTGAGATCATGAGGTGGTGCGCAAGCGACGAGTAATGCATAACATATCACTTGGAGGAGTTGGCTTGGAGCCTGTCCTGAGGGAAATCTATAAATTTGCGTTGAAAGTGGCCGACTGATAAGCTAAGACCAGTTCATCGGACCCATCATGTTGGGTCCCAATAGGAAGCATGTAACGTGCGACCCAATTTCCCCCTGGATTCATTCTTGCGGCGATGTCCTTCACTGTAATATCGTCAGCACATTAATGTCAGTTTCTCAGGGCTCGCTTCCCCCTGTTTTCTCACCATCGGTCACGTCTAGCCCTAATTCATAGGACTTTATTTATCCCTTGCAGTTTCCACTTCCAGGGAAGCAGCTAGACGAGCGGTTCGGGATCTCATGGCGGAAGGAATCACGAAGATAAAGCTTAGGACAGGATCTTTCGCCATTCTGTGAATCTTTCCTCTTAAATTTCTTCCCTCGTTATGTATTCAAGTGATGTCCCCTTCCCCCATTGCCTGTCGCCATGCAAGACCGTAATTCGTGATCTCCCTAAGCCTGCCCGACATAGACTGCCAGGTTTTAAAGCGTAGAAGGTGTCTCGAATTTCCATCTTCCATTATTTCTGCGAGCCATCGTCAGCTCAGGTGAAGGAGCCCTTGTTGTTGCGTGGTGAGATATTCTCCTTTAACAAGTATTATACTACTGAAAGACAGTTTTCGTAGTGAAAAATATGGGAGAGGAATGATTTATTGATCCTTTGGTGAAAGGAGGAAGGACGTGCATGGGGCTTCCTACTGGTACAAGCAGGAATAGGAATGATTGGGATGAAACGAGCAGATAGGGAACAGTAAGAGTCAGCATGAAGAGTGGATTATACAGGATATGCGCCGAGTTTGCTAAGTCGAGACTGAATTCAAATGGGTGTTTGGACTATGTCAATGGCCCATCGACTAGAACATCATAACCAATATTTGTCCCGCACTTCGGACGCCCCACTCCACTCAAACGCAATGGCGACGACTTTCATTGTACGAACTGCCTGTGTTGAGATATCGTCTGATCGAAACCTGTTGCATACTCATGGAATTGCATACACCCCGCGCGCTGCTTTGGTTCGTCAACTCCCCAGGTTCATGTCTGCATGGCACACTTGGCGACACTGACCGACTGATTTCTTCATTTCGGTTCCGAATCAAAAACCGATGTCAGTCCCCAGTGTTCTCAAACCGAACGCCTAATTGGGCGGTACGCATTAGGGTGCAGGTAGCGAGTTGGGAGAGGGAATGACACGGGAGATAGAAAGATCCTTGAGGTCGCACGTTGCCCGACTCAGTGTCTCGGAATCACGCCCGAGATGAGAAAGAAGGATAGGTCGTTTCCTCAGTGTCATCTCCAAATTTGAGGTGTGTGATCTTGGATTGACGGCAGCCAGCTTACGGTAGAGTTTAATGCTTTCATCGATGAATAGGAGTGCCTCTGAGTGCCGTCCAAGATTCGAAAGGGCACTACTTAAATTGTAAAGTGACAGAGCCAAACCTGGGGTGTACGATCCTGCGTTAACGGCAACTAGCTGGCGCCGGAGTTTGACGCTTTCCTCGATGAGCGGAAGGGCCTCCGAGTGCCGTCCGAGATTCGAAAGAGCCTTGTATTGATTGTTGAGTGACAACGCCAAATCTGGGGTGTGCGAACCCGAGTGATCGGCAACTAGCCGACGGTACCGTCTGACGCTTTCCTCGATGAATGGGAGTGCCTCAGGGTGCCGTTCGAGCTTCGAGAGAGCGTTACATAAATTATTAAGTGATGAAGCCAAATGTGGGTCGTATGATCCTGGGTGAAGGGCAACTAGCTTGCGGTACAGGTTGACGCTTTCCTCGATGAATGGAAGGGCTCCGAGTGCCGTCCGACACTCGAAAGAGTGCTATATAGATTGCTGAGTGACGAAGCCAACTTTGGGGCGTATGATTCTGGGTGAACGGCAACTAGTTGGTGGTACAGTCTGACGCTTTCCTCGATGAATGGGAGCGCCTCCGAGTGCCGTCCGAGATTCGAAAGAGCACTACGTAGACTGTCGAGTGACCTGGCCAAGTCCGAGGTGTATGATCCCGGGTGAACGGCAACTAGCCTGCGGTACAGTTGGACGCTTTCATCTATGAATGGGAGCGCCTCTTCGTGCCGACCGAGATTTGAAAGAGCACTACATAGACTGTTGAGTGATAAGGCCAAATCTGGGGTGCATGATGCTGCGTGAATGGTAACTAGCTGGCGGTAGTGTCTGACGCTTTCCTCTATGAATGGGAGCGCCTCGGTGTGCCGTCCAATATTCGAAAGAGCGTTAAAATGATTGTTGAGTGAGGAAGCCAAATGTGTAGCGTATGATTCTGGGTCAACGGCAACTAGCTGGCGGTAGAGCTTGACGCTTTCCTCAATGAATGGGAGCGCCTTGGAGTGCTGCCAAGGCCAGAAAGAGCGTTATATAAATTATTCAGTGACAAAGCCAAATCTGGGGTGAATAGTTCTGGGCGGATGGCAACTAGCCGGCGCCGGAGTTTGACGCTTTCCTTGATGAATGGGAGGGCCTCCGAGTGCCGTCCGAGATTCGAAAGGGCATTATATAGATTGTTAAGTGACACGGCCAAATCTGGCGTGTATGATGTTGGGCGAACAGCAACCAGCTGGCGGTGGAGTTTGACGCTTTCTTCGATGAACGGGAGGGCTTCGGAGTGCCGTCCGAGTCTGAAGATAGCTAAATATAGAGTGTTGAGCGACCTGGCCAATTCCGGGTTGTAGGTCTGTGAGTCCACAGAAACAAGGTAACGGCACAGCACAACCAAATCGTTCGCTGCCTCGTATGCCTCATGAAATCTTGAAAAAAAATCCAGATTCGACTGAATCGGAATAAGCACGTTGGCCAGCATGCGCATAGCAGTTTTTGACTTTTGGTCAACCGCCAACTGGAGATTCGATGAGCTGATTCCATTAACACGATTGATAATCCATACCTTAGCCCACTCGGGAAGTGTCGAGATATTGATGTAGCCTTCCATTCTCACGCAGACCTCCACCCAGCGACTTGCGTGGTGGCTGAGAAACATGTGAACGGACTCGTGGAGCGCCTGCGAGGGCACTTGGACACCACTAAGGTGGTAAATAATGTAACAACATGCGTAATGCAAGTGCTCGGATAACTCCTCTGGAGAAATTTGTGGCAGTTCATCTTGCGCGGACAAATTCTTAATCAGTCCTAGGCTCGCTATGGAGCAAAGATCCTGATTCAAAATCTGAGTACATCGTAGGGCAATCCTCGCATTGCCCATCTTCACATATACTGGACTGCAACGAAGGCTGATAGATCGGGGATGAATCCGATCCAGAATGAAGTCGCGGAAGGATTGGTGTAAGATGCGAATCGGAATGTGAGGATCTTCAACTCCTTCGAGGAGAGGTGCAAGTTCGGACAGCATATATCGAACAGAAGACCTCAAGAAAGGCGACAAGATCGCATCCCAAGCCACAGTAGACAGAGGTTGTTGTGCAGCGAATATTGCTCCCATCACAATTGGGTAGTCATGTACAAAATTTTCATCCTCCCAATCACACTTTTTCAGAATGCTCGTATACAAGCAATCCATCGTTTCCTCAGCAGAACCCACCGATCCATCCGCGTCTGCACCGAGCAGTTTTTCCAGCGTCCTCATAGGGTCGTTGTTGGTCATCTTCATATAGCGAAAGATAGTACTGATCCAAATGAACAAGCCTCCTGCTCGTTCCGAGATCTCCTGTACCGTTCTCTCCTCGTCCTGAAGTCGTATATTGGGATGACAACTCATCAGCGCTTGCAGCTCCGAACGTATGTACATAGCGCAGTCCCGCACGTTCCCGTCATCCGAGAGATTAATGGTAAGGCGGTCGATAGGAAGATGAGACGAGAGGAAGTGGTTAACAATATCAGATTGTCGCGATGTGATAAAGAATTTTATGGAGGACGGTAATTTTGGGATTTCCTCCCGAAGAATATGAGCAAGGGGCTCGAATGCTTTTTTGTTACATTCGTCTAAGGCGTCAATAATGACCACCATGGGGCGGTTGGAAAGGGGAGGTTTATGGAGGAGGGGCGAAGCCACCAACTTCTTGAATTGTACCGGGAGTGGAGCCATAGAGAGAGCAGGGTCTTTCTGACGAGCTGAAGCAATGAAGGTGCAGTAAACCGGGTCGCAGTTTTCTAGAGCTTGAGTTGTGGCACGGAGCAGATGTTCGGGCCACGACCGTTCCCCAGCCTTGAAGGAGAAGGACAGTAACAGGGTGGCTCCGTCGTCCTTTGCACACCTCTCTGCTACGGTGTGTGCAATCGAAGTCTTGCCGGCGCCGGCCACAGCAGTGAGCAGCATTAGCCTATTATCATTATCCCTAGTATTGCGACACCAGGTCATAATACGCTCAATGAGGTCGACCCTGGTGCCATTCAAGCATGGCCCAGTTGAATGATAATAGGCGCTATGGGGGCGTCGTCGATACCAAGAATTCTGCCGCTGTTGATAGCTTATGCTATCTCCTGTGACTGGTAATTTGACACCAATTCCTAAGTTTACCCTGAGCTACATCGACAGGAAATCAGAATGATTACGGGGACGATCCTGAAAAAACTACCGGAAACGATGCCAATGCTTCGGCAAGATCTTTCTTTAGGTCATTGATCTTGATCCTTCCCGGGTCTCTCATGAGGGACAATGCATTTACTAAGCTGGATCGTTTGTTTGTTTGCGTGAGCCTTCGTTGGATTTGGGTCCGAATCTTTTGTAGGGCTCTGAGATGATGTGAGACCGATATCGAGAACACCAAAAACGAATACAACTTACCCATCAAGCTTCACAGCGCTCTCCACCCATAGCTTTGCCTCCATCGACGACGGATCATAGGACCTTATGGCTGCAACTACCTCGGCTACGTTTTCGACGACGTAGTTCCCAAAGTCCTCCCATTCCTTCTTATTCTCCTGGAACCTCTGCTCGACCCAAAGCGTCAGCCTTTGTTCGCGAACCCAGCACGAAATAGTTACAAACTTTAACTTTGCTGAAGATGAAGAGTGCGCTACCAGCGGCACCCTTTAAGTAAGGGGAAATGTCAGGGGTAGAATGGACGAGTCTGAGAATTTGGATGGCCACATCGCCTCCCGCTGCGAGAATATCATCGATTTGTCGGCTGAGAGATTGGTGTCGTGACATGGTCGATGGAAATCGATGAAGGGATGTAGGGAGGAGTTGAGGCGCACACGTTCGTGAGCCCTCCAGCCTCTATGACTTCACAGAGGCTGGGATCAACCCCTGGTTCATGAATGCGGACTCATTACTGAATGGTTTGAAAAGGATCTTAGAACTTATATAATCAATACAATTGGGTTGAATCGGAACAGAGTTATTTATTTGTTAATATCCTTTGCTCATACTGGTAGGTCACGCTTGCGCAGTGTCGGAAAAATTTACCGACTATTTCCATCATGTAACAACATTATGTACTGTAACAATCGACTAATCAGACGGTGTGAGCCTTTAGTGGGAACGGCCGGAATCCGGGCGGTCCCGGCCCGTGGTGCGCGCTCCCCACGCTAACTACTGATTTCGTCTTTCAATTGCGCTGACATCAATCATTTCATGCATGCGCAAGTCTCGGCTTCAGTTAGGCAGGGCCCAGCCTCTGTATTAGATGGATGTATAATGTTTTGCGGAAACATGGACATGGAGGCAAACAAACAAATGAGTGTCATGACAGTAAGACGGAGTGATTCATGAGGCACTAATAGTGGACGAAGTTAAGAATTAAATGGTTAGGAGCCAAGCTGGGGTTTTGGAAACCCAGCATGTTATGTCCGGTGGCCCCTCGCAACCAGCCGTTCTGTTTATTATTGTTTTTCCAAGTCTTCAATCCCTCGTGAACGCAACATGACAGGGAAAGCTGCATTCGACGCTTGGGATGCATTGATCACCAAAGTCTCCGATATCGCTGCAGATTTTGAACGTCAAAGTGACATAATCAACTTTGTGTATACATCGAAGCATAAACCAGGTGTCTCATACCAGAAAGTATCGCTCTTGTCTCTTGGAATGACATTAGAGGATGCTTGTTAGTGTACCTCAATCTTTTCACCCGCTTGCGATAGACATGTGTGCCCTTTTCATTCCATAGGCCGGCACCTCGACCAAAAGATGGTAGAACTAGAAGAAATACAGGTGAATATCGTCTGTTTTGCGCTTCTTCCACGTTATCCATCACAATTTTTAATCTTTAGCGGTGCATGATGCATGCAGGACGGGGCCTTCGTAACAGCCTTGTTCCTGGTAATATTTTTCGTTTCGCCTTCTCGAAACATGAATTAACTTACAGTGTAGCAAATAATCTACCACCCGAAGTTCTATCCTACATATTTCTTCTTGGCGTTGAACAAGCGGAACACGGCCTGGATATGGCGGCATCCCGCTCCAAAAAAAGGAGATCTCCCAGAGCAATTCCATTTACTCTCCCCGTATCGCAAGTGTGCAGACGGTGGAGGAAAATTGCTATCAATGCAGCCACATTGGTGAGCTCATATCTCCCCAAAATTTGTCTACTAACTTGCTCACAGTGGTCACATATTGGCTTCTCTGATGATCGACCTCACAGCCTATCACAACTCTTTCTTCCACGGTCCAAAGGAGCTCTTCTGGATGTTAAACTTACTTCGACCGACATCTACGACTCAGAGTATGAAGCAAATATGAAAGAGGGAATGGATATTCTCAGCGAGCATGTTTCAAGAGTTGGTTCTCTTACCATCGATGCAGCTACAGACACACAGCTTGGTCTCCTCGCGACGTTCTTGGAGAGCTGCGAGGCCCAATGGATTGCTCGTGGTCAGACTCAACCAACTTTGCGGAGGCTGAAGTTGATAGACAGCGCCGACTCCGACTACGACTCTGGCTCCGACTCTGATTCCGATTCGGAAGATATTATCACACCAAACATAAATCAGAAACGCCTTTCCCCCAATAATCTTCAGACCCTACGAGGCCTAGAGGATGTCGTGTTGTCGGGAACATCATTGCCATGGCACAGTCCGGTGTTCGAAGGACTGAAGCGGTTGTCCCTAGAGAACTTGCAAAACGAGGTGCTCCCGTCTGAGCGCGAATTTATTTCCATTATCCGGAATTGCCCTTTACTGGAAGAGTTGGAACTCGCCAACGCGGGCCTCAGACTCGAAAAATGGGAGGGCATCGCTGAGATGCGACGCCGAACGCATTCAAGTGACCTGAATCGATTGGAGTCGTTATGTCTTTTCCAGCTGCCATGGAATGTGATGATGTTCATTCTCCACCTCGTTAATAGTCCAAACCTGAAAAGTCTGTGGATAGCTCTGCCCACAGCAATAAGGGACCAGGATAGTATTGTCGACCACGACGAGGAGATTTTCCGAGATGTGCATTTGCTAAAAAGCATTGCGGCGTTCATCGACCGCATTTCTGAGAAATCAGCTTTACGCACCTTACACATTGGATCCTTTTATGGAACCTCTGTGTGGGATGATGGCAAGCATACGAACCCGCACTTAATGGAGGTGTTAAGGGCAGTCCCCAGCTGTCTTCACACTCTTGAGCTTTATCATATTGTCGTCGGAGATGATGTCTTGGAATCTCTTTCCGCCATTGCACCAACTCCATCCGCACCATCAAACCCTCATACCGGGGCGCACTCGGTGTCCGCATCAATATCCAGTATCGTGAGTGTCCCACTTCGGTTTCTCCCCTCCCAACATCGTTTGCACAGTTGCACCCGAAGATCATCCCGATTTGTCCATCGCTCCAAGTTCTCAAGCTTCTACGGATTGCTGATGTTACCGCGGAAGATTTGGAAAAATGTAAGGCTCATGTCTTAATTTGCATTGCCTCCTTAGCCTCTGCCTTCATTAGTGCTAGCAATCCGAAAAAAATGGGGGGTTCCATTAACATTGGAAATAGGTCTGCCGATGTCTGGCTTCAGTAGGGAAAGAGGAGAGTTTGAAGCGCTAGAGCCGCTTTGCCGTTGTGAGCCGAGTTCTAGCCATTGTTCCATCTCTCTCACTCATGCTCCGATATAGCTTTATCTATACGAGAAGTGTTGTAATATCAACAATCGGTTCTAATGGCGGAGTGGCAAGGGGGAATAAGATTGTTGGTGGCGAAGTGAGGTTTGGGGGCTTGTACTTTACACCCCCATTTTTCTTCTTTATGCGACAGGCTCGCTGGTGTAGCTCGCCTGAGAACTTACGCGTCATAGCCTTATATTTAAAAAGAAGTGTGCTAGGCTGCCACCGTGCTGAGTCTGCTAGACCCAATACAAGATGCAATCAGTTGTGTAGATGATGGTACAGAGCCATACACATTGCATGGTCCATAATGGCATGGAGTTCAATGCTCAATGCAATGGGATTCGAATACACACATCATTTTTGCGTGTGAAGCATGTAATCAAGCATTTTATAGTATAATATATCTGGGACGGGAGATTGTAGAGAGAAGGAAAGCATGACTAACGTACAACGGCCGAAGAAACATTCAACCCGGACAATTCGAACAACTCTATGTATCCATTCCTCAATCAAGGTCCCGGTCCATGGCTCGGGAATATCTTGCGGTGGGACTCTCGCGTGGATTGCAGCCCTTGTGAAAAAAACGCACTCAGCAAGACTTCTCCATGGGTTAATTTCAGGCATAGCGGTGGCAAGGATCGACGAGGACATCTGAACGAGACTTCCATCTTGAGCCCTTTTCCTTCTCTTCTTCAGTCCTGACTTTGCCATCGACAATCAATCACAAGTAACCGTAAATGGGCGGACCCATTTGGCGTGGTGGTTAGAGGCAGCTGTACAAGACAGTTAAGTGCCGCCCGATCAGAACACCTCAATTTTCGTTTTCTAACCTATCATTTTCTGTGTACGACGGCCAAGACGTACATATTGGCGATCGTGGCAATCGCACAGACATGACTTAGCGTCTGGGCGAAAGGGAAAGACTCAGCGGATCATGGCTCTCGACCAATGCAAGGATCGCCGCGCGCATGCGATATTCAAATTTGTGGCGGTGAAACAATCATGTGTGCCAGCCAGATTCGCAAGCTTTCTTCAATTCGGGGTTAACAACCGTCTCCATCTATATAGAGTTGGAGTTGTAGAGGGTGATTAGGTTATCAGCGATCAGAGTGTCCAGACAACAGGGCGCGGATCAAGCGAGGATCGACAGGATCGAGGCGAATAGTACACCAACCTTGCCCGTGTAGCGCTCGCTACTTGATCGGGGGAGGGTAGCAAAGCGGAGCAGGAACGTGTGCCACGTAGATTCCGAATTGGAGGAACAGTTATATCAGCCTGGAGAGCAGTGGGACAAGTTCCCCGGGAGAGGGCGTAGGCCCGATAGTTGCAGCAGTACTGCGGTGTTACACTAATATCGCATGACTAGCCAGTGCGCTAGTATAAGAAGGCTATTTGAGTGAGGCGTATGCGATAATTCGTCCAAGCTCGGAGATAACGGGGATCATCAATGATGGCCAGTACGGGACAAATCTGGCCGGTCGGAGTCAAGTAGCGGAAAGGGGCAGTTTGCTAGTGCGTGGATGGAGATGTTCAGTTAGGGGTGGTTGATTGAGGAGGTGGACCACGAGGGATACGTATGTCTACACTCAATTTCAAATGAGGGTGAGAAAGGCACCAACACCCGTCGTGGGAGGGAGGGACTGGCATGCGTGGTTTCGACACGAGCCCAAGCCAACACTGCACGCTGGAGTTGAAACTTTGAGCACTGTATTGTGTCATGCTCCAGCTAATATCGCGGTGTTATCGAGCGAGCACTGTCGGGGGAAGGATATGCGATGCCCTCGCCCTCACAAGTCCTGAATATCGTAGCACAGATTCTGTACTACGACAGCTGCGTCGGAGCGATGTTAACATCGGAGAGCTACATGCTGAATCCTCCCTCGCTGGGACGTAACCTCGCCACAGCAGGGGCGGTCATCGTTAGTGAAAACGGTAAGCCGCTTGTCTCCTTTCCTAGAATAGGCACAAAGAACGATAAGGTTGTTGCAAGTTATTGACATCGACGGCCCAGTAAATTTGAAATCGTGTTCGATTCCCACGGCCCACGCCCAGGCTGGCTGATTGTTCGACCCTGTCCTTTAACAGAGACACACCCAGCCGGGCAGTGTACGTGGTGCTGGGAGTGCGGTGAGGGCGTGTAGTGTTATTTTGCGCGCCTCCGTTGCCATTCATTTCTAAACTTCTATCTCGTGAGTACTACTTATTCTCTCCAATCCGAGTATGGATGGCTTGATCGGCACCCCCGCCTTATTGGATAAACCGCTTTGAACGACCATCCCATGCACTTTTCTTTCCCATCACTCCCCCATCATCTCTCTCATCCACCTCCCTCTCTCCCTCTCTTATTGACAGGTCATTGCGATCGAATTTTTCTTTTTTTGTCTTGACGGTATTTGCGACGCCCGTTCCTGGAACAAGCTTTTGCGATCGTTTCTTTTTGTGCCAACTGGACGCCTTCCCTTGTTCGTTCCTGAGTTTTACCCCGCATTTCTGGGATGTTGCGAGCGTTTAACATCATCCGAGTAACTGTCTTTGGTGAGCACTTTCCCTCTTCTTCCTTGCTCATCGTTGGCCTAACGCGAAGCTTTTCATCCATGATCAAGTCGTGGCAATATTGTTCAGTTTTATCGTCCTCGGGGTCGCAGCGCACCTGAACTCTGTCATTGAGCCCAATGAATTAAGTGAGTAAGCCTACCCAACTTTTGCTCTCTGAGCATTTCATCTCAACCCCTTCATTTTTTTTCTTATTCCCGAAAGCCCGATTCATACCCGTCTCCATATTCTGCGCGATCTCGACCATCGTCGGATGCGCCTGCGTGTGAGAACTGTTTGTGGCCAAAACCCGGAAATGGAAATTTCATCTTTCTTCCTCTCTACCTTCTAGTCTATGGTTCGGTTCTAGAGAACGATTCTGGGCGATTACAGAGACCCGATGGGAACTAGGGCTGGCCTCATTGTTAGGGGTACTCTGGTTCAGTACGTTGCGTGCCTGTTCGAATTTTTTCTCTAATCGATTGAGCATGTTTTGTTCGGTCAATCAGGTCTTGGCCTTTTTCTTTCTATTGCTGAGGTCCCGGATCTTGAGTGTCCAGACGAGCCAGATGGGAACCCGAGTCCATGTAAGAGCTAGAGTCAAGCGCTGCTCCCATCCCACTCCACTGATACTCGCTGTTCCACTCCAGATACGGATGAAATGTTCCATGCACAGTACCATACACTTCAAGTATGTCTCCGATGGGCATTCCAAATCTTAGTATCATTCTAATGGTCGAACATTGTGCAGGCTTTTTCGATACTTAATGCGCTTATTTGTGAGTGACAGAAGCAAAACCTCTTGGCGCGCCCAGAGTCTTATGCATTCAAATCTCAAGTACTTGGGTATTGTCTCTGGCTTCTTGTTCTTGCCATGCGACATTCCTATGCTGGGCGTAAGCAAGGTGGGTGCCCTAGTTTCGCCGTACGTTAGTTCTGCTCAAGCGGCCATTGATTAGTGTGGAATGCTCGCGTCAACGAAGCGCAGTGGTTTCTTCCGAGAAAATCCTCATCCGACGAGAAGTTTACGAGACTTCCTGCACCTGTCTCTTCTTTCAGTCGCCGGAGGCAGTCACACTGGAGAAATCAATCAACACCAGAAACCGTCACACCCTCTGCTTCTGCTTCCATCTCACGGAACGCGTCCAATTCATCATCATCGCCCCTAACGCACACGCGTAGTCGCTCTGCACCTGCGGCCGCGATTGTCGCGGCCGCTGCTGTGCCGACAAGAAAGACATCCACGAATCCTGCGAAAGGTAGCCCGCCCGCTCCTCCATCCCCTCCTACACCCACCACAAAGCCTTCAGCACGAGGTACCACCCGTCCAGACATAGACATCCCGCCGACGCTACCTCCAAAAGCGCGGACGCGTGCCACGCACGCAGGGCCAACCGACACGCCTCAGCTCGCCCAGCCCCCACCACCGAGGCGACGTGCAGGTACACTTGACAGACGGCCATCTGCCAAGAATCAGCAGCAGGAACAATACCAACCACCTGCACGGCCCAGCGCCTCGCGTTCAAACACGTATGCATACATGACTCCTACGACCACGACGACACCACGGCAACCCGCGCCGCCTCGTTCCTATTCCAATACGAACACTCGGGATCCGTCATCTCGGAGAGACCGGACCCTGAGATGAAAAAAGCCGACTGAATGTAGCTGAGCTACGATCTTCCATTCCGCTGACGCCGCTTTTCGCCCCAGGAGGCTTTTTTTTTTGTTGTATCAATGGATTTTTTTAGAGTTTTCATGGGTTCCTTCGAACCCTCGTATTGTGCGATACCCCCTAGGCTGTACCATTGCTTTCATCCCTCCTTTGGAATAGTACTCCCCTGTTCTCATCCTTCACGGACAAATTGAGTCCCCAGGCCCTTTTCAGCAGTGCCCTTACCTTGGTTTCTCTTGCCTACCCCTGTCTCTTGCTTTTTAACTTAGCACTACTGAGCTGCCTCTTCTCGACCTTTTGGTAGAATGAGGAAGGCTAGGGGTAGTCAGGGCGCTGGTTATGCCCGGATTGACATGGCTTGGGTTTTCTGCACGCTGATGTAAATAAATACCACGATGTACCACAAATTGCAAATTGAATACAACGATGACATCACGGTTTTAGAGGTAGAAAGAAGCGAATTTGTATGTTTGTTCGATCGCGGTAGCTCTTTCCTCCCATCTCAAGCACCTACTTCCGGCACTCATCCCCCTGCGGCCGCTGTTGAGCTACAAGAAGGATCACGTGTAATCGTTCGGTCGAGACCCAACACAAACACTTCACAACACGAGGCTTCCATACGTTTGTGTTTGGTTGAACCAATTTCGGCGAACCCTCGTAAAAAGCGTGCTTGCCTCATTGCACTGCAGCAAGGACGTTACCTAGGCAATTCAAGGCGGTGTGCTCTCTCTCTGTATTTCTACCTTTCGCCCGTCTTCTTTTGTTCGAGGATCTGTCTGTTCAGGAGCTTTTTCTTGTTCAACCTATTTGAACGCCCACGCCCTGCGCTTGCATTCCCCTCATTAGAGGACGAAACGAAACGGAACGAAACGAAACGAACACACGATTAGCTGTCAAACATGTCGAGCCTGTTCAACTCGATACGATTCACCCTATATAGTGCGTCAGAGAGCGCAATCTTGGGATGGAATAGAATATGATTTCTCATACCGATGGATTATCTACCGTAGCTTTCTGGTTGATGTTCTCGATCGTAGTACTAACGATCTCAGGCATCTTAGCGCATAACTTCCTACCTCTGCACAGTGCGCACAAAATCGGTGTCTCCCAATCCCTAACGTCACTGATATGTCTCGACTATTAGAGGACTTCCTCATATTTTCGATGGTGGCGTCGGCGTTTACCATAGTAGCGCTGATCCTTCTGTGGGTTATCGATCAAGATGACTGTGCCTATCGTTGATGCTGACTTGGTGTTAATAAGTGCGCTCCGATCTCAGCCCCGGATAGAGCTGGTCATGATGTGGACTTTGGCTGTTCTTTGGGTCGGTGAGTGTTCCTTTCCATTGATGCTTGCGCCAAGCTGATAGGGATAATTCGTCAAGCCATGGGTGCCTATACAACGTGAATCCTTCGTATTGTGTCTCTGGGACTTGTTCTTGACATAGACTCCCTATCTAGCGACATCATCGGCCATGTTGAATGCGATTCATTAGAAGGCACAGTCCCGGCGGCCAGGGGGAGGAGATGTGGGTTGAGAATCGTGTTTGGCTGTAGTCATCGCTAATTGTCCCCAAAGATTCATACCGGCGTTACTGTCGAGAGGTCAAAGCCATCGAGGCCTTCTCATGGACGAACTTTGGCCTGTGTAAGCGTCACATTACACCAATGCTTTTATCCCCTTTGACTTATCATCTCAACTGCTGCAGTTGCACTCTTCTTCCTCCTCCTTCTCCGTTTGATCCTTCAGTACTCCGCTCGCGGCTACAAGGCTATCTGGTCTGCCTCTGTTTCCGAATTAGGGTGGTTCGACGAAGAGCTACAAGGCAACGGTGCACCACAATATTATCAAACAGTTCCTGCTGGAGGCCAAACTTATACTTATCCTAACGTGACGACGTTTGGAAACAGCCAGCCCGTGTATCAGCTCCCTGGGCACAGTGTGGTTATTACAAATGGACCAAATGGGCGGCAGAGTATGTGTTAATGGTCACTTGCTTCATTTTTGGTTGACTGATTCGTCGTCGTCCGTGGTGCCTTTTGTAGTTGCGCAAGTACCCGTGGGTCAAGCGCCACCAGTCACGCCGCAGCCCACAATAGGGGGGTTCTAAAGGATAATGTCTATCCAACCAAAAGCAACCATGCAATCTAATTGCTTTGTGAATTCGGCTTTAGCGCCATCCCATCTTTCCTGATGTTAACGTCTCTATCATCTGCCTACGTCACGAATTCGTTTTGCTTTGTGTCTATCGATGAGCGGATCTTCCTTTGGATGGTAATTGGAATCAATTTTAAGGATTATCGATGGAAGCACCTGTAATAGATTTTAATGGATTTTCTATATATCCCGAATGACATTGAGTCAAGGTCGGAGCGTTGGAAAGGATGAGCTGATGCGTGGATTCTGCGGCGGAGGATGCGATTATACAAGAAGGGAGAAGGGTAGCATACAATTAGCCTCATTGCAGACGCGTGACATTCGTGTGCGATGGCCGCGAGGCTCATCGTTAACTAAATCATCTCCTAAGTTTCGTCTAGCAACCCTTGAAGTTGCCGTAACCATCGTGGCAAATAACAATGGTCAGGCATGCGGGAACTTCTGGTGGCATCAAGGGATGTGTGCGAGCCGTTAGTCAGGAGGCTTTGCGTGCAGGATCGATATGATATATAAGCTGCAACCTTTGTCTTGGACGATTGATTTGATTCGACCGCACGCTTGCTAGACAGGAGGATAGGGAGAGGCCGTAGACCCACCTCTAACACGTCGCGAAACATGTTGTTGCTCATTATCGTAGCAGGATTGTTCGTCGCTGTTAGACGACTGCTTCAACGTGGTTCACTATCTCGGCTACTTATTTTCGGTGAGCTTGTGGAATCAACTCTGAGGGATGCCGAACGATGGTTGCTAATGGAAGCGTTGCCCCATCTGCACAGGGGGTTTGACGATCGCTGGCGTACACTTCGCGACGAACCTCCTACCGCATACAAACTGTAAGTTTACCTACATTGTTGCAACCGGAAGGATTCTTTGAGGTTAAGATCGGTCCATGCTAGATGCTGATGGGATGACGCTCGTTGTCGTTGGGTTGATTTGTACTTGCGCGCTGGCAGCGGTGTAAGTCCTGCTACCGCCCAGAGTAGACAAACCATGTTGACATGCATTTTTTGGCAGGGTACACCACGATATTAGGACAGATGGGGGGTTGACTAGAGATCACGAAGAGTTCGTTTTGATCTCGCTAACAGCCCTAGGTGAGTCCAATGAAGTGTTCCCGACATTTCCGCTAAGGCATGAATCGCTTTCCAGTCTGGCTAAGTAAGTCTGCTTCGAAGACAATTTGTGAAGCTGAAGGTAATAACACGTTATACTTTACAGCACTGACGATGGCGTGGAGAATCTCGCACTATCCGGATGCTCCAGACTTGACGATACCAAATTCTGTGGTCTCCAGGGCACCATCCCCCGCACCCTCGCGCCAGGTGCATAGGCCAATCATCTACGATTCTGGTTGTATCCCTGGGAGACCGTGCGTCGTCGAAGAATGGTACTGGTAGGGAAGCCAAAGGGGAGATGTTTCAGAAGAGGTATTTGTACTAAGAGTCGTGGCTATCCCGTAGGCACGGTGGTTGTAACTAAGCTATCCTAGAGGAAATGGCATTGAGTGTGTGTAACGCGAGACCCAAGTAGTTCGGGTGGTTGCGCGGGAGTCCACTGATGAAAGTGCCAGAACCATTGCTTGTGCAATGTGGAGAAAGGCCAAAAGCCTGCCGTGTGTGGTGGGAGATACGCCTATCAATAGATAGAAATCTTTTGGAACATACGTCGTTGTTTGACGCACTGGACACGTCAAACCGTGATCTCAATTCTCTCGATAACAGGAGCGTAGCATATTGCGGATTCGAATCAGGGGGCCTGAAGCGAACAATCCCACACCATCGCACTAGCAAACGTGGGGGTGAATGTAGTACTACGGTCGAGAATAACTTTGGTTCGAGGGTCGACTGTGGCAGTGTTGTGGGACGCAGATATCCGAAAATTTGTTCTCCACAGGTTCTAAAAGATGGCCAAGCTCGCAGACCCGTCGCCTGGAAAGACTAAAAAAGGGAAGCGACACTCATTGGCTGCCCCTACTGCCGACACTCCCGCCGTCGCCAACTCAGATGCTGTTGTGAAGGATGTAGACATGGAAGATGGCGAAGCAAAGGATGTGAAGAAAGTACGTTCATGCAACATGAAACGGCCTTCCTCTTATATTGTTGGGTACAGACGTCAAAGAAGGAAAAAATCCCCACCATCCCCCCCGGAGAAGTGAGTCATTGTTCGTTCTACCGAGGCGAATTATCAAGTGGTTTTCAGTTGTTGCCTATCGCTAAGCCTCTTGCTGACCACAAGCTGAACAAAAAAGTCGAGAAGCTAATTTCGAGGGGTAAGGCGCCTTCTCCACGTTCGTAACAATTGTACTCATTTTATTTATTCGTAGCGAGGAAAGTCCAGCGACTAAGACGCGGGATCAAAGAGGTTGTGAAGAGCATTAGGAAGGGTGAAAAAGGGTACGCATATATTTCCCTCGATTTAATGTAGTCCTGACTTTCCGTTATGGCACCAGCGTCCTTGTCCTGGCCGCAGACCTCAGCCCCATTGACGTGATCTCGCATTTACCCATCTTGGCTGAAGAAGCGCAAATCCCGTATATCTATGTAGTCTCCAAGGAAGCGCTTGGTCGTTCTGCCTCAACTAAAAGACCGACGAGCTGTGTCCTTGTTTCTACATTGCCATCGAAAAAGCAGAGCGGTGCCTCAAACGAAGAGGACGAAACAGAGCTTAATGGGCTCTATGAGGAATGTGCAGCGACAATTAGTAACCTTGTGAGTCTTTTAATCTACAGTTGTGAATATCGTTGAGCTGTTTGATTTCCGTCAGGATGAACACATTGTTTATTGAGTTTTTCCCCTTGAGCCGGGCTTCTGTATATTAGATTATTGTCCGTAATGATCATCCATACCGATTGATGTATTTTGAGGATTCGGACTTTCATTGCTATCAAGGGAGGGCGAAATTTATGTTTGTGTTCCAAGTTAAGGCTAAGTTCCCTTTCCTAATTTGGCCTGAAAATTACTCGTGACACGTACACTATTGGGCTTTCCGACGTTCCCCAAAAAGTTTGCCACACAGTCTGGACTCTTCACTCCCTGTTATTCTAGCTCGTAGCTAAGTACTAAGTAATGGCACCCCAATCCTCGAATAATCGGTCTGCGACAAAAGCTACATCTGAGAAGCCACCTCGTTCGACGCAAAAAACTGCCCCGGTCGGCTCCAACCCAACAACCTTCGTATCTATCGCAAAACCGGACCAAACTGCCTACAAAGAGGAACAGGATGCACTCAAGGCAAAAATAGACGCGGTCAATGTGGAATTGGTACGTATCATTATGCTCGAACATCCTCCATCATCTTCCATTGACTTTACGAACTTCCATTCAGGAAGGCCTCAAGATCAAGATTGATGATGTTGGTAAAGGCGGACCTAGCGCCGAGCGACGTGCTGCTCTTCGGGAACAGCTGGAAGAACTCAAGGTACAGCACAACGGCTTCAAGGCTAACCGGGGAAAAGTATTGGACCAGCTCAAGGCTTTGCAAGATGGGATTCAGAAACGTGTCCGTTGTCACTCCTACACATTTTGTATCGCCATTTTTTCATATATTTCTGTTCCCTCACCAGACCAAGGATCTCAACTCAACGAAGCAGAAAGCTCAATTCAAATCCACGGAGGATATTGACAGTCACATCCGGTGAGTAAACTTTATTCTCCTCTTTTACCTGGTTTTTGATGCATATACATAGGAATTTGGAGCGCCAGATTGAGGCTGGGACCCTGACTCTCACAGCGGAGAAAAAGGCAATAGCTAGTATCAGTGATGCGAAACGTTGGCGCAGAGCCGTGGAAAACTTCCAGAATGAACAAACCACAATCGATGCTGATAAGGCTCGCGCTGACGAACTCCGGAAGCAGCTGGTAAGCTTGAATCCAGTTGGATCCGATTATTTTGTGATGCGGATGGCTACCATATAGGATGATCCTGAGGCAAAGGTTGTGTCCGACAAGTACGATGCCGTCAAGGCCGAAATGGAGGAACTCAGGGTTCAGGGAGATGAGATTTACGCCAACCGCCACAAGCTGTTCGACGAGCGCAAGGAACTCCAGTCGCAACTCGACGATTTGTGGTCTCAGAAGAAGGAATCTTCTAGACAATATCGTGAAGCTCAAGACCGGTACCATAAGAAGATTCAGGACGAGCGTGCAAGGAGAGCAGAACGCTTCGCAGCTCAGCGGGCTGAAGCAGAAGCTGAGAAGCGCGAAGCAATTGCCAGGCGTCTGCGAGAAGAGGCTGAGATTCCAGCTTTCCAGGCTCAGATCGAAGATAGCCAAACTCTCATCAATTTCTTCGTCAGCAGGATTGGAGGGGTTCCCGATGCCCCAACCCCAACTTTGAACGGCGCCCGTTCCGACATTGCTGGCGTCCCCAAACTGGAATCTCGAAAGGTCGACACTACAATTGGTGACGGTCTGATAGCAAGGAAGAAGAAAGGCGAGGAAGAGGAAATCTACTTCATTGGTGGGAAGAGCAAGAAGAAGACGGGAAAGGTTGCGCAGGACTCCACGACATCGACCGAGACCAAACTTCAACTTCCTCTCTCCACTCTCTCTGCACTTCTGTCCCTTTCTATCCCAGCTCCGACCTCACACTCCGATATTAGCCGGACGATCGAGGATCTCAAGACGAAGAAGGCGTGGTTTGAAGCCAATCAAGGTCGGATCACTGCGGAGAATATTGCCAAGGCCGATGCTGAAATCAAGAAGTTGGAGAACGCTCCTGCCGTCAAAAATGCCTCTCCATTAAATGGGAATTCCCAGGAGGAGCCTATTCCTTCCCCTCCGCACGTTAACGGCGTTCCGGATACTGCTTCTGTTCAGGATGTTGATGGAATACCCGATGAGGATAAAGAAAAGGTTATTGAGGCATGAACTTGATGATTTACTTTCATGTTTCTAATCCATTTAATGAGCATTTTATGGAGTTTCTGTCGTCGTTTTACAATTGTGCTCATGGAATAAAGTAATCATCTCCACTTGCATGAGGTGTTACAGGGACCTGAGAACATAAAGTACATGCTTCAACATAAACAACAACTAAATAACCAGCGAATATGGTAGAGTCTGTTGGATTCAACCTGCCCGAGATGAGGGTAGCTTGAATCCAGTGGTGTGCGCTCAGAGCACCTTGAATTCCTCCCCTGTGACCATTCGTACTGTCTTATATTACTGGAAGCAGAGGCTGGCCCTTGAATTCCTCCCCAGTGACCTCATTCCAGATTCGTACTGTCTTGTCACTGGAAGCTGTGATGAGAATGAGACAGAGCTGACCAAGTCAGTGTACCCTTGAATCCCTCCCCAATGACCTCATCCGAGATTCGTACTGCCCAGTCACCGGAAGCCCAGGCTAGCTTGGATCCTTCAGGGTGGAGGTAACCCAGTAGGCGTGTCCCCGGAGCACCTTGAGTTCGTCCCCAATGACTGCATCCCAGATTCGTGCCGAGGGGTGAGCGAATGCAGAGGCTATCCTAAATCCATTGGAAGAGAATAAGACCGAGTTCACCCACGGATCGTGCCCTCCGATGATAATCCAACCATCCCACGCAGAACCACCCTTGGAGGCCGCGTTCAGAGAATGGTTCGCAGTATTGCCTTTTGCCCTCTGCATCAGGTGAGTGAGACAGAGCAGAATGTGTGATATGCCCAGCAGAAGCCGAAATGACTCCATAGTGTTGGTACGTAAAGCGTCGGCATTGCAATAGCAGTCGCCGACGAGTAAATGTTTTGGTCCGGTAATCGGTGGCCCTTGCTCTACAAACTGGCGGTATAGACCTTATGATGATTAGGCATTCAAAAAGCAGACTACATACCGTATAATATATTGTGACTTTATCTTTATCCGGTTAGCATTCCTTGTCATCCACCATTCGATCGTCAATCCAGCGAAGAAGGTTCCCGATTTGTTGAATAGCTCCGTTGATGTTCAAATCCCAACACATGTAAAAGGCCCAAAGAGCGCGGCATATTGAACATCGGAGGAGATCCCGGAACGAATTTGAAGAGCAAGGTCGGAGAGTCGAGGACCAAAGGGCCGGGCAGTTGGAGAATATCTCCCCCTGGTAAACGGCAAAGGGTCTCGATGCAGTGCATGGCGATATATATGAATGAAGATTGCTCTCATTTGTGATTCAATCCAGGGTGCGTTGGGGATTGTGATGGGTATCTGAATAGGCAATTTTGCCAAAACTGACAAGACAAAAAAGGGTTTACATGCCCGAGCGGCACATTGAAATGCTGTCATCGTCTTCTGCCAGATTAATGGCCTCCCGATTGATTATATTTAAAGGTATAGCCTACCATGTAGGGTGTCACATGTGCTGCCATTCGCTCAGATATTCTCGTTCGAACAAGACGTGCTGTGTTACGAGCCACCGGGCCTCGGACGGAGGTGTGAGTGCCCGCCTCCTGGAACTCCAAAGTGCTTTTACAGGAGAGAACAGAACATTCAGCAGTTCCCCTAGATGATCTAGTCGTGAACGCGTTTCATTGGTCTCATCGCGGCGGAGTCATGCATACTAGCCAAATTTCATACTCTGACGGTTCTTCGCAGATAACGCGAAGACAACCACCAAAATCGCCGAGGAAGGGGATTATTATTTTTAAGATTTGAACATTCTCCCAGCGTGCGTTTTCGACGAGTGCTTCCTTGGACGCGAAGAGCTGAGCCTGTAAGAGTGTCAGCACCAATTTAGCAACAGGTCGACAACGACTATCACCTGTTTGAGTTTTCGCGCGAGTGAGATGGTACTTAACCCCAGTCCTTCGATCAATCTGTAGCCACATATAGTTTTTCCCAGAGCGGATAAGGAAGTAATATTGAGGAACAAGGCTCCGATACTGAAAATAGCAGGATGCGCTGATGATCCTCACCGCTCGAAGTCAAACGTGTTTGTCGGTGACTTGATCGCAAAAAAGTCCTATGGCTCCAGTGGTCCGAAACAAGATAACTGATCCCTTGGAAAAAGTCGAAAACCCAGAAATGGTGGAGAAGTTAGAAAAAGTAGTTAAAGCAGAAATAATCCGCGCAAGAGGGTGCAGGTTACTATCTTCGATTGGCTCAATATCATTTAGAACGTCCAAGTCGGGTTCCATCCCAAAGAAACCCCCCTGGGGAGACGATTCAGTCACCAAGAGGAATCATGTCCGTGCGCTGGGTAGCCCCCGTCCTCGCCTTCATGAAGAGTGATGGAGTTTTGTGGAAACGCACCAGAGGCGAGTGCATCGTGGTCCACTTTATGTCGATATCTTCGTCTGGTTCTCCAATACGTGGGAAGGGCATTTGGTGACAGTGAATCAACGGAGTGGCGCGGCGTACTTGTGAGTCGTAACGTGGAGGCGATGTTGGCACGCGGGCCTCGTGATGACATAACAAGGGCAGCTATCCCGACTTCAGTGTACATGATGAGATCGTCAGATACTATGGGAACTGGGTGCAACCGTGGCTTCGGGTTAGGTGCCACTGGCCAGTGTTCCTTGGGTTGCGTACTTGTCGGCAGTCCAATCACCAAGTCGGATTAGATTCCACTGGCGGTATTTCGGTCGCTTTCACCCCGGAAAACTAGTTCAAGCTTCGGGACGAAACATGTAGACCTCCGCTCGCTTGGTCAATTGAGGCTGTTCAATTAAAATTCTAATTGGTCAGATGACTTCCTCGATTAATGATCGTGGGACACATTCTTCACTGATCTTTTAGAGATACAGCAATTTGAACTTTCTGCCTCGACTTTTGGTATCATCGCGGGCCTCACCCCCCTTCTCCGATCACCCATAGTAGTTCGATCCCTGTACTCAGCCCGCGGTCCGCGGTCCAGAATGGAACGAACAAACGAACAAACAATCCAATGTATGGCTTCACCATCAGCGGAGCGAAGAGCTTGAACGATATCTAGCTCCCAATTCGGGGACTTGCGGTGGGTGCGATAGCCGTTTTTAGTTTGCGGCATCACACCAGGAAGATACCGGGAGGACACACAAACCTTATCACACCCAGGCAGTGCGAACCTTGTCCCAGAGTGCTGGCCCTACGGCAGCGCACCTAATTGGTCCTCCACGCGAGTTCTGCCTGCTGTCTTTTCATTTAACTAGCGTTCAACAATATTCTGCGGCATATGAAATAGAGATTGGCGTTCATTCAAAAGTCCCTTCCCCGCTCTCCGCACAAGTCATGGATTGGCCGGCGGCATATGGCGGATCTGTGATAAGAATCCCCAGCCCGATCCGGAGACTCGCCAGGCTAGGACGTGATGCAGGATATGGTTGTTTACCCTAGCGACTCGGCAAACACTCCGACACGTCTATTGGGTCTAAACGCCGTCACACTAGTCAGTGTACTGACAGAACCTGGCCCACTTGAAATAATTTCAATGATCGCGATCTCCTGCCGTGCGTGTTTTCACTTCTGCACGCTCGGATGTGCGCTCATGCTATATCCCCTGTGCTCAGGAGGCGAGTATGGCAGTCCCCGTAAGGAGCCTGGTATTTGATGGTGACTTCACTAGTGAGGTTCGGTCTTGCCCTCTTAATGCACAGGAGAATTGCATTCCCGGCCATCTGATGGTATCATACCACCTTGTTTCCAAGCCGCAGGTACGAACCTTCCAAAGCTTGATGCTGATACTCTACTCACACGACCAACGACCTGTCACACGTCACGGATGTCACGCCATTTGAGTGAGTTTTTTTTTAATTCGAATATTCCTAAATTAGCAACTATCGAGTTAAAGGCAGTACATTTCTATCTCTTTTTCTAGATTCCTCGTCTGTCTAACTCGTTTACCCCCAACTTATGGCTATTTCAAATATTCTCAAATTCTCTCGGACATAAGGCTGAAAGCCCGCCACCCGGGCACTTCCGGACCTGCCTGGGCAAATGTGTTCACTCTCCCAACTCATGCCGTGTGAGTACAGTGTCCTCTGTTCACGCCCTCGTCCTGAACGGCGGTAGTTACGGAACTTTATGAATATATATATTAATTTGGAATGACTTCTGCATCATTTTATGGACGGAAGCAACGATTTGTTATATAAATGTCATTCATAATTCCATTGCCCTATGAGAATCGCGGCCATGAAGATGCTCCAAGCTCATATGTTGTTGAATGCAATCATTCATTGATTGGCAATCGTTGTCTTACAGTAGCCATACTGTAATGCCACAGGGGGTTGCATCAATCAGCACTATTCCATATTCATCTGTGATCGATCGAAAGGGGCTAGCGGCCATGAAGCGGCAGCCACGGCAGCGAACGAATGGACTCTATGAGCCGGCGAAGCCGCCCATTTTTTCAGTACCAGGCTACAATTGTTATGAGGGGTTCCCCTCAAACTGGATGGCCGAGCTTGCAGCGCCTTCGGCGCGGTTGAGATGTGCATTTGGACCCGATGAAGTGACAATGCGCACTCCACGCTTTCCCACAAAAAAAAAAAACGAACCCCCACTGATATCTTACATTACTTTCTATTGTATCTACCACATTCCTCACTTATAGGTAGATCATTAATACGGTTCTCATAGTTGTATCACGCTTGAGGTTGAGACGGACTTTTCCTTCCATAGCTTACGACTATTTCGTTATCAAGCCTACGGCCACAGATATTAATGATGACCATCGTATCATTCGCTGACTCCATGAATTAATTCTGCATCCGATGAGGATAGGGCGGTAGGACCATCACCTCGGATGACCATCAGAGCGCAATCGGAAGGCGGTAAAAGGCGTATGCCTGTAGGCCAAGAACGACCCATCCCATGACAAGGGGTTAAAAATTTATTTATATCGAGAAACATTGACACAAAACAACAAGTTCGTAAAGGTCTGTGACATAGGATAAAAGATCGCGAGCAAAAACCGCCGTGCCAAAACCCTGCCGAAGATAGTCCCAGACGCACGATAACGTACTCAGCCACTGCACAGACGAACAGGTTGAGCAAGTGATGTATTGTACTTAAAACGGACGCAATTGGATTCGAAGGGCGAGATCTCATGTATAATATCCACACTAGCACTTAGCAGCACGCTAGCTTTGTGCCTATTGCGCGGCACGAGGTGCAAGATGACGGTAGCAAATGATGCAAACTCCAGGGGCAGGGACAACGCTCGGCGCGGTCTAGCCTACATATCCTGTGCAGTATTCCCCATTGGTTATTAACCACTAGCATCTCCATGTGATACAGGGTGAACGATGTGAGTTCTGGGTAAGCGGTTGTTGAGACGCAAAGTTTGTGCAAAAATTCCCACCAGTCACGGGATGGGGACAAGGTTCTCAAGACTTTTCCAGGCACTTTGGATTCAACCAACGTATTTCATGCGCAGTCGCTACTCGAGCGTCCCAAAGACCCCACCATTGCAGACAAGAGTCATACATAATGTTTCTAACCCGCGTTATACGTTCATTGCTCTCGCAGAGATTGCATCCCAATTGAACCATTCCTATCGTGCCGAAACTTCAAGTGCTTCGATTTCTCAACGCCACTTCCACCCATCGCATCTGGATTGCGCAGTTAAATGTCCGAGAATAACAGACGGGATTAAAAGTAAATACCAGCTGTCTTCAGGTCTGAACAATCATTACTCACTTGGATGCCGGAAGGCCGTACTCCGTCACTCTCTGCCGTCCACAGATGGATATTATCATCCCCAACCGAGCACGGGTTTTTATGTCACCATCCTCAGGCTGCAGCCCTTCATACAAGTGCTCGGCGTTTTGCATCAGTAGCTCTTCGAAGCCCAACCTCCCGCACCATTGATGCCAATATGCCTCAAAAAGAGTCTCCAGATTCTCCTCCTAGTAAAGAAGTGCTATTTCGTCAACTTGAAATGGCCAAACTCAAGGGGAGCCGAAGATCTCTGGTGGCATTATTTGAGCAAATCGTCCACGAGGGCTGGTTAAACGAACTTCCTTCAGAGACCATTCTATTCTGTGCGGAATCGATGCGCTACATTCGACATCCTCATCTTCTCACAGGAAAGCAAGGGATTCTTCTGGTGCAACAAACGGCGCGGGCGCTTGAGCCAATTCTGGATACTCTCCGACAAAGAACTTATCATTCTGACGATATCCTCCTGCGTATTCAGTCTCTGGAGTGCCATCACACGGCCCTTACAGGCAATGTTACAAAGATTGGGACATTGACTCGTCGATTGTTTCTCGCTGCGGCTCCGACGGGAACTCTCGACGATCCCGGAATTGCGGACCTCCTCTTTCGAACCCTAATTCAGTCAATTTGTGCCTATAAGCGAAACAATCACTCGGATTCTGCGAAAGGAGCTCTCTTCTGTGTACTACAATCCTGGACCGTGATGCGTCCATATCTTTTCTCCCAGCAGAGGAAAGCCTACACGGAGAAACTGTACCTTCTGGGGAACGTAATCCGGAAGGAGCTTTTTGACGTGCTTACCCGGTGCATCGAACGACCCGGTGAATGGTATCAAAGTCGGCAGGCCCTGCATACTGAGCAAACGTTCCAACACCTGGGGGAATTGTTGATTGAATGCTATGGAACGCGGGAAATGCCTTTGCACGCTTTGAGTGTTTTGCGTTCGATGCAACAGATTGGCGTCCCAGTTGTGCATTACAGCATGATGTCGGTACTCAAACTCCTGATCTCTCATGATCTGCTTGAAATTGCCGACGAAGTCTATGCAGGCTTTCGAGATCTCATGAAAGCTGACTTATCGTCAGAGGCATTCCTACATGCCAGCCTCCAATACTTCGCACACAAGGGTGATTGCGAAAGTGTGGAGGACATCCGGGAGGAGATGATCAACCGCGGGTACTCATTGAACGCACCACGGATGTTGTGGATCATGCATGTCTACGCCGTAGCAGGCAACCCTGACCGCGTCATCGAGTATTTCGAATCGTTCTTCCCTTCCTGTCCCCAAACCGACTCAAATCCGCAAGCTGTCCGACCAAGCGTCATGCATTTTGCCACAGTTATTTACGCTCAATCTTTAGTTGGTGGCGTGCATGAGATGAATGCATGGCTGGAGAAGATGGTCGAGGCTGACGTATCTCCTGACATCCGAGTTTTTAATCACATCTTGAAGGCATTCTCGCACAAGGAGGATCTGGATGCGGTGGAGGAGACCACAAAACGAATGCGAGCATCAGGAGTCCGCCCTAATCAAGTAACGTATTCGTTACTCATGCGAATGTACGGCCGCCGACGAGACCCAATCAACGCCGAGAACGTCTTCCATCAGTGCCTCAAAGCTGGGCTCCGACCGAACCAGCAGTTAGTGCTCGCACTCATGGACGCTCATGCTGATGCCGGTTCTTGGAAAGGGGTTATACGCGTGTTCGATTTCTTGCGCGCGGAGCACTCGAGCCAGCTCTGGCTTGATGTCCACATTTACAATGTCCTGCTCAAGGCATATGTCCTTGTTGGATCTCCCTTTCCAATCGTATTGCATTTAATGGAGAGTTTTGAAATCAACGGCATCAAGCCTAATCCAACTACCTATCTCCTGGCCGTTCAAGCGGCATGCAATGCTGGGAAGATGGACGCTGCAAGGGATCTCCTGGCCGAAATGTTATCGCTCGGCAATCAGTGGCGTGGTTCTGACCGTTCAGCCTTATGTTTTGCCCATACGATGATGATGGGCACATATTTACGACTAGGTGATAAAGGTGGGGCAAAGGAGATCTATAGCGCGATGCAGAAACAGAACATCGTCCCAACCTCGACTACTTTTGGCATAATCATTCGAGCATACGGAAACGAGGGTACACTGGAAGGATTGCGTCTAGCTGAGGAGTTCCTTGCCGCTTTACTGCGACTTGATCCTGAACAAAAGGATCCCATTTGGACGAGAGACCCTCGCGGCCGCACCCATGCGCTTGAGGACGTATTTGTTCCCATCCTCCAGGCGAATAATCGATGGCACAACTTGAATCATGTCGAACATCACTTTGCGACCCTATCAGAGATGGAGCCTGGCCCACCAACTATCTTGGCGCTCTGCCCATTAATGGAATCATATAGCCGTGCCGGTGATCTGGATGGCGTCAAAGCTGTGTGGGAAAGGATATTCGAAACCGCCCTGTGGGAGACTCGAACCCGTGAGATTCTCCACAGCCATGTTGGCGCACAGGACAAGCCAGGGGCTAGTTTGACAGCAGCGCGGGAAGGCGCGTTGGACGGTTCCCAGGATGAATTACGGAAAGCAGGTCAACGTGCCCAGAGATCGAACATCCTCTGCGTACCATTGTCAACCTACATCTCAGCCCTCTCTGGCGCAGGCAAACACAACGAAGTCGCTCATGTGTGGGCGAAGGTCAAAGCACACGGATTTGGATTTGATTCGCATAACTGGAATCACCTTGCGATATGTCTCGTCCGTGCTGGGGAGCCAGAGCGTGCATTCGAGATCTTGGAGAAAGTCATCCTTCCGTTCCAGGAATTTACCGCTCGAGACGTTGCACAAAGAGAACTGAAACCCGAAACGCCTTTTACGTTTGTTGAGGCAAGTTCAGATTGGCGTGACCCTGGTGATGCAGGAAAGTCGTTCGACCCGCTCCTTGATCACACCCGCCGAGATACGCTGAGCCAACATGCGGACGATTTGGACTTAGGCCGTGCGGGTCCTGCGAAACGCCCGTACCATTTCATCCAAGAGTCCGATTATTACTACCCGGTTGCCTCGCTCAAGCACATTAGCCAAGGAGAATTGGGCGTTAATGCGGACAGTGCTGCGGGCGATGCTGCGGATGATGATTTGGCAGAGGGATTACATTTATATCATCAGATATCGCCTGCGTGGAATCACTGGAAACCGCACCGTATAACCCTTCACGTTCTTGATGCTGTGTTGAAACGCTTGGCTTCGGGAAGGATGATCCGGCCAGCTAACCCATCTGATTCGCTTCAATTGGCGGTGCATGAGGAGCAATCAGTGCGCAATGCAGAAGAACTCCACCGTCGCATCATCGAGAGATTTCCGGCGGCTGTCAAAGCAGTATACGATGTGCGCTACAGGCACAAGAGGGATATAAGGAAGGGGATAAGTCAGAAAGGGTATATGAACCCTATGATGAACTAAGAGTAGGGTGAAGCGCGGTTAGGGCTTGCCTACGAGCATTGAATGTGCGCGAAAGCTGCGATCAAGATGATGTCCGAAGTAAGATAAATGTAATGTAGAGTGAAGAGAGGATAAACCAGCGAAGGTGCGGTACATGTACACTGGCAGTGCTCCCGGCACTACAAATCTAATAACCCGTATATGGAGGCAGCAGATTCTATCCCGATGTGGCAAAAACCGAAAACGCCAAATCGTGAACGCGAGACAGTGAATCAAAATCAGAGGACGGCAAATTACGGTTCATCATCAAGTTCATCTTGATCAGGTCCACCAGAATAACCTCCATCGTAGTTATGGCCAAGTTCCAAGTCCTCTCGCGCAGGACGATTTCTCTATTGGGCAAATTGGACCCAGGTAACCACGCGTGAAACCGCATAGCCGAATGGAAGGAAAAACTCACTGAAGGAAATCGTTGCCCTTGCCTCCCGAACGTAGCAGACAACGGGGTTGTCCCTGATATAGCAAATGTACATGAGAACATGGTGCATCAAAAACACAACGCGCAGATGACCATGGAAAGCTGTTCACCACGCGGTGAATTTCTATTGATCGAAGAGAATGCTCACCAGGTACCCCAGGAAACTTCTTTGGTGGATACACAGTAAACTCGTTCGACCACGCTTCGGCGAGCACCGGAGTCTCTTGGTGTGTGATCTCGCGAGCTCCTATGCTGTTCATAGTAAAAACAAATGAGATGGCATCAAGGTTAGTTTATATATCATTAATTTTGCGTTGAATGAAAGGGGCACCATGGGCCTCCAGATAGGAAGCATGAAGGCAGTGCCTGCGTCGTGGGAAAGGAGAACATTGACTGCACGTACGGGGCAACGGTAAGGAGCTTGACTTTGAGCCGAAATTCTCCTATGCGACGATCACGAAAAAAATGATGCGGGTTAGATCAATTGTCTATACTAAGAAAAGGAGAGGAGGCGGAAGATATTACGCCGACAAGTCAGCGCGGACAGCTGAGGCCGAAATAGGGGAAGGTTCGCTGTGGCTCATCGACGGAGATGGGGGAAATTCTAATTACCTTCGGTTCTTATCGATAGATCCTGAAAAACGAAGAAGATACCCATCCTATCTTGCTCATCCAGTAGCCTAGCCGCGTTTGCATGTATAGGGCCAAGGAGATTGTTCACTTGTGGAGAGTCACAGTCATTTAAGGAAAATCCAGTGGCATCAACGGCACGAGGAGACTGCGAGGAGGGGAGGCGGGGGGATGGCGAAAGTGATACTGGTGAACGATAGTGAGGAGAAACAGATCCTGTTGCTTGAGTCTACATCAGCCCTCACGTCTGCAGTACGGACATCGCCTTCAACACACCAGCCGAGACGCCCATAACGGGAGAGGATGAATGGGTGGAGAAAGGGTCCCCAGGCCCCAGGGCGCGAGAGTGGGTTGATCCAGGGAACTCGGTTATTAGACTCGATTTTCTTACTCGGCTTAAGAAATGAGACGCACTGGAGGCCGATGGTTGCTCCTGGCGCGATAATCTTCTTACATCCACAGCTGCGATGAAGTCCAGGGAAAAGTGATCATGAAGAACATGCGAGGTTGAACAAGAATATGAGATCTAGATGGTAAAACACAAGAGCAGAAAGAAACGAACAATGTTGAGGGTGCGAATGCTCCCAGTATTGGTGCGACCATGGCTCGCTCTGGGCATGGTGTGTTGCAGAAAAAGGGGGATACGCCTCCATGACGCCTGACCTTTGCTGTACGTTTTGCGATGGGGTCGCCGCAGCATTGATGTCAGCTGAGCCTGAAGGACGACCTACTGCACCAGATAGTTCGGAAGCCAACAAAGAGACGTTTTGCTGTTCTGTTGGTACATTTGGAATTGTTCTCCGACGACGGCGTGCACAAGCAGGTTGTGCGGATGAAGCAGACGTACTCGCCGAGGGATCAGTAACCATCGTTCGGTTTTCAGTCGCATCGCTGGTCCAGAGTTCTACCATCGCGACAAGAAAGGCTATATTTACATCCCTGTAGGTTGAGTGGCGAAAAATCATTGAAATCGTCCTCCATCAAAGGGTTGAGATAAAGGGATCATACTCGGGATGGACTATCGAGCCATCTTCCGGACGACGAACCGTGAGCTTTGCGACGGCTGCTGGCGCTAGGGGTCGCCTATCCTGCGATTTACAATATAAGACAGTGAAGATGACGTCTCCGGATGACTGCGTAGAATAATACCTACTTTAGTGCCGAACCCACATCTGACGAAACACAAGTCGCGTCAAAATCTTAGCGCTAGGGATTTGGGTGCCTTCTAGCTCTCCACTCACGTTCGGGCACGAACCGGGCTCTGGACGATTTCGAGATGGTAGCGCAAGCTGGGCAGGATCATAACGAAGGCAAGCAAATAAGGATTGAAGACCGGGGGACGGCAGAGAAGAGTACCGAAGAAAAACGTACTTCTTTCGTTCGGTTCTGCTCCGTGGAGGGGGTCCAGACCGAGCGCCTGGATCTTGTGCATGATAGGAGGTCATCTGGGGGCCGCAACAGAAAGCAACGCCAGCAAGCACTTGCTCAAAGGCTTAGGACTCGAGTACATGACGAAAAGGTTTATGTATGTTTGGATCCCGGTGTGAGTTCGATCAAATGAGATTGATTTTTGAAGGTGGAGACAAAGCGGGTTGTGTACGATCCGGGTCTCCAGTCTGCGAGTACCAGTAGTCTGGTACCAGGGGCACAGCCGTCTTTTCATTAGGCCAAACATAAAGCATAGTTCTGTGGGCTTGCCCCATTGACCAAGAACATTGTCGAGAACGCACCTATCAATTCGGAATTTCGGATTCATTCTATTGAGCGACCAAGCCGTTCATTACAACCTCCCATCATTTCAAGGTGAATCATTTTACTGAATCTCTTCTTCGTTTCAGGTCAGAAAATATATGATATACTTCTACTGGGGTTAATCTTACTACTGAACCCTAGATAATCCATCAGATCAATTCCGCTTGCTGTGTTGGCTGTTCGCCGAAAGGAAAGTAGTGGAGTAACGATGGACCCCGCAACGAAGCGTGAGCTCGCACAGCTTATGGCTCGCGAGGATCTCAACAACCATCGGTGCTGCTCAGTTTCTTTGTTCGGGTTACAGGCACGCTAACGAAAATTAAATGGACCAGCTGTGCAGATTGCGGCGAACGTCTCCCACAATGGGTCTCCTTATCGCATGCAATATGTACGTGCAAACACTAGCCACGCAGCGCCTCATTCACTTCTTGCCACCGTTGCAGGGATATGCCTGAGTTGCGCTGGTGGGTAGGCATCGTTACACCCGCCTAATGATCCCCAATCACCTCGATTCACAAACTCGAACTGATGCCCTGTGTTATGAAAATATCGCGTGGCTCTCACTCCCAGGAATCCATAGGGGCTTTGGTGTCCACATAAGGTGCGTTCTCATTGGAGATTGCAAGCCATAATTACTTAACCTGATCATCAATTTATTCCAATGATCAAGTTTTGTCCGCAGTGCTCAGATGGATGCATTCAGTGCAGACCAGCTTCGTCGCATGAAGGTATTTTCAAACCAACCATACCGATCCAGGCGGACAGAGTCTCACTCTCCTTTTCCCCAAATAGTTGGGAGGAAATGCACCATTCATCCAGTTTCTGAAGACCTACTCACCAAAGGATAAGGGAGGATACTCTCCGGAAATGAGTGTCCGTGATAAATACCATTGCTGGGCTGCTCAACAGTACCGAGAAAAGGCCCGTTCCTTGCTATTTTGGCCGTCACCCACCACCTAATCATTTTCCCCGACCCCCTTTGCCCCAATAGCTGACGGCAGAGGTTGATGGCCAACCATGGGTGCCTTCGTACCCGCTCGAGAATTCGGCTGCTCCAGACCTTGCTCAGGGACTCCGTAAATCTCGGGGACGCTCTGGTGTGACGCATGACGATCAGACATCAGTGGAGGGATTTTCATCTGAGAGGGGCCGCCTGATTCCTGCATCCCTGGACGAGAAGGCAGCAAAAGAGGCTTATTTTGCATCTCTCGGTGCCGTGCGTCCTTTGACTTCACTCTTTTTTCGATTCTCGAAGGCGATTCCCTTTAGGCAAATGCGACACGCTCCGCCGATCTCCCCCCCTCACAAGGAGGGCGCTACGCAGGTTTTGGAAACACACCAGAGACCTCTTCAACCCAACACACATCCGCTGGCCTCTCCTCCGCCACTACATCATTGAGCGAGATTCAAGCTGATCCCATGGCAGCCCTAGGCAAGGGCTGGTCTTTATTCTCGTCCGCTGTCGTTGGAGCCTCGCGTGTCGTCAATGAGAGTGTCATTCAGCCAGGCGTAGAAAAATTAACGGATCCCAACTTACGCGATGATATCGTCCGCGGGGTGAGCTCCTCCGCCAAGAATGCTAACGAGTGGGGTCGGGCTCAATTGGGCGTGGACGTTGGTGGACTGTTTGCCGGAATCGCCAATACGAGGGGCTCGTATGCAGCGATTGACCCACAGGGAGATCATCCCGAGGACGAACATTTGACTTCGGCCCTCTACCCGAATGCAGGGGACGATGATTTTTTCAAGCAACTCAACGATTACGCCCCGAAAAACAATGACGCCAAAACGTCTGCTGCGGTTTTGTCTCAAGGAAACAGAACAACAACGGGTAATGAGGGTCGTGCCGAAAAGACCAATGATTGGGGTGACGATGAATGGAAAGATTTCTGATACATATGCACGTTCACACTGTCGTTTCCTTGGGAGGCATTGGACACTCTTTCATAGAATGGACCGAAATGGCACGAACTGGGTGATAATGACCAGGATGTAGATATCGGGATTCGAGTGAGGAACAGGGCTAAATGAGAAGACGTACTACCTCAACTAGCAATGGATTGTTCAGGAGATTATTTGTCGAGTCGATTATGGCTGGCGGGGTTGCCAGTAACTAATCGAAGGAATCACCCCATTAAGACCAACGCGGCTAGGCTCTCAATGAAGGTTCAACGAGGAGTCCCACAAGGTGATTCACCAGGTTTTCAAATAAATGATTTTCAAACTTATACACGACAGGGAGGAGCTCAAGGGCGCGGTTAGCTGGTTCCCTGGACATAATATGATATGAAGAACGAACGTGCGGACGGACTCGCCAAAGCAGGCGGGCTACTCAGGGTGAACAGGACGCGATACAAACCCTTACCCTGTGGGAGGTGTACACAAACGCGAAAAATGCTGGGGATACGGCTGCACCCCTCCTTGGGATTCCGCATGAGTACTCTTGAATCATTCGATTGGGCACTGCCATATGTCCATTGGTATTATAGATAAGGAGCAAAACCAATATCTATTGGCATGTAGATAATTAGGAGTTTTCATTTTATATAATATGGGGAACACTACAACAATTTGGATCTATACAGATGCCAAGAGCTGTGACTGCAGTGCGGAGGCCCAGATAGAATTCGCGTTCTCGGGTTGTGTTCATGGGCATAAGGAATCCAGATATTTACTGGGTCGAAGACACCAGGCCAAGTTCATGAGTAAGCCGAAAGACTAAATTGACCACACTTGGAGTGGCCGAACATAGAAACCCCAAGCACCCCCAAGAGGAGGACAAGAAAATACACACCCAGGAGATAGGGAGCAGGGCGATAGTGGATAGAACGGCGGCAAGAGGGGTTAGACACACCAGCTTGCGTACACATCCAACCCAGTCAATACGCTTGACGACACAAAACCCGAGTATTCGTATGTATTCAATGTTGCGACCGTCATTCCATTGCTTGCCGTGTGAATCTGACCGATACATGGTATCGATGTCACCGTAACCATGAGATAAAGTGTGAGCCTCACAGATTAGCGTTGAGGAGTTCTTTCTTGTCATCGTGCCAAATGCTGCTATTAGTGGGAATATTCATGATCAGCCTGATTCTCGCTTACGATTTGTAACCGACGGCTTATCATCCAATCCCTACCATGGCTCTTTGTCAACTCAACGGTATGCGGTGTCTTGTAAGCCATATAAACACACAGCCCGTGCATACGGGCCAGACGCGAACAGACCACGCAGGACTCGTCACACAAATTACAGGTAAATCGGAAAATGCCGCGAAGTTGCCATCCCATATCTGGCAAGTCTCCCCCGATTTGTTCAGCCGTGGGCCCGTTCACACATGCATAAATGTTGTTACCAGTGGCAAACTCACCCCTACGTTTTTTTCCCTACACGTCACATGGCCCCTCTTTAAACATGTAAGTATGTGCTCCGAGCTTTGTCTCCATGAAGTCAACAGCCATATCCAATCTCCATCGAATCTGGCGCGCCGATCGAAGCTGTCCGCGCATCACGTATATTTCGAGCCTCGTTCTCGAATACCTAATATCCAATGTCTTCCTAAGCTCTGGCTCTTCCCACGTGACCCTGCTCTTGTCGATGTGTGGCAGCATAGTTAAACGCGCTTAATGTATATCTAGATCGTCATTCTGACCATTCGAGGAACTTGATCTTTAGCTACTCCAGAAGGTCTTTTGGTCTATATGCCTCAATGCGGCAAAACCCCGCGACTTAACAATTAATTCTGGGCCCAATGGCCCACATGTGAACTTGAGAGCAATGATCGGGAGTGAGCTCTTTGCTTTGGTTCTCTCACCCTCCACGTCTAGTAGCTTGAGCAACGCGATCATTGACTGCTAGCGATTCCGATGCGCTGCGGCGTCGCGATGTTCAGAAACTGGCCTCACATGCTCAGGGAACTCAAACGATGGCCCTAAACTGCTGGGCGGGTCTGAGGCACCATCGCGTTTTCATGGTAAGACCCTAAATAACTTCTCCGGGATTGCCGTCATTGGGATCATTTGGGTGTCGCGTTATACGCAATTTTGTGCCGTCATGTCATTGCGCTGAAATGCGTGTAAGAGCTCCAGATCAACAGTGTGTTGACCCGATTGCACATTCAATTTTCCATTTTCCACCTCGTGTATTCAGCATGTTCCGCCATTGTCAGCCTTTGCTTCTACCGACCTTGATCAACTATCCCTCACTATCTGCAAAGCCTGCAAAGATATTGACAGTGCCAAATTACCTAATAAGGTGAGGGTCCGGAAGCAAATTCGTGATTGGGCGGGAGCGCGTTCTTCCTCAGCTATGCCTAAAATCATTCGACAACTTTCGTCGGTGACACGTAGCCGCCTAAGATCAACCCAGATATTGACTTCTATCCCACAAATTGTCTCTGAACTTGTACAAAATTCGATAGATGCTGAAGCATCTCACATCGACATTGGCATAGACTGCGCCCAATGGACATGTTGGGTGCGCGATGATGGAGTTGGGATCCCTGTTGAAGACCTGAGACAAATGTCGAAAGCAGCCGATAGCGCAAGATATAGTAAGCACAATTTTATGAGAAGAATACCTTGACTGTCAAAAACATAAGACTGAGGATGGCGTGAACCGATATTACCTACCTGTTTTCACTCACGGCTCACTACTTTGACTACTATGGCAGGGACATCAAAAATGCACCCGTCTGGTGAATCTAGTATAATGTCCATGTTTGGGTTTCGTGGGGAAGGTATGTTTTTTTTTTCAATGCGAGTCAACGCAGTCCCACCTAGCTATCTACAGCCCTTGCTTCTGCTGCCGAAATAGCTTGTTTAGAGATATCGTCCAGGACAGCAGAGGAAAATGAAACGTGGTCTGTTATCTTCAAGGGAAGCTGCCAAATCATGTCGTGACATCTTGATTGTTCTTGATGGCATCTTAATTCCCTTACCTTCGCTTTGGCGAACGATAGGGTGGAAAGGCTCTGTATTTTGGCAAGTCGTTGCGATGGCGTCGGGAGCGCCCCGGAACAGTAGTTTGCGTCCGAGAGGCCTTTTATAATGTGAGGGATCCTACATAACCTACAGAAGGGACCTCAGACTCAGACATCGTATGCAGCTTCCAGTCAGGAGAGTATCACATATGTTGCCTGCACGCACAATTGACGCGGTGGCAAGGGACCTGCAGTCAATTGCGTTGGTCTTCCCCCATGTGTCCTTCACGGTCGAAAGTGTTAATGCAACCGGAGGTAATAGCGAGGAAAGTCGGAAGAAAAGGATTCTAACGATAGCCAAGGTATTATTGTTCGGCTGATTTGCCACCAGTTTTGTCTAACACCCGTTGGAGACCAACTCAATGTTGCATGCATTTCGGACCCTCTTTGGTCGATCGCTTGCTGAGGTACGGTTCCCTAATGCAGTTCCCTTCCTTTTACTGAAGCCTTGGACTATTCTAGAATGTAGAGGAGTTAGCTGTAAGAGATGGGGAGGTTCAAATCAAGGGGTTTATCAGTCTTTCCACCTCCTTCTCGAAGGCAAGTCTTCTGGATTGCCAACTCGATCTTCATTTGTGCCATTATTCCTCTGACCTTAGGGGCACCAATTTATTTGTGAGTGCGTGGTGCGTCCCTGTCTGGTACCTGTTCTAACCTGTTCCCGGTCCCCAAAGATGTCAATTGTCACTTGCTTGCACCTTGTGAGTTACACAAAATCATTGAGGATCGCCTCGCTTTCAACAGAAAGGTCCGTTGTCTGCTCCACATTGTAGGTGGCAGTTCTAATAGTATGACAGTCTGAAGGGGAGATCATGCCTGGCAGCTCAGGTGCGCCGTTTTTAGCTGCAAGACAGGAATCCTTCTTAATTATATGACTCTGCTCAGTCCGACGCTCGCCGCAAAAGCGGCTGAGGCATTCCGTTTATGCGCTCAATATTGAAGTTCCACCACAAACTCTGGACTTGTGCCTCGCGCCTGCCAAAGACTCGGTTCGCTTCCAAGTGTGTCACTATACATTTGCATGTGTGCTCAAGTACAAACTGACTGTCACGCCCAGAATGCCAATGTTGTGTGTTCGCTTCTGGCAACAGCTGTCGAGTTATTTCTTCGCAACCAAAGCTCACTCTTGACGCCCCGTTCGTCATCAAGTGACCACTACGCAAAGGGGACCCGATCTTCCCCACCCATGAGAACTTCGACGATTCAGGATGCGGACATCACTGTTTCGATTCCATTGGCGGCCGCATCAAGCAAGCGTGATGCACATATCAATCACCTCTTTCGCCACGACTCTTTCAGGACTCCTGATCAACAATCATGCTCGGCTCCAGACCTGCGAATGCTGTGCAATTCAGAACCGTGGACCAAACTCCCCGTGCGTCAGAGCATTGTTCCAAACTGGATTGGTAATATCGACAGCGGCATCACTAAATGGAAGGACCCTTCTCGCACCAGCAATTCAAGTGATGCCGACTCTCTTGTGTATCCAGACGTCCTCTCTTACACTCCAGGCATGGATGGCCGGCGAGATCGGCTAGCTTCAGGAGGATTGCAGTTGGAAACATCTCACATTGATCGGACTGGCCTCAAGAGATGGAGAGTGCGAAATGAAAGCCGATCTACGATGGCTCAAGGCCGAGTGGAGCTCGATTGTATCAATGACATGGATAGCTCGCATCAACCTTGGGGGATGGAGTCGGAATGGGTGACTAACCTCCTCTTGGTACGTTGAATCAAGGCGGTGTTTGGGCGCTGGCTAAATCGTCCAGGAATGGGAAAATCCCGTCTTTAAAGCGGGGGAACAGGATATTCCCTTGGTAACCAGCTCCCTTATTGATGAACACAATTCTGGCCTCCCGCTTCTTGCTTCGCTCGTCGGGCGTTCGCATAGTTACCCCGCAGCAGCGGCATCTGAGGCGGTCCGGACGGGAGATTCTTCACCATCCAGGCGAAGCAAATTTTTTTCGAAAAATCCTGCCCTTTCAACACGGGGAGCTGGTCGTGGCAGCGAGGGTATACGTTCGACGTTATCAGTTCTGAGCCGTTTCTCCAGCAACAATTTGAGAGATGCAGATGTTATCAATCAAGTGGACGACAAATTCGTTTTGTGTAAAATGCCTCACATCAGGGATTGGTTGGAGCTGGAGTCCATGCCCTTGCATGGCACTGCCCAGATCGTGGCCCATTCACAAGTCCTGATCTTGGTGGATCAACACGCGGCTGATGAACGAATTCGGGTCGAAAAGTTCCTGCAGGAAATCTGCACAGGATTCTTATTTGGTGACATTGGGCGTCGCACCCTTAGCGCCACCAAAGCTCGTGGGCCTCTCGGCCCGAGAAGCATTGATTCTGGAAGTGGCCGAATCGTACTAACCTTATCCGAGGCGAAACTTCTGCAAGGAAATTACGAATTCGGTGAGCATGACCGATCTGGCAGCGGAGCTGGAGCGCTCCTAGATAGATGGGGTTTTGGAATCGACCTTCGAAGTTTGCAAACTGCTCTCAGCCTTGCTAAGCAGGGTTCTGACTATGTCCAAATTCAAATAATTAGCGTGCCCGAGCTCATTGCCGAAAAGGCATGTGGGTTCTCTGGAGCTTTGATGCACAATCTCTGATTGCAGTGGCACAGCTTTTTGACGGTGACGAGTTGCAGGATCTCGTGAGAGGGATCATCAACCGATTCAATGATGACGCCTCTTTAGGCGGGTTGCCAGACATCATTCAAAGAGATGCCATCGATTCGACAGAGCTAAATGGGCCAGCCTATTGGATGAGGGCCTTAAGATGGTGTCCCAAAGAACTGATTGATCTCATCAACTCGAAGGCTTGTCGAGGTAATTGACTACGCAAGACTTTCCCGACCGTTGACTTTTAATCATCCCTTCCTAGGGGCCATCATGTTCAATGATGCCTTGACAAAAGAGCAATGTGATCGCTTGATCTTTCAGCTCTCTCAGACCACGTTCCCTTTTCAGTGCGCTCATGGTCGGTACGTCAATTTTCCCAGAACCTAGCACCTGTGCCGGTGGGTGATGACACAAACCGTTCGCTGCTACAAGTGCTGAGTTGCTGATCGAAATCTCTAAGTTTGTGCACTCACGCTCAGTCAAACAGACCATCTCTAGTTCCCCTTACAAGTTTCGGTGGTCCGGATCGTCGTCCCAGAACGGCGGCTGTTGATTGGGAAGCTTTTCAGCCTCTGTGAGATACGCACCCGTTCACTGCGCGCCTCACATCCGTCGTTTACTGCACCGTCTCGTCATACTTGTTGAGTAATGTCTAGTATGGCCATTAACAATGGAACGAATACCGGAAACTGGCGCCTACATCATCTACGCAGCGCGTGCTCTAGGCTCTGCCGGATCTGCCCTCGTGGTCTGGTCTAGGTCCCCATATTGCATTCTCTCGCGTATGGAGATATCATTTTGGGATGTTCCCTCACCTCCATCTGCGCGCAATATTCGAGATACCCATGTTTGGGAAGTGAATGCTTCCCTGCCAAACCAGACATGATCATCTAAGGAAAAGGATTACGTAATCCGGCTACATTGAACGACCCGAAAGATGCTGCAAGTCCGACTGGACATGAAATATGTTACGCGTAACAAATATTGTTGCTACGATATAAGGAAAGAATGCCAGTTGGTCATCGGCTTTGTGTGCCCAGCCTTGGTCTGTTTGAAGGTTCATAAACATTTGGTCTTGGCTCTGGAAGAACCTCTCTCCCTGGGTCGGTCGCCCGACTCTTAAGGAAGCCGTCGGCACCGAGTTGCAGTCCGGCTAAACAATCGTGCGATGAGCTGGCTATCGGAGCCGCTCATGCCCCAAGATAGTGTGAACCCGTTAAGCAGCTAACGCCCCTGAGCCTCAGGTTTTAAAAATATATAAGGCTATGACGCGTGAGTTCTCAGACTCGCATAAGAGGGAGTCCAAAATGCACCCTTCTTGTACGCGAGCTACACCAGTGGCGAGCCCGTCGCATAAAGAGAAAAAGGGAAAGTTCAAGCCCCCAAACCTTTCACTTCGCAACCAACAATGAGATCCCTCCTCGAAGTCCTCGCCACTCCGTCGTCGGAACTGATTGTTGATACAACATCAGGCTACTTCATTTCTGATGAGCAGCACGCCCAAGGCCGGCGACTACGGGGAGTACAAGGGTCCGAAACTTTGGTATGAGGCATTGAGGCTTCTGTTCTAATAGAGGCTGATCACCTGCCCAATTGAGGCTGGCTACAAATGAAGTCGACGCGGCAAGCCATTGCGATATCTTCCAGGACGCAAACGTGTTCTAGTTGGTGCTACTAGGCTTTTATTGTCAATGGTCCGTTCATTAACAAGTACGGAGTTGTGTAAATCTGGCCGACAGCTTTTTGGACTTTGTTTGTTTGTTTGTTTTATTCTGCGGTATGTAGCATTGTCGGCGTTGATCCCACGTCGGTGGGTCGCTGATAGCACATACGTGAACAATTTTCTGCCGGTCGGGAGCGCGCGGAGTCAACCAAGAGTCCAAAAAGCTCCTGCCCTTGGCGCTCGTGTGAGCAGCCTGAAGTTTTGCAGGTTAAATATCCCCCGGACTCCAAGGTTGGCTCATAATCCGTCTTGACCAGATCAACTCCCACAGTCAGGCGTTGTTGCCGCCCATCATGTATACTATGATTATTCTCTTCTTGTTCCATGATTCTCATATTTAAAGACGCGGGGTGAGACGGAAAGGGTTTCAACCTTTCCTCTCACCCCGTTGCGTATACCTTCATTCGAGCTAATCGTTGACGGTTGAGGAACGAGGCCCTTACAACGTTACTTCGAAAGGGGCAAGATAAAGGATCATTCCGTTATGCTTCTGGCTATACACCTTCCTTTCACCGACTTCCGCAGGGGCAGGTAAGGCAGCAAACTATGACTCGGCTGCAGCTGCCATGGCTTGGATTGTTTTCCGATCGGGAGAGCAAGTTCACCGATTTGCATTTTTTTTCTTTCATGTTGGGATGACCACTTTGGAAGAGACCGGTGCCTTTCGGCTTGTTTTGGAGCTGTTTGTTGAAACCCCCTGCAGGCACTGGCAAGTGACGCAAAGCCTCACGTTCGTGCCGTTGGTGGCACTTGCGAATCGTGGATTAACGTCATTGTTGTGCCAATGATGAGGCCTCTCTGCCCAGATACTGGTTGTCAGCAACACTGCTTCAGTAGAACGATCCTCAGATTTCCCAACATCTTCGACTCATCGGGCATATCCTGTCGATTGACGCATATTTTATCCCAGTGCATGGTCCGGAAAAGATTCTAGTACAAGGAAAAGGCAATCGATTCTGGACCGCTAGAGCAGTGAGTTTAATCCGGCATGATAACATATGTGATTACAACAATCAAGAAGTCAGAGTGACAGTTTCCTTATTCAACCAATTCATCTGAGAGAGTTACGAAATCTGCCATGGGGTTGGGGTCGTCATTTAACCCTACTTTAAACCGGCCGTACTGGAATAACCGCTCCCTCAATCGCATCATGTACCCAGGCATGAAGCTACGCCCGATGCTCCAAACGATGCGTACTTTCTTGCGATCAGTGAGGATGCACTCCAGCAACCCCTGCAGCTCTTCTGCAGAGCCGGAGAGTGACTGTCCATCGACAAGAATACCGTTAAGGTGGAGTAAGACTAAATCGGGACATCGGACGAACGGTGTCGATGTAGGAGATGTGATATTGCTGGCATCACCGCTATCGCAGCCTCGAGAACACGCGGCTCAGATGTGAAGGCGCGAAGGATCTCGGGACTGAACCTTGTTGAAGTCAGCTCGACTGCAGTAAGGAAATGTTGATTCGTCAAAAAATCTGCCATCTTGCGACGCCAAATCTCAGGACGCTCGTAGCCGGCAAACTTGATGCGCACCGTCCTGAGATTAGGGAAAGGGTATCGATGTTCCGGTGCCAGAGATGTCCAAGCATCCTCCGTAAAGGGGGGAAGTTCCGACGAGGTCATAAGGTGTTTCACGCCGGGGGATAATGCGAAATACGTTTGAGGCATTAGATCTCCTGAAAGTTCGAGGATCTGAGGGTAGGGTGTTTCAACTAATGTGGGCAAGAGTCCAATCCCTCCTCCGATGAAACCGAGACCGAGGCGCTGCAACTGCTCGCATGACGCGCTGAAGAGAGCGTGGTCCCTATAGGTCGAAGGATTCGCCTGAACATGTGACACGAAAACTCGGAGGTGAAGCGCCTCCACGTTTCGCAATGATACTCGTGCCCGGACACATCGAATGGAGAAATACAGGAGTGATTTGAAGGATGTGCTCACGGAGAGAATATTTGATTCGGGGACCCAAACACTTTCACGAGGGTTCGTGACCGAGACGTTCAGTTCACGGAGACAGGAAAGGGACGGGTCCAGCGGGAAGAGATGGTGAGGCACTGTGAATGTATCATCCGTTATATCCAGTCGGACACAGCGGTGAAGATGAGGGCGGATCAAGCTCGCGAACATTTCAGTAAGCGCAGAGTCCTGTAAATACAACTCAACTTGAATACTGAGTTGAGCGCCTTTGGATCTCTCTAGGAATATTTCGATTTGGCCCAATGATGTTCTTTGTCGGTCCTCAAATGCATGGCATGTATTGATAAACTGAATATGCGTCCATAGCAGGGGCTCGCCCAAAGCAACCTCGCGCCATAAAGTGCAAACTTGGGCAACCTCCACCCCGAATGATGGGTCATACTGACCATTCTGTGCTCCCCCCCATCCCTGCAAAAAAATCGCAGCGAGAAGCTCATTGGGAAGTGTCGAAACCAAAGCAGACGCGTTATGCCTTTGAAGCTCTGGGGATCGATCAAGGATGGTGGGAACGGAGATGAGGGACTCCATGTTCGTCGAAATCCTACACTTCAGAGTTCGTCAGCGCTCGAACGTGCAGGGGTGTTCAAGGAAAGGGGTTCCAATTCCGCATAGCCACCAGGGGCAGAAAGAGTTGGCCTCGGTCAGGCTGCACTCGGCATGCCGAACAAAGAAGGGACACCGTGAGAAAGAGCGGCCACGCATGGCCATCACTTCTCTTCATGACGGGCATGTCATCAAATCAAAACCAAGCACTATGTACAGAAGATCCCTAAGCGAGATGCCCAGCTAATCGGCATAGAAACCCCGCGACACGTTGGAGCGGAGTGAGTGCCCATTGTCATTAAATACTCGAGGCTAATTACCGGGTTGTCAGGTTGAAACTAGACTTCAGTCGCCGCCGTCGTGCAGCTGGGAAACATTTGTTCTTGAAATCCTTTCCCTGAAATGACATAGATTGACCGAAGAACCCAAAGCTGCATTCGTCTCCAATCAATCAAAATTCGTTCCAATTGCTATAACAAGCAAGAGGATGAGTCTGTCCATCCATTGATGTTATCAAAAAAGGGCTGTCCGGTTTCTTTCTGATCATTGCGAACGGGTTTCGACGTGGCGCGCCCATCTGCAACCCTGAACGTTCTTTGCAGAAGATGCTTTTGATGTTTCACTACTCGTTTCTAGGGGCAGTGCTTGCAGCAACCATGCGTACTATTCAGGCACCTCCGCGCAAGGACGCTGCTGTGGTATCGAAGGCTTTGATAGCCCTAACACAGGACCTGTTCTCCCATGCGCCAGGCCTCTCTCAGAACCACACTTCCTCGTCGAGATCGTGTTGGGGAACCAACACGATGTTCCCATTTGACAACATAATCTCAGAACCCGGTCACTTTACTATCGAAGATTGTATGTGAAAAGCGGTTGAATTAAGCCTACGATGGAAGGTTTCTTTTCCTTTCTAGGATGCGGCTCAGGGTACCCGGAAGATAGTCTAGAAACTCATATATACTCGCCCACATCGCGATGGCAGGTCGCCTTGCTTGTCGAAGACCCATTCCCAGTAACCATGATTTATACCGGCGAGCCGTTTCCAAAACCTCCACTCCAGAAATCCATTTTTGAGGTTTGCCTAGCTCACGAGGTTTCGATTGAGCACAAGCCTGCCTTCGTGGATGCAGGGATTGCCAAGGCGCTGACTCGCTCGCAGTTAAGAGCTGATGCACTGCGGATAGCCTATGGTATTCGGCACCTATCTCAGCTAGGTCTCGGCGAAAGCTTGCGAAGGGGCGACAAAATCATGTTGTTTTCCCAGAACAGCATACCTTACATTCTCATCTGGTTTGGAGCTCTGGCTGCGGGAACCCCTATCGCCCCTTCGAACGCAGCGCTAACGCCCAATGAAATTGCACACCAGCTTAAGCTCACTGAGCCTCGATTGTACGCTGTACACCCAAACCTTTTGGACGTGCTGCTCGTAGCCCTCAAGACGATCGGGATAAGCGAGGAAGTATGGCGTAAGCGTGTTGTGCTGCTGTGCGAAGATAGTGCAGTGCCTGCCAAACTTCGCCAACAAAAATTGAAGACGATCTCGAGTTTTTCCGATCATGGGAACTCATTTGAACCGGAGAAGTTTGAAGGTCCAGATTCGAAGGAGGTGCGTTTCTCATGACGCCTCTAGTCTGACTAATTCGCTGACCCGTATTATCATCTGGAAGCTGGCCATGGTTTTCTACAGCTCTGGTACCACTTCCTTGCCAAAAGCAGTTGAAATATCACACAAAAACCTCAGCTACCTTGTGGCTTGCGTTGACCTCAACTTCGCCTTAGAGCGAGACGATATAGTCCTTTCCTTCCTCCCGTATTTCCATATTGCCGGGACGGCGGTACGTACTCCATGGGGTGCTCAGCGCCGGTCTTTCGCTTACGGAGTTATTCAGATCGTTTTCCTCACCTCCTTGTTTGGTGGACGCACATGCATATTCTCAACATGGTCGGGATTGAACAATCTCCTTCATGATGTCCAAAAGTATAGAGCCAATGTCCGATGCGTCCAAGTTTCTCGATACACTCGCTCACCCCATCTCCAACATAATAGGCCTTGCTCTGTGTTCCTCCCCAAATTGCCGCATTGGGAGCCGATCCATGCATAACTCATTATGACCTTCGCTCACTCAAATTCTTGGCCACGGGGGGTGCACCTATTAGTGGTTGGCTGATGCACAGATGCCACGATCGCCTGAAACGAATCGCGCACCCTGACTTCCGCCTAAAACAGATCTATGGATTGAGCGAGACAAGTGCATATGCTTCATGGATGCTTTGTTCGCTTCCGCATACTGATTCGGAAACCGTTTTAAATAACTCATAGCCGGCTTCGGGCTCAGTTGGCCGCGGGACTATAGGGGCACCGACAAATTTGCCTCAGTTGGGAGACCTACATACGAGATTGAAGCTCGTGTGGTGAATGAGGATGGCAAGGATGTGCCACAAGGTCATTCGGGTGAAATCTGGCTGTCTGGACCGCTTGTAATGAGGTACCACCCTTATCCAGCAACCCCCAGGGTATGGTTTGACCCGGCCAATTTTTATTTCCCATACAGGGGTTACTTTGGGAATCCGAATGCTACGCGTGACACCATGGATGGAAGATGGTTCAAGACTGGAGACATTGCCTTTGTTGATAAAGATGGCTACTTCCACATTGTGGATCGACAGAAGGAACTCATCAAGTATCAAGGATATCAAGGTCAGCTCGTCTGGCTTTGATTTACTTTATTGGTGCTGTTGTGGATAACTTGTTGGACAGTACCTCCCGCCGAGATTGAAGCCACTCTCGGGAGTCACCCACAGATCGCGGATGCAGGGGTCATCGGAGTTATGTCAGCGGACGGTTCAACTGAGCTTCCAAGGTAAGACGTTATTTCTCTTTGATCATCACCCAGTGTTCAACTGTGTTCCTCTAATACAGGGCGTACGTCAAGCCGAATGATCCTTCCTTGCTCAAAGATCCAAAGTTCCCAACATCCATCCAGAAATGGATCAAAGGCAAAGTGGCTTATTACAAGGAACTTCGGGGAGGTGAGGGAGCGTTTGCCTTCTGATCGATTCGTATGATGCTGATGGCGGGGATGACTGTATGTAGGTGTAATAGTTGTCGACAATATACCGCGGACGGCGGCTGGAAAGATCCTTCGTCGAGATCTTCGTGAGCTTGCGAAGAGGGCGGCGTCGGCTGAGTCAGACAAGTCAAAGCTGTAAAGCACCGAAATTCATGTCAGTCATGTATGCTGGAAACGTCAGGCTTGAATTCGTAAGAGGCAACGCAGCGCTTCACGGTCACAAGGTGGGATGCGAATTTTTGGGCTAGGGTTCGAGTGCGTTTTGTTACTGCACCGAAGAAGTCGGTCTGTGAAATCCCAAGGGAGTTTGCAGAGGCTTCAATGCACATCACCATGAGCCAGGTGGCCCTCTTCCCACCGTCAGCTGGTCTTGTATCATAGTGTGTATGATTCTCCTAGACCCGCGCTTCGCACTTGATGTCTCTAGCGAATCACACACAACTAGCATTGGTCCAAAAAAAAGGAATCCTCTCCCTCAGAAGTCCCTGTTGGGTAAGTTCGTTCGCGAACACCCCAGGCCCCCTGTCGTGTTGCATGCCATGCATCAATAATGTCCTCATGATCCATCAGTGACCCGCCACCAAATACATATATGCGCTGCCCACAGTACTTCACCAGTCCTCGGGTATCAAAACAAAGGAGCAACCGTTAACTCCGCGGCATCGCTACAGCTCTGGCTGCAGGACATGGCCGGAAGGAATAGCGGCAATAATGAATTGCACTTAACAGTTCGCCGTAACTTGATCCTTGTCTATTATTTGGATACACATATCGCTTATATGGAGACCCCTTGCCCCGAACCTTACAGTTTGGATCGACGAGGGAACGGCTAGCTGGAATACATGTAGTTGGAAGGAAACCCCACTCGACACGATTGGACTGACGAACGCGAGAACAGAAGGTAGGAAACAGTGGGGAACATTTATACAACTTGTGAATAGCGACGTGAGCCCACGAGGGAAAAAAAGAACAGGGAAAAGCCCAGAAGATCCGAGATGAAATCCTGTACGATCCATGGATCCCCGGAGCAATCCGATGGTCCGTTTGGGATGGAAAAGGCAAAGTACAAGATGGGTGGGCATACGCGAAGGACGTGTTAAAAGCAGGGGGAAAGGAATGGGATGTCATGAGTAGAGACTAAGGCGGCTAGGACGATACGATAAACGGCCTAGGATTATAACTCGACAGTTTGATGTTGTGACAGGATGATGGGGGAGTAAAATTGCTTGGCGAAAAGAGCCAGGTTTATGGGTATCATGCGACCGGGCGAGAAATGAAATCAAGAGAAAAAAGGACGAAAGGAAGGAAACCAAGGGGTCCATGTGGATCGATCCCTGTGGGTTGGAGATTGAAGAAAGAAAAAGCGGGCCTATAGGTCCATATTCTCGCACGGATCGTCGGCACCGAAGTCATCTGAGCTAATACTTCCACAATCGCTCATATCTTCTTCTTCTTCATTTTCACCGCCGTCTTCATCCATGGCGTCGTCGCTCGGTGCTTCGGATAACGATGAAGATGACTCGCCTTCCTTGGTAAGTTCCTTTCCTCGGGACTTTGGGCTATCCCCCGGAAACTTTGATGCATACTTTTGAACATACACTAGAGGGGGTTATAAAAAATCTACCCGTGCAAAGAACTACCGCTGTAAGAAGCTCACGCTTCACTTTTTCCTCATATGCTTTGGGTTCTCGCATGAGCATGTTAGCAGCTTCGCCATTCAGTGGATCGCTGGGATTTGGGTAGCGCAAAAGTTGTGGTAGGAATTGCTCGAAAATGTTGAGCATATCTGGTATAGGGAAATGATGTTGAGTAGCTTGTTGAAGTGTTCAATGATAGACGATGTTCCTACCGAACATTGGGGACCAAGTTTGATTAATGACGTCCAAACATACTGATCCGCTCCTATTTTTGTCGCATCAACAGGTGGGGACGACATGATCAGAAAATGAGATGAAATTGCGTGATGGGAGTATTAATCAGCTCCCAATCTTGTCTCGGTTTTCTAAAAAAAAAACATGAAGATTGGGCGGTGATGCTCACAATTCGTCAATATTCGGGTGGAAAATCTTGTTCATGAAGCCGATACTCGGACTCTTATATGGATACTGTTCCGGCAACTCCACGTGAACCTTCCACACGCCCCCAGCGAAAGGAGCTGGATTCGTCGATTCGCCGTATAAGAAATCAGAAGGGGTCAGGGGGTCAGTGATCGATCGCCATCGGTTCGGTTTGGGACAGCCAGCAGCGGGTTGGGGGAGTGTGTGAAAAGGAGGTTAGATCGGAAGATGATGATGATAGCTGTACGTACTTTCTTCAGGACCCGGGAATCGGACGTAGAATTCGAACATAGAGTCATTCACGAGTTGAACGTCGAACTCGGACATGCATCTGGGCCACGTCGTGGAAGATAGGAGGGGTGGTTGTTTTGTCTCATCCAGACGATTAGTCAGAGCGACGATAGGACTTACAGCTTCATGACATCGGTTTGCATACGTCGATTCCCTGGAGAGCTGTGTTGAAGCGGGAAGTGCGGTCATCAGGACAGGAGCTTGTCGTGTAAGGCTTAGCAGGAGGGGATACTCATCATTGTTGTATATCCGTCTCTCAGGGCAGCTTTCGACCGGCAGACAAGAAAGCGAAGAGAAAGTCCTCTGAAATGTCGTTAACGTTTACCCGGCTGGATTTTCGAGCAGAAGCTTTTAGCGGCAAACTCTCAGGTGTTGCGTGATCAAGTGCCTCTAAGCCGTGGGTACTACAAATTCAATCGAGTCGAGTTGGCAGTCCAGATCTTTCCCTATGGGACTTGCCGAGTTTCCACAACCCTTGGGAGCGTGAAAACAAGGGAATGTTTCTTCCTTCCCGGTTCTGCCCAGATTAGTTTCGCAGAATTCTTCGCTACAATCGGAGTACATGCCAAGAGATTTCGGCCTAGCGTGGTTGAATCAATGGCCAACGGGACAAGGTCACGCCAGACATTCCCTGTGTTACGATTCTTTGGCGAATTGACCGTGTTTTGTAAAGTTGCGTGGGATTCTCCTCTGGGTGTCTAGTTTCTTCAATCTTCGGTTCTGAATGGCTGGTCCAGCGCGCTTTTCAGGATCGGCAGCCCCGTGTACCTCCAGTTTCTACTTGCTCTCACCAGTGCTTCCTGGTTTCACCAACATTCCCGTGGTTTCCGGGGAGGTTAGGGATGTCTTTGATTCGTCGTCTTTCTCGTATTCAATATTCATAGATGCGGATGAATTGACCTTTGCGTGTCCACGGTTCTGTCTGCCAATAGGCGTACATCAGTACATGCCATACACTTGGAAGGACGCTTCTGGGTTTTTCCTCCAATGTGTGTGGAATATGGATGAATGTTGACATGGGGGTTCTAGTGCCAGATAGAGGAAGAAGATGACATCCTGCACGCCCATGAAACTGCCAATTCAATTTGTTCCGGTTCCACCACGCTGTGGCTAATCTGGTCCCTTTAACACTAGACTGGATGCCGACTAGACTCAGGTGATACTTTGCGATGAAATGTTGTGTGCATCTTCCCACCTTGAATTCGTTCCAGTGCACACGCGAATTCGTTTTAAGCACCACTGCGAAGGAAACTCTGTTAGACAGTGAGACACTGCCATAGGCTTGGTGTGGCCGATACGGTATATCGCGGGGTAAGCACAAGCCATGTGATGCATGTCCAACTGAACAACCTATCTTGGCTCACGGGTTGCGTTCAACTCATCACATCTGTCGTGTGAATGATCTGGATGTTTTTATTGATGGGTGTGATTCATTGCCAACCACATCTGGTGGAGACAAATAGACGCACGCGTTCGGTGATGGCTACCGTAACCGAGATTTAGATAGGGCGTAATTTCTGGAGACTCGTGGCTTTTCATGCAGTGGCAACGCGCGCGCAGGGTCTGGCGTGCGTTTCGCATTGCGATTCCCCCAGGAAGCAGTTACAGAGAATTAGTAAGTGTTCTCATTTTAGCTTCTTTCTCATATGCTGACGTGTAACCCCTTGAACACACCCATCATGGCTGACCATTTGGCGATCCGAGCTAGACTGTATAGGAGATCGAGGTTCGCAGGGGGACGGATGTCCGACTCTGTCCTGTAGCTGTGCATCTTTATCTCACGCGCTGCTATCATCATCAACTGTGATGTGCCCTGATGTGTGTCAGCATGTGTATTGGTATTGGTACCTGTGTGCTAGTTACATGTACTGGGAAGGCGAAGCTCGGCTGCTGAGAGCAGAACAGAGGCGGTGTCGGACCCTGTCTCACTACCCTTCAGACCAGAGTGTACAAATCTTGCGAGGGGGAAGAGAGATAATCACCACTTTTCCAAGAATTGCTTGATGGCAGAAATCGCATCGCCTTTTTAGTTTTATGACATGTTTTGACCAACGACGGGGACATCCCGAACAAGACACATATAAACAACCATCAATTCGATACAATTCTACATTTCAATCTGGTTGCCTGGCGACGACTTCTTTCACGAAACCAAGAAAAGCCAACTGCAACAGCAACCGCATTCGTGTCTAGAGCAACGAACCTCTGCAACCAGCAACCCGCATATCTTCTCATCTATCCTATCTACTCTGCGTCGTCTCTGGCGTCTACGACGACGCCAAACCTATCTCCTGAATCGAGCACACCCGGCTGGTCCAGGGTGACGCTGTGGCCGCTTTGAGGCCACTTGCATAACTTTTTTCTTTCTTCATCTCCCCTTTTTGTAACAGTACCCTCGCCTTTCCCTTCCACGTTCGTTCCTCCTCATTTCCATTTCCCTTGGCCAGTTGCTGGTGCCGACCGTGCCCCTTAGGAGCAGTTGCAGTTGTCTATGTCCATACAGGCTGCCGAGCTGAACCATTTTTCGCCTATGAACAGCTCGCGCTCGGCCTCTGCATCCCCAAACTCATTTGCCTCGATCAGATCGTCCAACAGTGTTTTCGCGTCTGCTGTTACTGCTGCCGGTATCCCGACCACCGTGGCCGGTACTCACGCCCCGCCCTTTCGTCCTCGGATCACCATCATTCTTCCATACCATCAAGAGATAACAACAATTTTTGGAGGCCTCAGCCCTCAGAGCTTTTTGACGATCTTTCTAAACTAACCGACTCGTCTGCCCACGCCCGAACCATGTCAAACAGTTCCTCTAACTCGTATTCCTCTCTCAGCACACACCTGACCCAACCCAGTGACTCTCCCTCCCTGGATTTCGGTCCCGGCGGAAACATTCTCAAAGCTATTAATACCCCGAGCAGAAACACAGCTATCCGTCGAGCTCGTCACGAATCTTCCAATCCCTACCCTCCTAGGAGCAGCTCCTTCTCAGGATCTGAAAGCGTCCGCTCATCATCCAGCGAGACGGAGGACAACGTCGGGATGTACTCCTTTGCGCCCACGCAAGGTGCCCTTCCTCATGCTGCTGCTCCGTCAGACTACTCGAACTTGTTCGCTCGCCAAAACACTGCAGCGCCATCATCTCTTGAGGCCTCCCCAGGGGTTAATGCATTCCAAAGAATGACGATTGCCCCTGAGCAACAAGACCTTGAGCAGTTAGCCGTTAATGTCCGTGCTGCTACTACAACGAGTGCCTCAGACCGTGCTAAGCACATCTTTGTTCAAGCTTGGTGAGTTTCAGCTTCCTTAATCAATGCTGTGGCGCACAACTTCTGATGATTTGTTCATCAAATCATATGTTCCCCTGAATATTTGCCCCTTCTCCACCTTCATCTTATTCCCATCAATCAACAATTCCAACATATCTCATTCAACTTGCTTCGGGGCGTTCCCTGGCTGTGCTTCTATGTGTATACTTGAACTTGATGCAGGTTAAACGCCAACTATGCACCCTATCAAGATGGGAATGTCCCTCGGCAGGGCCTGTACCACTCGTATCGTGCGGTATGCGACGAGTACCGGATCCCTCACGTGAATACCGCCACACTTGGAAAGGCGATCCGCCTTTGTTTCCCTGCTATCAAAACCCGCCGCCTGGGTGTTAGGGGAAATAGCAAGTATCATTGTATGTTTTACCTTTTTTGATACCCTGATTGGGGAAGAGTCACAAGTAGAACGTGGCTGACGTCCATTTTGTTTTTGTTTTCTCGCCAAGATTGCGGTATCCGCCCTGCTACGGCAGCAGAGGCTGAGTGGCTCCAGGATTTTATCAAACGATCAAACAATATCCGCCCTCAACAGAACTCTCGCCCGAGTTCCCAACATTCTGGGCGTTCGTCCGCGACGGAGGACTCTCCTGAAGATGATGATGAAGATGGTGACGAGTCAGGAACTAACAGCAGCACTCCTGCATCCCGTCTCGCCCCCGTCACAAGAAGCATTTCAAATGGGGGGAGGAAGAGCCCCATCTTCTTCAACTCGCTTGATGACAAGACTCCTACCGTGAGCGGAAACTTTTCCGTCGCTCAAAGCACCCTTCCGAACCACGTAAGCTCTAATTATCGTGGCGAAGCTCAGATTCGCCGTCGTTCGCCTCAGGGCCTGCCTGGTGCACTGGGTCCAGGGAGTGTTGTTTCTTCCAACGTTCCTCCTCACATGCGCAATGGCCCCGTTGCTAGTCAGGCCGGCGTCGTCCCCCCTCCTACGTTTAACAGCAACCGTCCCATGCAGAGCGTCCGCATGCTCCCCAACTTCCCCAACATCGAAGAAGCTATTGGACAGCCTTCCTCGAGTCCTCAGGGTGTTGCAGCGAGGGATTTGTGGACGTGGTTCGAGGCTCATTTGGATTCTCTGTTGGAGGCTGTGAGGAGCTTTAGGTTTGATCGATTCGATATGCTTTGGAGAACTTTTTGGAGTGGGTTGAGTTCCGAGCACAGAGAGATTGCGCATGCGCCTGCCGTTGCGGGGCTAATGGCTAGAGCGGATGCCATTGTCTATGATGTGAGTTTATCGTTGTAGCCAGCTTGCGGCTTGGTCAGAGTGGAATACTAAAGGGTTTTTCAATGTGACAGGAAATTCTTGAGATATTGCGATCGCAAATTTTGACGCAGATTCCTCCTCCAACGTTGACGAGCCTGCGTTCCCTGGCCGAGAGGCTTGAACGATCTATGTTGGCTGCCCTTGAGGGGTATGGTAATACGTTCGTGGAGCCCAAGGTTGAACTTTGTGCACGTTTCGGCCACTTGCTTGGTACGTCAAAGTCGCTCTTCATTTTCTTGTGAAATTAATCCAAGAATGCGTGTCGCTGCTGGACAGTTCGTTTCCTCGACATCTATCAAGTCACTCAAGCCCTTTCTTCCGTCATGTCGATGTCGAACCCTCGCCAGCTCATTGACATGGCCCGAGCCTGGCGGGAAATTGACTTCGAATCAATACGTAATCAAGCTGCTCTCGTCTGTAACTGCCGTCACGAGGACCTTCAACAACTGCTTGAAGTCGATTTTGCCCAGGTTCTCGATGGCCTCCAGTCTAGCCTAGATCCCGTCAAAGATATCATGACTTGGGCAGATTCATGCTGCGAGAGGTTGCTTAATGGGAGTGGCGGGATTCTTGGGGAAGAGAGGGCTACGATGAGCTCTAGGAGTTTGTTGATTCGGTGGGGATATGTGACGAGTCAGATCATGCGCGATTTGACAATTCGCAGTGACCCTGCGTTTGGAGCATTCCAGATATTGAAGCTATTCATGGAGTAAGTTAACACTACCCTCTGATTTCCTCGCTGAGCCCGTGGGACTTTGTCCATTTCCTTTCTGCTTCTAGTGACTGGATTGGCCTGAGTGTTCTGCGAACGGTTGCCTTGTCTACTAACTCGGTCGCGCAATCCGTCGACCCGCTTCTGCAGCAACAGTTCCTCACACTATCCCCTGCCAATACTGGATTCACTGGTGGGCTCGACAACTCAGCCACGAACGGAGGACAGCATGTGGCTCATAACGGACTAGGCGGTCCACATGGCAATCTACTCGCATCTGCAATGCACGATCCGTTTGGTCCTTCCCCTTCCTCTTCATATCCATATGACTCACTGGGCTTTGGGCATATGGACACGACTGGATCTGGCCCTGGTGGAGCGTCCGGCCTGGCAGGGTTTGGGGACTTCACTAATGGGACAACTGCTGGTGCCGGTGCTCATTATGCGACGTTTGCCCCTCCCGAGGATATGTCCACCGCGATCCCCGAGGAAAACATTCCGCGTGAAATCACCCCTATTGTGGATACTGATATGCCTCCGTCCGATGGTGGCGTCCCTTCATCCAAAAATAGTGTGGATAATAGCGCCGGCGGGGAGATAACCCAAGTTAAAACTGAAACTGTTTGATCTTTTTGATTGATTTCTCCTGACTTTTCATAGACGCGTCTACTTACTCTCTGTGACGGCTCTTTTGATGAGAAGCCTCGTTCCAATCCTTGTTTCCGAAAAAATTCTAGCCACAGTCCCGCACGCAAAGTCCTCATTGAGTTTTCCGTTTTCCGTTCTTTTTTTTCTTTTTTTCTTTTTTGTTTATCCCTTCCCTTTCTCTTTTTACGTTTACCAAATCACACGTCTCGTATTCCTCTGTCTCTAATTGTACCCTCCCATTGTACTAATCAGCGCACGCCGTTCGTTGCTTGCTTCTTTTACCCCCAAGTTTTGCCCCAACGATAGTGAACGCTATTCATCTTGTGTATCTCCGTGGTTCAGTTGCGTGGCGGAGGTATTGTGGTGAATTTTCTTTTGATCCTATGTGTCTGTCTGTCTCCATCTCTACCTACCGCCTTGGGTCGATAGTCTCCTTATTTTTCCGGTCTTGCTGGCTTGATGGTATTGGGTAGTGTAACTCGGTGAACCTAGTCGCCTGGGCGAGCGCTTTTTAATATTTAATATATTTCCCCCCATATCTTGCGCTTGATCCATCTTCGTCCCTATCGTTTTCCCCTTTCCATTCAAACCTGGGAGCACATTCGTTGGCATGGCCTACCAACCAGGTCGTTCATCTCGTATTAGATCGTCCATGTTTTTACTATTGCAAAGTACGAATACCCTTGTTCAATTCCTAATTTTCTCTCCGACCGCCTCACTAGTTATGTTTCGTGATCGGGCTTCTCATCTAGATCCGGAGGCTATGGGTGCTCGGCTTAAGAGGGCCGTGCATCTAGCGTTGGTTTTCCATGAGGCTCTGCATGGTTTTTTTTTTTTTTTTTCATTTTGCGCTTTTAATTTCTTTCGCAATGACGCTTGCATAGGTTTAGCTTCTTTGGGCGGAGGGATACATCTTCTGGGTCGAACGTTGAAGCTTGCATTAGCGACTACACGGAATAGTTAAGTTGTACAGTAGTATACATTGCGGAAACTGGGTTGGCGATTCCAAACGGGCACAAGATGACAAATGCTTTATAAATACCGCATACAAGCTGGGGTACGGATTTCCAGGCGAATTATAATAATGGATGACCAGGGGAGTATGACGTTTGGTTCGAGTGGATAGTGGTTATGGGATTCTTGGCAGAGTTGAGGGGGGGGGAAGTCGAGTCGAAGACATTACATTGAGGCGGTCGTGCGAGACATGAATGAGAAATTTGGAGACTCTGGGGGCTTAGTATTTGCTTACGCCCACTAGCTGGCCAGGAATGGCAGTCGATCCAAACCTAGTTGTCCTAAGATCATCTTTTTTTGCGAAGAAGCTCAGTGGGAAATCATAGGGGAGAAGGGGAGAGAACAGACGTACCCGGAAAACAGAAACTTGGTGATCGAAAAGGCGCAAAAAATATTTCTAGGCCATGTACATATACGTCTTGAATCGTTTCCACAATTTCGGATGTTTCCCAGTACCCAATCTCCTCGCTAGCTGCAACCAAGATTCGATGGTCAAGTCTGCTAGTTCGTAAGGCACATAATTCTTGGTTTTCTCCCATTCGAGTCTCAGGGAAGATGAATTACGCAGCGGTTCAGGGAGAAGACGATGAGGAACTGGATATTCAGATGAGGCGTCGAGAACTGCGAGATCGTAGGTCATGTATTCGAGGCTGAATTGAGGGCGCTGTTCCTTCTTGTATTCGTCAAGATCAGGTATGTAGAACTAATTGGGTTGTTTCAAAAAAAAAAAAAAGAGGTATCCGTAATAAGAAAGGGAAAGGAAAGGAAATGAAGGAACGTGCGTTAGCTGTTAGAAGTATCATTGGTTGCGGAATAACAAACCTGCGAATACCCCAATGGCGTCCACAAGGTGTTCCTCCGACTAGGAGAAGCTGGGCTCGCATGTCGTGGGTTCTTGAGCCTACATGATTTCTTATTCCTGTACTTCTTTCGGCGACAATCAACCTTCTTTTTATGAAGCCTGATGATATGAGCGAAAAATGGCATCAGTGCATGTTATTGGCACAATGTGTCGTATGAACTGTACCTGTTCCCTGGAATCAGCTGCTTCTGGAGTTCTTCAAACTCTATATCCTCAGTATCGAACGTGCCATCATCCAAACTCAGCACTCCATTTTCCACGGCTCTGTCAATTGGGGTGGTTGGGACGTATGCAGCGGAGGGAGGTGCGGTAACATTATAAGTAAACACTCTAATGCTGGGGTAATACGTTGGTACGACACTTGGCGCAACATTGATCACTGTGAAGTCATCTAAGTCGACCTTGCCAACTTTGGGCAGACCACTAAAGTCTACCAAAAGCTCATCATGTAATACAGGTTTCTTCTTCTTCTTCTTTAGGGTACCGAATGGTGGGGTATGGAAGGGGAGGAATGAAGATAGAAGTCTGGAAAGGAAGCTTGATTGAGCAATCTGACTTCGTGCGACTCGGACATCTTCTGTGTCAATCCAAAAGAAGTGGTCGTTGTTCATGTGCTATGATAAGCAGGGTTGGAAGATAAGGAGATATGGACACGAGGATCGATAAGATGAGAAGACGTACACCGAAGAGCTGTCCCACTATAGTATCCTGATATCTCAAAACGATCTGTGAGAATATAATTTAGCGTGTAACCCTACGACAATAACCAAAAAACTCACTTCTCCATATCGCCAAAAGCAGTCATCGGCATAATTTGAGGCAGACGGGGGGACATGGCCTTATCGCGAGTGCAAGGTCAGTTAAAATGTGGAATATACGAGATTGAGAAGTCCATTCCCACCTGAAAGATATACTTGCATGTTCCGTTCTCTGAAGATTCCCAATTGTGCCTACAGAATCGCGGAAACGATGTAAACCATCTTGTGGAAATTTTGAGGGGGGGAGAACGGCCCACCTCCATCCATTCTAGCTCCAACCGGCCAGGTTCGCCCTTCTTGCAGCCATCCACAGCTGTTACCACGCGGCTCATAAGTACGAGAGTAGATATGAGGACTTGGACGTACCTTTGTTCTTCTCATACCAATAGATTGTATTTAACGAGAGGGCACCGATCTTGCGAGGGATAAGGTCGAGGGCAAAGTATGCACCTCGTTGGAAGACTTGGTACGATTCAAAGGGTATATAACTTGTCCATGCCCTGTTGGAAAAGTGGAGGTTAGGACTTTGGGCGTCAAAATGACAATTGGACGCCACTCACGATGAGATTCGATGGATCATCGTGTTGGGACCTGTTAAAAATGTCAGTTAATACTTGCCACGCCGATACAGTTTCGTGTAGATTCTACCAGAAAACATGATGTTCTATCGTTTATGAGGCCATGAGTCGTGAACGGTCGAGACAGGACTCACATGAGCTGAAAGAAGTGTAAGGTGCCACGAAATTAGCTCTGAGTGAACGGATACTGCGAAATACCCGCTCTAACTCACGCCAGATATCATTGTTCCCTGCATTGACTGATTAGGCCGGGCCCCGCGAAGCCAGAAGATAAGTGAAAATCTAACCCAAGCTAGGAATAACCGCGACACCCTTCTTCAAAAATATTCTCTCCATTCTATCCGCTACCATCTGGTTGAGATGAACGATTTCGTCAACAGTCCGTGGGTTCCCCTCGTCATTGTCGTGTCTTCAAGTAATTTTGGATCACAACGTGAATCTTTCTCCACACCTCTCTAGTCACCCACCTAGCGTTATCTCCCGTCCCTATTGTTGAGAAATAAATAAAAGGAAACAACGTCCAGAGCGCCGCTTGAGCACATACATATCACAAAATCTATCTTGTCCGCCCATTCCTCCTCGAGCCACTCCATGGTGATATTGAAAAGGTTAAGGGGAGTGTCACAATCGCTAAACAGACAGAGATCATTAGGTCGTCTGACGTAAGGGGTTGGAGAATCAGGTATTCACGACTTTGGCGTGCCCCATTCCCCGGCCAAGGAGTCGCCTTTCTTTGGCCTAGGTTTGAGGTAATGACACCTCGTTTCCACCATTGATTTAGGTAGATACAGTTCATCGGGATGCTGTTGATGGGTAATTGCAACAATTTAGAAAGAAACGCGTTAGAGGCTCTCAGGAGGCGGGCATGCTCCAGAGTACATACGATGTCAGTGATATGCAGGAATCTCCCACGAAGCTCGCGATTGGGGTTAAGCCTAGGTATGAGTCCAGGATTGACTCGGCCAGAAATTTCATGATTGGCTGGTTGGGTAAGAGGTAATTGTCCGGGATCTGTGGGTCGTGCACATCCTGAAGCAGTGAATTGTGCTAGAATCAGAGAAATGAGAGCAACAGTCGTCTGAGCCCTAAACATTATCGAAACGTAGGGTAGACAGGGTAGACAAGGAAGACGGAAGATGAAAGGAGGGTGGGGGGGTGGAGAAAGAACCGGATGCAATGCTCCGGGGTGTTAGGGGAGCATGCGGCTACGAGTTAGCCTCGAAATCTGACGCGGTCGTCTAATTTGGAACTTGAGCGATTTGCGGAAGCAACGTTCTAACTGACCGACGCACGTTTCTTGGGCACAGCCACCAGAATCATAGGAGTTCAATTCACTCTCCGGCGAGGCTGAGCCATTTGTGGCTTCTGTTACCTCGAGCACTCTCCAAACGCCCGGCCTACCTTCAGGTTTTTCTAGAGATTTTTTCATTCCTCAAGATTCGATTTTCGGGTTCTTGGTAAACATCCACCCGATGCAACCACGTTGATTCCAGCCCCGGTTCGGTTGTCAGCTGATTATGAAACGCCACACAAAACACGACTATCAGCATTATGGGAAACAGGCCTGAATGGCACAAAACCCTCATGGACCAATCGCCATCTATCGTTATCAGGGAAATGAACAGAGCGATGCATGGGAGATTAATGAAAAATGGCCGCATGCTCCACAAACACTCAGTCAGCCTGTTTCGATGAAGTACCAGCACCTGGCCCCGGTGGACTATACTCAAATTTCCGGGAATCCAACGTGAAAGTGACAGGCCCCTGCGCATACAGGCAGTTGAGCATCCGCGAGTGGGAGAGGAGAAAGATGCAACCCACATCGTTCTCCAACCCAACAGACATCATTGCTCCGAATTTTCCATCTTATGTTCCCAAATAAACTCCATTGGGATCGGCTCCATCAGACGCAGAAGATGCTTACCCTTCACCCTGGAAGCATCGTACATCGCTCCCAATCGCTCTAAGACAGTCGCATACATCGCTTTCGAAGACTCTGGAGCCTAACGATTCTTCCTCAATGAGCATGACGTAAGTCTCGGCAGCGAAAAGAACGCTTCCTTACCATTGCTCTATGGAAATCCGGCTTCCCTTTGTCGGTCCGAGCCATCAAAGTAAACTGCGACACACACAGCACTTCCCCTGTGATATCTTTAACATTAGCTTTCCATTGGGTGTTCTTCGCGATGTCGGGCCACATCCTCAGCGAAAGACTTGCACATTTGTAGAAATCATTAATGTTGCTCATTGAGACGAACACAAAGGCTTTACATCTTCTTCGCAATTGATTCCACGTCCGAAGGGCCATCATCTTCCTTACAATTCCTCACAGATGAGTGAGAGAGTTCAGAGAAGATGGTGACAGAGAGAGGACGTCACTAGTCATCACGCACCAGACCCAATACCAACTAGAACAAGTAATCCCCTCCCGATCGAAGATACTACCTCATTGTCAACTTGGAGAAGTCACGCATGTCCATCAGCCGCATATTCCGATTTCCGCCAAGGATGCAACGATAGAGCAATCCTACCAGTCACTGAGGCTGAAGTGACCCTCTGAACTACGGCACGCATGGTACGCTCTCTATAGTGAGCAAGAAATGCAAGTGACGAAGGGAGCGTGGGAAAGGAGACACCGAAGTGACTCTTGTGACATAAGTTTCCCTCAAGTGTTCTCAGGTCGAACTTATTTATTTTCTACTCTACTTTTCCCAGAACGCCGATCTTAGCGCTCTCATGAGCAGCCCGCTGCTTACACTAAATATCCAGAATAAAAACAAATGAACATGAGGGCGCTTATTATGGATTTGGAGCAAATCTAAAACAGGGCATAACACAAAGCGGCCAACTTCAATCCGAGTGGTTACAGGAGAACTGGATGCCAATTGTCAGTGGCGGACAACCGCAGACCACTTGACCACTTTCTTGAGATTAAAAAGGGCGTAATGGAGAGTGTGCCGGAAACCTCTTAGTTAGCACTTGTCTGTTCTACTCCTAACTTACTCGCCATCCATAATTCACCCTCGAACGAACGTACCCAATGGAAGCGGCAACATCTCCAACCAACTTCAAGACCCTCCGTCGTTCCACTCGTAAAATCGCTCCCAATCCCCGGTACCTCCAGTCAACCACCCAGGCCCCAGCTGCCACCTCCAGCGCTCGAGGGTTGACTGGCTTGGGTCAAGGAAAATCCATTCCTCATCACGAGGGCGGACATTCAAGGACGTCCATCCTCCGCCCGGTTACCTCGACCCCAGCTCTTCGATATTCCAGCGCTTCGACACTGGAAACCCTATCGCCTGTCCGTACCACTAGAACATCTAAAAAAAGTAAACACCCAGGGATATCTCTTCCACGATACATGATACTGATGAGCATGAAGCTTGGCTCTCACTAGTGACCAAGGCCAGGGCCGCAAGAAGGTTGCGCAGCTCAGCAAATGTTAGGTACGAATCGCCTAATCCACCCTCTGGCATTCAATCCCTTATAGGAGTCCGGATGGTAGAGATAACTCGATAACAGATGAAGGTAAATGGGGCCGAGAGGAAGTGCTGCGACGCGTGCAGGGCGGCTGGGCCTCCCAGCTGAACAAGTCCACTGGCGAACAAGAACGCTCGAAAACTGGTGCGTCCAAAAGCCAAGGCGCACAAACTCATCCCCACAAGCAAGCATGCCCAGAAGCAGGAAATGGCCTATTCGAACCCGAGGATGGTTTGATCGACATCATGCCCGATCAGAATGGCGTTCATCACATCCCTCAATCATTAGATGGCGGTGTCAGAAAGGAATACTTCAGCTATTCCGGTTCCTCGCCTACGAGGGGATTGAGTCATAGCATGAGTATGATGAGTTTAGGGGATTTGAGTTTGGCAGGTGACGCTGGCGAGGGAAGAGCAACCAAAAACATCAGTTTCGTTGGGAGCGTGTACCTAGGAGAGGATGAAAGCTGGGACAAAGAGTCAGTTGATCCCTCGACCGAACGTTTTTCTGTGGGCTAATGATGGCTATATCCCTTTAGATGCAGGGAGCTTCCAGGCGTCGCCCAGACAGCCGAACCTGTACATTGGGCGTGAGTATATTCAGCCTTAACGGTAATTTTAACCCTCTAACGCACTGCAGACCGGCCCCCACACGGTATGAAATGTACCTAGCAAGGATGGGAGGGCCAGAAAGACGACCACTTGACTCGACCACCCCGGAAACTTGTGTGAACCCAGCCGACACCTTCCAGTCATGAGTCATTACTCACGATGTGGAACACATTAAATTTCCAAAACCGTTTGGCATGTTCGGGTTGTAATTTCCACAGCGTGTAACCCATACGTATGTGTATATCACACCAACATGTTACGAACACCGTTTCATTGGAACGTCTGCGTACAAAATCGGCGACGATGGGACAATAAGAGAAAACTCTCTAACCTGAACATTGTTCCGGTGCCTTGACCTCCACTCTTCGACATTCGGGACGATGTAGGAAGACAAGCCAACGCACAAGGTTTTTTTGCTCTATGCACCGTTCGACGCTCGACTAGTGTGGACATCAAGACCAGGTGGCGTGAACTGCAAGTGCACTACGAGTAAGTCTTAGACCTTGCCAGGGAAAAAGGAAACCATTCGTGAGGACTTTACATCCTCAATCCACCGGAGTTAGACGACGCTACTTGATTCATGTCTCCAATCGATCGCAAATTATACGTTGATCATGCCCCCAGGCGCTCACGCAAGTTGCTGGACAAGTAGCACGTTTGATGTTATCCTCGTATGTGCCAACATTTCGTTTGGCCTGCAGAGCCTGATCGTCCCATTGGATGGTTTTATGGCTTTTGGATCGGACCTCCTCCAATTGATCCCTTACACACGATTGGCCATCCAGTCTATGGCAGGTTATTCCACTGGTCAGTGGCTTGGCAAACGCAAGCGGATTCCTCAAGGGTGGTGTTAACGAACATGTGCCCGTAAGAATTTTTTGGTCAAGGATGAGTCGGCCAAACGGTTGCTGATCGCAGGTGGATCTGCGAACGTGATTAGATGCCTGGGTCAGAGGGTGTGACTGCTGACCTCCATCGAAACATGGAGCGCTCATGGGCCTCGATGGTTTCCTTGTGGGTCTTTGTTACGGTGAACCTATGCGTCCCCTGATCACAACCATTGTTAATATCGATAGTGATCGCTTTAATTCTTCGCATTTAAGCAAAGCCAATGGACATCGGAATCTGAACGAGGAAGCGAAGCAGCGAGTAACGAATGACGAGGAAAGAAAGTCCAATCGCCGGAAGGCAGGGAAATGCGCCTTCATTAGAAGGGCCATATGCCTCAGTAGATCGAAATGATGATCTTTCTGTGCGCCACCTCTGCTCGGGTTCTGCGGAGGTCGCTTGCATAATTCAGGCCACATCAAACACGGTTGGCCTTATGTGTCGAATAAGCCTAGGACAATAACGTAGTAGTTGTGTCTAGGGTCGAGGTCTCCGTCAAGGTAAGCATCATGATCAGTGGGACAATAGACTCATGCAGGTGATGCCTCGGGTGGAGTGTCTAGTCATCGAACATGCTGCAGCCACCCTCGAGGGAATGGAGGCTGGCCCATATGCCAATAGAGTCACTGGCACGTACGAGTGGATGGGCAAATTGTAGCGCACCGTATGCTGTGCTTTCGATTATTTTGCCGAAGACTACAATGAAAATATCAAGCTTAGGACTTGAGCCATAGTCCTATGGGAAGGAAGAGCACCCAACGGGCGTTTGACCGAGCGGGACGCGGACCTGACGGTGTAGTTGCTAAGGTCACGAACCCCGCCTTTCCGGTCACCAGTCTTCATGGCAGTCTGCAGAAGCGGTGAGTCCGGAATGTTACGCAGGAAAAATAACACAGAAGAAACAGGAGCCACTGTCGGTTGGTAATGTAATAGATGCCAGCGAGTTTAAACTGGTAGCCAGCTGGGGTTGAGAGGCTGGTCACTGCTTACCAGCTAGCCTTTGCGCTGCGACGGTCGCGGGAGTAAGGCGTCCCAACGGGCACCTGGAGGGGAATCTCCCGACGAGTGTTCAAGAAAAGCTAACTAGACCTCATATACGTGCTTCCGACTGATCTTCGGGGCATGCTCCTCGAGCTCACCCGCTGGGGGTTCATTGAAAGAGGCCTCAAAGCCGAGAAAATGTGCTGCCAGCGTCTGGAGCTTGTCGGAGCTGACGTCCCTGCTGCAATGTAGGAACAACAGTCTTGTTTGCGGGAGCAGCGGACGCACCAATGCTAAAGGGGGACACAGACGCAAAGGGATGAGAATCGCATGTCTTTCAACATAAGATGAAGGGAAGGTAGCCCTGTTGGAAAGATATGGGGCTTCATCTCAGCTTCGTGTTCACCTCAGGATGAAATTTACGACATATAGAAACGGGGCTCCGGCTGAAAGGACTATCGTGCAGGTTCAGAAACACTGCCTTCGCACCCAGGCACAGAAAGAAAACGTAAACGAAATATAAACCCGGACCGGACATATTTGCCGTAGGCATACTCTATCATTTCCTGAGTTCGAAAAGCTGTGCTACTGTATGTCTGAACTGCATGGCGGACGGTACCAACGTGCACTATGACCAAGCGGCCACCAGCAACCGAGTCAAAACTCTAACCAAAGACAGCAACCCCGAAGATCACAGGACACTGTTATATAGAAGCAACTGTGAGGCTTCACTGCCATTTGCAATCCTTGTGCAGCGATCACACAAGAGTTCTTTATTTCGTTCCAAGCGATGGAATTCCGCTTCTGAGTCGTGAGCTGCCTTAGGCAGGTGACCATCCTCTACAGTACTAGAGGGCTGTCTCCAGTTTTCATTTTCCCAACAATAAACATCCATAATACAGCGGCCGGTGGAACAGTAGGAACGATGACGACAGCAAGAGTGGCTCCACCGAGTCACAGAACGTACGTGTGGCAAACTTGGTGCAAGTGCCAAATGGGCCGGTGACACTCATTCCCCTGGCTGAAGCCTGCCTGACGCTTTCTGCATGACTATTCCAGGTGCTGCGTATTACATGAAGATGCAAGCCATCTCGAATTAATTTCAAACAGCCAATTCGCGTGATTGGTACCTCGTCGGTTTCCCGGGAGATGCCCGTTTTGTCGGGCAAGCTCTCGGGGGTGGGGTTGGAGCTTCCATCCTTGGAGGTTGCAGAACAGAGTGGCCATGTGTATGCGTACCAGAGACTAGCCCCAGCCTAGAGAGCAATTGTACCGAATGCTTACACTTGGTCAGGCACGTCCGTTCAGCACATCTAAACGGGATTTTCCTCGCGCGTGAACGCATGAGTCAGGGAACTATGGTAGTCAATCAAATCCCTAACATATGAACGAACCATCACAACAATAAACAAGAAATCTACTCGTCCGACCTGTTGAGACATGCACCCGCTCAAAGCACCCGCCACTCTCGCTCTCCTGCTTTGCATTCCCCCTTTGCATCCTTTTTTCCCGCTTTGTCTTTTTGCCCTTATGACTGGCCACTTAACTTACACGCATCCTCGTTACCCCTGCCATTGTACCATTTACCGCTTCACCACTTTAGCATTCTCTTTCTGTTCTGTCTATAAATATGGCACGTTACGCCCTGCGATACATCATCTAACAAGTAGACTTGTACCGCAGGTAACAGTTTCTCATTTTTCAAACAGTAGATACAATCATGTAACAAGTAGATTCGTGCCGCAGCCTTAATATTTCGTGCAATCGTAATGCAATGTGCAACGCACAAGTGTGAAAAAGCAAAGTCCGATCGCTCTTGTCCGACCAGAGAGAGAGATGACATTTCGTACATCGTAGTGCAATGTGTCGACGCGAAGTGTGAAGAGGAACGAAGAGGAAGAAAAGTCCAAATTGCCGAACGGCGAGCGAGAAAAAGCCGATCTACCAGAAAGGCCAGATACCGCGGTAGATCCAGGTGATGATCCGCGCACGCCATATTTGCCCAGGAGTGAACTGCCACCTGCAAGTGTCTTGCGTGTAATCCATGCTAAAAAATAAGCCAGTTAGCACTCGTGCTCATTGAAACTAGCTCAGGTAGAAAAAACAACTCACAAGTTATGGATGGGGTCAGGGCCTCCACCAGGGCAAGTGTCTCGACCAGTGGGGCAATAGTACGCGGGCGATGCCTCCTCTGGAGTATCCGACACGTAGTCGTTCGGGAAGGTGCAGCCGCCAGAGAAGGGGTGGAGGAGACCAACCCAGTCTATCCAGCAGAACTGTAAGTTCGACTTTTAACTTATGCAGAGGTGTTATACGTACGGCCCGTTTCGTGAACAAGAGTTCGGCCCAAAATGAAGTAGTCGCTGTATGCGTGGCTTCCAGTAAGCGCACCAAGGATTATCACAATACCATCAAGCTTTGGATTTGCATTGTAGTCCCAAGGGAAGGAAGAATATCCAGCAAGGTTTGCAGTGCCGTCGACTGCACTGTTTACGCTATAGACATTGAGGTCACGAACCCCTCCCTTTCGAAGCTGGGTCTTCATGGCAACCGCGTTCGGCCTGCGTGAGGCAGAATGTTGGAAAAGAAAGGAAGGAAACGGAAAAGACGACAGACTCACCCGGTAACTTGGCCCAAGTCGTACCAGGTAGGATTGGCGGTGTAATCGATCTTAACGAGCCTGAAATAGTAACCGACAGCCCTGAATTCGGTGTTCAGCCTGGCTATCTGTGCATAAATGGTGGCATAGGAGGGAGTCTGGGCGCCTGGAGCGAAGCCTCTCAGTGTGTGTGACGATCGAAGAACCCAAACCATGCGTACCTCCGGCCGTGATGGCATGCCAATACACATTAACGAACTTCAGAGCGAAACCATCACCACGCTCCTCGGGTTCACCTTCCTCTGCTCTCTTTGATATGATTTCTTTATAGGCCGCCTCGAAACCAGCGAATTCGGTTGCCAGAGTCTGGAGCTTGCTGGACTCGACATGGCTGCCGCATGCAGGGGGAAGAGTGCCGTTCGTGGGAGCAGCAAAGGCACGAATGCTGAAAAATAGCGCAACAAACGTAGAGAGCAAGGAGAATCGCATGTTGACGACCCGGAATGAAGGGAAGGCAGCTGGTTGGAGAAGGGGAGTGCAGTGTTTTCTCTCGGTCGTCTTATACCCCTCCGGATGTGTTCGAAAGGAATGCTCCGAGGGTGGCCACGCCTCGTGAATTGCGCTTGTACATCATGTGTGCTTGGAGATTATATTGCGGAACCATTGCTTTCAAACGCAGCAGAAAAAACGTAAAAATCCCAGGTTGTTCATGACGTAAATTTACCGACCTCGATTGTCAGGGCCCGAAAGAAAGCTGTGCGTAAGCCTGACTCAACAATGAGAGATCAGGCACAACTCAAATCTGGCGACATGAAAAGCCGTAATACCAAAATGGGAGTTCACTGCCATTTCCAATGCCTGTGCAGCCGCACACAAAGCGTTCGAAAGGGTCATGGTTTCGTTCCAAAAAAAACTTTGATTTGCAAGTATCACGTTCTATACCCATGATAACCCGTAAGCGCAGCCGTGGGTTCAAGAAACCCGAGCGATCGAAAAGGAGAGAGAAGAGTGTTTGATCCAAGAAGCGTGACAGGCTTAGACGTAGCACTGCCTCAGTCTCACGCCAAGCGGTGCTTGTGCAGAGCCAGAGTGAGTCATCCAATTAATTTCTAGCTTTACATAACTTCCCCACAAATGGCACCTGACAGTCACATGGTGTAGTACTCCCGCGTTTCAGTCAGTTTCTCCGGCTATCGAGTGGCACAAGTTTCCCACCATTGGCGATCACGAAGAGGCAGGGACGAGGGTAGTACAGCATCGCGGGCGTGATGCAGTAATATTTCCCGCATGGTGGTGATATTGCATGCCAGATCGAAATCCAACTTGTCATAGTAAGTCAGCAATCGCCGAGGTGAGTGATGCTGGCATAAAGGCAGCCCAATTCGAATCAGATACCAATATCACGTAACGGCGATGGGCACAATCTTTCAGAATTACGGAGTAGAAGAGGGTTAGATGTGAGATTGGCAAGAAATAGGTAAGAGGACCCTGGATAAAGGGATAAAGGGCCTCTGTATCGGGGGTGTTGTAGAGCAAAATTTTGCAGGACCCACCACGGAATAGCGGGAATTATGTGATGATAATCAATTCGAGTTGAGGGTTACAATGATGTGAATGTCAAGCTTCGAACGTTTGGCACCTCAGAGCATCCCCCCGGGATTCTCGTACATGAATCAGGGAACGTTTTGACAATTTTAAGGTACATTGGTAGTCAATTAAATCCTTAACCAACAACACATATGAACCACCCATGAAAACCCACAACGACAGCAAACAAGAAGTGTACTTGTCCAACCAGAAAGATAACGTTTCATACATCGTAATGCAATGTATCAATGCGAAGTGTGAAGAGGGAGTAGAGTCCAAATCGCCGAACGGCGGGAGAAAGCTGATCTACCAGGGCCAGACACCACGGTAGATCCACATGATGATCCGCGCACGCCATATTTGCCCAGGAGTGAACTGCCACCTGCAAGTATCTTGTGTGTAATCCATACTAAAAATAAGCCAGTTAGCACTCGTGCTCATTGAAACTAGCTCACGTAGAAAAACTCACAAGTTATGGATGGGGTCAGGGCCTCCACCAGGGCAAGTATCTTGACCAGTGGGGCAATAGTACGCGGGCGATGCCTCCTGTGGAGTGTCCGACACGTAGTCGTTCGGGAAGGAACAGCCGCCAGTGAAGGTGTGGAGGAGACCAACCCAGTCTATCCAGCAGAACTGTAAGTTCGACTTTTAACCTATGCAGCGGAGTCATACGTACGGCCCGTTTCGTGAACGAGAGTTCGGCCCAAAATGAAGTAGTCGTTGTATGCGTGGCTTCCAGTAAGCGCGCCAAGGATTATGACGATACCATCAAGCTTTGGATTCGCATTGTATTCCCACGGGAAGGAAGAATATCCAGCAAGGTTTGTACTGCCAGCGACTGCACTGTTTACGCTATAGATATTGAGGTCACGAACCCCTCCCTTTCGAAGTTGGGTCTTCATGGCAACTGCATTCGGTCTGTATGAGGCAGAATGTTGGAAAAGAAAGCAAGGAAAACAGACAAGAAGACAGACTCACCCGGTGACTTCGCCTAAGTTGTACCACGTAGGATTGGCGGTGTAATCGATACGAACGAGCCTGAAATAGTAACCGACAGGCCTAAATTCGGTGTTCAGCCTGGCTATCTGTGCATAGATGGTGGCATAGGAGGGAACGTGGGGACCTGGAGAGGAGCCTCTCAGTGAGTATTAATTGAAGAGGCCGGCAAAACATGCGTACCTCCGGCCGTGATGGCGTGCCAATATACATTAATGAACTTCAGGGCGAAACCACTACCACGCTCCTCGAGTTCACCGTCCTCTGCTCTCTTTGTTATGATTTCTTTATAGGCCGCCTCGAAACCAGCGAATTCGGTTGCCAGAGTCTGGAGCTTGCTGGACTCGACATGGCTACCGCATGCAGGGGGAAGAGTACCGTTCGTGGGAGCAGCAAAGGCACGAATGCTGAAAAATAGCGCAACAAACGTAGAGAGCAAGGAGAATCGCATGTTGACGACCCGGAATGAAGGGAAGGCAGCTGGTTGGAGAAGGGGAGTGCAGCGTTTTCTCTTGGTCGTCTTATACCTGTCAGGATGGGCTCATGATCCAAGGAATCCGTGAAAGGAGTGCCTCGAGGATGACCACTCCTCATGAATTGCGCTTGTACATCATGAATGCTGGATATCACACCGCGCAAGCATTGATTTCACAGCCAAGACCAACAACTGAGCAGAGAAAACGTAAAAATCCCAGGTTGTTCATAACGTAAATTACTATCTTCAAACACTCTGGGGCCCTAAAAAAGCTGTGCGCCATACAGGCACGACTTACCAATGCCAAGTCATTGCCATTTCCAATGCCGGTGCAGCGGCACAAGGCGTTTGGAAGGAGGTTTCGCTCCACAAGAACTTGGATTTGTGTCGTAGGCTGCCTTGGATGATAATCCGTAAGTGCAAACAGAGGGTTCAGGAGCCCCAAGTATAATACAAGGTGTAGTACTGCCTCAGTCTCACGCCAAGTCAATCCTGCGTTACAAAGAGCCGTAGCCCACCATTATTACGTACCCGTCATTTCAGTTTGCCTTCATATCACTAGAGGTTGGGACTCTGCCTAGGTGTGACTCACAGATAACCTGTACTTCTGATGCTCGAAATTGGACGAAACTAGCTTGGCCTGTCAATATCGCGATAGCTAGTCTGCTAACGGAAGCTTCCTGTTCAGTGGTGTTCTGTCGGTGGCCACTGAACCACATGAATCGCTTCCGAGGTTTCGATCCACCTCACAGCCTCAATTCTTCGCTCTCATCACATGCCCCACTAATTACGTAAAATACCAGAAATGAGCCATCGCAATATTTGCAATCCCTGTGCAGCCAAACTCCTAGAGAAAGTAATAGGAGGGACTAGGTTTCTTCTACAGCCACGTTGTCACAAAAATAGCTTTGCAATTGGAGAACTGGTACGTCAAAGCTGTCAGTTCTCCAAGTGCAATTTCAAACAAGGGTTTACGAAAGGAGCGATCAAAAAGCAGTTCCACAGCGAGGTAGCATTGTGGCATCTGACAAGCGACGCGTGGGGTTCCCCTGAGTCTGCAACGTGCCAGGGCCCATGCTCCTATTTGCCGCAAATCGGCTCATAGGAGTTTCGTTTTTCCATCGCTAAGTGCAGAGGCAAATTTTAATCCAAATATAAAACGGGATTGCAACCCTCACACGACTATGCCCATGTGAGACACGAAAATAAATCATTCTCAGCGATACTTCGGACGCACCAACATCGAGTCGAAATGGGGTCGGTTCCGGCGGAAGATATGTTGCTTAGATGGGACGGACGGATGCAGGTTGACGCCGGTTTGCATCACTTGCCATCGGCATTCAGGATGCCAGAATGGTTCATCCTCCACCCAAAAGAGTGTTAATAAATCATACTCAGAGGCTGTAGCACCGTTCACGGAGCGGCAAGGCTGTGTTAAATTATGTGCTCAGATCTCAGGGGCAAAAATGCCCACATGTCCAACAACACAGCACAGCGTTACACACGTCCCCTGACCAAAATTTGCATCCTAATAAGAGCAGTGAAGAGTCATGAGGTACCGATAGCGTGAGCGCCCAGCGGGAAGGGACACCCGAACCCCCGAATTTTGGGTTCAAGCCTCATGCAAAAAAGCGAGATAATCCACGCAGGAACTGGAAATTGAACTCTGGTCCACGCCAGACATGCACTCGGCGGGAAGATGAACATGTACCTAAGTGCTCCTGGAACTATTTGCTGTAGACTCAGCAGAGCCTTATGTAAAACGGAAACGGTGCGGCTGCCCGAATGCTCCCGAAATGATGCTGCTAAATGCGCTGAAAGGAGGCAAGCAGGAATGACCACGCATCTGCAGCACAATTCGACGTGGTTGGTGGGGAGGTGACCAGAGCCTCTCTCGACAGCTATAGAGTTTGAACTGCGACATTAAATCCAATTGTCTTACGTAATCGCATAGCACACTTGGCTGCCATCAACGCCTTATGTCCTTCTAATATCTCCACCGTAAAAATACTAAGACCAAGATGGTTGCTGTTTGGAACTAATATTCTTTTCTGAGCCTGGGCGTCACTCGAACACAGGGTTTGCTCTGCTTTTTCACACGAAGAGCTACACTAGTTTGAAGGTGCTCCCTTTAAACCGTCAGCAGATTTGCTGTGAAACTTAGCATCGCAAGATCCTCGGGTGTGATGGCCCTCAATGAAAGCCTTACCTCACTGCGTAAAGTAAATATCGCGCAATGAGTTGACGTCTCTATTTCTTATAGGTATAATAAGTAACTGAACTGGGGCGTGTTGCGACAGTCAGGTTCTAAGGGATATGGACTTTGTTGTGGGCCGGAATATTAGGCTCCACCCCATCCCTGCTTCAGGAGAAACCGCCCAAGCGAGGCGGTTAGATATCCTACGGTATGCTTGTAGAAGTCCGAAAGGGATCGGAGGATGGGGACGGGGAAGCGTGCCATACTCAGATCAGAGGGGAGGATATCCGTTTGCCTGAACGGGTGCAGTAGTGAGTGGAATAAAGTAGACGACAATTAATACGATCTACGCACTCGGAGATGAGCCACCTTCCATTCTTCGCCTGAACGAGACGGCAAATGGTAACAAAGCGCGCATCAAACTTAAGGAAGGGAGCATAGCGAAGCGTAATATGGACGGTTGAGTCTGCAAGCACTTTTATTTCCTAATCGGGGATCTCGTAGTATGATCCATGAACGCACCGATGGCAATGTGCTTCTTATCCTGAGAAGTCATGATAGAATGAATATCCATAGCCTCATAGACAAAGAGGACGCGTCTGAAACAGGGCCTTAGACGATATTAGTCACCAAGAATGGACTCGCCACCTACTCCATCTTGTAGATCCCCTTGAGATCCTCGCGGCCATTCTTGGAAAGAGGTTGATTGAAAAGCGGATGGAGAATGCGCGCGTCCTTGGTGAAGTACTTGTCGATATGGGCTACAATCTCAGTGGCTGTCGGAAGCTCAACGAGGGAACGGACGACATGTTCGATCTATGAGAGCATCAAGGCGCCTCCGTGATGTAGAGTAAGGAAGGCGCGTACTTGTCTGGCAGGGTCTTCCATTTTGACAGAGGTCTAGAGGACTAGGAACAGATCAGGCTTATCCCTCGTCTCTGGGGCCTTTTTATGTGTCGTAAAATTGAGGCGAGTGGTGTGAAAGCGCCAGAGTGGAGGTCGGGCGGCTGAGACTTATGACGTCAGTCAACTTGGAGTAGACTAGAAACAGTCTGGGGCACGAACGAGGGCTAATTACTGGACCCATTCTTGGGCATGCACGATGGGGACCGTCACATAGTGCAGCTTAGGACCCCCCATTATGCACCATTCGGGAATAGGACGATCGATTTGTTTAACCCACAGAGTCAGTTGATCGGGAGTCACCGTCAACAAGGTGCGGCGCCCTGCGTTCAACATCCGTTTCGAGATGCCATCTGGCTCACCTCATTGCATATTCGCTGTCTAAGAAATTTCAGTGTGCTTTGGGAAAGAGGATATATCTCCCCTCGCCGAAAAATGAAGATTGAAATGTCCTGGATGAAGCACGGATCGTAGAGTACGACGCAATGCGATACCACTGGAAATTCCTGTAGCCTCACATTGCTTTCGGAGTGGAGCCGAAGCATTCAAATTGCCAACTTCTCAGTAAGGAACAAGCCCCGGCTTTGGGTGTCGATAGTTCTCACCATCGACGGTCCAGGAATATTCACTACTCTCCGCATCTAGAGTAGTGTGCTTCGTATCCTCGGAGAATAGACCTGTGGAGCACCACTGTGAAACTCTGGAGTGCTCGAGCCAAATTCGGGGTGTATGATAACTAGCTCACGCCATAGTTTCCCACTTTCTTCAATGATCGAGCACGCCTCGGAGCGCTGCCAAGATTATGGAGCGACGCCGTAAGAATCCGCTTGTATTATGTCGGATGAAGCCTGCACCAAAGTTTCACGCTCTCTTCAACCACTGGGAGAGCCCCTGAATGTCGTCCGAGTTTGACAAGGGACACACAGTGACCGAGCCACGTCCGGCATGTAAGATGTCCGAGTGGAAACCAGCTGGCGCCAGAGGCTGACACGTTCTTCAATCGTCTGGAGCGCCTCAGATTCGAGTGGCACCGTAAAATTCTGGAGTGAGTCAGCCAAATGAGGAGTGTATGGATGAACGCAACTCTACTTTAGTAGAGGTTGGGATCCTGCCTAGAACGCAACCAGCTCACGCCAAAGCCTGGCACTGTATTACCGCCACCGGCCACGGCGGTCAACAGCATTACACGTTTCTCGCTAAGTTACGGCACCAGGTCATGACACGCTTGATGAGAACAGTTCTAGTGCCTTCCGGACACGCCTCGGTTGAGTCATGGCATGGTATCAGAGCCTACTGAGAACTGAAGCATCATCTACTCCACGGGCCAGATGGTCTGCTATGACGCCAATAGCCAGGTTCGTCCTCACGGGCACAATACCGAGGAGATGGTTACAACAGTGGCAAAACGAGTACTGGATCAACAGGAGCCTGGAACGATCCCAAAGCCTTATCAGAATCTTCCTTCCTGCTTGGGGTCCGCTTTGAGAGGGGGAGTTGTGAACGACGACCGTCCTTCCATCTTTCCACGTATTCAACAAATTTCCGATTGAATGCACTGTAGAGCGCTTACAGAGTATTCACGCAGCCTAAAGTTTGCAGGATAAATATCCAGAATAAACAACAACAACAGAGTATCCACGTTATACAGTCCAGGACTCGTTCAGAACAACCGCTACTTACTCGTTCAGCTTTGCTTTCAAATCATAACTTGGCCTCTTCGCTCGACGCATCATACCGGTCAATGGCTGCAATCACGCCAGCAATTTATACATATCGTCACTTTTATTTCTGGATCTACATGTACCATCCTTACCACGAACTTTGACCTCCTTGGAGATAAAGAGCACGTCGCAGGTGGCAAGCTTCAAATGGGGGAGCGCATTCGGACGCAGCTTTGATGACTGAACGCTCAGGACGCCCGGTGGCGTTAGGCGAAGTATCTCTGCCTCAATAGCTCAGTTGGGAGAGCGCTACACTGAAGTTAGCAATATCTCAATGTATAGGTCCCCCGTTCAAACCGGGGTTGGGGCAAGTTTTTTTGCCACCTCCCCCCTCAGTTCCACTTCAATCTAACTCCTCCATCTACAAATTTCCTGGGTTCCAACACCAATAGATTGGTATGATGTCATTGTCTTTCGCGCCTACGATCCTCGAAGTCAGCCTGTTTCTGAGATGTAGGTCTATTTGATGAGTTCCTCCTGTATGACTTGCACTTGATTCCAAACACGATCTTCAGGCTGCGTTCAGTATGAAGAAACAGGTTTCTTTGGCCTGTTTCTTCCAGTTTCCCAATTCAATATTTTCCCGTTTCTTCTACCCAAAAAAACACGCAATTTTTGTATCAAGAAACAGGAAGAAACCTGTTTCTTCATACTGAACGAAGCCTCAATGTACTCGCACTCTATGTGGCACGTCTGCGGGAAGCACACCCTTTTGTGGATCTACTGATAACTAGTACTACCATAATTGGGCGTACTCGTTCATAATGTCCATTTAAGGAACTGGGCATCGTATTGACACAGCGTTTCCCTCATGGACGGCTTCGGCATCGGTGTGGCAGGAGGGGTATTAATTGAGCTTGCCAAAGCTATAATTCAGGTTGTCCAGGTAAGCACCACCCTCTAAATGCTTGATCATCGAGACCCCTTGGTCTAGCAACGGCTGCGGGCGCTCAAGGAAACTAAACAGCGGATTTCGTGCAGGATTTTAAGGCTAATAAACATTCCGCAAGGGAGCTTTCACAGCGATGTGAGGACTCAAGAGTCTTTCTGGAAAGCGTAATCGCAGACATCAATTCGAACGGGCTCCGCCATGATCAAATCAAGGACCAGTGAGCTAGTTGGGGTTTACTCGAGAACCAATACGTACTTTTGATGATGACAGAATCGACAAATATGTTGTGCATTACGGAACGTAAGTAGATCAGCTCTGGAAGCGGGGTCCAACGACGCATTGACAAACGTGGCCCCCAGACTTTTACGTGATATCAAGGATCGCATGATGGAATGGAAAGATAAAGGGCCTGCCCGTCAACTTCTACACAAATCCCAGATGGCCGAAGACATTAAGAATGGAAACACTGAAGTCATCAACTCTTGGCGTAACTTTCAAGTCAGTTATTCTAGTAGCCCGTTCCTCCACTTCCACCAGATTCATAGCCAAATTAATTAGACCCAGCTCACTGGCCAGGTACTTGCTATTGGAGGCCTGAATAATAGTCTGCTCGAATCCTTGACGACAAGCCTCCGAGAACTCACCGACAAAGAAATTAGGTGGCAGTTTGAGCTAGCCAAAGCGCAGCAACAGGATCAGATGGAAATTCGGGACTCCCTGGAGACAATACGAGAGGATAATTGGAAGTACTACCGCGGGATCAAGGACGACTTGGAGATAGTAAAATCAAAACTCAAGGCAAGCAGGCTCAGTGTTCATAACGATCTCAGGCATTTATACGGACCGGCAGCACGGCGATGCTATAGTGACAGTCCAATACGACAAGCTGCTAGAGGCTCTGCAAGGCATTGACCGGGGCCAAGAGCTGGGACAACTCCAGGAAGAGCTGGCGGAACTTCACAGATTACTCCTCGTACGCTGATGGCGGCTTGCGTGTACTCGCGTTCTTGGCTGATTCCCACGATAGCGTCTGGCGCCATCTAACTCCAACAATGGAGGACCAGCAACCGAGGAAGATCCCGAAGTTGTCAAAGCACGAAAGCGAATTATCGATGCTTTGCGCCGATATAAGGCTCTGAAACCGTCTTACAACATCGATTCTAGTGAATTGGAAATTCCAGGCAGCGAACCCGTCCATCGCGGCAACCGATCCGACATTTGGAGGGGAAAGCTGGTAGACGAAGTCGTTGCGATCAAGAAGTACAAACCTAATCATGAGGATATACCTGTGTGAGCACCTATCTGGACTATGAGATCTCCCTTGCTTACCAGGGCTTCCGATAGCGTTTTAATGGTTTGGGTCATCTTCCCATTATACATTCGGTGGGCTCAGATTGGCTTCCGAATTGTGTAGCGCATTCAGCGGCAGAGCAAAATTTGGTCCAGCCTCACCAGCGATTACGTAGTCCCTTTCTTTGGGTGCTGCGGTCCCAAAGACGAGGTTCCCTATGTTGTGACAAAGTGGATGGGGAATGGTGACCTCAAAAGTTTTCTCAAAGATAATCCTAACAAGCTCAATCGCTTACAAGTGGTACGTACCGGTTGATATTTGTACCCACTTATTTTCCGGATGGCTGAATATCAATAGTGGTAAGCAATTTGGTGAATTGGTCAACGAATAAGGCTCAGAAGGAAGGATTCACAACAGCGATGAAATACTCAGAGGATTGGAGTATCTTCATTCCCAAAAGGAACCTGTTTATCACGGGCTTTTGAAGCCGGTTTGTAGTTTCGGATCCCCCGAATGAGCCGTTGATTGAAGATGCCGAGTTTATGCAGTCTAACATCCTTGTTGACGATAACCTACATGCTCGTATTTCTGATTTCGCCCTTGCGTTTACCGAAACACCTACGGGCACCAGGGCGGATATTGAGAGGACCACTGCTCCGGAGATATTCGATGGCGAGGTCCCCGGTCCACCCGCTGACGTGTACTCCTTTGGCTGTACCGCTTATGAAGTCAGTGATCCCTTGCACCAAACATCCATCGCTAATGGTCACAGCTCAGATCTTAACTGATATTGTCCCAATGGAGGAAGAGAAAAACTTGTGGAAATTTAGAAAGCGTGTTTGCGCGGGAGAAATCCGCCCAACGTTTCCTAGCAACAGTGAAACCGCGGCGCGGTGGGGGCTCGCCAGGGCGAATGCACCACTGTGGAAGCTTCTCCAGGAGTGCTGGAATTTGGATCCTAAGCAGCGCCCAACTGCAGCTGAAGCACGGAGTCGATGGGTTAGCATCATGACTGAATTGCCCACTTGAAAAGAAGGGATGTGATTTGTGAATGTGTGGGCGCGTTCCCCGGGAGACTCGTCATTCATGTTTCCATCGCCCTGATTCTCGAATTCATGTAGACATCCATCGGTTAGATTGGTTACCATTTTATGACAAAGGGTAGTACGATCAACTTTGAAAAATAAGAGCGTAATAGGCCCTCTAGCTGCTCCGGTATCAGGGAGGGTGCTTGGTCACCAAGGAGCCGGATGTTCCATTCGCTCGCATAATCCGTATGCATCAACATGGTTTCCGATACCATCATCATCGCGCCAAAACATGGATGTTCGCTGCTAAAGCTACCAAGATGACGTATGGCCAGATTCCAGTGTTGCGGAGTGCAGGACATCCCAGCATCAACGGCGCCGTTGAAGCGCCGTTGACTAATGGATGCTCACACGCCCCTCGATACAACACGCTTTCCTAAAGCCAAGCCGCACCTTGGCCCATTGAACACGACCAATGACATGATGTTTCTTCCGAAAGTTATGATGATGATGGATTAGGTGTCCCGGAAACTAGCGTTAGGTCCGCGAGTATGCCGTCCAAAGCAGCCGCTTTCTGCAAAATCGTCAGGACGTTATTCGCCACAAACCATGGGAAAGCGATCCCCAACCTTTGCGAATTCAGCCTCCTCTCGTGATTCGGATTCAAGCCTCAGTCGATGTTCCCGTTTCTCTTTGATCAATTTGTCGCGTTCCGCAATCAATGCTTTCTTTTTATCTTCGAGCCTTCGGCCACAGTTCTTGGTTTATTCACGACCCACAAACAGAACGCCGACACTACTCACCGAGCACGTTCAGAGTTTTCAAATTCCAAACGTTTCTTCATGAGTTCATGATTATCAATGGCGCCTACGACCCCGGGCACAAGCTCCGCAAACTCTTCCAAGGGGTATAGCGGAATATCTTGATAGATAAATCTGGGAAGTTCGGCCCGTTCAATAAAGCGCAGAATGTGACCGCCAAATCATCGAAACGCACTCAAACTGCCTACACTTCTGGATTTCACGTTCGAGGTGCCGCCTCTCGTAAAGCAAGTTTTGTAGACCAAGGTGTGCATGATCCATCGTGTTTCGGGCTTCGGTCATCAGGGCCCTCTGGGCGGTCGTGCGCGACACTGCTTCTCGGCTGAAGGAACGCAAACGCGAAATAAGGGCAGTGGCGTACGCTGTTAACGTATTTATATCCACGTCCTCTTTGTTGAGCAGCTCGTCGAATGCTGCTACTACGAGGGCGGGATTTTCTTCATTGGGGGCCATGATCCGCCGGATCTGTGGATATTTGCAGGCGTGACAGCACGTGAGAGTTATGTGTGAATCGGAAGTGACGTGCTGTCACATAACGGTGAAATTAGGCAGCGGCGACGTTGACTGAAGAACCTGACCTTCTCACTAGTGAATCCCTACCCACACGCTGGACCCTTTTGAGAGACCCCTACTCCATTCCAAGCATGTCTGACTCGAAAGGTGAATTTCAGAATGTGTTCACTGCCTCTACCCTACCGGCGTTCTAAAGTCAAGATCGGGGCGGATTTCGCATAGTTACGCCTAATCGCGAAAGAGCCATGTCTGGCACTATTCCCTCCATGGAGTCTTCTCACGATGAGCTTGGTGAGAACACCATCATCGTCGGTAAGTCCGCTATCTTCCCTCGATCGAACGTCATGGGCCCCAATCGCTTTCCCCAGTCTTTGGCGCCTCTGGAGACTTAGCGAAAAAGAAAGTGCGTATATCTCTCAGACTTGCCGCATGTGTGCATCCTGAGTTATCCCTACAGACCTTCCCTGCCTTGTTCGGTCTCTATCGCCGGAGGCTACTGCCCCGAGGTGTCCGTATCGTGGGCTATGCGCGGACCAAGATGGACCTCGCAGAATTCCACAAGAGAATACCTTCCTACATCAAAAATGCGGACAACGAGGAAAATCGGGCATTGATAAAAGAGTTTACTGGCATCTCCACATATGTTTCTGGCCAGTACGACAAAGACGAGAGTTTCCAAGAGCTGGAAAGGCACCTAGTTGAAATTGAGAGGAACTATCAGACAAAGGAGACGAATCGTTTGTTCTACTTCGCTCTTCCGCCTAGTGTCTTTACTCCGGTCTCTCAGCACGTCAAAAGGAACAATTACCTCAGGAAGGGCATTAATCGTCTCATCGTTGAGAAGCCATTCGGGAAGGACTTGCATTCCTCGAGAGAACTCATGAGCGCCATCAAGCAGGACTGGAATGAAGAGGAAATCTTCCGAATTGACCACTATCTTGGAAAGGAAATGGTGAAGAACATACTGCTCTTCCGCTTCGCCAATATTGCTTTTAGCGCTGGCTGGGACAAACACTCGATCTCTAATGTGCAGATCAGCTTTAAGGAACCTTTTGGTACGGAAGGCCGTGGTGGATATTTCGACGAGTTCGGAATCATTCGAGACATTATTCAGAACCGTTTGTCCTGCTATTCGATGGTTTGGTTATGCATACTGATATCGAAGCAAAGACTTGCTTCAGGTTTTGACAATTATTACCATGGAACGCCCAGTGTCATTTAGCGCGGAAGACATCCGAGATGAGAAGGTATTAATGATCCCTTTTCCTCCCGTCGCTTGATCCCTGCTCATTATTCACTGAAGGTCAAAGTTCTGCGAGCGATCCCCCCCGTTACCCTTGAAGACACTCTTCTTGGGCAATATGTCGGTGCCAATGGGAAACCTGGGTATTTGGATGACGACACTGTCCCTAAAGGGTCTGTTTGTCCTACGTTCGCGGCCTGTACACTTCACATAAACAACCCTCGCTGGGAAGGTGTCCCATTCATCCTCAAGGCAGGGAAAGGTGGGGTGTTCACTAGGGTCCTAGCTTCCGATATTCTACTCACATAGATCAGCTCTGAACGAAGCAAAGGTTGAGGTTCGAATTCAATATCGAGATGTCACGCAGGGCATCTTCAAGGACATTGCTCGAAATGAACTCGTAATTCGTATCCAGCCTTCTGAAGCCATCTATATAAAAATCAACGCCAAGACACCTGGCTTCGATACGAGGGCTTTTCCCACCGAGATGGACCTTACCTACAAGCGGAGGTTCACAGATACCACGATCCCTGAGGCTTACGAAGCGCTTATCCTCGATGCCTTGCGAGGTGACCACTCAAATTTCGTTCGCGATGATGAGCTTGATAGTGCGTGGAAAGTAAGGTCCCAACCCAGCTTGGATGCTTTCTGTGATCATCATAGTATTCTGCATAGATATTTACACCAATTTTGCACCGGATCGACAAGGGGAGCGCTAACCTGGAAGAATATCCTTATGGATCTCGAGGACCAAGTTCACTCGATGCCTTCATCGCGGCGCGCGGCTATAAACGTGCCCCCGATGCGTAGTGAGTGATGGACCCCCTCGCCCCTCATAAGCTAGATATTAATATCGCAATTTTCCAGTTTCTGGCCTACCACGAGCCTTGCTTCGCTTTAGGCGAACTTCACTGTTGCGTACGCTGGCATAGATGGCTTTATTCATTGCTTCATTGCTGCATTTTGCGTCCGAGCTTGTTGACCCGGCCAAAGCCTTCCCTGTACTTTTTTACGATTTGATAGCCGGGTGTAAGAACGAAAATGAATTTCATGTTGTAATAATACGTGTTGCATAATATAGTCCTCCAAGGTGGATGTTACTTGATGAATCTACATATACTGAAATCTATGACTTCGTAACATGGGATAGAGGGGCCGGCAGAGATGCATTATGTACGTCGGAAGCAATTCTACAATTACTTGCCTCACATCCGTGGCGTCTATCTATTTGAATTTCACGCTACTGATGCAAGTGGCTTTTGCCTTTATTTATCAACCTAAATGTTCATAAGGGGTGGAAATGCGAACGTAATTATCTGTAGCCATAGGACTCGGAAAGCACCGCATCCCGTCTGATCTGCGAAGTTAAGTCGAGTATCGCTCAGCTAGTACCGTGGTGGGGGACTACATGGGAATCCTGAGTGCTGCAGTTGTTATTTTGGTTTTTTTTTTCTTTCTTTCTACCACTTCTCTCCCAAACTACGAGCGTGAATTCGTCAACGACAGAGTATTAATAATGGCTTGTGTGTATACAAAGAGCGTGGGCACGCCTCCACCGACCGGGTACTGTATTTCGCTTTCTTATGTCATCACGTTTGGGTTGGGCTGGGTTGGCCCATTACTTTGCACGCTCATGCTCTGATCCATCTCCATGTCAAGAAGGGATGAAGTGGTTTGGTTGCGATCGCTGGTGTAACTTCTTCGTCCATGCGGCTGGATTCGTGCGCTGGTCATACAGGTTGACGTTATATCGTCATGTACAGCACCTGAATCATGATCTTCCTTTGAACGGTTCTCATTGGCCCGCGGCATTTGGTTTCTCGCATGCGTAACTTCCTGCAGCCGGATTTGGGCACAGGACATGGGTCCACTATGTTCTTCTCTCGCTCAAGTCTTCTATTGCATGCGCGAAAAAGACGCGTGCTGGTTACTGACGTCCTCTTCCCTGTAAGTCTCCAGTGCGTGAAACCGCGTGTGGCAAGCCGTCCATTGCTACCGTCTGCTATCACCACGAGTTCAACATTGTTTTGTCTGTAACCATCAAACACTCGATTCTCATGACCTAAAACTATTGCATCACATAAGAACTAGAGGTTCCCTCTGCCTCGCATTGTTATATGTTTGGTGCATTACTTGTAGTGCGGATATTTATTCCTTTTCTTCGCCCCTGTTCGAATCCGATCAGAGACCCGCATCAGATCGAGCTCTGAGTCGCTGGCGTTCCGTCATGTTCCTTGGCCGCAGAAGTCTCGACTCATTCGAACGTATCCACCGAACGGTACATGGATAGTAGCCGGCCGGGCTAGTGTATACGTGACCAAGTCTCTTATTAAGCTTGATCTTGTGGGCCGCTTCCTTCTCCGCGAGCTCATCGATAATTAGCCAGCGTTGAGCAATCTCATCGACGTATACACACTGGGCGTAGTTCCCAACGCCAATAGCCTATGATCTTCATCTGACAGCTCCACTTTTCAAGAAAAAGAAAATTATGAGAGTATGCTGATACTGCGATGTATGCAAAGCAGCCCCAAAAGTGTGAGAGCAGTTGGGTGCTTTCCGCGCCGGCCGACCCTCACTAGTTATTTCTCATCTACAGGTCACTACTCAGGGTGACGCTTCTCCTGGTGCTAGTCAAGTTGTCCCACATATTCCCGGATGGCATTCGGACGATGTGATGATCAGACGGTAGACTGCTGAGGAAGAACGCAAATGGCCTGGTATAAGCGACCCTACATATATGTTTCGAAGCTGGCTTTCCAATAATTATGCTCTACATAATTCTGCCACTATCAAGAGGACATTCGATTCGGTTCCTTGAATTGAAAGACTATATAGAGCGCTGAAGCGCTAGGGTGTGGCCCAAACCCGGACAAGGTAGATCCACACGATGCCTAGCAAATTGATCCTCGTGAAGGCCAGAGTATAATTCTCCTTGGTGGTCTGGGGAACATTCATCCTGGAGTGGTTTCGGTGGTTCTGAAAGGGAGATCCTTCTGTCGACTGCATTTTACACTAAATACCGTAAAGTCTTGAATATATACAGCCACTCCATCCGGACCAGCGTGCAAAATATTCTGTGGAAGAGTGCAGTCCTGGTCGATTGACCGCACCAGTGGCTGGGAGACAGGCTGTCAGAATGCTGTCAGACAAGGTGACACATATCGCCGGTTAACTTGGGGCAAGTTGGTGACCAATAGGCCAAGGTAAACCGCGAACGCCTTCTCATTCCCCTGAGAGGCGCGGCGCTTCCCCTGAATCCGGGCTAATGCTGATGATGTAGGGCGAGCAACAACACTAGACCCACTTGGGTGTGGGTGTACAGTGGCTGGCGTGATGCAAGAACCATGGTGTCTCGGGAAAACATTCTTCTTCAAGAAAGGAAGCACTAGAAAGCCATATGGAGCAATGGGTGTCACGAGGTAACAAATCATCGATGACGCGCTGACCCTCCGCTGCATGACGATAGAAGAGGAACCCACTAGCCAGTGTCTCACTTTTCAGAACCATTCAGAATTTTCTGGGTAGCTTCACAAGATTCCTCTAACGATCAGATGAGACGCCGATCGCAATCAATCCACCTCGTGTCAACCGCTGGCTTGCTGATATGTTATCAATTGGCGGTCACTGAATCCCTTGATAGTTGCGAGGGCGGACTAGTAGTACTGTTGGTGAATTTTACCCGTCGCGCGGGCCGTACTTGCGAGAACGTCAGTTATAAGACGAAATGAAGGCTAGCGATGTTCTCGGCGCTCTAGCGAACAGCAACAGGAACCAACCGGTGAGTCTACGAGGAAATGGGAATGGATAAACAAAGGTATGTCGCGAAAACAGCGCAGTGGGAAGGACCATATCTGATTGATAATATTGCCCTTCCACGGTATAATATAAACATGCAGGAAGAGTGCAGTGCGCTATACGGACTTGAAGCTGAACTGACTGGCTCATTGGTCCGCCGCTCTACTCCATGCTGATTGGGGCTCGAGGAGCTGGTTCGAGCCATCACCGGCTGCACACGCGCTGGTGGCTAGTCGGGTCACTGGACGGTTCGGAGGTCTGGCGGTGAGACCATGAGACCATGTGGGAGTGCGGGGTTTGTTACATAAGGCTTACCGAACCGATTCTCTGTTGGTAGGAAAGTGCAAATTGACACACCGTTGTTCTCGAGGCTTTGATGGGCTTACTTTTCTGAAATGCTTCTCGGTTTCCCTTTGGGATGACAAATACGAGCTTCCATTGCGATGTCCCCCTGTGCAGTCTCTGCAGCACATCTCAGAGCCAAAGCTCATTCATGAATTTGGGCTTAATGGAGTGTCGCGAAGAGATTGTATATTGGAACATGACAACACCGGCGATGGCATGTTTTGCATTCCTTTCAAAAGCAAACGAGTTGATCCCAGCCAGGTTGCCGGAAACCGGTCGGTAGTACTTTGTGGCATCTGGACAATGGACCTCCTGGTTTTCAGGCCTGCCATCATCCCAGCTCGTATGTGAAAAGGATTTTTAGTGTTGTTGACGACATGTCCAAGAGCTTCGAACATCAGACCAGCTGTGGAGGGTTCCTTCATACAATTGTAGAAGTGGGTGGCTGAGGTATTGACCAATTCCAATCCCTTTTTTTTCATCAGCTCGTGGAGGATAAAGAGGGAAATGATTTAGGTGTGCGGGCTTGATCGACTTATGACATGACCATGCTCATCTTGGAGGGGGTTGATTTCTACCAGACGGTGGCTGTATTTCTCAGGTTCATGATTTACCACTTGGTGGAAGAGGTCCTTCAGGTCGCACCCCATAATAGCTATGAGGGAACTAGCGGTGCGTTATCGCTTAGCAAGACACATTTACATAGTACTAATGTCTAAATACTCAAGAACATGGTCTTACCTCAGTTCACAAAGAAGGAACTGAGGAAACAAGAGAATGCGCGAAGGATGGGGCTTATAAGCCTTCAACAGTGTCTATCGAAGTGAAACCAAAAAGGAAGGACGGCTTGCGGCTGCACGTCCGTGCGCAAGAACAGTGGGACGTCGATTATTCTACTTAGGCTACTTTTGTTGTGAGGGTTCGCCGAGCTTCCGATATTGCCCATTTCCCACGAGGTGGCCATGCCGCATCATCTAAGTCCTCTTGCACACGGTCAAGTAGATATCTTTATACGGACCCCCCCGTGCGTCCCACACAGCGCCAACAACCGGCCAGTGCGTAACGCATTTCCCCGCGGTGGCAAACCGGCCCTCAAACCACTCCATGGGGTCCTACCTCCCTGTACAAACCCCAAATACATGTCATGTATCGCGAAAGCTAATGGGGTTCCACCAAAGAAAAAAAAAGCACTGGCTATCTGTAGGTAGGAATCCAGCCTCTATGACTTCGTAACATTTATTTGTAAACTTACTCGGAGAGAAGTTTTTCCGAGATGCAACTGAGGACCCAACACCGTGGCCGAGCGCCGCTCAGTTAGTACCATGGTAGGAGACTACATGGGTGCAGCAAGTCCATTTTGGTTTTTTCCTTGGCTCTCTGCCACTTTCTCTTTTCTTCCCAAACTACGAGCGTGAATTTCGCCGACGACAGATAAGAACAGAGCATTCTGGCTTGGGCACGCTTCCGCCGACCGGGCACTGATTGGTGCACACTCTCGTTGGATGATGACGCTTACTTCGCCTGTCTGGGTTGCGCTTTCTTATGTCATCACTTGTCTAGGTTGGATCATATCCTGATCCATCTCCCAACCATGTCGAGAAGGAATAAAGGCGGGTTGGTTGCGATTGCTGGCGTTACTTCATCCATGCGGCTGGATTCGTGCACTGATCATGCAGGTTTACCTCCTATCGTCATGTACAACACCCAAATCATGACTTCCCTTTGAATGGGCTTTAAATTCGAGGTGGGTGTACACAAATGCGTCATACTAGATCATTATCTCACACGGACCTCGAATATCGACTTCAGACACCAAAACCCTCTGCCGTTGTACTAATTGATGCCCTCCCGCTGTGCTGACAAGCATGCTTTCGAACACTGTTATGCAAAGCCACGAGCTCCAACCCCAGAAAAGAATAACAATGGCGTTTCCCCTGTTGCACCAAAGGTTTCTCATTGATCTGCGACATTTGACTTCTCGCAGGTGTAACTTCCTGCAGCTGGATTTGGGCACAGGACATAGGTCCACTATGTCATGTCATGATCTTCTCTTGCTCAAGTCCTCCTCTAATGCATATGCGAAAAAGACGCATCCTGATTACTGGCGTCCTCTTTCTTCAGAGCGTGCAACCGGATCCGGCGATGTGGCAAGCCGTCCATTGCTAGCGTTGTACATTGTCCACTATTACGAGTTTAGCATTGCTTTGTCTATACCATCAAACGCACGATTCTCATGACCTCAAAACTATCCCATCACATAAGCGGCTTCGCAACCAGAGGTTTCCCCACCTTGTCTTACTAGGTATCTCTGTGTGCGGATCTGTGAAATTCGTTGCCTTGTGTGGCGTGCGGTGATTGCGTGTTGCTCGGATTCTCTGCAACCGCGTTTCCGCCCTTCAGAACCCCCAGTAGACCCAGCGAACAATTACTTGATGATATCGGCAAGTACTTCTCGGCTCAAACTGGCTTGCAATGATCGAGTTTTTGTGATGGAAACGAAGCGAGAGTCGGAGTAATTCCGCCGCGCAGACGGCAGTGATAATATGCGTGGCGCTCCTCATATTCCCAATTGCTTGAAGACGAGGTCGTCAGCATGATGCCAGATATATTGCACTCCATGGGGTATTTCCTGTTCTGGCCCCGCAGTTCCCCTACGTCCTTCCGCGCTGCTGTGGTATTTAGACAAGAATTAGTCGTTCCCCTACCTCCCGGAAGAAAATCCCATCATTCCTGCATCCTTTCACTTGCATAGATCATTGCGGACTCCAGCCAAACATGGCAACCGCCTACGCGGCGATGTCCCTACTCTCTGCTACCCACGCCACACTCCCTAGGCATGTGAAGTTGTAGATATACCTGCTGTGCCTGAGATCCGGAACGGGTAGAAGAGTCGATCCGTTTTATTGACCGAATTAAGCAATGCCAGACTCTCTTGCAAAAGCGGTGTCTGCTGATGAGATTGCAAGACCGGACATGTACAGGCGCCATGTCCTCAAAAGCGCAACATGTGATGGATACATCTTTTAATTTTGTATCAGTTCATCGTGTCAATTGAGCCACAATACAGCGGCGACACGACGAATAGTGATGCCCGGCCATTGATACGCTGAAGTATCCGTTGCTTGTATCCCACTCACGACCTTGTACAACAACTAGGACATACGAGAATACTGAGACTTATTTCCGTGCAATAGCAGAATGACCAACCCCCCTGCTCTGACATCCAGGGCAATTGTGGAATTGATGCATTCTGAGGGCAGTTCTTCGCTGAACTTCCAGCCCCGTCTCCAACTCCTTAGTTTTAAACGATTGGGTACGCGAAGAGCGAATCCGGATACACCTGGCAGATATGGGTGGGTGACCCTACCTCAATGCAACATTTTAGCTCACGCACCCATGAAGAGCCTTGTCGTCTCGGACGGAGATCATTTCTATTTTGCAGTGCTGTCCACTGGATCGAACTATCTCCTGGATGAAAATATTCTAGAAAAGAACTATGTATTCACGCTCGCTGGATTGGAGGACGTCATGGGGAGGAATATGCGGTGGGCAGCTCGATCATTATCTCACTGTCAATCTTCCTATTACTTCACCTCCGTTTCCCAGGATGATGGCTTTGGAAATCAGCGAAGCAGACATTGTTTGCTTCAACGAACGCATTGGGTCCCCAACTTTACCACGGCAAAGATCAGACACAAACGCCCCCACAGCAGCCAAGGCCGCCATCGCCGACCCACCATCACCAACCCCTGGCCCTAGCACCACCGAAGCTGACACTCCCCGCAATGCTCCCACCGAGAACCCCCCGGCCACTTTACCGATTGAAGGGCTGAATCCTTATCAGAGTGGGCGGACCATCAAAGTTCGTGTAGTTCAAAAGTCCAAAATCAGGCGTTGGTCAAACAATCGCGGTGAAGGAAAATACTTCAACTGCATGTTTGTGGACGAAACAGGCGAGATCAGGGCAACGGCGTTCAATGGTGCAGTCGATGAACATTATGAGAAACTTCAGGAAGGAAAAGTGTACTATGTCTCGCGAGCAAGGTTGAAAGATGGTTCGTCCACAAATAAGTACGAGATGATACTCGAAAGGACCTCAGAGATTAAGGAGGCGAGTTCATGAGAAATCTCCATTGAGAGTGGATTATTCTTACCTTGTCCCGACACCATACATAGTGCATGGACACCGCAGATTCTCAGTATTCTTTCATCGAGCCATCGCAGATGGCATCACAGCAGCATGGTGCTGTTGTGGGTACGTACCTTCAGTCCCAACTTCGCGCAGGTTCTCGCTTAGTTTGTAATCAGACGTATTGGGAGTGGTTCACGAAGTTCTGCCCTCGAGAACTCGCTTCGGCAATCCCAGCGGAACAGTACGGCGTTTTAGATATTATTGGAGACACAATATTCACTCTCCTCGTACGATAGACCGTCGGGCGGGATCTGATGCTTGTCGATAATACAGGATATAGCATCCGTCTGACAGTACGGGGCAATCGGGCCGAGTATTTCGACAACCACACCAATCCTGTCGTGGCCGTCAAGGGTGCTAGGGTGAACAATTCTAGCAGTGCGTTCACCCGTGATTGCTTAACATCTACCCGGCCTCACAATACCCCATGCTCCACAGCCACACACCTGGACATGCCCAACGCTAGCTATATGCAAGTAGAACCAGATAACCCTCAGGCACATGTGTTGCGTCGGTGGTATGATCAAGGGGGAAAGGCAGAGACTTTCCGACCACAAGTATCAAGCAGTGGACCTGATCCATCCTTTAGTGGGTTCAATAATAATGAGCCTTGCCCCATTGCCATCGCCCAAGAAAAGTTCCCTGGCTTGGGCGATACGCCAGATTACTTCGTGCTTCATGCCACTGTCGTTCTCTTTGGGGAGAATGTCTACTATATGAGCTGTCCCGGGCCCAATTGCCAAAAGAAGGTGCTGGAGCAAGACGATGGGACATGGAGATGCGAGAGGTGTGCAAAGTCATATGTGAACTGCAAGTATCGGTGCGCAATTCGTCATCTTCTCACAACATACGCCTACTGTAGTACCAGTGCTAATGCATCTCGGACTCGCATACCCCCTAGTTACTTAATGGGTGTTTCGGTTGCCGACCACACGGGACAACTTTTCCTTCAGGGCTTCAATGAAATTGCCGAGCAGCTTTTGGGGATCTCCGCGAAGGATTACCACGATCTCATAGTAAGCGCGTGACACACGATGTGGGGGGGCTTCCGCGAAATGCCAATGATTATCCAGCAGGAAGATTCTGATGCTGCCAGAGCTAAACTGGTCGAGGCGAAGTATAAAGTGTGGGATCTGTCGTGCAGAGTGAAACAAGAAACCTACAATGTGAGTCTATTCTTACGATTCGTTTGCTTGCACAGATGGAATTCTACTTCTACTATGCTGCTTCAGGGCGTGACTCGTCCGCGATACGTTATTAATCGGGTGTTTGCTCCCGACTATGCAAAGGAAGGTTTACGCTTACTTGAGTTTGTGGAAAGGTATCCTTCTAGTAAGAGCGCTTGATTTCTGGCGGTGGAGAATACTGTAATACGGTGAGCCTGAGGTTGGTGTACATATGTAAATACCTTGTGTCGTCGTCGCGTGATCAATTTTCTGATGTATCCACTGGAATTCCCAACGTTTGGGAGCAATTGCTAATCGGGTTCCGACAATCTCGCTTCTGTTTTCAGCCCAATATACTTAAGTGCTTCTCAGCCACCTGTGCTTTTGGCTGAACGCTTATTCATGATTTGCGGAACGCTTGCAAGATGGCATCTAGCGTAGCCGCCGCACGGAGAAGTCCTGCCATATCTCCTATAGCTTCCAGACAACCGTCACCTTTCCCTGGTGCTCCTAAGCCTCTTCCTGTTCGACGCACTCATGGGGCCAGTCTATCTTTGAGTCCGTCCACCCCAAGGCGTTTACTTATACCTACTACGCGGGCATGGCCACCACCCGACTGCACTCCCCGGGGGACTCGTACGTGGCATGGCGGAAGACTCAGTAAATCCCGACCTAGTTCAATTGACCAGTCCCATGCACTAGCCATGAATGACGGTGACAATTTTTGGTTCGGGTCATTGAGGAACTTTCAGATTGAGTCGATAGAACCTGGGGTGGAGCTTACTGGGTTCCGAATTTTCGCTGTTGAAAAGTGGCTTGTGGACCGTGACAAGGCTATAGGGGCAGTCGTTGTGTACACGGGCAATTCAGATGACAAGGTGTGCAAGCATGTGGAAAGAGCTCGTTGCCCATAGTGAGCTCATCGACGCACAAGATCCAAGTCCTCGTTTTATCACCGAACCCAGACCTACCAGAAGCAGAAGCTCGTGAATCATTTGACACGGCGGTTTTAGAGCTTCGCAAAGATGGCGCGAAGCCGAAGGAGGTACACTGAGTGAGGACTTTTCAATATAAACCGCTTTTGACGCTCAGTCCTTTAGACCGAGAATGGAGTCATCATGGTCACCTCTCTCGCGAATTTTAGATCAGATCTCAATATTGTGCCAATCCCAGGAGGGGACTTTCTCGCGGTCAGAAATGAACTCTTCGTTAACATCAACCTTCTGAGAATGGGGTGCAGTGGGAGGAGTGGCCTCAATTTGGATCCTCCAAGGTTGGTCACACACCTTCAACTTCAAGCTATCGATCGTTCTTAGGATCATCCTTTCACCTAACAGTTCAAGCTCGAAGGAGAAGTTTATGCAATTGTTTTCATTAGCTGAGCCCAGCACCAGCTTCGCGTCGCCAACGACAACAGGAAATGATCCCTGGTTCAAATCTGCTGTCCTTGAGCTTGTTTTCACAGTGCAATCTGCACTCAGCTTGTTCGGTAGGTTCAGTCTATCTTCCAGTTTGCGGGATGGCCTTCTTTGTGACAAGACGGTGGAGGGTATGCAGATGTGGGCGCTGGAGATCGGAGGTTACTATGGCTTAGAGGTAAGGTAGCTCTGTTGAAAACCCAACGCGTCCTAATACTTTTTTCAGCCTATGGAAAGAGTGCTCGAGCCATCGGCAGTTGCTTTACTGTTCAGCATCGTTTTTACTTTGAGAAACAAACTCTCTGCTCTTGGAGTATCGAATGTAGGTCTACGTTGAAATTTATGGTGTAATCACGCGTTCATTATTGCCGGTTACAGTTGTCTAAAGACCCCTTTAGAGAACCACTCTGTTTCTTGCATGCTATGGCAGATTTCCAACGGATTCCGATGCCCTCCCCCTTACAAAGGCCTTCTTATACTCCTGACAATCAGGTTTACTTCATCGATCACGAAAGCATTGAGCGCGTCAACTTTGCATATGCGAAACTCCGCCAAGCTGAACCGTATAAAGTGCACCGTGTGCTCAAGAACAAGATTGATGACCTCACAACTGTGTCATCCTCGTTAGCAAACAATCTCAACCTTAGTCTGAGATCCACCACCGATCCAATGCCAGTTGGGAGTAGCGCCGCGTCGGTATACTCCGCGAATCTAGCACGCAACGATCATGCAGGAGCAGCAGACGAAGCTACAACTGACTTAGACATAATGGTGAAGTTTGTCCTCAATGGCAGCAAACACGAGATTCCAGCAACGTTGCGTGATTTATGGGGCGGACGGCCCGGTCGGCATCGTCAAGAGCTGGAGGCTCGGCATCGTTCGTCCAGAGGTGGGAGTCGTGACTTGACTGCGGATGATGAGGAAGGAGGCATCGCTGCCGCCCTTTGGCGAGGGACTGGTGGGAAGGTACAGAAGAAGGGTCAGGCATTTGCTCATGGTATTGCTGAGTGGACCGGGTAAGTATTGCCAATGTGTGGCACTGGATAGGAGCGTTTCTCAACCGAGCCTTTGGCTTGCAGACTCGATATCGGAAAGTCGAAGAAAACCACGGGTGATACGACACAAGGTGAATCGGATACGAGTGCCAATCGCACCAAAGCCCAGCTCGCTCAACCGCCGAGTTTGACGCTGAATGGGTACGTATTGAGTAAGTGACAGATGTGTTTCACGAAGTGATTGGTTTTCAGGGACAAGTCACCCGACGCCACTGACTTAGACGACCCCTCTATTCGTGCGTGCCCGTTTCGCAAATGTTCCTCACAACTGGCCTGATTTTGATCGCGTTGCTAACTCTAGATGTTCACAGTCTTGCGTCCTCTCACCGGTCACACTTATCTCCGGCGAGTTCAGTGACCAACCTGAATCTTTCTGAGTACGAAAAGGGAATGCGCAGATTCAATGGGAGAGCAGGGCCAATGGATATTGCCTTTCTTCGGCGAATCGGCACCACGGTCTCAGATCCAGCCTTGGTAACCGTATCTAGGCTTCGTGACGCCGAAGCTGAATCTAAGAAGTCGCCACTCAGCTGGAAAAGCAATGGAAAGATGTCGACCACTTTCGCTGCAATCGGCGAGTCCATTTTGGATGCTAGCGCCCACGATGACCCAAAGATCTCCCCAAGAGGGTATGGACGGCGGCAGCAAGAAGCTGCCCGTAATGGGTTTCGAGATGAGATGCAAGGGCTTCCAAACGCCTTAGAAGATGAGGAGATGATGGATGATGTTTTTGGCGATGAGAGAGCCCTGGTGGGTAATATTTCAAGGTACGTAACACATTACCAGAGTACACATTGATCCTCACAATTGGTGGAGTAGGCGACGCAGTATTGGCACCGTGATAGAATGGAGTCATCTCCCCCGACAAGAGGTTAACAATTTGTGTATCGATGTTGAGCTGTGTTCGCAACTTTTGAACCTGAAGGAAAAGCAAATTGATATGGAGAATGCAACGCGACTGCTCCGAGTAAGGTTTCTGCACACTCTTTCAATTTCTGGCTAACTGGTCATCAGGTAATAGTGGAATCTTTGGGTCAGGCAACCTCGGATCTTCACGGTGCTCTCGCTCCTCAAGTAGAAGCCTTGCCAGTGATTGAATCTCGCCGCACGTATCTGACCAATCTCACACGCCAAGGGCGCTCCGAAGCAGATAGGCTGCACGGTCAAGCAAAAACCTCCCACTACCAAGTTGAACGTCTAGAAGAGAGAACGGAGAGATTAGATAGCACTCTGGAAGGATACACGAAGCGTATGGATGACGTGGAGCGTGCTGTGGAGGGCATATATATGATTACTCCATTCGCGGACTACAGTGATGATCCCCGGGCAGAGGACGAGGGAAGCCCAACAGAAAGTGTCAATGCGATGGTGGATCAAGCCAGCCAAGTGCCGGCAGAAAAAGGTGTGGAGACATCAAAACCTTTTAGTTGGACAAGGTGGAATATCTTTGGTTTTGGGTCTGTATAGAGGGCATACACAGTAATTTGTATCCGTAACTCCCTTGTAATTGTCATGTCAGACTTGGAGCCACAAGTCTCGCCACAAACATCGTCAACTCAAGATGCTCGCGAGGCGATCATCCAAGCTGCTAAGGCCAGGACAGTGGTTAAGGATCCTAGGGAGGACCTAGATAAAGCGAACCTGGAGGAGAAGAAAGTTCGTCATAGCTTGGACACCACGTCTCCTATCTCGCAACTTGGGCGCTTAGAAGCTCGTCCTTTTTGATAGGCTTTCAGAAGGATAATAATTGCTCAGATTGAGAGACACAACGACGAGCGGGTGGCAATTGAGAGCAGCAAGGTACCTGACTCGACTTTCAAGTTGGCTGCATGCTCCATCCTGTCCACTGAACGCAAGACACCTCCGTCACCAAGGTTCTTCTAAAACTAGCAAACAACATACTCCAGAATCCTGATGAACCCAAGTACCATCAGTTCAAGGTCACTAACTCAACGATACAGCGAAATCGTATGTATACTTTTACTCGGAATTGTTTCAATGAAATAGACTCCATCACTCCTCAGTGGTCGAGCCGAAGGGCGCATTGGAGTATGCGGTTGCAGTAAGCCTCCCGGCGCCATCCTTGATAGATTGTGCGCCAATATGTTCAATCCCAGATGGGATTCCGTGTGCGAGTCCGAAAGTAAGTGCACCCATGCCAGTGGTTCGCGGCGCCGTAAATTAATGACGATAACAGTTTTCAGCAGATTTATGTCTTCGATCCTACTCCTAAAACACTGCAAAGCCTGAGGAACGGCGCCGACTGTCTAAATGAAGTCCTTCAACATCACAATGATGCGGTCGATCAGGCGAGACGTGCCAAAGAGACAGAAAAGGCTGCGCAAGCTCGGAGGCAAGAGCTGGTAGGATGACCATATGATCATACATTTCTGGTGCTTAGCCATGACTGGTTATTTTAATAGGTCCGCCTTGCCTACGAGGATGACAGGAAAGAGAAAAAGGCTCGCGATGAAATGGAGAAACAGCGAAGAGAAGCGGTCGCCGCCCGAACAGCTCGGGAAGCCCTGGAGGCCGTAGAAAGTGCAGGTGGCGACACTGACAAGCCACCCCATATGCCAGGACTGCTCGCGTAATATCTAGTCCGAATCTACTCGAATCAGCTTGATAAAAGTGGAGCAGAGGTGATGTGTGTATTTTCTGAAAATCATATCGAGATGTACCCGACACAGGAACATGCATTAAATATACAATTATCGGCCCTAATTAGCCGCCAGCTTGCAAATTACTTGCATGATACATCTTGAACCATTAGACACAAAGCGATATTAAGAGCATTATTTGGTTGGGGCGTTGTTTCCATCACCCGCCGCCCTAGGAATATGGCAACTCAAAAGAATCGATGCTAAATGGACGATGTGACTGTGCATCGTAATTGCTCAAGGCAAGGGGCTTCCTCATCACCCTCGTCGTCCTCATCGTATGGTCCATCAAAATGAGGCGACGACCCAGGTGGGACGTCTTGAGGAAATGGCGACTCCGCCTTGAAAGAGGATATAGATGCAGCAGCGCGTGTGACACTCTGGAATCGTCGCTGATGACCATCATCACTGTATTCGGATGGCGTACACTGTCCATTTTTTGACATGCTGTTAATTTCCAGATCACGCTGCCCTGCCAAAGAAAACCCCCCAGCAGGGAAGCGCACCCCGGCACCGAGCTCTGAGAAACCACTGGGGGCATCGACCTCATGAAACTCCCCGTCACGACCCCCAGACACTGCCTCGTTCATGATTCCTGTTACCAAGTCTAGAACATCCGGAGTGAAGGTCATCGTTAGGATAGAACGGTCGAAGATGCCTATTTGGACCTCTAACGGAGTATCAGTAGTCGATGCACTGGCTGGGGATAGGAAGGGACCATCTTCCTCCGAGACTTCTGGTTCACTGCTATTAGGGAGGGTGGGTCGATGTATATTTGAGTGGGTTTCCTGCATGCATCGCCAGGTTGCCGGCGCAGGTTCCGGAGATGGGTGGCCGGCAATAACGGGATACGGTTCTATCCATGGGTAGACCGTAGGATCTGGCATTCGGATGACTCAGCATGTGGCAGGTAAACAATGTCTTAAAGGGACTCACAGATGACAATGAAGGGATATCTAAAAGGATCGGGTGCGTCTGAAGTGAACGAATTTTCACAAACCCATGCTCTACCGGGGAAAATGGATGCTGAACTATGCGGGCGGAATGTAGGACAGAGGTTGAAGGAGGGATAACGAGATGGGTCGATACTCCCAAGATTGTAGTGGTACATGCGTGGATGGGAATCCATCAACGGATAAAACGTAGGAAGCCAGCTGGATGATTCCTCCCGCAGTTTGTTGAGGGATTTTGACGCAGTCGACGATCGCTCCGTCTCAACGGGAAACAATGACAGCTCCTGGTGGTTATTCTGAGGAACGCTGGGATGATCGCTATGGCCCACTTCGCTCTTCAACCCCAGATAAGTCTCGTCAAGGTTGTGTAGGTACTCGCTGGAATACACTGACACCGGCTGTACTACGGCCCGACTTGCATTTGCGGCCATTGTCTCCAAAGGAAATGCAGGGTGGAATGATCTGTCAGCAAGGTCGAAAGTAGGATCCGATTGCTCCAACACGGAGCTGATCACGGGAGAATTGTGATCGCCATCCAATGGAGGACTTCGTGTCGCCACAATGGAAGGCGTGCAAGGGGAGTCGTCGATCATTCGTGATGCGATTGGTGTAGGTAGTCGAATTTCTGGGGGTATGTGGAAGAAGCATGCCCATCGATAGGTGAACCAAACGACGTGGCCGTTGATGGAGTCATCACGGAACCAGCACGTCGGTCAGCCATATGAACAGAACGAGGGAGGGGAGATAGCGTCATGAGGTCGTTCCCGTCGTAACTAGGTGGACCTGCGGATGAGATAGACCAGGGAAAATCATCCAAATCAAGAATTCCGTCATCCATATGTTCAGAAACGTCGGCGTCTGCTTCAACGAATGGTGCCCCCAAAGGGACCTCAGGATGAGGGACAACGCCCATGGGAGTACGCTTTCTCCATTCTTGAACCAAGGAGCGGACATGAGGCGAAATAGGCACATGGCCAGGCAAAATTTTCGGATACGCAACCTCTTGGACTTCTTTTGCATCTACAACAAAGCCGTTTGTGCCCGACAAAGTGTTGGTTCTCGAGGAATTGTGGAGACGCGAAATTTCCCCCCGACGTTCAAGAAGAGAAAGGTGTCTGATATGGGTTTTCGAAGAGCGGGATTTGGCATGAGCTTCATTGAAGTGATTAGACGCATCGAGAGGGACGAAGCCGATCTTCGTGTCAACAGGATGAGATGAAGAAATTGCGCCAGACAGATCTCCGTGCCGCCGCCAGGTATTGTACCATCGTGCAGATTGCATGTCAATGTCAAACTCAACATGCCCCGCAATGGGAAGTCCAGCCAGTTGTGTCAAAGATGGATGTTGGTTCGAATGTAAATATTGAGCCCATAGCAATGGCCACACGTCATCTGTGACTCTAGGTCTCACTGGTGGGACTCCAGCTTCAACAGTTAGGTGTACAAATACACGTAGCCCAACAGTGCTCGGCAGTCCGAACTCTTTTGCGACGGCATCAAGTTGATTGGGTAGCTACGTCAGCGCATTTACATGAGTCGCCTATTGGCTTTAGATATGATAAGACAACCGTACCGTGTGTTGCAGTGTCATTAGAACATCGGATGATAGGGTTTTACCCCCCTCAGCTCCGAGGATATCTGGAGGCGTTACGACCAATAGCCAGCGAAAAATCTCCAGGGGTATTGCTTCTTTCATGTCTCCCTGTCCGTAGTACATCACGCCCTTATGCAGCCGCGACGATGTCGTGAAGTCTGCTGGGCGACTGTAAGAGTTTGGGTCAGACGCCAGCGTCGACTTCATATCAACGTCAAGAGGGCTTAGTGGTAAGGGATACCGAGAATTATGCGATAAGATGTGATTTGTGCGAAAAGCCATCACGCCGGGTGAGGCGAAGAAAAAAGACGAAAGAATCCTATTAACCCCATCTTCGTCAGCAAGGTGAGCCTACGATGCATCGAACGGCATACCAGCACGCTGGAGGAAAGCACTACAGTCGAAAGGAAGCTGGAAGAGTCAGAGATATAAGCCGTGGCGGAGTACTGCAAGGACGATCGCCAAGGTGATGCCTCTGCAACCATCATTGATGCCGGGAAACTAACCGGTGACAGCGCCCCCCAGCGGAACATGTATGCTGTCTCCACTGATGCACGTCCCACGTCAGCTTCTCGCTTCTCACACTTGCCGAGGATTGGCGGAAATGATTGCGTGCATGGTTTTGGTGTTGTTGCCCGTGGGAAAATACGTCGGTGTAGCCATAAACACAGCAATTCGCGATGGAGATCTCATTAATGTGATCAAGCCGCTCAGATCCGAACTTGGGACAATCATTTGATAGATACTGGGACGGTACCAAGATGCGCTCACGGCATATACAAATAACTGTACATGTAGGAAGTAATAAAAACTATGGGCCGTCAACTCGGCTCCGTTTCGCAGCCTTGGGTCCATCGGGAGCGGAAGCAGGGGGGCCCTGGCCCATCCCCATGAAGGCTGGGTTGAAGTGACCTCCCATCCCCATGCCACCTTGTTGCATGCCCATTCCTCCCCGGGGCAGACCGCCCATTCCTCCACCCATAAAGTTGCCACTCCCACGCATTTGCCCCATTCCATTATTATAGCCTCCCCGGCCGCCACCCATCATACCGCCGGATCCCATCGGATTCATACCTCTGAAGTTCATGCCGGGATTCATACCCATCATGCCTTGTGGGTTCATAAAGGAATTTCCCATCATGGGTGTCATTCCGGGATTCATCATCATGGGCCCCCCACCACCCACTTGCCCACCACGCATGTTTCCGCCCATCATGTTGGGCCGGAAATCGGTGCGACCACCTTGCGCCCCGCCGCGGTTCTGGCCCATCATGCTTTGCGCTCGTGGTGGGGGATCTGATAGGGAGAATCTGTTGAGGACACTATTTCGACGCTGCTGGACAAGGCTTACCCTTAGGAAGAGTTCTGAAGGGGTTACCATTCGCTGATTGTGCAAATGTGATGTGTGCTCTTCGACCGTTTAAATCGCTGCAAATCCACAAGTGTGAGCTCCAGGATTCCCAGGAGTCAAGGTAAACTTACTTCTCTTCCAGCCACTTTTTGACAAGGACCGCACTGTCATGGCCACCGAGTTCCACGTAGGCAATGCTGCGGGGAGTTTGAGACATAATCTTGCAGTAAAAAATGATGACCAAACACACCCTTTACTTTTCCCATTGACCTTATGTTCAGAAAAAGTGATGTGCTTGAGCTCAATATTCACACCGACCCTGGCGGCAACTTGTCGTATATCTTCATCTGTCGTCCACTGGGAGGGGTATCACCCAAGTTGTTAATTAAACATGAACAGTATGACCTTCAATGACTGCCAGATCCTTACCCATTGCAACTCGCCGAGATACAGTGCATCGTCAACGACGCCTTGGTTTGAGATAGGTGAGTTGGGGAAGTTATTTGCTGGGAAAGTAAGGCCATTGCCCTGGTAATTTTGTCCTGCAAAAGAGGTAGAATTCTGCTGCTGCTGGTATTGTCGCTCCTGTTACAAGCGATACGGCACAACGCGAGGGAGAATACATCGTCAGAAACATGCACATCCAGCGCCACAGAGAGAAGAGAGAGAGGTGGACGCCACAAGCGATGGGTACACGAGTGGCGATTACAAGAAAGAGCGAAACAGCATATCGCACGGAACGATGTGCGACGAATACAGGGAGGTGCAAAGAAGCAGTAGCGTACATGTTCCTCTGGTCCGTTCGCAGTACTGTCGTCATCACGTTGTCTTTTATCACCAATACCGGGCTCAATGCCGCCTTGGCCAACTGGAATGGTCGAAACCTTAGGTGCCCCCGGAGGAAACGATCAGTGACCCCATTGAACCTCCTTGTTTCACTCCATGAATGCGAGTACATACCTGATCACCAAAGTGCTCGTCACCAAACTCATCCCCGTAGAGATCAATGTCGTCACCGTTATCTGCCATTTGTCAACTGACTTCTTAACCTTTCGACTGTGCGGAGTCGCACGCAGCGACAACAGGTGACGCATGTACCATTTTGATGATATCGCATTGTGTGTACAAGGTAGTGGCGCGTAAGGAACCAAAAAAACAAATCGTCAACACATGTTACAGGGGAGATGCAAACAAGAGACGGCAAAGACGGGAGATTCGCTCGGGTAGTCAGCAAAAAGATTCTTACACTGTGGTACAGGTGTTTACAACGCAGAAGAGCGAAGAGGAGAGGAAATAGGGAGGAAGGACACGAAATGGGCTGAGAGTGGTGGGAAGGGGTGTTGAAAAGGGCGGTTTCTGGTTGCTGGTTTGAAGTCAGAAGGTGATCTCTAAATGCGGCTATGCCCGCGCCGCCCCTAAAATCCCATAAATGGGAAGGTCGGACTCTTTGAATTTGAATAACGTGCTCCACACAATGTAACCTTCGGTCCGGTGGGACAGTATTGGTCCAATGGTTAGGATTCTTCCCTTCCAAGGAAGAGGTCGGTGTTCGATTCACCGATACTGTACTGATGGCGACTTTTTCTCCACTGGCCCATGCCTCTCCCTTTCAATGTTGGTTGCAAATATTTGTAGCTCTCTCTTTTTCTAGGGTGCAACGTTCGCTGTAAACAGGTCACAACTCACCTAGAGAACCGACAAAAAAATGAACCCGTACAGTACCGGTGAATCGAACACCGACCTCTTCCTGGCTACCAATATGGAAGGGAAGAATCCTGACCATTGGACCAGTACTGTCTCGCCTGATACCATCCATTAGTGACCTTCTTAGCCTTTTGACTCCCCAAGAAACGCCGCTGCATCATGGACCTTGCAAGCAAGGTAATGATCTCAGAAAAGATGTCGGATGGTTTTACCCCTGAAATCAGATCCGACATTTTTTGCTGTAATCCTTGTTTTTCACCTGCATGCAACAACACATACTGGCAGCAGTGATGACTCGCCCGACGGCGGATACTGGCCCAGCCTGTCACATAACTTGAAGTTCAAGGGGACGAGACGAATTAACAGACCGCATGGCTAGTAGTGTCATAAGATCCATACATGACCAGGTGTACCAGGAAGTCCAGAAGTATATATGGCGGACAGGCGGTGCGGCCGATCGATCAACCCAAGCCGCATAGAAGTTGGTGTAACAGTCGGTAGGCAGCCGCCCAGCTTGCTAGGTGATCAGCCTTCAAGGAACAGGTTTATGGAAGAAGAGAAGACTGATGTACATATCTCTTTGAAGTGAATCAATTCTGGAAGAACTATGGCGCATGTGCCCTATCAGAACAACGGTATGCAAGAGACTCGTACAGGTCGAACCGACGGCGGTATTGCGCGCGGGTAATACATTATAAGTACTAGAACACGTAACTACCTGCACGATTGGCGCGCGGGTCTTGAACCAGCACTGCTATCCACGGTTGATGCACCAGCAAGAATAGTTATATAAGCACCCTAGCCGATGATCAGGAAACCCTGGCGGGCACGTAAGTGAGTCGTCGGGAGATCTCAAGCGTCCAAATTGTGCTTGAAGAAGATCAGATATTTCAAAAGCAGCCATCCAGCAGCACGCCACGCCACCAGGACACAACAAACTGAGAATGAGGGGCTGCAAGTAATGATTATAAGCGGCCTCGGCACGTCTGTCGGCGAGTCAATATTAATACGTAACGAACGAATCGAACCCGAAAGAAAATTATTTCTTTCCGATTCGATCTGAACTAAGCAGACGCTCGACGCTTCTCTCCAACGAACCATATTGACCTTGAACTAGGCCTTTGGTGGTCTAGAATACCAGCACAAGTACTGTGCGTGTATATATTGACTTGAAGCCAGAATCGGTGAGAACCGGAAGTAGAAATATTTAATATGTAACTGTTTGCAAATTCAATCTTCTCATCGATGCGAACGAACATATCGGCGTGGCCTGAATATAAGCTTATTTTTGCAGTTAAATTCCCTGACCGCAAGATCGAAGACAGCACTCCATGCAAATGTACCAAGGTGGCATGATATGCAGGAGGAAGCAAGTTGCGACTCTCCAGGCGCACATGATCGACTTCCGTAAGGAATTGCAGGTGCCAGAACCCTTGATACCCACATACAGTGTGTTTTGGTGGCTTTGGCAGTGAGGCATATATTATTCATTGGGCAACTGGAGAGTTCTCCTGTATCAAATTGTGGAGTCGCTGATATCGCTAGGTGTGCTGTGTGTGCATCAATCCCCAGCCATTGCTTGGACATAACCGGTCGTAAGGTGAGATTAGATTTCCGTGATGGCAAATCAAGTATGAGTGCAACTACTATTGCACTCACACTTTGGCTAGACTAGGTAGTAATTCTCCCTATCTTGTGGCATGGCACAATGAAAGCGGAAGGGGGTTGGGGTCGGCTTGCGAAACAAAGGGGGGGACATTCGATGAAATCCTTGGAGGACTGGGTTGGTAATATAACGAGAAAGCAGGAATCAATGGAAAGATGCTTTTCGGGAGGTCCGATAGGAAACGCGGTAGCAACGGAGTGGAGGGCCGGATGCGGTGGATCAGGATTAGGTATGGGAGCCCTTCCGTGCAACGTACGCCAAGTGACCCTCGGTGGGCGGTTTGGTTGCACTTTCCTCATGAAAAACTGCTACATAATGAAGTAGTTGGATAGTGTTAGTTTGGTTGGATACGTATACTTTTGACTCCACTGAGGGAGTCCCTTGAACCTGAATGCTGAAAGTGTCGAAGATCACGGCTTAAGGGACAATCGCAAGGTGCACTATAGCAACCCCTTGTGTCCAGGGTCGCAGCTAGATCTTAAGATGACCAATCTCCAAGGAAAGCCTTAAAGGCTACGTTTAGATGTAGCCGACTTGGCAAACCAGCTACACCCGCGCACGCATGTGAACTGATTGGCATTGTGCAACGAAAAAAGGCCGTAACCAACATATTGAAGGTCTTTATCTTGCTTCTTACGCTGGAAGTGAGCTAGGTCATGACCGAGTTGCCACACGGGGTTTGGACGTTCATTCAGCATTCAGCGAAGCTATTCTTATAGAGGCTGGTATCCTGCCTACAGCGAAGCAGACTTTTGACTTTTTTCAAAAGTGACTCGCTTTGGACACATACAAGTCGAACTGTCTCAAAACTTACGTGGACCGGTCATAGCGACTGCAGCTCGAGCCGGAGATAGAGATAGACAAATAGACAAGTATATTCGGCCAACTAGAGATGCAGAAGAGAACATGTGATGAGACAAAAGAAAATGCAATGAAATCTGTTATTCAATGTAGGAGTTCCGTCTCCGGCGGACCCACAGATCATGAATGCCACGCCAGCTTTGGCGCTAAACGTTCCCTCACGACCTCCTTAGCCCCCCTCCCCCCCTCTCCTGGCCAGTATGGAAGACCAGTACGACATTTATAATCTAGATGATGACGCTCCATACACGCCACCACCAAGGCACTGGACATACTACCTCGCGATGGTCGTCATCATTCCTGTCAAGGCCATCACACCGCTTTCCTGGTTGATCGCTATTGGTCAGGCATGGAGACATTTCTTCTCCTTCAGGTCATCTCCTGCCGTATCAGTCTGGGAACGTGCTTTAACATTCTGGGCAATCATAGAGGTAAATATAAAAAAAAAAAAAAAAAATCTTCTCTTCTATTGTTTAAATAACAACCAGCTGCTCGGGCGGGTACAGATATTATTTTCGATTTACAACACCATAATAGTAGCAATTTTATCCAGTAGAGCCCACAACGTGGCCCAAGCAGATCTCGATATCCTGCGGAAACAGTTTAGTCACATCCTTCACCTTCATACGGACACAACATCCGGCAAGCCCATCGTATCTCCCGAACCCTTTCTATCACCACTTTCGTACCCTCCACCTTCTGGGGTTCTGGGACATGCAACAAAACTAGAAGAAGAAGACATCCCCTTCCTTGAGCGCGCTGACCCTCGGGCAATTGACTTCCGGAACAGCCTTCGAACGTGGTTCAACAAGCATCCATGGTCGAGCATATCTCGAAAGAGTATGCGATCGTGGCTTGGTTGGTCTATGTTTACGGCACACTATGAGACGCTGTCCGAAGGTCAGAAGGTTCACATCGAAAGCATCATAAAAATGATAGAGAAAAGAGCTGGTGCTGAGATATCCGAACATCCACCTCATGGAACACCCCATTTGACGCCTTTGAGGATCTCTCTTGACCCACTCAACGTGGAAAACCGGCCCGCTATCGTGTATGCTGTTGTCAATCTGGCAGGTTTCGGTGCCCTTAGGTGGTACGAGTGGAGACACGGCGTGCAGTACGGCACCATCGGGGGACTTGAGTACGTCATTCCTGATGGACCCCCCTCCCCCTCCCCCCTCTCCCTTTCCAGCACACTTATTTCGTGAATAATATGCAGTTATCTCATTCGCATTCCTTCCGGGCCATTGGATATGCCTCGAGGCGACGAAGATAGAACACCTATCCTATTCTTGCATGGCGTTGGCGTTGGTCTCGTCCAACACCTCGTCTTCATCAACAACATCTTAAGCGACACGACTCTCGCAAACCGCATCGTCTTGATACCCATTCAGCCACATATCAGTCAGACAATTTTCCATCCTAATCATATCCACCCTCCAAGGAAGGATGAAATATTGAGAGACCTTCGTTTACTCATATATATGGCGTGTAGCATCGCTGGATTTGAAAACCGACCACAGGTTACTGTGTTAAGTCATTCAAAGTTAGTTCCTTTTATTTATTTATTTATTTTTGGCATTTTCACTTACTAGGCTTAATGCTGGGTTCATTCTAGTGGGACTTCGCTGCATGCTTGGCTGTTGAAGAGTAATCCTGAACTCATTTTCCGCTCATGTTTTGTTGACCCAGTCATCTTCTGTTTGTGGGAAGGAGGTATTCTTTTCCTGGGCGTCCTGACATATTTGGCTCAATCCAAAACTGACGTAATATATATGTCATTAGATGTGTGCTATAATTTTGTGTACAAAGCTCCCAGTAATGTGAGTCCGACCGACCGAAATGTTGTTACGCGACAACATGCCTAATTGTTTGACCACTCACACTGGCCTGGCTGCTACGCTACTTTTGTTGATGTAGGGTGTTGAGGCGTTATCGAAGTATTTCGTTGCATCGGAAATGGGAATAGCGAATTATATCCAGCGCAACTGGGATGTAAGTTTTTTTTTGTTTCTGACCTCTGTACAGTTACTGAAGTATAATTTATGCTCTACTTTCAGTGGTCGGCGAACACCTTATTCTTTCAAGAGATTCCACATCCCCACGACGCATATCGTACTCGAATTTTTCTCAGTGGTCGAGATCAAATTGTGTCTGCCAAGGTCTGTCTGGGCTACCTACAATCACGCTTTGTCCAAGTTTCCACTGATAACAAGTCGTTCTCGTAACTGACTAACCATGCATGGCAGCGAGTGCGAAGGTACTTTGCTTTTCACGGTCTTACCGACGTCGACTCGAAGACCGTTTTCGTTCATGAAGGAGCAACGCATGCGGAGGCAATGTTCCTTGGTGGTGCAGGGCTGAGGTTTATTGTGAATTGGCTCAAAGCGACTGGAATAGGTTCATTGAGTGGAATGGAGGACTTTCAGGACGAGAAGGTTGGTAGGAGTACGTATCCAGTAAGGCTAGATGACGAGAGACAATATTCTTGAAGCTGTGAATATCATGTGGTTCAATAGGATGTGCTGCGGGTGGGTATATCCATTATGTAACGTTGGAGCTGCAGCACCTGGAACATCCTTGGTACAAATAATACAGGGATGCATGGTGGGGGGGTTCATATATATATCGTGACGACTGCTTGTGTATCGTTATCGTGCTGGAGATCGTTCGCGGCCCAGTCCTCCGGCCGGCAAGAAATTGGCCGAAAATTGTTGTGTCATACATAATATGGAAAGCAGGCCGGTGGAAAATATGAGTTCGGCAATCTGGTCGGCGTCGGCGATGTGAGACAACAACTTGAATTTGACTCCATAATATTGTTGAGGTTACATAAGTGAAAAACGTCTCTCCCCAAGCTTACAAAATATATCCTCATGAAATCCCCCCAACTCATTCGATTCAATTTGGTGCTTTTGGCTCCCACTTTTTTTTTCCATTTATGTACAGGCGAGCTCGCATGCGTTCCGGGGTATCCCGAGGGAGGAGGCGGTGTTCCATCAAGTCTATCTTAATTGAGTGTTATATATTAAATTGAGATGATGGAAGCAAATTGAATTGAAGATTCAAGATTAGGGCCCATTTGTATTGTTGATTAAGTAAAAAGAGGAAATGTTGACGCTATTACTTATTTCTACATATATTTTTTTTTTTCCCATGGGCTGTGAGTTTAAAAAGAAGGTTCTTTTTTTTTTCGGGGGGAGGTCTTCAAGGTTATCACTGGTTCCCTCGAAACATTCAAATAGACCGCTCTTATTGACGACAACGGGTGACGGTGACGACCAAGGTGCGTTTTGGGCGTTGTACATATATCCCCCTCCCCCCCCCGTCGAAGAGTTTCGAGCTAACTGTTGTCCTCATCACTTACACGCATCACGTTTTCGTCAACTTTCATCTCATTCTCCCCTCTTCGTCATCGTTGAACAACGAAGAGCGTCCATTTAGCTCATTAACAAACATTCTTTGACCCGAACTCCCGCACTACCGTCTCCACATCACACAACTGCGCTACGCGCTACAGCACACACACACACACACACACGATGCCAAACCCATCAACGTCCTCTGCCCACTCCATTCTCTCACGTCGCATCAACAATGTTACAGGTCCACTCATAACGGACGGACCGGTGCCTCCACGTCTGCGCAACTCTCCTTTCCTCTTTCAAATGACGACTTCCACTTCTACCGCTTCTATACCTTCATCCTATCATTCAACGTCCCCTCACTCGAGCTTACCCCCACCTATACCGATACTGGCAGCAGACGGAAGTACCCATCCAACATCAGCCTGGCTTGATCATGCCGAGTACAGCGCTCCTCCTTCCTCTACTTCCTCTACTTCTTCCACTTCACCTCCATCACCTCAATCACTCTCATTCTCCGTTCCTGGAACACTTCTCCCACCTAGAACGAAGACCACATCAGTGAGAGCAAAACTTCGTTCCCTCTCATCATCTTCCTCTCAACCCCAACCCCACCACCACCATTCAAGTGCGAGTCAAAGTGCAAATGCCAATAGTCACCTCTACTATTCTTCGAGTCCTTGCGAACGAGCAGCCCTTGCGGGATCAGGACGTATCATTCCTTCTATCCAAGTCTCATTGGGTGGTCAACCTTCTTATGCTACTACTACGTTTGGTGAATCTGAAGATGAGGAGGAGGATGGGGAGAAACGAGTCGGAATGGGTGAGGTTCTGTCGATGACAAGGAGATAAGTGAGAACTCTTGTCGGAGCTAGTCGTATTCGGTGGGTCATATTTCCTCGATTATTGAGTGAACGAAGAGCTGACGTTCAGTTATCATACAGCAAAGCTCGACTAGCAGCATCTCGTCCCCCATTCGCACCGATCGTCCACGCACTCGTTCTCTTACCCAGCTCAATCTCCAATCTCCCTAATTCCGAACAACCTACCAAATCGAGAAATCGATAATTTGTCTGCCGATGGAGAAACTTTTCAAATGAATTTGCAAATCATTCGTCCTTTTTGGGCGGATTCGAACTTACATAATGATGCCCCACATATCCCGGTTCTTACCATTCATTCAGCTGACCCCGTTCTCGTTTTTTGTTTTTTTGTTTTTTTTTCATGGAGTGGGAGTGGGAGAATTGAAATTTGCATGTGTACGAGGGGGGACACATGCGGTGGGAATGCAGGGGTGGGTGGGGATTGAGCGCGATGTCTCGGCATGGGGGGGCACACGGCGCTAGAAGCTTGGGCTGTGTGACTTCGGAGAAGAGTATCGGTCCCAGCTATCATGATGACCACCGGATGATGCGACTGGTAACCGGTCGGTCATGAGCGACGCATGATGTGCGTTGCCCCCGTCCGGTGACATGATCGGATCGGATTGCACCAGCACCTGATTGGGTGCTAGCGCTCGCCTTTGTGGAGTCCTCTTGGGACTTGGCCTCTTCTCTTCTCCTGTCCAATGTTCCGTTATGGAAAGCGAAAGCTTTCCTTATTTGTCCCACTTCTACATTACGGCAATTTCCCCCATCCGTGGCTGTTCCCCCCCCCCCCCCCCCCTCCCCCTCTGACACGTTGCCGCGTCAGACGTGTTCGATATCGATATTTCTTTTCTTCTCTTTCCCATCTGGATACCCGTGTTCCATATACCCCCAAGTTCTTGACTCTCCTTTGTTAACGAACGTGTCCCATTTTGCCTATTCATCTGATTCCTTTTCTTCTCATTCTCTTTCAATCCCGATCAGTTCGATAGGTCGGTCTGATCATATTTCTGTGCGTGCGTGCGCGCGCACGAAAAGAACCATACACGTTTTTTATATGTCGCACAACAGTATACCCCCCAACCTCATCAAACCAACGCAACCGCAAACAACTACCGCATTATCTAACATACACGAATTTTACAAACTTGCTTAGTACTTGTGCGGAAACCTTTTTTTTTGTTTTATTCTTTTCTCTTGTGCTAAGAGTTGGGAGGGGGTGGAATATTCTGACCTTCCAACTCCCGCTTTTTTTTTTTTTGTCAGCGATGGCGTGCCGTCCTTTGTACATACACGTATTTCACACGCACAACATATCCGTCGGCCAACCCCGACATGTTTATCTCTGGTAACTTGGTCTCCCAATCTCAGTTACTGGTGACGCAAAGTCTCACAGTGGATCAAACATTTTGTGACGTCGTTTTTAGCGCGTGAAAGACTGGTTCGTTTTACGTCATCGGCTAGAGTGCAGCTAGAAGCTGTGCTACCTTATCGCTCAGGGCCAACCCGCTTACTTACTCGAGGGATAGCGTGGCAGCGATCGTTGCGCAGTCAACCCATGGACACTCATTATTTCCAACTTCCGACCTAACAGACCGTAAAGTACAGTCCTTTAATGATCCCAGTGTGCCTTTGTTCATGTCATTTCGTTCTGCTGAGCCAATAAGTAATCTGCATGGGCAGAGACGCTGCCATGCATGAAGTACTCCATCATTTGAAATGCTATCAGCTGCCCTTCCCAAGTACTGGTGCTCAACGGCCGGGCAAAAACGTGCCAATATTGTGAGGGGGATCCTGTCTCTTGCACTCCTGTCACCGTAAATCTCACAAATTTTTTTTATTCTCTCAATAGATAACGCAACATGGCTATAGCCGGAGGGGCCGATATATCGTTCATTCATGGTTCAAGCTCCAAGCCAAGCCTTACCTTACCTTGATGTCCTCCCCCCACCCCCCAAGCTCGTGATCGGCTCGCCCCTTTCCCATCCCTTTGCGGCATACCTAGTTCTCAGGAGAGTACGTACGCCATGGGTTGGGCGTGCTGCTGGGGGGGGTGGTGCGATTTAAGAATGATGGTATTAATTCGAAGGCCTGTGGTCGGTATAAATTTTTTTTTTTCAAGATGTTCGCGCTAGCATTCTTACTGAGTTTCATCTGATTGTAAGGAGCCACTTTAGTTCTTGTCGTATTTCACCCCCCCCGGAATTCTTAAGACTGGCTAGACTTCCTAATTGCGAAAGGTTTCTTCGTGTTCCTCGGTTCACGTACATACAGCTAGCGGGACTGAGCTAGGTGAGATATCTTTCTTGTCACACGCTTAATTCCCCTCCATGTACCCTAACGCTTTCACGCTGGGGTACGAGGGAAATTATGACACTGAAGATCACTCATTGCACTCGTCTCATGAGACAGGATCGTGATGTTGGACATGTTTCACTAGCTCAGTCTTTTGAGTTTCTTGGTACGTGAATTGCATGCAACCAAACCTTTGTGCTAAAAGGACTTGCAAGAACAAAGAAAAAAAAAAGAGTTAGTTGAGCATGAGCGAGCCAATATTCAGGACTTGCGCAAGCATGCACGCCCGTCTGTTTGTTCCGCACTGGGCATGCTCATGGTCTTGCTGAACCTCTGGCTGAACTACCAAGCAGGTCGCAACGCGCGCGCGCGTCTGGTTCCAGAGACGTGTCCTGCACTTGTTACGGCTGTCGATCCATGCTCTCCAGAGGGGCTTCTGAATGATCTCAGGTAAATGTTTGAAGGACACTGCAGAATGGGCCGGGATTTCACTAGACGACCCTTTGTAGTCTCGACAGTTGAACTCAGCTACAACATAAGGGGCTAGCTAATATGTGTTATGCAGTTGAGCTGATGTCCATACAATTTAATATATATATAATATTATATAAAATCTAATCAACCGATGGCTATTGAGCAGGCTTTGGGAAACTCGTGAGGGACCACTTGTCTGGTTGGTTGCCTCGTTCTTGGGGAGTGTACTGAGGAGTATGCTGTTCCCGAACTTGGAGCCTAGCAATGTCAGCCGCACATCGCGTGTCAATGTTGCTCCAACATCAAAGAAGCAGCTTGCATACCAACAGGGAAGGACTCATCAGGGTTGCCACATGCATAGTGAGTTCAGGTTCAAGATGCTATACGTAATTAGAGGGAGGACAGTGGTATGATTTAAAACACATAATGAACCGTACGGTGCACATAGAGGGAAATTGGAGTCGCGAAAAAAAAACCATTTGAAAGATGCATAGTAAAAATACTCTCATTTTTGACCATGATTAGAGTAATATTTTACCATCAAGACGTTCATGGTGTTTTACCGGAATTCCATACCACGTTATATGCTTGAACCAATTAATTGCACTCTCGTCTATATAGTGTTGTGGGTCTGTGTACGTGTGGGTTCTCGTGATTGTCTTTGTGCATGATGTTGGCGGCGCCCGTTGGGGTTTGGGAAAAAAGCATTTAAGAGATATGCGGATATATCCAAACGATGGATTCGGTGTATGTAGAAGGAAAAAATTAGGTAGTGGGGATCTAGAGGCTGGGGGCTGATCGAGAGAACTACCTGCAAGTGCATGTGGGGGGGTAGTTGGGGGCCGGTAGTGCGACTACATGCATGCAGATACCAAGCTAGCTTGTGGGTGGCGTGAATATGGACTGCCTGCATGTAATCAGAGCGAGTTGCTGCCGAGCGAAGGTTGGGTTGGAGACGAGTGGGATTACGGATACGTACGGAACTGATATGTGGGGCTGGAGATCGAGATAAGAACGAGTATACGTTAATTCCCTAAGCGATAAACGCCCTTCCAACATACACACATACCTCCAGAGTGGGGATGCGGCTTGCGCTTCGCGGACTTCCTCGTTCGCGAATTGGCCATATATATATATATGCTTCTGCCCCATGCTTCGTTGCAACAACAACTCTTAATTCTGGCCGTGAGGGTGAGGTATGCGGAGAGATTCGACAAACGCAGTTTACGAGTTACATGCAGCCCAACTAGGCCCGGGGTGGATCTGATCAGGGAGGACCTGCCTGGTGGCCTTGTTCTTCACCTCGCACGCATGCTTGGCAAATTGCCGGCCGGTGGAGCCAATCGAAACCTGTTAGGCAGGTTGGTGGGTAAGTGGACTCTACATAATGTGAACGCGCGATTCGTAAATTCCGTGATTTGCGCAGGGAAAAAGTGCCACGTTTTTGATCCAAGGGTGTGAGGTGGTATATATATATATATGAACGGACCGAATTGGACAGACTCTTGGAGCTAGTATGGACGGAAGGAGGGGGAAGATGCAAGGTTTCCCCAAAGCTCTTAATTTCCTTAAGAAGCTCAACGGCACTGCTGGTGGTGGTGCTACTGTCGAACACAGTATCACGACAAGAGCGAGCGGGGCTGCTGCATGCAACAGGATGAAGCGCGACTTCGAGCTTCCCTACAGGTTAGTGCCCTCACGCATAAGCCGATTGGTAGGTGTACAGAAACGATGCTAACTCCTGTGCTCGTCAGCGATCGATGAGTGTCGGGAGCATTAGAATAAACTTTCTCTAATACAAATTTCTCCGTAAACATGGAGGAGGGACATCCGTGTTAGGCCTTAATTATGGGCTTGGTTAGGAGACCTTGTCTGTATGCAACCACCCCAAGGGAGGGGCGAATTTCAAGGGGAATCATTGTTTTCACCCGAGAGATCGAACCCGGATTTAGTTCCTATGTTGCCGTGTTTGTGCCATCTCCAACAACTTTCAATCCAGATAGATAGTTGGGACCGAGGGCCAAAAGCGAGCTCTGACAAGCGGTTTCCGCACCCCAAAAGAGATCCCCAAACAACTACACGTCTTTAGAGGAGCGAAGCAATACGTTGCATCCAAACCAACAGAGAGGGCGATGAGCACTGGCCAAAAAACTGCTATGATGAAGTGAAAGCCATCCTCTCCATCTCGTGCAATGAAGAAGCCAATACAGCCATCCCTTGAGTTTCCCCAGCGACAGCGACCAAGTGAAAGTTTATGACCACAACGTAAGCACCCGACATTTCTGCTTCAACAGCTGTCCAGGAACGAATAACAGGGAGCTGAAACCGCGGGCCTGGGATCCAGCGTGTATCTCGTGGTCTGGGTTCCAATCTTCGTTTAGACCATCCAGTTAGCTAGGGTACATTGCTTTCTTTCAAGAACCAGTTCGACATTGAAGGATTCCCTCCAAGGATCCAAGCCAGCGCCAAGCGCTTAATTAAGAACTAACGTTACTGTACAGTTTTCCGAGTTTACGGCAATTTCCAGAGGCCGTCCAATTCTGTAACACTCTTTCCACGTCGGTCATTGCATAAACTCTGTGAGTTTGTCCCTCCCGTTCCCAAAAAAAAAAATTCGATGCAGCATGGTCGGAGAGGAGGGATTGGATGATTGCTGAGATGGGATATTCATCTTGTAGGACTTCTCCGGCCCTGTTTACAACACCCCGATGGCCAAGTCTAAGAAGTGGGTCGTCACATTTATTCGCATCACTTTGGTGGAAAAGGAATGCTCATTTTTCTCTTCCATTTCTTGACATTTATAGTCATACAAATCATAACCAGAACCGCAAGTAAGTAATCCTCCAATACGCTTCGCACATCATCGTGGACGTGGATGCTTATGGATGGAATCTTTCCGTTCTCTCTCGGTTGCCTATCGCTCGGTTCCGGTCGTTGTTTCCTTGCGCACTTCTTGTCTACCCTTCTAAAGGGCTCACCGGAATGGTATCAAGAAGGCTAGAGGACCGGGTCTCAACACAATGAAGGGTGTAAGTTATAGCCACACTTCACACCTTCTCTCTCCGCTTTCAACACATTCACCATGAGCACCGATACCGACTAACGTGGCTCGCCTTTTGTTAGATGGATCCCAAGTTCTTGCGAAACCATAAACGCGTCCTAAAAGGGATGGTAAGTCATGGCCATAACCCGTCCAATCTTTGCTGCTTTTTTTTTTTTTTTTTGGCGGGGTATCCCCGGACTGATAAACCCAAATCAACACTTCGAATAGGCCCGAAAGCGCAGAGAAGAGGCCAAGGCCAAGGCAGAAACCGAGGGGAAGACCGAAGGTGATGCGACCGAAAAGGCTGCCCCAATCGAAACCGAAGATGCTTAATCCCATTCCATTTTTTTACACGACTTTTCCCGCTCTCACCTCCTCCGAATTGCATCCTGTGTATATGTGTGCAACGGATTTACCTTCTACTCCGCTTATATCATTTTTGACATGCACATGTAAAGAAAGTACTCTCATGTTCAGTCTATGCATTAATGGCTTGAGAACGGAGCGCGCAGCGTATTGAGCGGATTAAAGCGACTGGGCAATTTACGCGGAGCGGTGATGAATGGGGCCAACAAGCTTTTTATCACGGTAGGCATGCCCCATGCAAATAATCTTAACATTAGTATTGATTGGTCCAAGCAGGCCAAGGAGGGTTGCGTCTTCTTCAGATCAACCAATATCCATCTCTCTGCCTGTGTCATCCTCCCTTCTGAGCTGGGCCTGGAGTCTGGCCGCCTGAAACAAACAAACAAGACCAAATGTTCAGTATAGTACACATCTCTCTCTCTCAAAAATTGAGATGAAAATAAGGGCTCACCCTTCTTTCATCTTCCGTCAACCGAGCCTTCGCTCGATTCCTCTTCTTTGTATACTTCTTTAATCGAACGGCAGCTTTGCCTTTCAGCACAGAAGATTTTCCACTCTTCTTAAGCCTTCCTCCCTCATACTCTTCCCCCCCATCTTCATCTTCATCGGGTCCATCCTCTTCCTCAGGTGGTGTAACGACTGCTTCTTCCCAAGAGGCCATGCACTCTTCGTCTGTGTAGATAATGCCCTTACTAAGCCCTTCGTATTTCTTCCTCATAAGGGCTCGTATGAGTGTGAGTGGTGCACTCTGCCACCAGCCATCCGTATCCTACTCACATACACATAAGCAAAGACGAAATTAGGCACAACTACTCCAAAAAAAGGCGGATAGAAGCCTACGTCAAATTCTGTTCGCCAATAACTTGGATCCTGAAGTAAGGACTTGATAACTGGATCGACGATATCGCAGACTTGAAATCCTGACATTCCCGGAATCATCGTCTTTCCGTCATAAATATGCGATTTTCTGCCCGATAATCGAGAGGTGCGGGCGAAATCCAAATGAATGAACAGAGAACACTGGAGAAAATTGTCTAGGGACGCACATGTTTCTTTCGATCGTAGGTGTCGTTGTTGGTGGCAAGGCACTACCGGATGGACCGGTGTTATCGACGGGTTCAGTTTTCCCCCCTGGTCGTCTATTCCTCGGTACCGCAGATTCTACACTCCGAAAGTAAATACGCTGGTAGCTGAGAAGGCAACATCAGTGTCCAGGAGCGCAGTAAGAAGAGATCTAGTGAAGGTGACCTCACATTCTACTGTCCGAGTTCACGCGAGGGTCATAGCCATATCGAACGAGCAAGTCGTGGTAGGGACCATCTCTGAATTGATACCCCACCAAACTGTACACGTTCTTTGCGTTCAAATTCCTGGTTGGAACCGTAACGATTATAAGTGGTACATCGAAGTCGCAGGTCATCAGCATACTGCTGGAGATCCCTCGCTTCCCTGGCACTCAATTGGTTCTGAAGAGCAACACGCGACCAAATGGGTCTTGTTTGGAATACCTGGGAGTATTTGAGTGTCAAGGACCAACATCCTCCTCGATACTCACTGTTTTAACCCTTTGTAGAAGTTTCTCATCTACCTGTGATTCTTTCGCTACAACGTTCGATGGCGGCTCTTCGGGAGTCTGAAAATCAAAGGTCAAGTCTTAACATTATAATATGAGAATATGTTCGTACGGGCTCGTCTGTGGATATAAATGTAACGCCCACACCACTATAACGGCGTTTGTTGAGGAGCCTTTGCTTTTCTAGACCAGTCTTCTTGTCCGTAAAAGTTTGAACGATAGAGGTAGGATTTGCCTTATAGCTGCGTCCCACGTAAATATCGAAAGAGAACGAAATGTGAAAAATGTACTATTACTTGTAAACCTGGGGGATCGTCTGCCGACTCAAAATCGGTGGTGGCATGAGGCGTAAATTGCTTCGTGATGGCCATTTGGAAGGAGACTCGGGTTCTGTGATACCTTCGACATATTCCTTCCCGGATGGTGGCTCTTGCACAACATAATCTTCAAGCTCAGGTTCAAACGTGAATCCCTGAAATTGGCGCGCTAAAAAACCTTGGTCCTCAATTAAATAATGGCTTCACATTGAGAGTGCACACCATCCATGGTCTCTGCTGAAGCGCGAAGTTGGGATATCCGGTCATTGGGGTCAGGTTGGAAATGGAAATCCGCCAAAGCTGAAGAACATTCATGAAGGGAACAGCGATCAGAGCCAAGCAGACTAGTACAGACCCCTGAATCTAATGGTACGACTCGCAGATCCAATAATAGTTGCAGTAAATTCCCCCTCCGCCTCTTCCTCATGAGTGTGTATTCTGTTCCTCTTCTTCCTCTGAATAACTTCGAGCACAAGCTTATTAGTTTTCACAATATTCCCCTGAATAGGATGAGCAAAGAGGTTCCCTGGCTGAAGCCATAACTGAGGCGCTGGCGCTGGCTGAGCATGCTTCCGGAGTGACGCGTCGAGAGACTTTATTCCGCCTAAAGCAGCCACTGCTTTGTCCACAGACGTTGATTCTACGTAGCCGGGATACTCTACAGAGTAGTAATGCGTCGAAGGCAGCACGTGCTCAGGCGCATCGTCGTCTCGATTTTCAGACATACGGCGTATGGATCTTTCGTAGGTTTGATCGTGACCGGGACGCGTCTCGACCCAAACAAGACGAAACAACTTCCGCGAGCTTGACTCACAACCTTGGGGATTTGGGGATCTTGTCAAGGGCTGAACGACCCCATCAATGCTGAGAGCGGCCCTACTTCTGAGGGCGGGTACACTGCCTAAACTAGTTTCGAAGCTGTCTCACACTGCTTTGCGCCGATCCTTCTCGACTACTTCTTTTCGTTATGCAGACCCAAAGGATGGGCACGAGATAGCGCAAAAATCTTTCTCACACCCAGCTTTGCAGAAAGTCTTAGAAAGTCCTGAAGTCATTGACTCACTGAGGCACTTGGCCCAAATCCTTCAGAAAAATGGTATGTGCTCTGAGTCTGAGATTGTCAGCCCGTGACCATGTAATTTGAAGGAGTGCGGCTCGACGAGGGGAAGTTACCGGGCCCCATGTCACTAATCAAGATACTTTCTATGCCGGAAGTGAGAGAGGCAACACAGGTGACGATGGAAAAGTTCAAGGCCGCTGGGATTAATATGGATGCCAAGGTTTACTGTTCCTGCTCTCTCATCTTGCCTAGATTATTAACACGATTCTATTGATAGACCGCACTAGAAATATTTAAATCCATGAAACTGTGAAATGATCATGATCTACTTCTCAGGCTTGGCTATGTAATTCCCGGCTGGTTTGTGCATATGTACTACATCTTTGCCTGTCTCTATTAGTGCGTGGGAGCTCAGGAGGTCAACGGATTGACTAGCACCAGCACGGATAGCCATATTCCGGCCAATCGTTTGCGGCAGATTCATGGTTATTCTTATTTCGATCCGGATTGGTCGCGGCACCTTGAAAGACTGATGGCAAATTAAATCAACCTTCACGTCTCGTAACATAGGATGACTGAGATTCTATCAGGAACGAATCACTGGGATCTGTGGTTACTGGAGTCCTGCCTAAGGGCTCTCAGCCGCCCTCAGATCCCCAAATATCCATTGCCAAACTGCTAGGCGGCGATTCCAGGCAGAAATACCTGGTCGCTTTGGACACTTAGACACCCTGAGCAGAACTGCTTCGGGAAACGGACCAGCCGGTCTGAAAAGCTTCGCAGAGCCAATAAGCCGACAACTGTGCGGAATTTCCGGCTTCCAGGCACCACGGAGAATACCCTTCGGGTCATTCGCCCACAAAGGCTGAAACCGTAACTCGCTTGCATCGTTGTGATGCAGTCCTGTGGGACACCCTACTGACAACAAATTGCTTTTAGGTTAGTTTGCCTCATGCAACTGAACGGACTCGACCTAGACCGAAGTCATTTGGACTTGACTCCAGATGCTGCAACACTCTTCCCTAGAATCTGCGCCATTTTTGTGTGGTGCGGCATGGGTAATGGGCTGATTCCGGGGCATTTCTTCGTTTCCTTGAAGCCGAACCTCGTATCCGCGCCAGCACGCTGCTGATTTACACGTTGGTCGGCTAGCCATGTTCATTCACGAAACGTATGGTAACTAAGGGTTGCTTCGCTAAGTTGAATCCTTTCAGCGGCAACATTCTGTTTGGGAGTTGTCATTGCCGAGGGCGTACCTCGATATGTCGTCTTTGATGCGCACCTGTCCATAGCACAAAGACTGGGATTTGGCACCTCCCAGATCATATATTCAGCGGATATCGTTAAGGTACAAATGTGGTCGGTGCGCCCAAGCATGTGGTGCGCGCCGCATTTACGAGTAAGGAGGCTCGTTCGATCTCACTAAGCTCACATCGCGTTCGAACAGCATTTAGGTCCATTCGCATCTTGCAAACTTCCCTTGGCGCAGTAGCGGTCTCTGCCCGCGGGGCAATTCATTGCGCCTCATCGAGCGGCCGTCGAGGGATGTCCACGTGCCCAAGCCTCAAGGGAATATTATTCACTCAGTTTACCGCATCACATAAGTGTACGCTGAGAGTGGCGCCCGGTAAGGGGTGGGCGTGCCCTGTGTCTCTCGGCAGAGAGTTGGCAGAGGCGTACGTCGCGCAGGGAACTTGATCATGAAAATCTGTCCGCCTGGTCCTGCATGAAATATTAACTTGCCACAGGGATGGTTATAAACGTACACATGCAATTGGATCGTGTTTCATGCCGCTTTGAGGGACCGACACAAAGCTCGGAACCATGACTTGAGTGTGCCAGTGGTCGAAGGGAAGACGCCAAATTCCTCCGTACGTGCTCGAACGCCACCATCCTCGGTGGGAGTTTGGATGTAAACACGACACTTCAGCTTGAAATTGTCATCGAACCGGACTCTGACTCGCCTACAAACAAAGCCATTAGATGGTCAGTTATAAGATGCAGTAAGGACCACTTGCATTAACACTTGCTCCCCCATTCCGCGATACATTCAGATTCCAAACTCTCAATCGCCCATCTACCCCCTAGTCTGCGCTCTGCATCATCCTTTAAACTCGTGATTATACGGACGCCAACTTCAGTCCGCAGCAGATCGCGCATCACGGCCAGATCTGTTATGCTGAAATCACTATGGGGAAGGTGCGCTGTGAGAGATGTGGGTGATGAAAATGTGAATCGTAGGGAGTGTCTGTCGGAACGTCGGTAAACCACTGCTCTGCCGGATCTTCGGTGGAGGACTCACTTGTCATCGATCCATACGAGAGCCTCTCCAGTAACCTCTACACCTATCCACGAGGATGAGTTGTCAGAAGGAGTATGATTCATTTCCGGATAACTTAAGAGGGAACTAATAAGCTCCGTCGGGTCGTTGCCAACAGCCGTGAAGACGACGTTGCAGGGGACCCCCACCTCAGTTAATCCTACCTGCAGCGCCTCGAACAACCTTTTCAGAGACACGCAAAACGAGTAGTACTGAAGCAACGATACGATCGGAGCCAGAACAGACGGAGGACGCAAAACTCTGGAAGGGGAAAAGGGAGCATCGACCTTGTTTGCTAGCTGGGACCTTGGGTGCGACCGTGATTGTTGGTAGCGATGATAGCGGATTAATAGTAACACGAGGACATCTGACAATAGCGAGCAAATGAGTGCGTTTGGGCTGTTCGAGTCATCTTCTATCTTGGGATCATTTATATCAGGATCGTCCACGCGGATCTGTCAAGAATTTAGTATGGACAGAAGCGAGTATGGGGCGGTGCAGACCAGCTCAAAGTTAGCTTCAATATCTTTGGCTGCCATCATCGTTATTCTTGTCTCCGAAACAGTTGCAGCGGCACTTGGAAAAGTTCCAGCCTCTCGTATGAGCTGGATGAAAGAAGATGAGGGCAATTTTGTAGGAGCTGCCCTGGGAAACGCACCTCCGCGAAGATTTCCTGCTCAACGATTTCTCTTTGGGCCACAGAAACACGATTCTCGAGTGACGCGCTTTCATGGTCTTGAACCAAATCAATCATATTGGAGTAGGATTGATTATCATCTTGTGACGCAATGCTGATTTTTAGGCGACGGTGTTGCCTTAAGGTAAAATTAAGGGAGTTTCCATCTTCCAGGTCCTCGGCATCCTCTTTAAGTAGAGCCGTGGCTTGCCGCCTGAACCGGGTCGGGGCTAGGATGGGCTGGTAAGTCAACGGGAGGATGCGAGAAAGAAGGCGGGGACGTGCAATGCTCCAATCCATAGGATATTAGGAAATCTCGAGCATTCCCCAACTCGGCTCGCCCCCGGCTTTGAGACGCTTGGGGAAGCTTCGGAACCAGTGGCCAATTTGCACTCCTCAAGGAAAGTGCTTGTCCCCAGTGGATTTCTGCCCGGCCAACAAATGAATCGATATGGTCGGCGGCGCGTGATATGATATCTGATGCATCCTTCAACGATCGATCCTTAGTCCCAATAACAATCTGCTCGTTGAGGGCTTTGGAGGAAGGCTTCTCATCTTCTGGATACATGGCGGTTACGCCAATTGCACCCTTCGACAATATTGGGTGAATCGGTGCCTCGGAGGAGCTCCCTGCAGACAAAAGGGCATTGACAACATCGAGAGCCTGAGACAGCTCACCGCCGGCAGTGCTACCGCGGTTCAGTTCCCTGGAAACGCGAATGAATACGACTATCAGCTCACTCAAGTTTAATTAATAATTCTTGACGCAGCTTCGAGAGCTCGTCATAGGTTATGTCGCCCTCTTTGTCTGGAGGGCCATGTTCATCCCTTCTCACTTCCTCAGACGGCTCTAATTCCTCAACGTTGTCGATGGTAAGATTAGCAAAATCCGCGCCGCGCTCAGCAATGATCTTTGCAATAGTTTCTCTTAATTGCGTCGCTGTATCTTTTTTTCTTCTCGCGGGGTTTATCATCGATTTGTATGACGATGTTTCGTGAAGGAGTTTTGCTTACTGAACATAAACAGGTTTCCCACCAGCAATATCTTGGATCACATTTCCGCGCGCAGCCGCCGAGATGAAGCTGGACTCAATCGCCAGTGCCAAGCTTGTTTGTTCAGGCCCGACGTTGGACATCGAGCTCTAAATCCAGTCACGCCACCATCTGGCGTCAGCCGGAGACATATTTCTAGTTTCTTGTTTCTGTCTTTCCCTAGTAGACAGCAAAGTCGACGAGAAAGAAGACACTGCATCTGCTCTCTTTCAACACCCCTTCGCAAAATTATCACCTCCCCCCTCATGATGGGCTCACCGAAGAGGATTCGCACCTCACCATCGATTACCCACCCGATTCCATATTCCAAAACAACCCTGAAGACTGCTCCAATTTGTGTAAGCATAAACCCGCTAGCTGTGCATATCAGCTGGCTTGCATCTACAGACGTCTGTACGCGTTCACGAGCGTGAACCATCTGGACCAAGTATGTATTATTGCCATCAATCTCGCAAAGCCATCTGACACCCATTTCGGTTTCATCGGCTGTCACAAATTTTATGCATTCAAGACAAAGATTGGTAAGAATGGCATAGGCTGCAAGTTGCGCTTTCTATTCGAAACGCGCAAAACAATAACAAATAACTACGAGAGTCTGACAACCTCACTCGTTTGCTTTCGAAAGGCATGAGAATCACATCATCACCAGTTCATGTTTCAGTGTGCGGTTTCTACACGGTATTCAGTTAAGATGAAATCCATCAAAGAGCTTTGGGATGTGCTGAAGCACGAACACCAAGAGGTGTGGCAATGGAAGCTTGTATTTGTCATCCCGAAGGATAGGGACCGGAAAGCAAAAGAAAGCCCACTGAGGCCTTGATGACAGCGGTGTCTCAATTTGCGTCTGGAGGATAATGTGCCACCCCTGAATGAACAGTGTTGTAACACTTGAAGCATGTAATGCGGAACCGTGATAACCCATACCCGCAAAGTAGATTGTGGCTGTGATGATTCTTAGTCGGGGTAAGCCGCCAGACTGGAGTCATTTTGTTCCCAAACTGGCCGCGAGCAAAAGATCGGAGAGGAATGGCGAAGAGTGACATGGATGAAATAGACCATTTCTCTGATGCGGGGCCCTCTCTTCCCGTCAAGAGGAAACCAGGAGGCTTAGGAATCCCACAAGAGAAGAGGAAGCGCACAAGAGGTACGATATATTCTAGTTGTTCCTCAACTGCAACTGCAACTGATTTTCATTCCCTCGCATTGTAGTAAGCTACTCTTGCTCGGAATGCCACCGAAGGAAACAAAAGGTGCCGTTGTTTGAGTGAGGTCCCCTTGAGGCTCGCTTATCTCCTTGGCCAGTGCGACAGACAGCAGCCATGTGGGCATTGTGTTGCACGGAAAGTACCTGAACTATGTCATGCTTACCAGCCTGGAAAGTCAGAAGGAGATTTACACCTGCGTTTAGCCCGCGTGGAGCAACTTTTGGAAATGGCGCTACCACATTTAATGCATTCCGCCTCCCCTGGCAGGCACGGAGATAATTCAACTCACTCCCATAACATCCCTATGTCCAACCGCGATCATTCTACCCCTAGCTCTCAGGACCATGAGCAAGACGATGCAACGAAAGAGGATGAGGTGCCAAATATAGTAGGCAATTTACAGGGTAATGGTCGATTTTTCGGTGCTTCCGCCCTCGGCAGTGTCAATTCCACTCCGATCATAGAGCAGGTCGAGCGACTATCTCCAACGATGCCGAAGGCGCCATCATACGGAGTGCAGACACATCTAGAAACTTCCTCTCTCGACGAAGCCGCGGTGGCTGCGGAAAGGTTGCGGAGACTCGTATCAGAATGTGGGGTGCAACCGCACAAGGTGCGATGGTGTTGATCTCGCGAACATGTTCGAGTCACTCACGTTACTTCTAGGTTGAGGAGTTAATCCGCGACTTACCGCCCAAGAGTTTTGCGGACGACTTAATTGACTACTATTTCGAAGAAATAAACTTCACCAGATATCCTATATTTGAATCTGCATTTCGCACCTCCTATGAAGCCCTGGTCTCCAAAGCGCACCGTCCTCATGCTCTCGATGTAGTATTCCTCCCCCTTGTCTTTGTGGTGCTTGCCATTTCTGTCCACCTAGCCCCTGACACTCTCGTAGGGGATGCCAAACAGAGACGGCTCACCAGCCAAAGGTACTACTGGTCCGGTATGCATTTGATGCTTCTGTAGCGCAGCCTTCCATTTACACAATTCACACAGCCAGAAGGTCGATGCTTATCGCCGCATCAATTGGCGAATCCCTGGAACTTGTCATAGCCCGGTTACTGGCAGCGCGCTACTTGACGATAATACGACGTATCGTTGAGAGCTGGAATGTTCTTGGTACTGCTGTTAGAACCGGAATGTCATTAGGTCTCCACCGTGATGGAACCAAGCTCGGCCTAGACCCTTTCCAAACTGAGTACAGGAGGCGTGTGTGGGCTTATTTGTACCATGCTGACCGTGCCTATGCACTTGTGCTCGGGAGACCTCACAGCATTCAGGATGACTTCTGTGACACGCTACCTCCCAGCAATACCGACGATTCATTTCTTTCTTCTCAGTCCATAGTCCTACCCAAAGACCCGCCCCTTAGCCAGCCAACCGTGATGACGTTCGTCGTCCTTCGCCATGCTCTTTCTCGAATCATAGGCCACATTGTCTCACACTTTCAGCAAGTCAAGCCGACACATTACAGCGACGTTCTCGGCCTTGATGATGAGCTGCAACGCTTCATCAGAACGTTACCGCCGCATTACTCCCTCAATCCCGATAAAAGCTTGGACGAGACTCATCGCTTCATTCCCGTTCATCGTTTCTTGATTGTGTCCGAGGTTTTCTTCATCAGGATATCGCTTCACCGCCCTTACATGTTGCGAAAGCTAGATTCCGACCGCTTCGCTTTCTCAAGACGTGCCTGCTTTGACTCCGCTATATCCGATTTTGCGGTGCGCCAGGACTTCAGGCAGCATGTTCCAGCAAGCGTCATAAAGCGTGTGCGCGGTGGATATCGCGAATTCCAGTCTGCCATGATAGCAGGAATATATCTCGCACTAGAGTAGGTGTCTGCCCTGAACGACTCGCTTGGGTGTAATGAACCAATTTCTTCGCAGGCCGCATGGCTCAGATGCTTCGACCATGCATAAGATTCTGGACACATTTCTTAGTAACTACGTATCAGACCCCGATGAAACCACAATTCGAGAATTGAAGATTATCGAACTCCTCAAAAACAAATCCCTTTCAGTGGCCGCTGGAGGCCCAATTCAATCACCGGTGCCCCGGAAAGCGACGCCCCTGCCATCAGAGAAAGGCGCCACTTCAGGCTCGGGCTCTTGGCCTACTGCTCCCCAAACCCCAACGAGTGTAGCCACTTCGACGACAGTAGGTCATGACGGCCCTCCAGAGGCCAGTATACTACTCGAGCTCGGACAACCCCGTCAAAGCCTCACAAATAGTCCCGATACGAGGACTATGGCTATGACACCAGCCTCACTGGCTCAAGCTGCTTCAGCGACATCTCCTCGATCCTCCTGGCCTCCACGTCCGACCACTGCTGTGCGAATCAGCAGCCAGACGGAGGCGTCTTTCAGATATACCACTGCTCCTGATATATCGAACGGCAGCCCCCTCGACGAAGAGGAATCGGCACAGAGATTGCTTGACCATTGGGTCAATAATGCACAGGTGGATTCTGTTGGCGGGGGATCGTTTGGGATAGGGAGCTTTGACGTCAGCAATATTCTCCCCAGTGCATGGTCCACCACTAGAGATATTGATGGTGATGGGTCTCTCGGCCCATTTTCGCAATCGGACTCTCTCGACGCGTCCGGCGCATCTCCTAGTGGGATTGGCGATGCTCACGCAGATTATAGCTATTGGGAGAATCTAGTGGAACATATTAGGGCCTCGGGAGGGATATCGTGATTGAAAGCATCCCTGTTCTGTGCAAATCGATGCTAGCACATTTACCTGTGAGTTGTTTTAGCCTGATTTTATGTACTTTTAGTTGGTTGTGTCGTGTATTGGTACGAGCTCGAAGGGCTGGATTCCTTATGATCGGTTTCGGGGACATGAACAAGAGACTTCGAAAGTGCTAGCAACCACGAAGGGCCCCAGCAGTCTACTCCAATAGAGGCTACCTCAACAGCTTCACTCAGGTTCCTCAACGGACTTCCGTTGATCATGAATACAAGACCGTCAAATGGACGAAAAACATGATCCGTGGAGAGAGCTATCCAGTGCCTCATATAGTAGATGGGCAGCTGATTGGGCCTTCGGAAAGAAAAGGAGCCGTGGGATGGAGTACGGGCGTCAGCATAGTAGCCTCGAGCGGAAAAGATACCTGTGTTTGTTCTACTTATTCGTGAATCCCGCAAACAGTTAATTTGTGGATATTTTCGGCAGTGCTTTGGTCAGATGCTCAAGGCCGCAGATCTGCATCCCTTCGGCAGTTCGATGCACATCTGCAGCGAAACACAGCCATCTTTCTTGGGGATGAATCAAACAACGAGGGAACTAACTGCTCATATTTCCGTAAAGAAGGTTACTAAGTATGATAATGTCCAAGTGATTAGAAATGCGCGGTGTGATACGGCCAACGTCGGGGAGTTCTTGTCCAGGGGACATCAGATCTCATGAACTATTGAAAAGGACGGCATGAGGCTCACGAATCAGTCAGATTTTTCTTTAGGAGGCTGAGCGACACATTCCGTAGAACGTGCTTCGTTTTCTTTTCGCAACTCTGCAACATAGCTGAAATTAAAACATAAGCACAATACAACCAATGTAAGAGCCGAAGCGTCTGCGCACAGCTTCACACTAGCCCAAAGTCCAAGCTCAATGGCTATTAGTGCGACAAAGTGGAGGCTCTTGGACATGATCAGCAGGAGCACGAAAACGGAGAGGAGTAACCCAAGCGAACAATCTAGGAGGAGTATAAAAGTGGGGTCCAATGATGACCCCGGAGTCATGATATGTGAGACAGCATTCTCTATTGATGGAGTGCGATTTGAACTTGTCTTGCTCTTCAGCAAGCCGTCGGACGACATTGCAGATGATGACTCGACACAGCCACTAAGTAAATCCCAGCTTCTGTGATCCACATTGACCTGTCAAATGGATTTTCGCTTCGCACCACGCCCATACCCACACTGCAGGGCACGCAGTAACGCCCAAAAACCAGGTCACGTCGCCACTAACGATGTGACAAGCATGCTATAAAAAGGGCCCTCCTTATGTTCCACAGAGTTATATATAATTCCGGCCAATGCTTCTGTGACCGTGGTTTTGCAGGAAGTGGAAGGGTGAATTATATGAAGTCAAATTTGGTGACCCTGGTCCCGCTCGCCTGTCACTGAATCAGGTCTGAACACGTTATGAGCGTATCCTTGAATCTTCGAGATTTTGACGTCTGTGACTTCGAATTTCGTCGACCTGAGGATGCACCTCCTGGCGCCCGTCCATCATGGTAACCTCTCAGAACGATGGCTTGTCGCAGCGGTATGGATGTGGCCAGTATATGCTTGCAGGGTGTTCCCACACTATCCCCATGTGCTTTTTGTTTGGGTATTGGTGTCTGGTCAGCTGGATATATCTACTGACTTCAGGTCTCGTTGCTTTTCACAGCGCGGTATCCCACTTCTCAGATTCGACTCGTAAACACCCTAGAAACCAACTACACAGCATGAACGCGCCTCGCATCTTGGAGGAATGAAGTAAATATATGGTATTGATATAATCATATGGCATATGTGAAGACTATTCGAGCATGTATGATTGTATCTTAGTAGATACATGATACAACCTTACTGCTTGCGCACCCACAGATGAACAAAATGACAAAATCCTATATATATCGCGCGTTGGTCTTTGTGTTCGTCCAAAATCAAGGATGGTCTTCGGACTAAGGCTGGACCTTATTTACAACCACTGGCAGCCTAGAGAGATATACTGCCCATCAAGTTCCGACAGCCAACCCCAACTACACGATGGGATGATACCCGCTAGCCACCCTGCTAGAATTACTCGCGGAGTCGTTGGGGTGCATCGGTACAAAAAGCCTTGTTGGAAACAGGCTTGGATGTAGAACCAGTTAAGGTCGTATTTTGGACCCTGGGTACAGACCTAGTCCTCATGAAACAGGTATTTAATAATAAATAGCGCTGGAAGCATTGCCTGTGGATGATGTAGGATGTGAGCATTCCCCAGAATGATTGAGAATGGGCAGCCCCTTACTGTTATCTGAGATAATACCGCCCTACTCCAGTGTACAGAATCAGGTACAAATATATAGATGGTGCTCCCGAGGATCCAAAAAGAGAGGTAGACTACCGTAGATAGCAGGACGATGAAGATCGCTCCGTCGAGGAATTTGATGTTTTCTATCCGTATTTTTTGGATCGCGGACGTTCTGGCGGGTTCGCTCGTTGTCATCTCGCGTTTCAGTTTTAAGAGCTTGTAGACGATTAGGCTTGAAGTGAGAGCGTTATTGACTATGCTGGAGTAGATTGTTAAGCGACGCCACTGAGTTTAGGAAGTGATGCAGACATGCGTTAATGACGTGCCCATGAAATTCAGAATGGTGAATTAACCTACGTCGTGGGATCGAGCGTGAATCGTTTGGTCAAAGTCTGGCGGCAATGCCATGGCGGCGATAGCCAAAGCTATCAGAGATATCAGCGAAAGCCTCCGCTAGGTATCTATCATTCGCAGTATTCTTACAAGCACCTGCTAACCATAGGATCGCCGATGGTGTAGAAACCAGATATGAGTCGTTCCACGTCTTGAACAACTTCCAGATGAGAATGAGGTCATGTAGGCAGCCCTGGTATATCGGCTTAGAGTGGGTCGACACAGAAGCTAGTCCTGTAGTTATTCACCGAAAAAAGAAAAATCAAGTCGTGGACAGTCGAATATGGAAACATCTCTAGCTCTAGGACCCTATAATTTGAACGCGCCGCAGAACTCTCAATGTGATTCGCGAGTGACGCGAACGAAATTGCAACGTGAATCATTGAGAGTGTGAAAGCGGCAAAGGATGTAATTCGCAAGAATCGTGGCACGCGATTTCGGCGGGGCATACACAAACCCCAAAGGTAAACTGCTCCATAAGTTCCTGAAAGTTGCGAAAATGTAAGGGCAAGCTGTAAGTAATGCAAGCTAATCACCAAATAAAAAGGCCTCTGCCATGCAAGCAAAAATCAGGGTGAGCGGGTCCACCATCACCTGGATGGCTAATTGGGAGGGGAAAGATGGAGTCTTCGACCAGAATGATCGCTTTAAAAAAACATATAGTGTACTTCTCTGTTGTCTCGTTTTAATCAGCTGCGGACCAAAACCAATAATCTACCTAGTTCCGCATTCCAGATGCCCACATGACGTGGTTTCCTGGATCTAACTACTCCAGAGTCATAGTAAATATTGTGGCTGATATGGTCCCAGGAAATCCACAAGCTCTAATAGTAATAAATATTCAGATCATGAGAGTGGAGGAACTTCCGGGTGACAGTTGCCATAGTTATCTAGGCCTATTTCAATGCGGGAGTCTTTTAGGACGATGATCCTGGGAGTTGATGTAATGACCGGGTTATCAGAAGCCCGATAAGATGGACCATCATCAATCCTGACAAACGAAATCCCCTGGGCCAAAGTCATTCGCTTTTGGTTTGCTTGATGCAAGACATGCGCAATATTATATCTCAGGGGCCATATTGTTCATATTATGCCCCCCCCCATACACAGTGAAATTCATCGTCGGGAACTCACTTTCGGGATGGGGGGCCAAAACGCGGGTTGTTGGTACATAGCACTTCCCGCAGCAACTCCACGAGCAATCGGGGTTCACAAGATGGTAAGCAGTCACTGCAGGGCCGAAACGTATACGACAATCATCGCAGAACCGAGAAGCGGAACAAGATACGCACACCCAAGGTGATGATTTCAGTTGCGGTACTAGACACTGGTATACGTGAACGTATCAACACATCGGGATGAACATGACTCCAAGATCATTCAACAGATTCGTACGTCTTCGTGTCAAAGAGAGTTGTTGTGGAACGAAAAGTGAGAGTACGAAGGATGCTAGAGAAACAGGTCATTGTCCAAAAGATGTCGATGCGAGAATATAACAAAGAAAGGCCTATGCCAAGTTAGGCCACTTGAGTTTTAGGCCCTCAAGCCAGCGCATATACAGAAGTTCTGCAATAGGACTTCTTTCCTGAGCCGGCGAGGGAGGTGGAGAGCGAGGCGGCGATGGGATAGGATTGGCATTCTCCTCGTGTTCCACAACAGCGAGACCACGAGGGGTCATTTCAGCTTCTCGCCGCACAAGACGATGAGGGAAGAGACCACGTTTGGTGCTGATGTGTTGTCTTATTGAGTTGTTACTATATAATGGTCAGCAGGTTTCGATGCATGCAGCAATCAGCAACTTACTCATTGATGCCAGACAGAATGTCAAGTAGAACATTATATGCAAGTTCCGGGCTCGCAGCACCCAGTTCTGTAAAGCCACGCGACAACACATTGAGGGACTCGATTTCGCGAGCGTCCATGTCATCCTTGACAGCCTGAAGCCATCCATCATCTGAGTGATGAAAAAAAAATTCAGAACACTACTCACTAATTCTAATCGAGGCAAAACGACCTGGGTGATAATGTCCGCTCCTGTCACTGCGCTCGGGCTTGGGATCGTCGCAGAGGCTCTCCGTATCGCGCCTATCGACTTCTTCCGCAGAACACTCCCTGATGCGGGGGGAGGAAGAGGCTCAGATTGGTTTTCATCACTTCCCGAGCTTCTGGTGATACCAACGAACCCTTCGGAGAGGCGGAGTGATGATGCCGTATCAACTCGTTTGACAGGTCGAAGGGTGTTGCGACTACAAACATAATCAGGCCCTGACATTACATTGAGGCATAAGTCGAACGTACCCTTCCCCGAGGTCAGCTTCACATATAGCTGTTCCACGCGGATCTTGACGTGCGCGATAACTCGATCTCCCAGACTTTGGGGACGACGGCACATTCGCCGGAGGTGAGGCCGCACCTCCTCGTATTTCGTCGCCCATTGGAGAACCACTCCCGAAAAAGACATTGTCCTGCTAATGCAAAGCTCAGGATTGCGAGGGTATCAAATCAGTAATTATGAAGCGAACCTTTATGTTGATAGTTGAGTGTACGGCATCCGCGTTCATCCCCAGCCGCGGCGCCGGTCGCTCAAAGGGCTCCCCCGCAAGACCATTTGCATCATAGGGGTACTCGCCATCGCGCACGCTCCCAACAGTGAGCATGCTGAAGTCACTCGACATTGTATCAAAGTTCCACGCGCTTTCAACAGTTCCATTAGTGTCCGATGGAAATGTTGGAGGTGCACGGAGTGTCCCTTCAGTTGCCTTGATGGTTGGTTGAGCTATTATGGATGGCTTGTTTGGATTACGGGCACGGAAATCACGAGATCTCTCTATGAGCTCAGTTAAACTTGCAATTGTTCGGACACCACAAAGAAAACGATGTTGAAGAAGCTCAACAGCAGAAGGGCGCTAAACGGTGGTCAAAGTGAGTTAGCAGGATGATCGACTCAGAAGTAAATGGGCATACCTCGGTGGGATCTTTGGTTAAACAAAGGGAAACAAATTCCTTGAATGCTGACGAGAACGGCCCCTCCAGCGAGGGAGGACGTGCTTTTGGAATGAGAAATAACACTCGCATCGGGTGATATTCCGCCAATGGCGGTTCACCCTTCGCAAGCTCTATTGCAGTGATTCCGAGAGACCATATGTCAGTTTTGAAATCGTATCCAGTTTGGCGAATAACTTCGGGCGCCATCCAGAATGGTGTTCCCACGAACGTGTGCCGAAGTGTATTCGAAAGTTGAGCAGCAACGCCAAAGTCGGCTAAATGAAAGTACTGAGATTCACTCAAAAGAATTTATGATCACACATACCTAGCTTCACTTTTCCCTCTGAAGAAAGCAACACGTTAGCCGCTTTGATATCCCGGTGGATCTTGCCTTCAGAATGCAGATATTCAAGTCCATGAAGCAGTTCGTGCAATATTACGGCAATGTGAGCCTCCGAGAATGGCCCCGGTTTGAGCTGCAGCCGGAACGGTCGAGTTCAGAGCTGGGAACACAGCTTGACGGTTGCCACTTACTAAGTCGAGACATGAGCCTCCAGCTAAATATTCCATCACTGCGAAATAGAACATTAACATCTTAAGTGCTTGAGACCAAGGCAGTCTCTTTTCTCACCAATCCATAACTTATATCCCTTCACAAAACTACCATAATATCGCGTCACGTACTCTGAATCACATTGCGCAAGATGCGAAATCTCTTGTTGGATTTCGCTGATATCATCGTCAGAGTCCTCCAGATCTGTCAGAAAGGAAGTGAGGGATGGTGTTCGGAATAATCACGAGTCGATCACGGACCGATATGTTTGATGGCTACCACTTGTTGACTGTCATTGTGTATGCTGCGCATAAAACCCAAATCAAGATGAGTTGAGCTGTGCCTCGAAAGAAACATCATTGAAGGGATCACTAACGCTTTGAAGACAGTCCCGAAACTTCCCGTACCCAGCCTCTCGAGAAGGGTGTATTGGGTGGATGGGTCAGCAGTGTTGAGCGGTTTGGGCGTAGGCAAAGATTGCCCACGTGGGGCTGTTGGAGACGGAGGGGCTGAGTTGGACGGCGATGACCGAGATGTGCCGGTGACGTCTTGGGAACTATGACCAGGAAACAGCAACGACGGACAAAGTTGATTAAAACGTCAAAAGTGGCACAGGCGTCGACAGGACTAACCATGGCATTTACGATTCAATCCCAGGCGTGGGAAGAGGCGCCGACTGCAGCAGCGTTACACAAAGCCGAACTCGGCGGAAAACGGTCAAGAAGGTAATGGAAGGTGCTACTGGAGAATCAGATAACGAGGATAACAACATGCAACGGTCAACAACTCGCGATTCCGCTAACAAGTATTTTGGCCGCAGCGCGAGGATTACTCGTTAAAGGACATATTACGTATAGAATATCCACTAGCGACCCTGACAAATCTTAATAGGCCATCGCTATTGGGCAAACAGTCCCCATCGACTTTGATGCTGAATTATCCACATTATGAGGTGTAGCTACGAGGCGACGTTGTCGGAAGAGGAAGCTTTTTACATCAATCCAAGAGTGACCAATGAGGCACCCACGACAAACCTGAGCGCGAAATGTTCACAGCCCGCTGCGTCTCAGTCGTAGCCGGATTGCTCGAAAAATCGGGCTCTCTGAGGGGACACATGGACGTTGCAGAAATTCTTCACCTTGTATTGTCTGAGTGATTTGATCTTCCTGTTGCCACACGCTATAGGTGGGAAAGGAGCACATAGAGGGACGTCATCATCTACATCCATCTCATCTTCGATGGCGATGGTTGACTTGGGAAATGTGGATGTCAAAAATGCGGGCTCATCGTTGGAGGAATCCGTGTAATTTCTCTTTTTAGTGCGAGAAGTGGTAGTAGGAGCAAAGATGAGACTGCGCGACGCGTCTGACACGTCGCGTGCATCGTCCGAGCGCGACCTCGGTGGAGTGGTGTATACGGAATGTAAAATATCACTCGTGGTAGTGAAGTACGTGACGGTAGCGGGGAGTGGCGCGTCACGAGCCTCGGTGTGGTCTGGGGTAGAAGGGGACGCTGGGGGTTTGATAGGCGATGTGTTTGGCGTAGTAAACCGGGATGACGCATATCCATCCGTCACGTCTAGAGATCCGAGTCAGCATATTTCCCACCGCATGCTTAGCCTAGCAGTCACTTTTTCGCACTCGGGCCCCTAAGTTCCTTAGTGCGTTGTGTAATTCCTCATCTACGTCGTTCTGGAGTCTTGCCCAAATTATGAGTGAATGTCCTGAGTTCAGAACAAGCAAGAGTTACCTTGTGGCAGAGAGTGCTGCGTCGCTAGCCCTTACGCTCTCGGTCAAGACACGCTTGGGTGTTTCAGGCTTAGACATGGGCATGGCAACCTCACGAACGTAGCGAGTCAATGTGAATATCAGGCCCAACCACTGTACAGCCACTAGGGAAGACTCAGGGCAACTTTTCCTTAACACACTGCAATCAAAGCGTGGAGCATATGATTGTAGTGATGCACTCGCTCACAATCATATCACGTGCAGAAGCGAATCTGTGGTTTTTGCTACAACTGGCCTTCATTCTCTGGCACACATGTAAATGATTACTGTTCACTCGTCTCGGATCAACAGGTCCTTAGGAAAAGATGAGGTGGCAGAGCCGATCTATCCAAGGGGGTTTGTGCTCGGTCTCTTCGCATGTTGGTTGGGAAGCGTGTTGAAGAAGTTAAAGATGCAAAACAACTCGAATTGCTACGTGAATGGGAAAAACGGCTGCACCTTCTGAGCATTGAGAGTGTTTGTTTAGGCTAGATCAGTGAGATTCTGCAAAGCGACAAGTGAACGCTCGAGACATGTGAACTAGGCGCCTGCACAAGGTCAGATTGAAGCAAACACGTGAGGGATGGCAATCGCCGAAACAACTTTACAGTCCATCATTGTCGACCTCGTCAAAACACAATGCCTCGTAGTCACAAGCAGAGGCCCAGCCAGCTGCGGCTCAGGTTGGTGGGGGTTTTCTTCAGCACGCCCCATGTTTGCTGAGTTCCTCCACTTCTTGCCACATTAGAACTAAAGCCGAGCTCATTGAGAAGCTTGCTGGGCTCCGGCAAGACCTCTTGAAGTTACGTGTGCTAAAGGTCACATCGCCTACGTCCCCAAAGCTCCTTGGCATGTGCGTTGGATTATCTCAAGATGTTCAGGTCCCATCTCGCTAAATATTAATATTCTTCAGCCGAGCTGCCCGCAAGGATATTGCACGGATTTTGACTATCATGAACCAAAAGGCCCGCGAAAACCTCCGGAAATACTACAAAGATAAGGACTCTCTTCCGTTGGATTTGCGCCCAAAGAAAACTCGTGCTATTCGTCGTCGGCTGACCAAAGTGTGTTCAAATTTTACCTTTGGGATGACATCCTCCTTACGACTGCCTCCGAATTTCCTAGCATCAACTCAGCGTGAAAACTGTGGCTCAAAGGAAGAAGGATATTCATTTCCCCATTCGTAAATACGCTATCAAAGCTTGAACCCGTTATCGACACCCACACCCACCCACTTCCCTCTCAATCCTCATGAGCGTCATGGAGTTCCGGCCATCATCTTCTAATCTGTATGCTATATACATATGGCTTGATATTATTCATGCTCATGCAAGAAATCAATCGCGGACATGACCGAAAGGTTTCACAACTCGCAATATTGCGTTTCCACAAAGCAAGTGTTTCGGCTTGTTGCAAATTATACTGTGCTCTCCTTGCTGGTGTGCTGGTGTGGCGCGAGCGCAGAAGCAGGACCTATCGTCCAAGTCCTAAACCATGTACGGACCTCCCTCTCGCTGCAATAAGACTTATTCCGAGACAACTGAGCAGAAACCCGGCGAATCTGTGCGTTTGTGAGGGCATATTGCATAAGTGTGACCGTTGGTATGAATAAACGCACCGAAAGAAAGCTACACGTGAAATCATCCGTTCTTCAATCAAGGTTCTGTTACTCGCAAAGATGCCGCGCAGCACGGCAGGCGTTATAGGAAATTTGCTCTTCTTCGTATTCTCATTCAATTCAGAGGGGGCAGGGTTGAGTCTTGTAGGGGTGGGCGTGGACGCAGATCCAGATGCAGAAGAAGTGACACTCTGTTCGTGGATGACACGACCAGTGCGAGAATTTATAGCACGCGGAGACGGCGCTGAACGGTTTCGTGCAGCGCTTGCCGGGCTAGCATGCGGGGGGTGACGGTGGGTGTTGGCAGGAGTCACTGTGGATGACGATCGCGAGCTCATGGGGTCCTCTACACGAATACAACAAGAGGATTTTCTCACGGGTCCTTGGTGCATTCCTCAACACGGTGACGTTCTTCGTATTTCCAGCGATATGAATGCAACGTACCAGCACATGCAGCTCATCCCCGTGAATTGGACCAAATGAAAGAAGGAGGCGGGCGAACTCCCTCGCTTCTTTCCCCTTGCCTTTCCTCTGACATTTTCAGTTTCGATCTTTCTAATTCGTAGTGTACATTATTGAGTCACTCCCCTCTTCGACAAAAGAAAATGCTCAACATAAAGCCTAAACGTGCCCAAATTCAGCTCGCCGCGATAGGTGCCCACTATTGAAACACCATGTAAGCGCCGCGAGTCTCCCTCTGTTATCAGCCCTTCGATGTTCCCATCGACCATATGCACTGGCGAGATGTCTGGCACAAACGGCTTTTCACCCTCGCATCCTGAAGCAAACCTTCGTGTATCGGGGTTGCCTCTCAACTGCCTGCTTCCTCCTTCCTTTAAAACCCCCAAGATTTCGCCAGTTCCTAGGGCTTCGGGGCTTCCGCATGGAGATCTGTATTTAGCAGAATCTCATTTTGAACCTGTGACTACTCGGTCTACACATTCTTCTAGAGCTATGAAGAGATGTCCACCCTTTTTTGGATCGTTCAGCTGAGAGGATCCCCAGTGAGCGCAAGCCACGCCACCCGGCAAAAGTGAACGAGCATCCATGCTTAGCTGGAACCTTGAGGTACCGATGTGCCTCCCTTGTCGGAGCCATCGCCCAACTCGAATACTGACTGGAAGAAAACAACTCTGGGCGCCATAAAACTGATTCTCCAACTGTGACGTCGAGTTGGCTGAATTTATTGTCTCCATTGTCTCTATCAGAGTAGAATTTCCGATTGAAATCTCTTGGATCAAGTCCCCCAATAGCAACCATTGGGCTGCGACTGAGGGTGGTAATGAAAATGTTACCACTCCCCTTGGTATGCAACCGGAGAAGCTTGGCACACTCACCCACGGCCATTACCTGGCTGTAATTGTAGTCTCCAAGGACCAATCCAGCATCATACCAGTTCCGAGAACCCTCGACCTTAATCGGCGTGAGAGCGTGGGCTCCCGTGTGTTTCGGGTGGCCTCCCTCACTCCATTAACGTGATCCGCCCATTTCTCTCCGTCACATGCTTAGACTCACGTGGAGGCTGATATGTCGGTACACTAGCTAGCAGTACTTGCTCTGGGGATCACGCTTCCGTTTGGTTGACGGGTTCACGCAAGTCAATCGCTCGACGTCTCCTTCGTAATGGGAGGACGCATTAATTTTCCCCCCTCATCACGTTTGATGGGGAATCGGATTCTCCTTGCTGTCGTCTCAATTCTTTACTCGCACGAACGGAGGTTTCATAGCTGATACGGAGGTCGAGTGCTGAAGAGCGATTCGTTTTATTTTTCTCAGGCCAGCAAGGTCGGAACCAGATGGATGATCCAATGCAAGATGAAAGCCCCAGTTGCCACTGGCACGCCCGATGACAATTTCTTTCCACAGTAATTATTTAATGATTGGGGCTTCATCGGTGGGAAGCATGGATGGCAACGCGCCGTATTGGCTTTAACTTCTTAATGCTCAACAAGCCACTGCCATTCTGCGCGTACGAATTTGGAAGGGTGAGAGGGAAGCAGATATGCTTTCAGATTTAGCGTTGTGGCAGAAGGACATTTGATCCTATCTGAATTGATGGAACGGTGCAATTGATGCGTAGACTACAATGCAATATTAGAATAACTAAGTACGTCTTTTAGGTCCGTGTTCCTCGTGATTTCGCCGTATATCGTCCTCTTGCGCCCCCGCCTTCAGGTTGTGGAGGGGGGGCGTTTCTTGCCCCAGTGATTCCTATAGGATCCACACCAGCTATACCCAAACGCGGAGCAGTTGTGGTAGCAAAACGACGAGCAGCGGCGGCGCGTGCAATGTTGCGAGTTTTGGACGTAGTCACGATGGGTGGAACATTACCTTTTCGTTCACCGCGACGAAGTGGCTCGCTCGGAAGGTCATCAGCACGTGTCGCCATGTAACCAAATTGGGGCATGTTAGGGGAAGGAAATGTGCTGATGGTGGGAAGGGAAATAGGAGTGGATTGAATGGTAGAATCTTCTGCTTGGAAGATCGAAGGGGAATTTTGCGGTTTGGCAGGAGGCGAAATGACAATGGGCTTTGGGACATGTCGTGGTCTCTTCATTGGCGTTTTGAGTTCGTCAACGCCGCCCAGCCACTCGCATCAGAGTCGGAGTCAGAAGAAACGCCATCCACTTTTCGGCGTTGAACTTTGTCCCCATCCTGACCCACACGGCGTTTCTTTGCAGAAACGCTCGCATTGTCATCATCAGACAACGTGGGAGAGGATTCGAGAATAATCTCGGGTTTAGCTGATTCACGACCATCAACTACTCCACCAGAAGCTGATACAACGTGATCGCCAGGATGATATGCTTTAGCCGCACCATTGTTACCAGCACCGATCTTTGCGTTGTCAGATGGGATTTCCGAGGCACCGTTTATCGCCACCGGTGCAATCGAATCGTATCCAGAGGTCTTTCTCCCCTCCTTTAAGGATGCTGATGATTTCTGCGATCTCAAGGGCCTCGGCTTGACTGTTGAAATAACACGAGAGTTTCGTTTTCGCAGAACAGGAGCTACATCGGACTCAGAAGGAGGGGCCTCATCTTGCGTTGGCTTCTTTGGTGCGATCTTAGACTGCGTACCAGTTTCAGATGCTTTCCTCGATCTGGGCACTGTGTCCTTTATGGCTGCGTCCGTGGCGCCATTCGAACGTCCCTGCTTAGCGCTGGCAAGGTACTGAGATCGCCTTTGACCTAGGTTGGGTTCGCGTCGCTCGGTGGGTACAGCAACGGGCGCTGCCTTCTGCGCTAAGGCGGATGATGAGCCTGCGGGTTCTGCAACATTCATTTCTGTACCCATTGCGGCTTTGTTCAGTGGTTGTTGCGCAAGTGCAGTCTTGGGGGGGTATAAGGGTGGTGGTGGTCCTGGCAATGGCGATAGATCTTGGCGGAATGCCCCCGGGAGCTGGGGTGAATAAGTGGTGGGTGGGTACACGTGTTGGGTCGCGATGAGAGGTTGAGAGAGGTCCCGAGATGTTGGAGGTTGATAAGGATTGAGGGTGGACAATGCATGTTCAATAGGGAGCTCAGTTTGGGGTAGTGGTCGGCGGACACCGCGCGGAGCCTGGCCATTTGCATCTTCGACTGCGCTCAAAACGTTGGGACGGCTACGCAAGCTTTTATCGAAGGATGGTTGTCTTGGGGGTGCAGATCGAGCGGGAGGAACAACAACATGCCTTCTCTCAAAGGGGTGGTCGGCCTCGTCTTCGACACCTCGACGCCGCTGTCTGGTGCCTACGGCGCCATCAGAAGTAATTCGGTTTGCTGGAGGAGCAATGATATTCTGTACAGCCTGGGGGACCGGAAGCGCATGACTGGATCTGATTCTGATTCGCGAACCATTGCTTGGCGCTGGAAGGGCAGGCCGTCTTGTGTTACGACCCGATTCCTCAGCAGCATTAATAGCTACGCGTCCTGAAGCTACCCCCCGCGCATTACTTGGGACATTTTCCAAAGGAGAGTGCTCGTGTGCAGTTGTTTCCCTTGAATCGTCCTCGATCTGAGGTGATATCCAGGTCCGCACATAACGATAAGGCAGACAAAGGAGATAGGTGATGAGACCGGCAAAAAAAGTAAAAATATCAAGGCTCCAATCAATCGTGACTATGTAGGGCTTGATAAGAGGACGTAGGAAATAAAGCAGGATCGGTTCCGCGACCTGTGATCCCCAAACCTTAGTCTAGTATGGACAATCGCCGACTGATCGACTCACCGCGGCACGACATAAAAAGAAAACGCTCAAGAATATCGCTTTCATATCCTCGTAAAATGGGATCAGAATCCCAATAGACCTGTCGCACACTCGTTCAGCATGGATCCAACAGCCCTGTTGCCACAACGAAAGAGGTCAACGAATATGAGTAGGATGCTTCTAGGCTTACCCATATAATCCATACGCTCAGGCACGCTTTTATCTCTCTCTTTCTAGCGGCTATCGCGCGAGCCGTAGGTGCATCGCCGCGCCTACTGAGCCGTGGAGGTTTGAGAGACTTGAAGGACCAGTAAACGTTTGAAAGGACAATGGCAAGTCTAATAAGGCCTAGATATAATCCCATAGGGCACTAGAAGGGAAGATTTCCGACGGAGCTCAACGCTCCTTAATTATGGACTTCTGTGAGGTGCACGAGTTTGTTGCAAGGTTCGCAACGCCCGAGGGCGTGTTTATCACGTGGCCCTCTCCAGGGGAATTGCCGTCTTCGCGTTTTAATTTCAGCCCCGAACCCTACATCTTTGCGCTCTTGCGATATGTCCCTGTTCACGGGTTGGGGAGTGATCATATATGTTCCACTATTGTTGACAAATGCGGTTGCGATTCTAAACGAGGAACGGTTTTTGGCACCCAGTGCGTGTTGTCATTCTGCGCCGAAGCTACGTGTCAAATGACAACTTTTCAATTACAGTTGGATGGTCGACTGTCCAACAGCCGGTAGCTACATATGATCAAGGAGGCTTTGGAGACCCTCAGGGTGATACTATCAAAGCTCGACTGATAGCATTGATAAGTGCTGTCAGAACACTACTACGATGTATGGATGTCATTGGTTCTGTATTTCCACTTGGATGCTTACGTTGTCCTTGAAAGTCCCTTTAATACTGGCAAATATCCTCATCATTATCTGGGAACTCCTATTCGGGTGAAGGGGATGTTTTAGACGCTTGTCTGCATTTTGTGTGAGCATTCAATGTTGGAGTTCTGGCAGCTTATTTTTATATGTCGACCAGTTGATAGGACTGCCTTCCGACAGAGGACGGAGAGCAATTTTCAAACACCTCCATTATCCTTATTTGGTTGTATCAATATCATGGACATGGCCTGTTGGCTATTAATAACAAGCACGCTCGCAGGATAACACTGTTGCATGCAACCCTCGGGAGTAGCTTTAAGGTCCAATTGACGCAAACCTGTGTCCGAACATTCTTAGACATGGCGACGCATTACCAGCCAAACAACTGGCTGCCCTTTTTATTGCGCATTTTGACAGCACCCCTGCGACAAGGATGAGCCCCATTTACAGAATGTGCTGAACTTGTTAAGACTACTTTGACCTTCCAGTTGGTTTTTGCATGTGAAATTAAACCTCCCTCACCAGTTCGCTTACATGTGCGAGAGGTGCGGCTTCGGACTAAGCTATGAATTCATATCCAAAGATCCAAGGATGATTGATGTCTACAGCTATCAGTTTCAGCATTTTTTGGCTTACACCCGCGTCCACCGGGTCGATGATATGTTCCTTAGTTGGATGGCGCTGGATGGGTAGTGAATCCCAAGTTTATCTCGAGCTGGACTATGGCCGGCACTCACCCATGTGTAGTAGTGCCTCCAATGTTATACCAACGTTGTGACACATTAATCGTGTGGTTGTGGTTTATCTGCACTGGACCTTCCGTGACGTGCGGAGAGCCACAGCTCACAACTGTCAAAACTACAACTACTGGTTATTGACCGAGGTAATTATTGCGTCCCGATGGAGATGGGGCTTGCTAAATTGGGAATTATGAATTCACGTGTTCCCAAATATCAGACACCTGGGATCCGGGCACTCAACAACAAAGCTTTAGATTGCCCATTCTGAAGGGCGCCATGTGCATCCACAACGAGCCGTGCAATGGGCTCAGCAGACTGAGTTCTACAACACCACTGGGCTTTGTACTGAATCCGCCACCTCCAGATTCATGATACATATTCTCATTCTCTCCGGGTGATTTTCACAATTTACAACTGGGTAAGATCCATGTTTAATTAGCTTCTATTCCACTGTTCCTTGTGATTACGGACCTGATACCTCTGGAAAGTTATTTAAACTCCAGATTCAGGTTCACTGTCTAGCCCACAGCAAACCCACAGTCATCCACTCTCTCCATACTCTCCCTGCCTCGCACTTTTCGGGATGACCTCTCTTGACGTTGCCTCGCTTTTCTACGACGGTCCCGAGTACGTCCAAGATTTTCATACACAGTCTTTCGGGAAGGATTTAATGCCTCAACCCGCAGATATACTCGCCGTCTGCACACCGACTACCGTCTGCCCGAGATTACTCTCAAGCAGATCCACGAGGTCATCCCTAAGGATGCATACGAGAAGGATACATTGAAGGGGTTGTCGTACGTTGCTCGTGACATCGCGTTCGCCACCCTGTTCTATGTAAGTATGCGATAATCTCTGCCACGGCCAAATCGTCGCCTGATATGTTTGTCTTCGTATTGATAGCAATTAGCGAAATACATTGACCCTTTCTCGGCTTCAGTGGGCGAGTCATACGGCGAACATGCTCAGTTCGCAGCCAAATGGGCGATGTGGTCCGCGTACTGGTGGTGGCAGGGAATATGCTGGGCAGGCATTTGGACACTAGGTCATGAGGTGAGTTCGTTTGATACCAGAGCGTACCTGTCGGCGCAGATGGATATAATTCCCCTTGGTGCAGGCCGGACATGGGGGCATTTCTTCCAAGGGCTGGGTTAACAATGTTGTCGGATTCACGCTTCACACATTCCTTCTCGTTCCCTACTTCTCGTGGAGGGCAAGCCATCACCTCCACCACAAGTCAACAGGTTCTCTGGAGCGTGATGAAAACTTTGTTCCCCCAACCCGCACCGACCTCAAACTCCAGCCTCATACTCAGATGACCCGGAATGATTACAAGGAAATCTTCGAGGAAACTCCCATCTTCACATTCCTTCGTATCGTATTCATGCAGGCCGTCGGTATGCAGGCGTACTTCGCGTACAACGCACTTGGCAATAAGATGTACCCTGCTGGCACGAACGTAAGTGATTCTTCGGTGCTGAGATCACCATTTTGTTAACGTTGATCGACTAGCACTTCAATCCGAACTCCGCTTTGTTCAAGGAGTCGCAGCGCAATGAAATTCTTCTCTCGGATGCCGGTCTCATTGCCATGCTCGGGATTGTTGGCTATTGGATTAATATCTCCAGCCTTTCCACTGTCACAAAATACTATATTATCCCCTACCTGCTTGCAAACCACTGGATCGTTATGCTGACTTATGTGCGTCCTCACACTTCGGTTACTTAAACAATGATGCTGATTCTTGCTGTTGTATAGCTTCATCACACTGATCCCACCATGCCTCATTTCCGCAAGGATGCCTGGACTTTTGTGCGCGGAGCGATAACAACCGTTGACCGACCTTTGCTCGGCTGGGTCGGACGCTTTTTCCTCCACAATGTTTCTCACGATCATGTTGCCCACCATCTGATATCCGCGATTCCTCATTGTAAGCACTCATTCTAGTACACTGGATAGTCTTCCACGCCAACGGTTTTCTCTCGTTAGATAACGGCCCTCGTGTCACCGAAGCCCTGAAGAAAGTTCTCGGCGAGGACTACAACCAAGACTCGACCAACACGTTCCGAGCTTTGTGGAGAACTTTCAACGAGTGTCAATTCATCGAAGATGATGGTGCTGTTGCTTTCTACGCCGATAAAACCGGTCACACCAAGCGCAAGCTTGAGGGCCAGTGAGAAGTTCCATTTTTTACTCACAATACTCGAAATGGAATTCTGTCATACTCAAAAACGTGGAATCAGAATCGTCACATATCTGCACGCCTGTAATTCTTAAAGCTAATGTAGTCACTATTTACCCCTATACATCGCCCTAGTGTTCCTATTTTTTGATGGTTTGATACCTACTGCCCTTGGGCACCATATCAGCTCAGACTCGTACCCACCGTCATGCCAGGCCAAACAGCCTCCAACAAAAATAAGGTCCGAAATCACATCCATTCTCATTCCACGCCTCACTCTCAGAACCACAATCGGCCCACCGGCAAATCACATAATTCATCTTGGGTAATCACAACCTACTTAAATCCAACCCACGCTGAGGTTGACATTCTCAACGGTCATTAGCAGACTGAAATAATTTCACGTTTTGAGGCTACTCCTAAAATTGCCACTCAACCTTTCATTCTTATTGTGTTTTGTCATGCGGTTTTTCCAAGAGCTTACAATACCCAGCATGCTCCTCACGCCTTGTTGCAGCGGCAAACGAGTCGCGTTGACCCTCTCGAACCCGGTCTCACCTCAGGTGAAGTGACAAAACTGTCAGTATACGAAACTCAGACCCGGGACTGGGATAATTCCAACAATGAATTCTTTGCAGTCGGCTCGGTTGTAGATTTGGACAGTCCTGCCTCTGGACGTCAACGATCCATCCTCCTGCTGGTTGTGATATTTCAGATCACTGATGACCTCGGGACCGGAACCAACTCTCCGTTAATCGGTTGCTCTGTTCTACTGTCGTCTGTATCTCGTGAAGCTTATTTCAGGCTCAAGGTTTCCAGCGATCACAATGATGGACATGTTACTTTAGGGGTCCTCGTCCTTATTGTACGCCAGGTTGTTTGCCCCATGCAACCCAATGCCCCGCGCGCCCTGGGAACCCCAATATCGGCCTTTGGCTCATTCGATAAAGATCACAACTTGCACTGCTCAGATTCTTTTATTCGATGATTCCGAATCCCAGGACATACACAAGAACAGCATTACTGATCATTCTGATAGTACGGCTTGCGGTTCTCCAGTTTGGGACAGCGTCAATCAGAAAGAAGCTAGACTGCCTAAACTTCGGATGACATCCAGAGATGGGGCCGCCACACTAAACACTCGCCCACTCGCTCTCGCTCGGAAATGCTGGATTGCTCAAGGAGGCCAAGGCCAACGGGCTCACTGGAGGCCTTCTCACGGCATTGAACCCGCATTTCCCAGTTTACTCTTGTTATGTACTCTCCCTTAGTTTGGCCGTTACTGTGGCTTCTGGGCCGTCGACCAGACAACTTCGGTTTGTCGGGTTCATCCAGCTTGTTGCTCATTTCACACTGGCGTCTTCAGGCGCTGCAGGTGGGAGTTCTTGTCGAGGGTCCCATTTAATCAATATTTGGGTTCTTGATTGCGGGGATTCCGGAATTGATAGAACCGATCCAACTCTCCCGACGGTGGATGTGGAGGCCCATGAGCAGGCACAGAAAAATCATGCCTGCGCCGGTTGTGCAAGTGGGGAGCAATCTTTGCATCCATCCGTCGATTGCACTTCGATGGAAAGTTATCCAGAGCAGGTAAGTACTAGTATCGCGGCTCGCCTTGGGTGCATAACAAGGTAGGGGAATCGATGGTGCCGCGGGGAACTGTTGGTAGATGGATGCGGGGTCCAGAGGTCCTGAGCCGAGGGCTTGGCAACAGTACGAATATAGCTGGCGCTTTACGATATCACATCGCTTTCCTTCGAACATTATGGTCTGGAAGCTAGGATCCTGCCTAACATTGATCCCGAAAAAAGAGTCCCGTAAATTAACATGGGGGGATCATCAGTAATTAAGAAGTCATAGAGGCTGGAGTCCTACCTAGACTCTCAGCTTAAGCACGTCATGCCCGCTCCACCACTAAGCACTGGTTCCCAATCTTGCCCAATCATGGACAATAACTCCGGTCCGCAGCCGGCAGTCCCCATTTCGAGGTGTCAAACCGATGCACAGCCACGCGCTCGGCGCTTAGAAAGAAGATAAGCTGGCAAACCGCACCTCCAGGGCCCCCTTACGTTCGAGATTGGGGGAAACAGATACAACATTGCCAGGTCAGCCCTTCCATAGGCTGTGCCTCGAATCTGAAGGATTATCCGGTTTTGTTTTGAATAGCATTATCCCATTTCAGTTCACACCGTCTCAGGCTCGTTGGCGTTCGGCTCGGCCTTGGTGGCAACATCTACGAATGATAAAACATGTCTACGAAACTGTCTGCGAAGCGATAGTAGGTGTATTTTCTGTTCATGTCCACTCATCGTCTCTGGAACTCTACGTCCCCTTAGCACTGGAGACCAACACCATCGCGACCTTATCCAGATGGAACAAGCAGCGGTGGAACAACAGAAACGCAACTTGGAAGCGGAGCGACGAGAGTTTCAGCAACAAGTGAAACAAATACAGGATCAGATGGCTCAACAAAAGCGCGAATTGAGCGCAGCACAAATTACCCTCCAACGACAACAACAAGCACTGCAGAATGAACAACTCGCACTCCAATTTGCTCAACAGGAGCTTCAAAATTCACAGCATGAAGTGGATCAACAGCGGAAAGAGAATTATGCATTTAAGCAAGAACTGCTTCAACAGCACAGTACCCTTCTAAGGGCGAGGGAAGATATGGCACGGAAAGAGAAAGAACGTCGTTTAAGAAGGTTGGTTGGGCCCTCAACGTGTACTCATTCATACTGATCTTTCGTAGAACTCCGTCCGAGGGCTTTCTGGAGGATGCTTACCCCTCCCATGGAACTATCGACGTGCTCAAGCTTCTTGGGTACGGAGTATAGTCATTTGATTTCAAGCTAGTCTTATCTATCTTACTGCCTTATAGCAATGGGTCGTCTAGGATTCGCAGGCAGGCGGCTAAGAGTTTGCTGGAGTGTACCAACTCTGGCGGTGACAGTGTTTCGCCCACCATCGAATATGGAATTCTTCAGACTCACTTCCTCCCGATTATCCCTCCTATCATCGCGGAGACTTCATCAGCCGATGTGAAGGAGTTCGCGCGTGCCCTTCTCAAAACTCCCTCATTCGCCTTGGCACTCGTCGAGAAAGGTCAGAGTCAGCGGGTTGTCGCTCTTTTGAAGGAAGATCAGCCTTATGACTTAAGCGAAGCCGCGAAAATATGTCTATCTAGCGTGCTGAGCCGCCGCGACACGTCCTCGCTGCCATCCGGTAGAATCATCCGAAACGAGCTTGCCATGGAGGTGGAACACATTCATTCCCCTGCTGGTCTGAGTTTGCTGCAATCGACGGCGGAGGCCACGATTAAAGACCTGTTGGAAGACAAGAACTATGATCTAGTTACGAAATACATGCTTCATGAAGTTTCAGAGGTCCGGCAAGCTGTCGCCCCGTATCTCAACTCCACAATCACGGCGACTGGATCACATTCCGCCAGGCTAGTTGTACAGGGATCGTTCCTTTCTCGATTGTGTCAACGCTTCTTGCTCCCTAGAAAGTCGGGGCCTGAAAATAGGGAAAAACTCCCATCCGATATTCTCACTCTCACCACGACGTACCTGCCTCGCCTGTGCCGCCCTCTCTGCTCGACGGATGTTCAGACAACGTCTCTCATGGTCCAACTTATATTTTCCAACAAGCCATCGCCATCCTCCCAAGCGATTACAGGGGCAGCCATTGAAGCCACGGTCAATGCAGCATCTGCAAGCAAAGGTATGGAGGTTCGACAGAGTCTCGTAGATGCGGGTTTGCTCGAGGCCATTGCTTTTGCCCTATCGGATTCGCCAGGGGGCACTGACGCCCCGGGTGGTTCTGTGTACAGCTTCATCTGTCAAATCATACCGCTCGTGGGCGTTGTGGCGGCAGCCACGAATCCTTCGCACGTATCTTCCTTACTGAACCTCTTAAGGGTGGAAGACCCAGATGCAAGCAAGGATCTCATATCCTCACTCACTGAATGCTTCCGCGTCACTATTTTCTCGGAGGGCCAAGCCGCATATAACCTTGCCTCGCAATTGGAGCCAAACCTTCTTGCGCCTTCCCCGGAATGGGAGCCCATACTTTCGTCTGTGCTCCCTCGCGCATTTGATCTCAGGTGGACAACAGACCCTGAAGGCGATGGTTTTAATTGGGATACCCTTTTTGCCATAGAGCTTCTGAAAAATTCCTCTTCTAAGGAAGTGCGAAAGCGAGCAGGCATTGCTCTACTGACGCGCTTCCGCGCTTCCCCGGGTGTGATCAATTGGGTTTGCAAGCGCGGTCAACATCCTCAGATAATCGAGCTCTGCACCTCCCCTCAATATGACGAGGTAAAGCGAATAGGTTGTGAACTTCTTAGAACCCCCGCGGTGGGATCGCATATTTCTGTGTCCAAGGGTGACTTCACCGACTCTCGCTCTCTGAAAACTTCTGAAGTCTATGGAAGTGCTGACTTAGTATCGCTTGTTTCACACCCTGACATGTCCGTGCGGATTTCTTCCTATGTGGCGCTTCTCGATGCAGCGCGCGCGACAGATAATTGTCGTATCCAGCTTGCCAAGGCGGGGCTAGCCTCCGCCCTCAACGACATAACGCTAGTGCACTACAAAGGGGAGGAACAATCGATTCAGTTTACATTGGATATGCTGGATGAATTATTCTTCATCTGGATGGAAGGAAATGGGCATCTCAGAGATGCAGAAGTCTTGGCGAACATGCTTGCGTAAGTGGTCAGCTTTTCTATTCCGTTGCAGTTTATGGAGTGTTCTCCCCAGCGCCGAAGAAGAGAAAGTCGCCTCCAAGGCTTTTTATCTCACTCGCCAATCCTTCTCGGAGGACCTAGGCTCACGCCAACATCTGAGGACGGCCATACTGTCAAGGGTGTTAACGGTAGGGGTCGAGCCCTCTTCATTCTTGGCGTACGCCGCGATTTCCATTGCCGAATGCTATGCTTTCGACTTGTTCAAGATTCACGAGTTTGAGACGATATTCGGATTGCTGCAACATCCTGAGCCTCGTATCAGAAACGCAATGACTCTTTCCATGGCCAAAGCCCTCCGTGACGATCAACAACCCAATAACGGCGATGGAAAACTATGCGAGCATCTTGTCAGAGCTGGGTTCTTCGAATTGGTGCTTGGTCTCCTCGAACACAAGGATCCCACGAAAGAGATAATTGATTTTACTGTGCGAAGTACAGGTTTGGAGCTCATTGCTTTGGCCGTTGTACAGTATGGTGGTCTGCGTGGGATATGGAGTCTTGTCGAGACCCATCCTAATGTCTCGGTTCGAGCCGCTGCCGCAAAGGCCATCGAAAAGATTTCCAACTCTGTCGCTGCAGAGGACAGGGCGTTGCTCGTGGGAGGGAAAGTGTCGACCTGGGGTGATGATGCATCGGAAAAACAGTTCTATCTGGTTTCTTCGGTTTGTCGCCTTGTAGGGGGCACTTCGCGCATTGAATCTCACATCGAAAATCTCTGCCGCACATCCTTCCCCAAGATTGCTTTACAAACAGCAGTATCTGACGACTTGCCTCAGCTGGTTGTCCTACTGAAGTAAGTTGACTTCTGGGTAATGCCTTCCCTTGGGACTGATCCTTGCTAGCCATACCAATACCACGGTTTCGAGGTCGGCTACTACCGCCCTTGATGCAATTCTATCTTCGGACCCCGCGACGAGGGGGCCTCTTCGGAAGCATTTGCTTGCGAGTTCCGCGAAGGCTCGTGATGAACAATGCTCTTACACAGCGAAGGCTGTTAAAGAGGTTTTGGCTTTGGACGTGGTTCAGATGCGGGACTTCGGGGAAGTACTTGCGGCACTCCGATATCCTCATGAGATCCGAGCACCTATCTTTGGACATGCCTTCGCTAGGATTGCTGATGATGCCAGCTGGAGGAAGGACATGATAAGCGCCGGCTTTGTACACTCTTTTACACAAGCCTTGTCCCAAGACCCACTGCCTGAGAAAGATGTCCTCGAATTCCTTGCTCGTTGTGTGGAAGTGGCATCCATCGAGATCGGGCGTTCAGGCCACACTCCTGACATCCTCAAAATGTGCTCGCATCAGGATCCTACCATATCTATGGCCGTCCTCAACGGACTCGCGTCAATTTCTGTGAATGGGACGCCAGACGACAGGGTTCGCCTCATTCAAGATGGATTTTTGGAGGAGTCTTTACACTTTTGTAGCCAAGATTCGTTATCACCGGGAGTCCTCAGCCTACTGCAGCAGTCGGTACCTGCCTTGTCCCATGCCATATTGAACGAATCGAGGGTCTCAACATTCTTGATTCCTGCGCTTTGGTAAGCCAAAGCACTTTTGTCAGTCTTAAAATCTCTCAACTAGCAATCTCCAGCAACAAGCATGAGCCAGTGTGGGAGCTTTCCTACTCTGCTTTGCACGATATTCTTTCAAGCGGAGATGATTCATCGGACATGATGAGAGCACAGATATGGCCCACTATCTCTCACTCCCCCTTAGTTGTATGCAACTTCATCGAACAAGCTCTTCATCTGCGATGGGCGAATGATCTGAGCAATGCCCGCAGTGTACATCTCCTCTACGAATTGTTACCGCACACTCATCTCGGCATCCGAACGGAGGCTATGAGGCAATTGGCTGAAATAGCTACTTTGGAGGATTTTCAGGAGGCGCTTGTGGACACCGGCGTGTTTGAGGTATTGTTGACGCTTATCGGTGATAGCAGACAGGACGTTCGGTTGTCATCAAACAATCTGCTTCCGGTTCTTGGTATCGCGTTTGCCCAGGGCGGGAAGCTCAGCGTCCTCCAAAAATTGCTTTTTTCATCCGACAGCCTCATAAGTTCAAGCACCTATTCTGCAATCCGTACCATATTGGAGACAGGAGAAGAGAAACATTATTGGAAGTTGATTGAGTCTGGATTAGTACCAGACCTTCTGTCTGGTACAACTGCTAAACCATCAGAGAAGTTGGTGATATTGCTGGATATGTCTTTGAATAAACTTGGCTCCTTCTTGCTTTTGAACGGTAGTGGAAACATACTGTTTGAGGTACTCGAATCGTATGTCAGCATGCTATTTTCTACCCGCACAACGATTGATCCGTGTGTCCCTTCGCAGGAATCGAGCACCTAGATTGCAAGCAACTTCAGAAGAAGTTCTGAAAGCACTCGCGAACGGAACACCGAGGCATCGGAGGCTAGTCTGGGATCTATTGCTCCCGAGGCTCAAGTCGAAGCCCGAGAGGCTCTGCATGGCGGCTTCTGCAATGTTATCACATCGCCTGGCTGCAGATCGAGTAGACTCAAAAGAATATGTCGTCATGTATGAACTGCTGGGACATCCGCATCCAGCCATACGAAAGCCAATCATGGACGAGTTTGGACAATTGATAACTGGGGAAAATATAGATATTCGGGCAAACGAAATTATCGTCGACCTGTTGAACGTTCTTCTTCAGCTGACTTCAAGCACTACTGCATTCCCTGATGTCGTGTCCTTCACTGGAGAGATCTTCTTACCGAAGACAGGCCTCGCATTGTGGTATGTTTGTGGACGTACCGATATCTACTGTGTTGATTAGGTTTTCTCATTTCAGTCATCTCGGGAAGTTGGCGACAATCGTCAATATTCTTGACCACCATTCCCTGCAGCTTAGAAAAGGGTCCTGTCTTGCCCTGCAGTCAATCGCACAAGGCCCAGAGAAGCACAAGCTGCTCCCTGCTGGCATTCTTGCTCCCTGCTGCAACATGGAGCGCCTCGTGGGGGATGGCAATTTGACGCGTCTTGTATGCGTGTTGGTCCCGAATATCATTGAATTTGTTAAGAAACCCGATGAATTGGGCTCCTTGTTTAAACTCTTCAGGTACTTGCCATCCTAATCCCGTCTACAAGTAAATCTCTTATTTCTCTTCCCAGCCACCCTGATGAAGCCGTGACGTCAATGATTTCGGAGTCTCTTTCACAAATGATGCAAACTGAAGGGCAGGACTTTATTCTGCTGAGCTTCATTCTCGAACAGCTCCCCGTTCACGAAAATTCTCAACTATTCGTCTCAAAAGGTATCATGACCCCAATGTATCGGAATGACCACATTAATTCTTTCCTCCATCTCAAGCCATCAGAGTAATGGGTGGTGAAGGAGCGTTCTATCGCACACGTCAAACGAGCGTTCTACTCGAATTTTTAAGGTGCGTAACTCGAGATTCTAATTGTCGAAGAGTCTAACCCATGAGAAACAGTTCCGATGCACCCTATCTGTCAAACTCCGCGCAAGACGCTGTCATCGCACTTGCTAAGAGTGATGACCTCGCTTACAAACAAAATTTGGTCGATTCGAAAATCATGTCTTATCTTGAGAAACTCAATCTGTCTGATATCCACCGTCCGGTCGGACTCGCGTTGAGCTGCAGCGTACTGCCATCATTATGTGCTTTGTCAATGTCTTCGGGTCAGGGACTTGAGGTTGTTAACATGTTCTTGTAAGTGCTGGCTTGTTCTTGTATGTGCTTATTTGCTCACGTCTAGTGTCAGTGACTCCTACGAACCTCTCCGCCGCATTATTGATGCGCAGTGGCAAGAACTAGTGAAGACACCGCAGGGCGTCTCAGTCCTAGTCAGGGAAAATGTTGTCCCACTTGTTCTTCAACGTATCGGGCATTCTGTCGGGCACTTCGCCATACCGCTGGTGTGTTATTTGTCTCGACGATGTGGGAACAGCCTGGTGTTGCGAAAGCAAGGGTGGTTGTTTTTAGACATGATGGAGTGAGTATCTCAGAGCCGCCCGCCGAAATAGGTTTTGACCTTAATCTTAATAGTTCGCGTGATGATGAGCTAACCAAGGCTGGTATACTCAACTTACTTGCTCTTTCGGAAGGCTCGGAGGAACATGCGGCGATGATTTTTGATGTCCCCCGAATTCGGGAACGCCTAGCATCTGCGCTGGATTCGCTGTACGAGCCCGAAACCATAGTTGACATCCTCCATGTCGTCCAAAATCTAGTCCGTGGGTCGTCGATGAGATCAGAACGGTGCTTGTTTTCGCCAGTTTCGACTTGTGTCTACAAGCACACACGGTGCGTGTGCGATTTGACGTCAAGTCCGCAGAGCATATCTGACAACAACTACAGAAGCGCTGTCCGCTCAATACGACTGACCTCTCTTCATATCCTGTACAACATCTTCCTCAGTATCACCGACAAGATGTCCATGATAGATGAGGATTTGGTGGAAGCGCTTCACACGACACTGACGACTAGTCAGGATAACGAAACCTATGCGGCGCCCTAAGGATCATTGTTGAGGCTTGTCGCGTTGAGCAATGTCGTGAAGTTATCGGTGTGAAGAAGTTTGTCACAATTTTGCTGGAATGGGCAAAGTTTGTACCTTCTATCCTTTATCCCCCTTCTTGAAGATGGCACTGAAGACCAATCACTACTAGGCCGGAACAAGACACGGCGTGTAGGCGCCTGGCGTGGGAGGCTATTGCCAATATTGCCAAAGGCTCAGATGAGGACCGCCTTCAGCTTGTGGACTCAAGCATTCTAACCTCCTTACTCCGTTGATTCGTCATAATTCCTCTGATGTAAGTAATGGGTACCGAGACTTCATAAACACCTACAAAGCCGCTTCTGTTCTCGTAGGTGGCCAAGTTTGCAATTGAAACAGTTGGATCTATTGGCCAATCTGGAGCGTTTTACCGCAATGTGGCCGACAGCGGTGCTGTAAGAAAGCTGGAGCATGTCACAAGGTGAGTCCATCCTGACGAATCAACAGTCATCTGAGCTGACATTATTTTCACTGTAAGCCCCCTGCACAGATCCAAACTTGACGGTAGCGAGGATAGAAAGGGGACAAAGGAAGCCGCCGCGCAGGCGTTGAAGTGGATCAACAGTGCCAAGTTCGTCAAGTTCGGCGGCCCAATGGCAGTGAGGGTGTAATAACGTTGATTTTGTTATGTGTATTAGGAAGCGATCTCATTCGTCCCGTATCCGCAATCGGAACGAGGCTCCACTGATAAACCGATCATCTGTTAGACTCAGCCGGCAGGTAATCCAGGATGACAGGCCACATTCTCCCACCAGTGGAAGTCAGACTCTTGTGCGTCTGCATTGTACCAGCTCTGAGGTAGATCTGACCCTTTTGTCCAACCACAGAGCAGCCTCCAGTACACGACGTGAAGCCAGCTCATGTAACCTGTGGCCAGACCACACACGCCCTGCCCGCTTACTCATATCAGGATGTCACTGCTCTTACCCCCCTCCCGGCTTGTTGCCCATTCTATCGATATTTTGACCGCCCGTGTACCACGCTGACTACTTCGATGTGTCCAACATCAGTGCATGATCTAAGCCTGCTCAATTCCTTATTCTCGTGTACCATTACTTCTGAAGGGATGTTGTAACAAGGACTAAACTTTTCTCAGGATCCGTTCTCGCGCGTATGACTCCATTGCACAACCCACCAGGTATTCGCAAGCATTGATTCCTCAAGTACTCAGGTTAAGCTGATGATAATCTGCAATTTTGCACTGGTTTACCGTCGCAATCGGGGTTGCGGCATGACCAACGAGCCAACACGCAATACAGCGTGTGCGCTCATAGACTCCAGAGCTCGGTAGGTAACCCAACCACTATCACCCACTTGGTTCATCGCTATATACATGATTACCGAACGCTGTGAACATTCTGAGTCATCCGAATTGAGAACATGATGGTGCAGGACATTTGCATCTGAGGCTTTTTGAATCTTATTACTCAGGTGTCCAGAGCTGATATGTTGCAAATATACCTAACCTTGCAGGTATTTTGTTACGAGGGTTTCCCCAAACTGGATGGCTTGCAAGCGCCACCCATCTCTGGTCACAGGGGTGGCATTGCGGATTCCCACGGGAAAAAATTTTGATCCTCTGCCCTCACAATATTGGTCTCCAAACCCATGCTGCCGGAGAAGCGAGATTCTCACACCGTAGAACGAACTCTGTTACCTCATTGTCAATAACGTCAAACAAAACAATATTTGGTTTGGAAGTTGGCGTTGTGAGAAAAGTTCTTATGAGTTGCCACCAACCCCCAAGACGGCTTGACCATAGGTTTAGAGTGCAAGAGCTGGCTTCACTTCTTGAGCACGTGTCAGAGAGTACCGGTGCAAAAGCACCATGGACGGTCTGTTTGGGGGAATACCTTATGGGGAGAACGAAGTCTCTCGCCGCATTGCTGGGGAAGCATCGGAAATCAGCATATGTATTTCATGGGTTAAGCACCCGATGAAATGCATCGTAGCGGGAAAGGGTACGCAGACGAGTTCATTTAGGCGGTCAAGAAAGTGGGCGTGTTCCAAAATGGCGCAGCAAAAGAGACAGGAGATTTAAAGATCGACGAGGCTCTTTTGACAGAGGAAGGACGACCGGATCTCGGGGCTCTTATCCTCGAACTGTCTCAGTCGTTTAGTTCTTGCACTTTAGTGATAGATACTACTTACCACTGCGGTCTATGCTATACCGGAGTACTTAGACAAAGTAGGCCATTGGCCAAGTGTCCCGTGATGTATCGTGTAGCGAGCATCCAGCAGACACATCTGGGCTGGAGTTTGGTTGCTAGTGGTGATTCAGAATTCCCTAGGCCCCCAATCCCCGACTCATCTAACGCAACAAGTAAATTGCTAGTACAAGCTCTGGACATTTGCAATCGGGCCCTGGATACCGCAAGTCAGATTCAACACCAATGCGACTGGCATCCAGTCAGTTGCAATTTGGCGAGTTTTCCATCATTGATAGAATCTAGATCAAGTAAGCACGTCTGGGACAGAAGACTTTCGCCAGTGGATCGGTCGTGACGGGTTGGCACGGCACCCCTTGTTGGAACATCATTATCGTGTTGGCTTGGCGCCATTGTAATAAAAAGCTCGCAGCATGCTAGCGTCCATACCAATGCGCAGCTGTTTGGATAGGCGGACGGTTTATGCTATGCTTATGTGTGGAAAGCTACGTACACTAGGTCCCAGAACGACAGAGTCCACGGTAGAGTTGAGCCATTCCGTTGTCTACCGCTCGTGAAGCTCTATGCCGACGAAGATGACGGAGACACCAACCAGCAGAATCTGACATGGACCTTGTCACTCAGTACCAAAAGCTGAGAGTGCAAACAATTTTTCTGGGTGTAAAATATGCTTGTCATCGAAGCACGCTGAAACTGTGAATGCAGTCCATGACGATCAAACTCGTATTACCAGTGCAACAACATAGCTGCACAATGATGTAAACAATGCACGCGGGTGTCGAGTGTCGCTGTCCGTTGAGTGAATTGGGGCGAAACAGGACTCGGAAACTAGAGCCTCATCTCCCTCAAGTAGAACCGATGCGCTTCACGAAGCAACTCCTGTTCGAGGATCCGCCACTCTTGTTCGACAATGAGTTTCTCCGTATCGCGCAACTCAGGCTGGACAAGCCTTGTAGTGATGTGGAATCCCCCCGAGATAGGTCGATGATCTGATATGTTAGCCTCATATCGTCGATAATGAAGGTATTGCACACGCTGAGGGTCTCGGCACCTGTAGAGTATGCGGTCACACCAGGCAGGAACTCGTCGTTTTTCGGACGTGTCAAATTCGTCACTTCGTCGGTCGTATTTGTACGTTGGCGGAAACGTGATTGGTGCTTCGCGAAAAGAGCGTAATCGGAAAGCAGGATTGTTTTTCCGCTCCTTACTGAGTTGATCGTGTTGAAGGAGGTAATCCAATTCTCCAGCTTTAATACTGGCAATGACGTTCTCTCGCCGTTGATCGATGCGATAGTTCAAGTCACCGCTAAGCTTTCGCATTTGTCAGAACCCAATGACCAAGGGAATGCAAAGGAAAATAACTTGCGAAGCAGGTTTCATGATCCAGAATCATCGAACCGTCCCCCCCTCCTACGAAAGCAAACCCATCTTCTTCTAGAGCAATAGCCGGGAAGACTGATTTATCCTCCAGAATGCGATGAGGTCTGCGTTTCGCTGCCTTGTATGACTCTTTCCTGCCGCCAGATGACAATTGATAAAGCACAATGAGGAATCATCAATTGTAAAGCGAGCGGCAATAGCGCCCTGACGTGTAAAATTAATGTTATTTGGCTCGTTATGACCCCCGAGGCTTACCTTGTTCCCGTACCGACCACCCAGCCCTCGTTTCATTGTGGTTATCGCTGAGTTCTTGATCCTATGTCGCTCTGACCGTTTCACGAACACACACGTTAACAAACCAACCATATTTTCAAAGTGAACCACAGAGTAAGGGCAGTCAAGGGGCATAGCCGTGCGAATTGAGAGACTAAGCTGATCAAGCCAAAGTCGATACTGTGAGGAGACCTTGTCGGCTAGAGTTCCTTCCTTTTTCTTCTTTCCAGAGGTAAGGAGCACGGTTTCTGGCAGAGCATACAATTAGTAAAGCATCGAGTTCGCTGAATCATCCGCACCCACTCGCAGTTAGTTTACGACTCTCCAAATCAATGACTTCTTGGAACCCAAAGACTATAATATCTGGAGCATCGGCTCCGTCGCCCACGGATCGAAGAACTTCTGGTAAGAACGATACACTTTCACCATTGCATGTCAGCATATCTGGCCTTGAGGCATCGATGTTCCAGGAACATATGAGGATTTTCAGATCATAGAATAGGCTATAACGAGCTTCACGTCTTAATAATTCGGTTTCTGAATCATGATTATGGCATCAGGAGATGGCCCCAAGTCCCCAACCACACATACTCACCTACGTAATCAACTCCCAGAAGACCATCCCAGAAACGCACTCGCTCGTTACGACCAGTGGAAAAGACGGTTAATCGAGCGCACTGGTGGGCACATTTGTCCGCGCCGAGGCATGATAACGCATGACACATACCTTGTCAATCGATAACGGGTCAACGTCGATCTTGAGAACAGGACAATCTTCATGAGCTTTCCATGTGTTTGTGACACGCCACGGAATCGGCTCCACATCATAAGCTAAAATCATGCCGTTTCTGAATCCTGCCCACAATCGTGTCCGAACGCCCTCAAGTGCTAGGACATCGCTAGTTCCAATCTTCACTGTCCCTACATGGACAGGGACGTCCGATTGCGGCGTCACTTCCAAACTCCTTTCACCCCCTCGCATCCAGATCGTTACGCAGCCGCCTTCATGCCCAATGTATACGTATTCGGGCCGGCTAGGGATGACGGCACCACTTGTGACCTGACCAACCGCATCAGATGGAATGAGGGTTTTTGGAGTTGGGTTTCCAGGTGTTAGATCGTATATTCTTAAACTTGGCCCTCGCAGTGCTGTCGCAGCACCAGCATTGTTGTTTCCCGGTCCGTTCGCGGTCCATAAATGGTTCCCGAATATTTTCACAAAACCCTGTTTCTCCGATAATCTTAGGGATCGAATGGATGTAGATGTCATACCAAACTCAGAGCCATCCTCAAGTGCAGAGGATATGAGCGCCTTTCCCTGGTCGCAGATTGTGACCATCGATTGACCATAGCGAAGTATATGGGTTAAAGCACCCAGATGAACTCCTTGACGTGCACCACGAAAGACTCCGCTCCACGCATCGAATTCAAACAGGTGCCCATCTTTGGTACCGCACCAAAGGAATCTTCCTTCATCCTCGATATCCCTAGATGGTCGAAATGCCAGAGCAGTAACTCGATGGTCTTTCAAAGGCGATGGTAGACCTGCATCTTTCACGTCAAACACGTATATCGGAGAATCCAGAGTGTCTAAATCATAAACTCTAATATGATGGGAAGCAGTACAAACACAGTTTCCAGCAACGGCAACGGCGCCGGTATGCGCCGATAATGGCACCTCAAATCCAGGTCGGAAGTGAGGAGGTCTTCTGCTCGAGTGTGTTGCGTCAGGGAGCTCTTCGAGCCTTTTTTTGAAGGGCCCCGTCGGAGTTGGATAGGGCTGTCCATCCACTTCTTGCTCCTCTTCTTCAGAGCTGGACCCATCGCTTTCTGGTGGGCGTCGTGCCGGGGGAAGGGCGTCCTGAGCCCCAATCACGCGTGTGGGAGGGGGAAGAAAGCCATTAGCATTATGCATAATGAGTGTGTTGAGTACTCGCGGGCCGGTGTGGTGGGAGTGGAGGAGGCAGCGCAGGCGTATCAGGATTCATTAGCAACGAGTTGCGTGGTGGAAGCAATGGAGGTACTGGGTCTGCCGTGGGTGCAGACACATTGCGGCGGGTAGGAAGGGGTGGGGGGAGTGGACCAGATGTGTGAAAATCCAAGGCTTGGGGATTTGGATCGGACGTAGTGGATGTCGGCGGTCGACGCGGTACGGGAGGAGGGAGGCGATGCACTGGGCTGTTCGCGGACAACATAGAGGACGGAATGGGTTGGAGCGTTTCAGGACTCAGGGTCTCGGTTCCTGTGGTGGTATTTGTATCGCTAGGCTCGTTAGACCTGTCACCTGTCAATGTATCTGACCTTTGGTGTTCTGAAGCAAAAACATCGCCCGGGGAGGGATTTGAAGGCCTCTCCGGGAGGGGAGGCGGTAATTTCCGCGCAGGGAGAACGGGTGGTGAGTTGGGCTTAAAGGATTCTTTGAGCCAAGCACGAGTGGCAGGCACACTAGACGACTGCACCGGTCGCGGGGGGAGAGACGGCACCTGGACAAGAAGCGGGTCCTGGACTGCTTCAGGAGTCAACCCTATCACGGGTAGTGTGGATCTTTGATTATGGACCTTAGCAGAAGCCGAAGAATGATCCTCTGCAATATGAAGAGTGGGTAGTGACGGAGACCTTGGCTGAGTCCGAGACGGTGTAAGGACGGTTGGCGATAGTGCACTGCACACATAGTATAAGTGGTTCTGGGAATGGAGGGCGAAATTAGACGGCTCACGCAAACTTGGAGCGAAGTGATGCCACAGACTGGGCCGGTATATTGTCGTCAATGAGGCTTTCGGATGATGTCTTGTATGCCAGCATTTGACCCTGACGGGTCGAGTCGAGTGCTATTGAGCTGGGTGTTAGAAATTCATTTGAACCAACCAAGCTAGGCGGCCTGGGCGGCCTGGGTGGTGGGATGGGAGGAACTTGTACGTCTTAGGTGATTGAGATGGCGATGATGGTGTCGAGGACGCCTGCTGCACGAGCTGCTCGCATGAATTGTTGCTATTCGAGCAGCTTTAATGTACTTGGTCATACCTCTGCAACAAATTGAGCAGCCTCGCTAGAGTCGGGATTAGAAAACGCTCTCGATCGTATGGGGGAAGCCGTATGTGCCGATATAAGCAGGGGTGAAGGTGGAGGGAGGTTTATAGACGGAATGACACGGTCATGAAGTCGGTCACTAGAAACCCTCATTCCCGACGTTTGTTGGGAACTTGAGGAATATGAAGGCCCTGCCTTCGAGAGCTGTTCAAAACGATCTCGGATGCTGCTGAATGCGGGAGGTTGTTCATCATCCTCCATGATATTAGACACCAGACCTCACTATTACGTGAGAATACGTTTTAGCAAGGAACAGCGCGCAGCGCTAAAGGGGATTGCACCGAGTACAGGTTGCGTTGTATTCGAAAAAGTAACGTTTCTGGATGACAGTTCTCGTCTCGTGATCGTTCCACTGTACTTACTCGTCAAATTTCAAATTATATAATATCGGACAGATGGTGTGATCAGAGTTGAGTTATCAAGCTAGGGCACTCGTCAGCAGCAGTCTAGTCAACGTCAACGTAGTTTTAAAAGCCCCGTGGTCACTTACAGTTCTTCAAAATAGGCGCAAATTGACATAAAGCGTTCAACCTAACACATACTTACAAACACATACACAAACTAGTTACGTATCTGTAGCAGGTTCAGTGGCGTCATTCTGTCTTCCACTTCCCCATATTACATTGTACATGGCTTGTAAAAGCCTCGCTCCGATGTCGAATTGAAGGTTCTGCCCAAAAGGTCATTCAGTCGTTTGCATGATTCAATGCTTTGTACCCGCACCTCATTCTCTTCTATCCCTTCGCCTTCCGGCGCCTCTTGCTCCTCACTGTTCACGTCTACCTGGTTGGGGGGCTGCTGATCGAACTCTCCTGGCATGGCGGTTTCACGCTGCTGTTGCCGTTGTATTTCGGCAAATATCATTTCTTGGATCATGCGTTGTTGCATTTCGTCATCGATCCCCGGTCCAGCATTTTGACCACGGTTTGCCCGGCGGCGTGAAACACCACGGAAATAAGATTCATCGTATCTCGAGACGGATGTGACAGGCGGGATTGGATCATATGCAGCCATCGACCCTGCCAGAGTTTGTGGTTCGAGGAACGAAAAGAGAGAGCGTATTTCAGTGACAATTACATGACGTGTGATATTTTGGGGTGTCCCTGAGCTGTACTTCGAAACTGCCACCGCATGGGTTGGTGAAGGTTCAGATGTGAGTCCATTGAGGAACTTGGCATCGATTGCAGACACAAGCCACGAAGACACATTTGGTTGTTTCCAGACATCTGCGGAGCGGTGGGCATAGAGGTGTGACAACAGATTGACCGTGGACTCGCCGGGATCAAAGGAACTGAAGACCGTATCAGAGCGATGTCTGGGACTAACTACAGGGGGTACTCACTCCCACCCGGTTGCAATACGGAAAGCTTGATGGCCACGCACTTGGGAGGAAAGTCCGATCCCAGCCTTATCAGCAAGGATAGGAAGCACTTGAGGATACGCCTTGATTGCCTCTTGTAGGGCCTGGGTGCTCTCATTGGCTGTCTGAACCCACTCACGTTAGTTGTATTCCAAATACACGAAAACGATATCACCTTATCACCTTTCGAAGTTTCCAGATTCCAGATTGCTAAGGCACGAGACCACCACCAGCCAGGGATCAACTCGACGTTCATCTTATGATCAGGGCTATTAGCATCCAGAACGGTCATGGTCTCCCTCCAGATATCCCACATTTGCAGCAACCATTCATTTTGTCCGAACGAACAGCAAGGTAATCCAAATGAAATAGCGCACCATGCGGATCTTCTATAGGATCCAAAGAGAGCAAAAGCCGAGAGAATTCGAAGGCAGTGCGTATGGTTCCCCGTCGTTGCAGATCAATAATGTGTCGATGCAGCGCGAGAAAGAACGATCGATTTTCAATGTGATCGAAATCCAGTCGACAAGACCCCGCAGTGAAGTTAAACGCAGAGCCGAATGACCGCTCAAAGGCAAATATCGCACGCTGAACGAAATCGGAGGCTTGAGCATGTTCTGCACACAAATGGGTCGGCTAGTCATTATGAAATGTCATGTATATCACCTTCATGATGGCGCGCAACTTCAGACATCTGCAATAGAGTGTCGATATGCCACGGGTGCTCGCGCAATATTTGAACAAAACCGGCATGGTCTGTGAATTCGATCAGTTCAATCCATCCTGCAACGTGCAAAAGCCATGCTCGCACCTCCCATCTCGACAACAGAAAGGAATTGATGCTGGACTTCTTTATATGGATTTGAATGATCGACAGTCCACCAGGAATCCTCTGGCAATAATGCAGGCTTATGCCGCAACTCGTTGGGGCTGAGAGTACGCATCCCAAGCCCTGACCTATACCATTGATAGACCAAGTGCTCGGCGGTTGCGTGAGCTTAGACCGGACGGTGATGGTGCGGCGTTTTGGAGTAACTTCGCGCTGGAGATCTTAGGACCGACTCCGATCAGTCCTTTATATCAATAATCGGCCGTTGAGCGTTGGGCACATACGACTTTGGCACCAAAAAAGCGGCGTAACTCAGCATCGCCATCAAGGTGCACTAGAGAAACTGCCAACAGCTCCCTGAGCGAGATTTAAGTATTTTCTGCGCACCCGAAAGGGGTGTTGTGGCGCTCACCGAAATTTTTGGTGAGGTGGTGTTCTTGACGGCGGAGGATGTGTGGGGAAATCGCTGGGGCGGAAATGAGAAGGTTCTCGAGATATGTCAAAAACGATCAACGAACTCGAGGATCAGTTCGTCCAACGAGAGATCCGCACTGTCGTTGACAGGCGCCTTGCTTTTCTTCGCCTCAGTTCTCCTGGCGCCAGCCTTCGATTGGGTATTGGTTTTTTCACCAAGTTCTTCCTGGTTCTTCTTTCCCCTTTTCTACTGGAAGTGAAAGTCACAGGCTTCGTCAACAGAAGCAAACAGATGTGCACAAGCGCAGACCTTCTTCGATTTCTTTGCAGTGGATGAACCGATGTGCTCTTCCTCGTCATCAACCTCCATTACTTCCAGCTAACTCATCGTCAGTACCTGAGGCGGCCATACAACGTTTTCAATGGTCGTACCGCTGCAAAAGCCGTCCGGCTCAGAACTGGGGCTGCTTTGTGATCATCATCAGATAAGCTTTGCTTCCCTTCAAGACCCTGAACGGTCTCAAGTCCCCGAAGTGGCTCGAGCTCGCGCTGTTGACGCTTATTCAATCGGGGCATTGTAATCTATCGAGGTGAATGTGCTTCGTTTCAATTCAAACGGCGACTCCCGTCCTTGGGGCAACTGTCAAACGACGTTAAATCTTAAAATGCCGTCAACCGCAGACTGGGGACGGGAAAGTTCAATGGATGTTAGTGACAGCGAGGATGATTTTCCCCAAGTAGAAGAGCGTCGGATCCTCGACCCGGTTCATGACTACGGTTAGTTAAGCTCGTTTCTCGCCACCGAGTTAATGTCTCCAGACAGCCTCATCGAGTTTTGCTCAAACTTTTGTGCACGCTAGTTGTGTTCGAGCCAAGGGTTGCTGCAATTATTGACACGTAATATCATTCCATTTTTTGGCCATTCTTGATTATTGACTTCGATTTTAAGACCTCAATTTCAGCGTCTGAGGTACTTGAAACAGCTGGGGACTGGGTACTTCGTATTTCCTGGGGCTTCACACAATCGGTGAGTTTCCCAGAGCTTCACGTCACAATCCTCGTATTTATTTGCTTCTACATCAGATTTGAACACTGTCTTGGTAAATTATCATCTGCCGCAAAAGGTCATCTCTCGATAGTTTTCGCCTTCACAGGAGTATCGCATCTTGCTAGATTAATGGTAGAGAACCTTAGGAGAAGGTTCGCCACTTTCAGTTCCATAACTCATAGGAGCTCCCTAACGTCCCCAAGACAACCCAAACTGAATGTTGACGACCGAGACGTGTTGTGCGTCCAAATTGCAGGTAAGTGTAGCGGTGAGCCCTCAGGCCTCAATGTCAGTGCCTCCAGACCTTATAGGGACACATGAATGTAGGACTTGTGCACGACTTGGGACATGGTCCCTTCAGCCATGTTTTCGATGGTCATTTTATTCCGGCCGTCGCGTGAGTTCCAATCTCATTTGAAACGTGGTGCTGTATCAAAGCTTATTAATACCCATACGGACAGACCGGGAACAACATGGTGTCATGAAGAGGCTTCTGAATTGATGTTTGACTCCCTGCTGAAAGAGAATCCGCACATTCAACTAGAAACGGATTGGGTTGAATTCATAAAAGATCTCGTTCGTGGGATACTCAATCTGAGCAAACATCATGAACCTCCGGAGAAGGGTTTCCTATTCGAGATTGTTGCAAACATGCAAAACGGTATCGACGTCGACAAGTGGGTAGATCATACGCATATAGAGCCAATGTTGACAGGGAACTTTCAATAGATTTGATTACATTCGCCGGGATGCTATCAATTGCGGTTCGTGGGAACAGGATGTTTTGACAATTGACATGCTCTAATTATATATCCAGGGGAGCAATCGCGTCTGGCAACTTCGCGGTAAGCGTACCAAATTTCAACGCTCTTAGCTTTGATGGGACTACTGAGCTTATGACTCCCCAGATTGATCAATTCTTGTAGGGTCATTAATGGTCACATTTGTTATGACTATAAGGACCACTACAACGTGTGGACGGTATGTCCCGGTGCCTCCTGATTGTAGCTAGAACTCAGGGGGTGAGCAGTTGTTTGATTCACGATATTCGCTTCATAAACGGATATACAACCACAAGACATGTGCGTCATCCAATTCTGCCGTGTTCCACTCGATTCTGACGTCCCATCAGCAAAGGCGATTGAATATATGGTCGTCGACGCTTTAATTGCTGCTGAGCCAGTATTGAAGATTGCAGAAAGGAGATACGACCCCAAAAAGTATCTGTATCTCACTGATTCTGTGTTGGATGAGATTGAACGTTCGACGGATCCGGTGGGTCAACAGGGTTTGGCGAGGGCTGGTGGTTTTGCTCAGATCATGCATCAGGCTCTTGCAGGATCCCGAGCGATACTCGCCCGTCTCCGACGTAGAGATCTCTATAAACTCGTCGAGTCCAAAGTGCTCCCTGGGATGTTCAGGGATTTGTGGAAGCCACACGTAACACCTGAGTCTGTTGCGCGCGAAGCCGCTCGATTTGAAACTGACAGGGGGCACGAATCCGAAAGTCTAGTTCTTAACGCCTCCGATATTATTGTTGATTGGGCAACGCTTCATTGTGGCATGAAGGACAAGGATCCTATGCAGCTGGTGCGGTTTTACAGTAAACAGTCTAGGAACAGTGAGTGGGTTCTGCCCTTGACTATGCTTTTGTTGCTGAATGCTACTCTCGAGGGTCTTTCGTCGTCAGGGTAGATGAAGGGTCATTCCTCCTTCCCAATCGATGGGAAGAACTGCAGTTGAGAGTCTACACTCGGGATCCCAAGTATGTCCGTCATCCCTGTTATCCGACTCATTGTTCTCATCATGGCCCCAGGAAGCAAATCCTTGCCCAAACGGCCTTTCGAGCTCTTTTAAGCAAGCTTCCGGACGAGACCGGCAGTTCCTTGAAGGAGATCACGCTAGAAAACCCTTTCCTTTATCGCAGGCTACGACCGATCGTTCATCTGTGCCTGTCACGCCGCAAGTCCGCACCAATCATTACCCTGTGTCATCCCCTTTGGCTCGCAACCAGGGTCCGACTATAACGGGTCCCCGGGAACAGTATTGAACTATTCCAGCGCTCGAGAACCCAACCAGTTTATGACAATTAAGGTACCAAATTCACGCAACACCCCAGACGGGAGCGTTCCTCCCAGCTTGAGGAAGAGGGCAAGGGACACCACTCCAGGTGCAGAAATGAGAGATAGAGATGGATCACCTACCCCTTCGAAACGTAAAATCAGGCGGAGTTAAGAAGCGCAGCCTCCGGTTGCGTCTCTAGTACTGTATATACCGAATATAATTCGCGCCGTGTGTCCATGTTGATGGGTCTTCAGAGTGGCACGATTTAATAGAGAAAGATATGACACATATATGCCCAAGCCTAAAGATATTTAAGACGAGAATGATGAGGCATTTCATGTATGCCTCGACTCGGAATCATGAATATGAGCCAATAACGGAAGTTGATCGCATAGCTTCCTCGGGATCAATTATATAAGAGCCGGCAGCGTGTCATATCCATACGACGTCCAATATGTTGAGCCCGCATGCAACGGTACAAGGCGCTAAAGTTTCTGGCGCCACATAGACCGGTCTATACTTTTGGCACTGATCCCTCTCCGAAACATAATTAAACCATGGCTGTATTTTTGCGAATATCAGAGCCAGCCACAACTAACGTGGTGATCTCGAGACAACCCATGGGTGTGGCGACTCTACCCTGGCCGGCGCTCTTCGGTCGTGAAGAGTAAAACACTCGGGCGCCCCAGAAGAAATAATTGACCATTCCCGTAAACAGCGCGATCATGAACCGAGCTGAGGCATTCCGGCGGCAAAAAGTGAGAGGAATTGGATTTATATCCAAGACGCACAGCTACATGATGTTTTCATAGTGTGTAGAGTGTTGTATCTACTGATTCGCTGTAGTGGAAGTCCCCATAAAGGCGAGCACTGGCCTCAAGCCACAAGTCAGATTGGCCCCAAACACCACTGATGGCGGCCAGTACCATCCAACAACTTGCTCGTCCTGTTTCTCGGTCACTAGATGGATCTCGTGGCCCCCAGCCGTTTGGAGAACTGTCTCTCTCCACGCCTCCCTCTCCTCGCCTTCGGTGCTGAGACCTCCGTCCTGGGAAGCATCCGAGTTTCTGAGCTTTGCTTCCGCGTTAAGGGACCTTCTCACCAGCTCTACACACACTCTGGCCAGGATACGTAAGGTACTTATCTCCTTACCACTCATTAGCTCGTCGTCAGCGTGTGCCAGGAGGGAAAAGAGCCATTTAGAATGACTGGGAGACAAAGCTGTCACAAAGTTAGATGCACCGGCCAGTTCGGTTTCCTCGTCCAAAGATTGTGACAGCCAATGGCAAAAGTGCGCGATAAGACATGAGTAATCGCTCTGTGGAAGGCTGTGAGGGATCAATCGACCTAGTAGAAACAAATCGGACATACTGATTCAAGAAGCTTCAAGAAGGCGATATTCGGTATGCAAGGTCCCTTTGACAGGGTGTCCTTGTTGACGTCTTCCAAAATATTGGGAGATTGGGTGAAAGAGCTTTCATGTGGGGGTTCATTCGTGGTTTCATCCTCTCCGTCAAACTGAGCCATATGAACGCTCACACCATCTGCAATATTTCGCATCCCAATATCGCTATGATTTTCGGACGCATGTTCGTCATCCGAGTCCACTTCGAAACTGTAGTGGGAAACGTCGGTACCTTCATGAGGAGGCCCAGCATTTTCTCCGAGGGCACCCGATATTTGTACTTCAGCTGAGTCTTGCGATGTGGCTGAAGTTGCCTTTCGCGCTTTAGGTTGAAAGATGAGGCTCCGCCATGCGGGAGCATCTTTTGGGCCTGGTAATCGAATGGACTGTGCAGCTGCCTCAGCTTCGAGGCTGATTCGGAAATTGGACCGTTTCACGGTCTATTCAACAAAGATCGGTTATTCTGTAGAAGTTCGTGCTGACTAACTCACCTGTCGAAATGCATTGAATTTGGCGCAAAACATAATGATCCATTTTTCTGAGGGCAAATTCGGGTGACGTCCAATGGGAGGGCTGGTTCGCTGTGAATATGAACGGGGAACTTGTTCAAAAAGGTTTGCGGCTCGAGTAATTCCAGGTAATGAAGACGCATCAATTCTAGGGAAACTCGCGAATCAGTGCTTCGAGTAGCTGGCCAACCTGATTGCCTCAACTCACCGAACCGATAATAGATACTCTTCACCGTTGGTTGGGATGCCATCCTCAGGTAAAGAATCGGCAACAGGGAGTGCCTGTACACCAGGTACAGCAGGGACATCAGAGTCATGGCTCTCATCATCTTGACTACGTTTTCTTTTTAATGAACTTCTGCGCTTCCCCGACTTGTTGGCCAACGGTGATTCATCTGGCGCGCGAGTTATTTCTGTGTCCCACTCGTCATACAAAATGGATGTTCCCAAAGCGCTCTCCCCTGCATAAGAGAAGGAAACATTTGGTGGCTCGGCAACATCACACTCGAAATCATCACACCCGTCGACCCCTTGCGTCGCAATCGCTGCAAGGTGAGCTTCGTACTGAGCCTGAAAATGTTCTGGTATATAGAGTGGGATCTTCATTGTATGGAAGTAACACTTGAGACAGTATCTGTACCCAACAACCGCACTAGTTGGGGAGCAGAAGATGAAGGATACAAGTCACATGCACAACTCAGTCCGGCCTACCTCCCATAGCACACGGTTTCTCCGACAGGCTTCAACTTCATAGCAGAGCAACTAGACTAGGTTTATATGTGTCCTAACTCGGATTTCGCATGGGGACCTCATGTGTCCCAGAATTATTTTCTAAGAGGATCGCGTCGAATCCGGCAAATGCCTAATTGTACCATGTGAGAAGATGCCGTCAGAACTGTACAGCTCCATTTCGTGCCGATTCTCCAGTGGTTTTTCCACATATTCACCATCACTATCACCGGAAGATGGGTCCAAATCGAAGTTGTCATATACTGTTTCGTGGGGATTGTCATCGTTGCGGCGCAAATCCGATTCGGGGCCGGGGACACCTGATGGCTGTTGAGGATGACGCAGGACAGCTCAGTGCAATTCGTTTTATAAGACTAGCGAGTTCACTTTCCGTGCTCATGGGGAAGCCAAAGGGGATTCAAAAAAAGAGTCGACGTACAATTCGCTCGTTGATTGCCATTCCGAAGTGAGTTCCCCGTTGTGTCTACGATAAGCAGAAGTCCTTCATTCATGGCTTGGCGCTCACCTTCACTACAGCGAATAATTCGATTCTCATCGCTCGTCTATGATCTCACTTTTCACGAGTGATCCAATCATTTAAGCATAGAACGTGAAAGCCAACGGATGGCAGGCTGGCCGCGATTGACATTCAGTACAATACAAGCCTGTCTCTGCGCGAGGCTATTCCTTCGGAAGTCACTCCATACTTCACTAGAAAGTGGATTGTTGATCTCAAATGCTTGATACCGATTCACATCGCTGTTGCTGCTTCCAACCCATTGCAGACAGGTCCGTTTCTTTGGATTATGTGGCGCTTGTCTCACGTCTTCGTTGCAGTATATCTATCGGATGGTATGAGAGTATATTTAAGACCTACATGGCATCGAAAGCATGTGCCCGAGTCTTCCTCACACATCAACCGACATTCATCTGATCGTTACATCGTCAGCCGGTCAAAGTTAAGGTGCGTCTGTGCAAGGACCTTAGTTCCAATGATACAGTTCATAATGAGCCACCCATAGGAATACATTCTATCGAAAGGACTTTGCAGGAGGACATGCCATTGGTTTTATTCAACGTGGCGCTTTCCAATTTGGTGACCAATCTTTTTTCAATTCTGTGTCGGGATATTGTTTTGAAGGTGTTATTCCGGAATAATTTTGCTCTCTCTCGCGGGACGTTACTGGTATGTCGTTTCATATATATATCGTTAATTACGCATGACAAAGTAAATGCCGCCGCGCGCTCAGAACTATTCACGGTATGAATGCCGGCACGCCTTTCCAGCTCAACTGCCTCCAGAGTTTTCGGTCGTCGGCCGCACAATTCGAGCCATCAGCAAATCCATAATTATTCCAATCGACTTTGGCCATTATAATCTTTCGCCCATCATATCGTCTCGCTCTCACATGCATTTGAAACACTGCCAGGATGTTGTCGATTCCGATACGAGAGAGATCGTCCGGGAGTGAGTAATTTTTGGTGTACTTGGAGCCCGATTCTAATAAGTGACCTTCCAACCGGGAAAATAAGATTCCAGCTAAGTTCCAGAAAATAGTTCAGGAGGAAATGGAAGGGAATTTCATTTTTAGGTTGCACCGTGGTAGGCTCGATATTCTTCCATGGCCCGTTATTCAGTCTCCCAAGTTTTACACTTTGATGAACAAGTTGAAGAAACGGCGTCCGTGTTTCTCGAACGGATGAAGATCCTAATGGCAAAGTTAAGGGTTGGTAGTCGTAACCCTACTCCTGAAGCTAGTTGGAAGTTCGACTTTTTAGGCGAGCGATTGGGGGGCCTTTGATCGTATGTCGCTTCTGGACAAATGATAATTCTCCGCCTGACCGATGTTTAGATGCCCTTGCCTCACATCGAGCACAACTCCCTGCCCAATTGACCTCGCTTACGGTGTCACGGAGTATGGAAACGAGGACACCTATCTCAAGGTCGGGAGAATCAGAACATAGTGCCTCATCACCAAACTAGGCCGACAGAACTTGGATACTGATGAAGCAGTTCAGCCTGAAACTTTCTTCAGAAACCATTGTTTCCTTGAATCAGTCATGAAGTAACCCAAGATAAGAGATGAGCTCGTGGCCAAGGTGCAGCAACAGTGCATCGCCATCCCCGGCACACGTCAGAACATTCCAGATTCAGAACGGCTGTTGTCGCTCTTGCACCAACAAGCGAACTAGCGAATTGAGTAGTTAGATTCCCTCCCGAACAGGCATCGGTTAGGGCATCATTCATCCGTGACTACAAATGGAAAACTTCATGGACGGGCTCGCCAGTGTCTCAGTCGTAGTTGAGTGGTGCAGATCCTTGGAATCCTCTGGACTTCGCCCAGCGTTGCGGCGCTGGTACGTATATTAGCTTGTGAATCAGATGGGCCATTCCCCCTCCATTGGGAATGTGTGAAAGGTCAGAGCCTAATCAGTTTATTAAATGCGTTGGATCTGAGTACACTGGTGGCGATAAGAGCTGGGGGCAGTCTTCGATGAAAAGCCTATGCCATCGCACATAAAGCATCGGAAGTTCCCTCGGAGTATGCCGAGGCCCTGCTTCAACCATAACTGCCATGACATCTCCGCACAAATGTGATGAACTTCAAGCTTATGGATATGAACTTGTTCATCAACCGAAACCTTTCAAGACATTTAAGGATGTTGCCAGATTCTTAGGTGTTCCGGGGAAGTTAACCCAGGAGGTCAGCGGCAGATTCACACTTAAAGATTTTGTTAAGGCAGCCAACAATATGGCCACTCCATACGCCGTGAATGCAAGTGTCACTCTCCCAGTATTTTTCTGTTCTTTTTGACATATGGCCTTGAGTTTAGATTTTGTGGATATGCCCCTCTTAGTGTTTAAGTTCACAGAAAACAAAACCCACTGTGGGCATGTCACTGACACCGGTTGCAAGCCTGATTATACCGCTGCTTTTGAAAGCGATTGGGACCCTGATGGCACCACGCTCTGGCCATACATTCAATTTGCTGGTGAAAAAGCGTCTGGAGGAAAGTCCAGGGACTCTCAGGAGAAGCAGGCCATCTCATACTTACACTACCTCCTTCTGGCAAGACCTGAACTCTACGTTGCACAAGGGTTACTTGCCTCCAACAAGAGCCTCTTGTTTCTTTTTGGAATCGGAGGTGATGGCATACGCAGTTTTGAACTTGGCTGGGGTGATGAGCATCTTCCCCAGTTAATGTTTGCCATGATCTATCGCCTTTACAAGCCGGGTCACTTTGTGGATGTGAAGTATACAAAGTGCCCTAGGGTGGACAATTTTGTTCCATATACCGTGCATATCCCTGGGGAGGACACGATAATATGCCACAATTTCCTTCCTATCTCTGCCAGCAACCCATTTCAGACCCGCACACACGTCCTCTCAAATCCAAATTCCGAAGTCATGGTCCAAGGCAAGCCCTTGAAAGTACTTAAAGACCAACTATGCCGAGTTGGAACTAGGTTCAACGAACACATGATCCTCTCCATGATAGGGAGCGTGCCTGGAGTAGTTGAAATGGTATACCACCGTGTGTTTGACATCCCTCTACCTCTTAGTAGCTCCAGAAGAAAATACCTCACGGGGCTGCATCAATTTGGAAAACCTTTCACAAGCATTCCTACTCTGCAGGCGATGTTGGAGGCTGCGTACGATATCCTGGAAGGCATTTCAATCTTATTGGCCCTCTTGCACACATTCACATGGTTACAGTGTTGCGGTATTTGCGTTTTGAACTCCAAATCCTTCATCGTGACATCAGCAAGGGAAATGTTCTTTATAATGATCCTATACCTTCGACAACTAGTATGCCGCATACCGACTCTATTGGGGAAAGCAACGCAGGTTTGCCCCTTTGCTTCATCAAGTACCTCCTTGATGAGAGGTACGTTGCAGTATGGTATGATCCGGCAGTCGCTGATGCAAGATTGAACTTAGCCGTGATCCCTGCAAAACATCAGCACTCCTCATCGATTTCAACCATGGTGAGGACCTAACAAGTAAACAAAGTTTTGAGCATAAACGAATTGATCGAACGGTCAGTCATGTCTTCTTTTTGTAAGCTATTCTCATTTGAATTGTTATCAGGGTACCCCTGTCTTTATAGCCCGTGCTGTTCAACTTGGACAACCAGTGCCCCTCTGTATTCCCACCATTCTCCCTGCAGTACCAGACAGTCCTGAACCCTACACTCGGGCCCACCCAGACCGCGTTGCGAAATTCCCGCCCACACTGGCAAAACTGCTCATTGACCACCCGGCTCGTCATGACAATTCCAAATGGAGGCATGAACTTGATCATGACGCGGAGTCTGTATGGTGGTTGTTATTTTACTGGACGGTAACTGCACAACCCAAGGGAGCAGAGCACGAACCCATCGCTCGAGGTATTTGGTCACTTTTAACAGGGGACGACCAACGAGGTCTGCTGATTGGTGCCCTGGCTCTTGGGCAAGGGCCGCTGGGCAATGGCACTGGGACCGGCATCCACTCTCTCTACTACAAATCGCTGTGGCCTTTGTTTGTTAGGCTCGCCAATATTCTTGCCGTTGACAGATATTGGCTAGAGGGGTCCGAAACGCAAAATTCACCTGAATATATTAGCGAGGCATTCCAACGCTTAATCCTCCAATTCATCCTCGACAACCGTGAGGCGGATTTCATGGTATGCCAAGTTGAAGAGCGCCCTCGTCGAGTTCAGAAGGCTTCGCAAGAGCCGCACCACTCCTTTACAAACAGTCAGAGGAAACATGTTGAGATCAGCAAATGCTCATCCTCCCTTCCCTCGATCCAGGAGGAGCCTATCATGCGACCTGCCAAGGAGGAAATGGAGGTACGTTATTAATGCATTGGTCTTGGATTTCCGTCTCTTATAGACACGCTTTTAGGAGGATGAAGATATGTATTGGTCTGCTGATGAAGGTGAGGTGCGCGATGAAGTGATGAAAAGAGGCAACGTGGTCGAAGTTCCGATCGATACGTAATCGCTCTCCACAGCACGTAATATAATCTGTTCTGTTGCTTGAGGCTTGAGCTTGAGTCCGTGGAATTCATGGCGTGCTTTATTGCAAGCATACAAATCTTTCCGAGCTCTTACACCGCAGAACTCGTTTGGCGCTTTAACCCGCTACGGAGCGAGCGAGCAAAAAATCTTGTAGGTGTGAGAACTCAACGGATAATCGCCCCGATCGATACTTCGGATGGACACGCAGAAGCGCCAGGTAGGAGGGCATGAGTTGAGAGGCAACCACACCAGCTCCTCCAGATGCGCCACCGCCGTAAACGGCAACAGTACCACCAAAGTTATATCCCTCGCCAGCTATATTGTGCATTCTCGCGCTTTTATCCATGTTTGGTACACTTGCAAGGCTAGGCCTCGACGCCTTAACTTCTTACGAAGGGCAAAGCGTCTTCCCACTGGCTTGGGTGCAAGCCACCGGCTGCCTGGTCATGGGTTCCCAGTCGGTCTTCGCGAACCGATAACCCAATTGTATGTGCACGCATCGATAGATACGCAGTTACGAATGAATGATGCTCAGATTATTGTGTTTCATAGTTCCCCGCCATTGTACACTGCTATGTTGGTTAATATCTTGTGTCTGTCCACCAAGAGAAACAGGAACGATCCCCTCTGTTAGGCTTTTGCGGGTCATTGACGACGTTCTCATCTTGGAACTTAGATATGTTCTTGGCCTTCTCGAATGCTTCTGGGCTTCGACGAATCTGGCTTTGTGATGTAGGGTTTGACTTACCTTGTCTGGCTCCGGATCTCTCCAATTATCTCCTATCCTTAGGCTGTCGACAGAGTATCACATCCCTTCGTTACCTTTTCAGTATCACTTTCGCTCGGCCTCCATCTCACGAAACTCGTTCTTCCTTTCCTCCCCGTCAAGCTCACGCCCCTCAACGCATTATATCTACTCTATCAATAGCTTCCTACATCTTAACGACCCCACTCTATTTTATCTTGTCACGCACCTTCCGACCTCAAGCGACTTCTGCCTTGCTCTTTGCTTTTCCAGGAACCCTCACCCGGTATATCCTCTCAGTAACGCTTAATCCCCGGATAGCCTCGTTCCCGCTGCTAGGAACGTTTGCCGCAAACATATTCGCCACGGCTCTCATTGGCGCCTTTCATACTCTTTAACATCGCGGCGATTCCTTAACATGTCTCTTGCAAAATCCTGAAGGGTTTGGGCGACGGTTACTGCGGGTGCTTGAGCACCGTGAGCACCTTTGCAATTGAGGTGAGAGCATTAAAAAGGAATATGCAACCGCTAGTCTCATAGTTGCGCGAATATCCCTTGTTCTTATCGCGGGCCTTCAAATCATCTTTCTCTCTTTGGCGTCACTAATCTTGGGTCGCTTCATCCACGTCAATACTACCCCTGATATTCTTTTCAAACGTTTGATCCCCAGAAACGGACCACGCTGAAACCCGAGAGTCTTCGCCTCCTGTTATAATGATAGAATGCTGAATTTCCATGTCAGACCACGGATTTGTGTTGACAAGATCTGAGAACTCGCCTTCATGTCCCAAAGAATGGAACGAACAACATCAGAATGTGACCCCTTTAGAGCACGTTCCAATTTTAATTTATGGGCATCTTGGGCAAATACCAGAGCTGCGTCTCCTCTAAATGAATACATCCTCGGTAAAGCTGGTATAGAAGAGTGTGTGTGAGGGATCGCACCTGTTAGACCCCATCCATAGACCCACCCCTCCAGTAGAGGAAGGCGCCAGTGGACTTCCGTTTCCCAGCCATATTGCGTCAATAAAATAGTCAGATTCCCATAAGCCCTCTATTCTGGGTTTCCGTATGTCCCCATAATCATGCACTAGATCTAGCTGAAAAAATGGAAACGATTCCAGAAGGTACTGAAACCTTGATTGATATCGGTAGCCTACCTCTTCATTCCACAACGAAACTGTCTGCATATCACTGTGGGCCCACACGCCCCCAGCGCCACTGGGACCACTGGGACCAGGATCTGCCCATCCCGCATTGGAAATACTGCACCCCCAATTCCCTACGTGTAATCCGGACTCATTTTCGTCCTCTTCCCGCGGGTCTGTCAAACAAAGAAGACCATCCGTGGATGCCGAAAGCAGAAGCTGGGTGATCCTGGGGTGAAAACGGATGGTTGAAATATCATCTGAGTGTGCAGTCGTATTGATGTGTGTCGCATGACTAGGGGACCGCACGTCCCTGCGAATCAGATGGAAAGGAGAGAATGAGAGAGCTGTGGAGAACGGAAGGACTGGCTTTGTACCAAAACACGATATGCGCCTCCTCCTCACTGTGTTCTGTACCCGCCACGAGAGATGTTCCGTTCGCAGATATGTCGAAAGTAAGGATGGCTCGTTCGTCCTTGACTGTGTTTGAGTCCCAAAGGGTAAGGCATGTTAATATCAGGCCAATGATAAACGGGGGGACGTACACTCCAGCACAGCACCACTTTTCTCCTCTATCCGGTCATCCCAGACTTTCACTAGTCCATCGCGCCCTGAGGAGAGCAGAGCTCGCTGACCCAAATTTGAACTTGATGGAGAGGATTTCAACGATGTTATTGAGTCATTATGAGCATTGACGGTGACAACAGCGCTCAATCGTCCCTTATCCAGGAGAGTAATGGAGTTGCTTGGTGCGGAGAGTGCAGCAGCATATGTAGAAGTCAGTGATTCAAGGTGCACAAAATAATCTTTTCCGGTTGAGAGGAAAGTTTGTCTGTGTCCCAGAGAGGATGAGAATGATCTCGAAAGGACCAAGGAGATTTCGGACGGGGAATCGAACATCAAAACATCCATATTCAGTGGTGCTTGAATTTTTGCAACTTAGACGTGCATGAAGAGTGAAATTGCCACAATTCATTCGAGTTTCGTGCCCTTTGTATTACAATTCAAATATTAATGCTCCGCCATTCAATCAATGTTCAACAGTCCCTGTGGGTAAGACTCAGGTAGCTAAGGAACGAACACCAATGGGGCTGCCGGTACTAGTGGTAGGTTCCAGCCCTCTCAATTATGACAGAAGAAGAATTCTTCCGACTGGAAGAGACCTTGGAAAATCCAAAATGTCTACCTGTGAAATACCATAGAAAGACGTTGATAGCCCCCCACAAAGCATAAATGGCAGCAGGGAGAATCGGTGCAGAAGGATGTAGTTGACCGCCAAGTGCGTGAGACTGGAGGAAACAGATCACAGAAATGGGCACGACAATGAAACAATAAGCTGGGATATGAAAGTGAGACATGGGCTGAGCTCATGTGGCAATTGCACTCACAAATAGGGTACCATCCCATGGCGATCGCATCACTTCTCAGGTTAATATCATCATCGAAAGATGCTTGGCGCAGCCACTTGTACGCTACCCTGCCATACGTGATGAATAATATTGGTACTGAAACCCACATCAAGGTATACTGGACTGCTCCAAATACGGGTTTCAGTCCTACGAAGCACCGCAGTAGTAAAGGTACTCTACCAATTCGCATCTTCGAACCTTCCACAATCCAACACCACATCCTAAAATACAAGGTCAGATTGTATCATAGAACTATGGGGCAATTCTCACCCAATATTGCCATAGTACGGATGAATAAGAACCGCAGGAATCGTGACCGTCGTCACGATGAACTGGATGATGAAGTAAATGGATCCCGCCGTAAAGATTTTTGCTCCTCCGTGGTCTGACCAGTCGGGATGGATTACTTGAAGATATGTCAGCACCGCAATTGCGATAGTGAACAATGCTAGTAACCGGTGAGTTTTTAGAAATTGAAAAGAGATGGGCTGACGCACCTAGTCCGTTACCCCCGACTTGTTTAAACACCGATTGCGTCGTGCAGTATGCACCCTCGGTAACTTCGCCTGCAAGGGCCCACCTGATGGTCAGAATATTCGAGATTCCGTGGCTGGAGAAAATGCAATGAGTGATGAGCAATATATATGGATGCAGTAGGACTTACACCATGTCCATGAAGATTGCACACAGGAATAGAATAGATATAGGTTGAATCCAAGGTTCGCCGCTGGATCCCGGCGTGCCACTTCTACGCTTGTACTTCTCATACGCCTGTCTCTATTACGAGTCATAAAGAAATGACGACTGGATGGGCCTGGGTGTATCGGAGCGCCGAGAGCTTACGAGAGAGTAGATGAGCAAGGCTGACGAAAGAACGAAGGACACCATGCCGAACTCCGACACAGTCTCCAGAGAATGTCAGATAGCGAGCGCCTGATAGATGGGGGGAGGTATTCACAAGAATTCCAGCACGTAAGTGGAAGTTGCTCTTGAAACTGAATCCACAGTGAGGATTGCTTCTTGAACATTTGTTGGCCATAATGGGGGCAGTGGAAGATCTCGAGAAGGACTAATATCTATATGTGCACCCGAGGGCTCCTGGAGAACTGCGTCTGCGCGCCAGTCTAACGACCAAAAAAGCGCTCGTCGTACGCGAGCCCCATGCAGAAAGCACCCTCTCCAGTACGAAACGCGTTAATCAGGTCGCCCATAAATCCCCGCATTTATGCGAGGGGCCTTTTCCTCACTTCCACATCTGTCACACTGCCTGGAGGTTGACGCGAGTTTAACTCGCGTGACAAATCTTTTCTCTTTCTAGGATTTCGGCCCGCGCTGACGTGTCGATGTTGCCCCGCGTATGCAGTGGCGGCAGCGGTACTCATGCACGCACATTCTATTCCAATAGAGGCTAGTAACCTGCCTACACGTACATGTTCTTTACTATCATCTCCGCCGATGGATATGCGAAAATCTTTCGTGTGAGTGCAGCAAATAACCTATGCTGCAGCAGTTAGATCAGAACCCAAGTAGTATTTTTGCAGGGGCCTTTACACGCGTACGTGCATTTGACGAACCAGCCCCTCTCAAATCCCCAGCCAACGAGTACCATATTATAAGTACATCACCAGAGCAGAAAACATGTGTCAAATGTAGCAAAAGGCATCTTGCAAACATTGACCGAGATCAATAACCAAATAGGATCGAGGGTATGCGCCCGCGGAGACACAGAAACGCCGTCATAGAGCGAATTCTATCACTGCGCTGAGCTCAGAAACTGGCGAGTCAAGCTGACGGCAGCAAGAATGCAGCATATACCACAGGGGCAGAATTTTCTGATCAGCGCCGGTCAATGGCACTATATCATAGGACGTAGCCACAAAACATTTCGGCATTTTTAAAAGTCATGAGGCCTTGCAACCGGTTGCGAGCGGCGCAGCCAGCGCCAAAGAAAACAGTCAATGGTTTAGGAGAATGGTGGATGCTTACCAGATCTAGTCGCTAAATATGGAGATATAGGGGCTATCAAATTTTAGGTAGTATCATGGATCTCGTGTGCAGGCGGTGAAGCCTCCCAGCGTTGTGGTAGCGAATAAACATAATAAGAACGGCGACCCAACAAGGACTTCGAGATCAAGGTACGGCAAGGCCGAAATACTCACATTACAGCTTGAAGAAAGTGGTCCAAGCATGCAGCGGTTCATGCAGAACGCTAGACCGCTATGTGGAGAAATTGCGTGCGGCGGAAATACGCGGTCAATCAGCATGCAGATGGGAGCGTATAGCGGATGCAGTGTGATGGTGAGTGCGTGAGCGGACGCAGGACATGTATAAATATGGATAATGGAGAAGATACGCAGGTCAGTATGCGAGCGAGGGGTCCCGCGCCACAACGAGCTTCATCTAATTTAGCGCTTGCGAATAATCTCATGAGGTAGGCTTTGAGCGTTAAGAGTGCTAGTTTTGCTATACGTTTGGGCGAGAGCGGGCGTCCCATGCTCGAGATCTATTATTGGGATAGGGTGTGGATCGTGAGAAGTCGAGTGCATGAGGGCTCATGATTGAGCACCGCGCTGAAATTTGTGAACATAAGCCTAATTCTAATCTCACACAGTCCGCAAAGCTAGGTACGTTGCGTTCGACCTTGGCAAATCGATAGAGGAAGCATGTGCATCTGGAGGACGCCTTGCCAGTGGTTTGTACATGCTTTTGAGGAATGGAAAGGGTCACGCGAAAAGAGTTTTACGCCGTGGAGGAAGCGACCCTGCACATACTATAAGGAGCTGAACAAAGAAGCCTATATTGTGTACCATTATCGTTTTCAAGGACGAGGAACGTATCAGCCAATTTGTGTCGCTTCTTGGTCGATAAATAAGAAAAGAAAGGAGGGTGGATGAAACCATAATGTTCATGGGTGAAGTTTGTCCGAAAGTTTACGTTTCAATCATGCCCATTACACATCTTGCTGGAATAGTTGATGCCCGACGCCGAGAAAGTAAAACCCAGCACGATGGGGGGACTGGGTACAGTGGGGATAGACCAATCGATATCCACGGGGACGACCTGTCTCACACCTCGACTCATTGCCGTATCGCTGTTCATCCATCTCGGACACTTGCTTGGAGAGATAAATTAGTGAATATGGTACACTGTGCCGAATAACCCGTAAAACTTTGCGAACGGGAACGAATCGACTAAAGATTGGCTATATGATGTAGAGTAGATTGGCTGTTGTGACTTTGGCATATTTTATGAATGAATAAAGGCGTCTCACAACGGTGCTCAAGTCATTTGAGACGGTTTATCGCCATCTGGATGCCCTGGGTGGAATAATATAAGATGAAAAGCAACTAGGCCAAGAATGACCCCAAAAATGCACGCTATCCGCAGCGCGCGCAGTGGAATAAGCGTCTTCCACTTCGGCCGAATTGGGGCGGGTTCACGAAGAAGAGGGTTATCTTCATCATCTTCATCATCTTCGTGATATATAGGATAAGATTTAAGGCGACCAAATGGATATTCGAAGGGTTTCTCTTCGGTTAACGGTGTGCTTGGGGTGATAACGATTTGCGGAAGAGGTGGCTTTTCGCGCGTCAACGCAGAGATATCTTCAAAACAAGTTTGATCTTCTAGCGGAAAAGCGATTGTTGAGGCACCCACCTATCGCCAACGGTCGCACATCCTGCGGACGTGTGAAGACATTCTGAAGGAAAGGCGACTGTGTTCCTACCCATGGAGAAATTGGTTTAGGGACTCCATCTTTACCATCAACCAAACCCAGCTTGCTGACCTGATAGAAGAGGCATGTCTGGCTTTCGAGTCTAGGGGCTGAGACAGTAACGAGCGGCAGGGTGAGGGGTTGGATCCTTGTTCTTGCGGTGCAATAAAGTGGAGCTGGCTCGCTAAGACGCAGGAAGAACGGATAATAATAAAGGGGTTGGTGCGCAGTGATATGGAAAGAACGAGAGACAATGAGTAAGAAAAAGCGAGCGACTTGGAACGTTGCAGGCGACGTTGATGAAAAGCAGTGCTTGAGGGAATTTGAATTTCTGCTCGAAAAGGATATTCACATCGCACGTGGTCATTTTCATGCCTCGTCTTCTGCCTCAAGTGTGGAAAGCACTTCGTGTGACCAGAGTAAATGAGCATCTTTTGTCATGTCCCCCCGCCATAGAGCGTACAAACCGTGTCCCACATCCAAAGGAGTTATCCAGACCTAATCTATCGCTCCCAAGGGAGAAATCCGTGCTGTTGGAGGATTCAAACCCTATACTTCACCCTAATGCGTTCAAGGGAAGCAAACGACCTATCACCGAGCTACTCCCTCCGTCTGTCTCGCCACCGAAAGGAAAGGAGAGAGATATTCCTGCGAAATCACTTAGTCATGATATCCAAACACGTCAATACTGGAAACAGCGAAACAACCCGTACCGTAAGTGAATGTTTCCCTTACGTTGGGTACATATAATCAGAACTCTACAGACTAAAAATGTTCTCGTAATATATGGTTCGCAGTCCGAATGCTTGCGTCCCCGTTGCGAAGATGTAACCTCACCACCAAACGTCTTCCTTCTGATTTCCTGATTCGGTTGAGCACATCTTCTCTCAAGTCTGAAAACGGCGTCGAGCGCGTATATCTTCTTCCGGATGGTCTACTGCATCCCAAGTATCGTCCCAGAGTTTCTGGTCATGGGGGCTATGTCCTTTGCTGGAAGGATGCTTTGAAGGAGTTGGCACATACTCGTCAGTAATCACCCCCGCCTTGTTTGATGCATTTGGCTCTTTCTGAACTGCAGAATAGGAGCCTATAAACGCATCCATAGTACTGCTATAGCGCATTCTTTATTGTCAGACCAAGTGGGACATCAATTACGAACTCGAGCAATCCAAGAATTGGAACTGCTCGTGGAGGGGTTCTCATATTTTCGCAGATTTTGCTTTACTTCCTTACAACTCTGGCCCTCTTTAGTCCACCGGCTCACTCGTTCAGAGTGGCTGAAATTCCGACGCAAAGGTATAATTCCCCTGGATGACCCGAATATCGTCGCCATCATTGTTCTTCCTAAAGTCCCTAAACCAAACCCCGATGATTCCGGTTTGCCTGACATGCCAGCAAGCTCGGACACTTTGATTGCTGATACTGGTGCAAACATTACTAACCGACCCATCGCATCCCTTCATCCTCTTCTCCCCTCCGGGTCTGGACACCCAGACTCACAAGGCGCGCCTCGCCTCGTCCCAGTGTACAATGGTGTATCTCTATTTCCATCTCGAGACCAGCGCCTAGCATTCCGAATACTGCTGCAGAAACAATTTTCTACCGAGAACTCTATCCGGAGAATCGAACAAAGTTTCCGGACAGAGCCCGTCGATTCGGTTCAGCCTCCAAGTCAAACCTCGAAATTTAGCGATGCGTTTGTCCTTAGGTCGTCTTCCCTGGACTCGCGAGCGGTGCCGGATATTACTTCTTTAGCAGTTGCATGCTGGCGCATACGGTTGTGGGAAGGGGAAGGGTGGGGGCGCCACGGCGAAGAGGAACCGATCAGCCACTGGATCGAAAACGCCGCATCACGACACCAATTGCGGTCAGGATTACGTCGCGTACGCCATCCTCAATGGGGGACTCAGATCAGCAGATAGCTTAGCTCCTAATTTGTAGTGCATGTAGGCAGAAAATATTTGAATGTTGGTGCAGCGCTTATTCTCAAGCCATTGAAACAGTTGAATCCTGAGGCATTCAATTAAGTGTTTCACCCTTCATAACATCCGCAACCGCCCACCTGAGCATCTGAGAATACAACTGTCCACTTGCTCTCGAAATATTGTTGGTGTCCGGGTCTCTTGGAGGGTCTCCGACGATCAAAGGCGCTATTGATCACAACTAGCCATGTCCTTCGCACACGCGCCAGTCACTAAAGGTACCCCAACGCATTGAGAGAAGTACAAACCGATTCCATATGTGCTTTCGAATTTTAGGGATGATGTTAGGATTCGGTATCGGATCTCTCTTAGCATCTTTATTCGATATCAAGTACTATTTTCACCTTCAACTCGTCCCCCACATCTCCCGGGACCACCAAGTGCGCCTTTATTCTCCACCTGTCGCCGCGTAATACTGATTCCCTCTCCTTAAGTATTGGAGATTGTTGGTTAGCCCTTTTGTGCTTGGTAATTCCAGTGATTTGGTTGTGGTCGAATTGGTGCTATACCAAGTATCCATCCAAATTGAACGAGCTTTCGGGAGTCTCAAATGTGCGTGGCCTATAGTTACTAACCGCTAATGTTGCGCCTGATATCGATTTTTGTTTTGTTCTGCCTTTCGCTTCCTAGTTTTTGTGGGTATAAGCCAAGATGGACCTAAGCATCAATGCTGACTTTGTCCAGTCTTTTGCTGCCGTTTCGACAGCAATATCTACATTATTATCATTCATATCACTTCTGGCTTTTCATCGTCTCGGACTAAATTATATGCCATCAGGTCCTCTATCATTGATTTTCAGGTCAGCCCACGATTCTCCAGACGTTCGAAAACGATTCTCATCATTCCCAGTATCTTGTATCAGTATCATCGCGTCATTCCAGATGCATACGAGTTTCGGATAGGAATGATTGATTTCTCAAACAAAATTTTTGTCTACATCTTGGCTTTCCACGTAAGGCCTTCCCTGGCTCCCGTAAGACACCTTGCTGATTTTTAGGCTCCAGCTCGTTTTGACCGCTCCACCAGGATCGGTCGTCGCAGCGCTGATGGGCGTGTTTGTCGGCGCGTTATATCGCAGTGATATGATTAACTTAAAGACAGTCCGCCCTTCACCGTCCCTGCAACGTTTTGCATCAAGATATATTCTGCCCCTGATTGGCTCTACAAATCCCCCGCGGCGTGACAATCGTGCGCTTCCCGACGACGCTCCAAGTCCGCAAACGGTAGCGACGACTCGCTCTACATCTCGACCTCGGCCGGGGGTCCGGACGTCGGGTCCGAGTGCCAGCATCAGCCAGCAATCACCTACGGTTGTACACCCACGCCTATCACTAAGTAATGCGACGGCCGCTGCTCCTTCGGTTCTAAACCAATGGGTGGACGAGCTCACGGGAAGGGGTCGAGCGTCCGGTGTCCGGGTTCCAACAAGTGACGAGATCACCCAGCTGTCCAGCATGTTCCCTGAAGCTTCCAGAGATGTGGTACTCCGGACTCTGCAGAGAAGGCAACTGATCTTCCTTGATTCTCCATGGATCTTTGACTCATTCATATTACTCAGCTCAAACATAGAGGATGCAGTGGAGATCATGTTATCTGAGCAATGATATAACATCCCCTGCCGAAGACCAGCACTACTCTTTTGGTCAAATATGCAGCGATCAAATACTCCATCGGAACCAATTGGCTGAAAGTGTATCGAGATAAGTGATATCTTTGGCGACTTCACGGGTGCCCTGCGTTGCCATCATCACCTCCCTTATCTAATACTTCATCATCCTCCCCTGTAAACGCTGAGGCTGGAATAGAATATAAGCGAATAACCGGCTACAAATTCGAGTTTTTAGCGTGTTGGTCGTCTCAGTATCATATTGAGATTGGACAAACCTTGTTGGGATCCTTGACAAGCAAGTATTTTCCCTCCGGTTGTCTGAGAACAAGGTCCGCAATGGTACGAACAATACCCCAACCGTTTGGTAAGGACACATTAAGTTGAGAAGCAAAGTCGGACGGTCGGACGGTAGAAGTCGAAAGGATGACATGCCGGGTATTCTCTCGTGGATTCACTCGCGAGACGTATCTATATATAGTCAATGTGAACAAGAGCATGCTTTAGATAAGTGGAGGGATAATACCCAATTTTCGTTACATCAGCACCTGCTAGAACGGCCTGAACAGCCCATTTCCCGAGCTTACAACTGTTGTTCTTCATTTCGGTGGATACAACGGCTCCTCGTTGAGAGTCGAGTTTAATGCGCCAGTCAGGTGCACCGCCAGCACCTTGCGCTCGTGAATCAAATTCGTTCAGCGTTTTCAAGGTGACATATTGTGCCTTCGAAGGGGTTGAACCTGGGATGTAAGCATCTACTTGAGTCCTTGCTAGCAATTTGAATGATTCCTCCTCGCTAATGCTCAGGTCGAACAACCGGTAACGATAGGCGCAGGATGCGAGAGGCTCAGTCTCCTCCGGCCCATAGAATGGGTTGGGTTTGGGGAGATTGAGAGGTTGATCTTCTCTCACAACCTGGAAAGAGAAATTATGATCCACATAAGTGGCCTCAAGAGAGAGAGACCCGGGTGAATTGATATTGTCTTTGTCGGTCTCCAACGGCGGGTCTGATGCATTCTCATTCACGGTGATGTAATCTTGAAAGAGAATGAAGTCATTTTGATAAATTATCATAGAGGTAAGCAAGCTTACCGAATGGTCCCCCCTCGCGCTTGTCAAAAAACAGCTTGCCGTTCTCGTGAACAATGATGATATCCCAAGGATAGACCGAACGTGGGGCACACATAAGTAAGCTCAGAATATTATCTGTCGCAAAGATAGTTGCGGTATTGGCCACTGCCAACTTAAGTGGGGAACGTCATTAAGACAATTCTTCGGAGCACAACTTAGTTATGATACCTGTTGTATGACCAAATCATCAGACGTGGTGGGATTGTAACGGATACGATCCATAATCTGCAGAGGTTTTTCGGATTTTGTCGTTATGCGATCGTAAGATTTGTCATACGCAAACAATCTCCCATGAGAATCACTGCGACGGTGATGAGAACAATGCAGATGCGGGTATAAAAACACACTGACAGAGTGTCAGGGTCACTGACGTCGAGGTGCAATTTGTTGAGCCGCGTAAATTCGATTTCCTCCAGTTGCTGCCAACTGGGAGAAATTGGAACACTTGATTCTCGAATACGGGAAGGCTACAGAATAGAAGCTTTCGCCATCGCACACATCTCTCGACCAAATTGAGATTACCTTGTCCCAGTCCCTCCATCCCCCACGACGAAACCCTGTTCTGGCTGAACCTCTCCCGGCCTGGTAGCCTGTTCGACCTGTTCCTGGACGTCCTCTCGAGTTGCCTCGAACGGCACCTCGCCCTCGGGCAGGAGGCGCACCACGCCTTGTTGGAGCACCCTTATGGTCCACAACCGAAAAGGAGGACTCATCCTCCACGTGGTAGTAGCCAAAGGAATTGGCGGTCCCTGCGCCATAGGTAGGCTGGCCTTCTCGTCGGCCACCTGGAAACCTTTGAGCACCAAGAGTGCCTGCACCGATGGGGCGGGACGCTGCCTGAGCTCCCACACCTGTGCCAGAGACAGCAGTCCCTCTGGCATCGATTTCACTCCAGTCCGCAAAACGTCCTAACTTGTCTGACTTGGAATACGGCGCATAAGGAATTCTGCGGGATTGAAGCAGAAGTACTGAGTGAAGTGCCACATTAAAGAATCGCGCGGGCCCACCCTTTGAACTGATCCGCTATGGAAGATGCAGGAGGTCCCCAGGTATCGCTGTCCAGAATTGGTGGTAAAGAGAATGGTTCACCCATCTTTTGCTGCCAGATTTTGAACGGAAGCAAACCAGGCACACAAATTCCAACTTTGTAAACTCACGTGCAGTCTGCCCAATATTAAGCGCTTGGCCTTGGCATTGCATCAAAAAGCCAAAGTTAGCCTTCGCCCCCGGCTAGGGACATGAAGTGAGTGTACTTGTCGTTCCAATCATTTGTATGTGAATAAGTCTTCGCCTTTCCAGTGTGGTCAAAGAAATCAACCGGATAAACGAGCGCGAATTGGAACTAGGAGGTACTGCTAGTTGGCATGACGAGTATAAGGGTACATTTGTTCCCTTTTACTCTCGAGCAACACCTCAGGCTTTACTTAGACTCTGCCTACATCTTTGTGGGCGGGCTGCCTTACGGTATCACAGAGGGGGACCTTATTGCCATCTGCTCCCAGTACGCCTTCCTATCCTCGCATGTGCGCCCCTCAATGGTCTTATTCTTTGAGCCCAGATATGGGGAGATCATGGATGTGAACATGCCAAGAGACGTGGAAACCGGCAAAACTAAAGGGTTTGGCTTTGTCATGTACGAAGACCAGCGTTCAACCATTCTTGCCGTTGACAATCTCAATGGAGGAAAGGTTCTTGATCGGACTATTCGAGTTGATCACGTCAAGAATTACAAGCAAAGAAAGGTGAAAAATGAAGCGGGAGAGCTAGTGGAACCTGAGGAACAGAGTCTCAACGCCAAGCCTGAGCTCATCCGAGGTATGGAGAACCTAAATTTCTGGAGACCGTACCGGCTTGTATTTACATGCTTTTTTGCACAGATGAGGCTATTTCAGATATTGGTGAATCCCTCCCCAGAAATTCGAGGCACCCACTGAAGTTTCTTTTGTAGAAACTGTATCCTCCATGCCTTCGATAGACCCCGAAGATCCAATGCGCGATTACCTTTTGGCCAAACACAAGGAAGAAAAACAACACCGAAAGAAGCGTGGCAGAAAACGACCTGAGACGGAAACTCCCGAGGAGAGACAGTTACGAAGGGAGCGAAAACGTGCGAGAAGAGAGACTCGCGAAAGAGGAGATGGCCACCGGGATCGGGATCGGGACCGACATCGTGGGCGTGCATATTCACCTTCGAGTCACAGGCTCCATTCCAGCAAGCGCTATCCGAGTCTGTCACCGAGACGCTCATATAAACGTCACTCTTTGTCCCCCGTTCGGAGGGATGAGGGGGATTCCAGGTTAATGGGAAACCGCTCTGATACGCGGCCTGGCGGCAGCAGAAGAATTTAGCATGTTCATGCCTCACTGATGGAAGACAGTAAGAACAATTGATTGACTGCGGATACCGATGTACATCATTTATAATGACATTGAAAAATTACAGATTCCAAATTCTCCATAACGTTCAAACGATCACTCAAAGATTAAGCGATACAGTGTGTCATTTCCAAACCTAGCTCTGACCTCTTCGATGGACGAGTTTCTTCGCTTCAGTATCTCTTCAAAAACAGTGCGGAACGTTTTGAAGGAGTCTTGATACACATCCTTCAAGTAAGTCTCGATCGGTTGATTGTGCACCTTGAGACCCTCCCACTGTTTGGCCCAATGAGGTCTGGACTTCAAAAACTGACCATCGGGCCCTTTGTAACTTGTCCAGATATCGGCAATTTCTTGTTTGAAGTCGTCCCAGTCATTTTGAGGTGTGGTCAATGTCGTCAGGACTTCGATAGAGCATGTAGTGGCATTTCCACGTTGCGGTGCAAGTAACACCTCGGAACCGCCTGTAAGACGCAGTTCCACAGCGACACGGACTGGCGCCTTCTCGCCTGCCTTATAGATAGCAGAGATAGCATCCCACCTAACGTGATGTTGCGTCAGCTGGACTTCGAACAACTTCAGCGCTAAACCCTGACCAGGCGGTCTGAATAAGACCATAGTCCCTCTTGGTGGAGCCGTCTTTCTGAGGTGGGACGGGAATCTCCCACTCACTGTCCAAGCAGCGGAAGTTTTCTGTCGTCATGCAACATCAGGCTCATGAATATCAACGCTGTAGTTTGACTCACGAATGCCTCGCCTAAAATGCAGGGCGTCACTCAAGAGCGTCTCGATGGGCTTTCCATCCGTGACGTTCGGAAGCGTCGCCATAGTCGCGAGGCCAAACCAATACGCTTGATGGTACCCGCTGACCTCCGCCCAATGTTTCCAACTCGTGATGAGTTCGGCAATGGTCTCCTGGACCTATGCAGAGAAAGGATCGGTGAGAAATGCCGACCGAGAAGAGCGTGTATGCTGACCTGCTGTGATGATGCTCCTGTGAAGAAGTTGTCGTCTGGGTAAGTCTTGATGCTTGCGTCTTCACTCTGGAACGGACGCTCTGGTCTCGATTGTTCAGTTTTGAATGACGCAAACAGTCAGACGGACTCTTACTCTGCCAAGTGTTAACCCAACAGTGCTCCTGATACGGGAACCAGAACCATTCGAGATAATAATCCGTCTCACATCGTTCAATAAATTTCTGACGGGCTGTTTCTATTTGAGCCTCGGTGATGCCGGCTTCCTTGACCTGTTCTTGTATCTCTGGGGGATGGGGTAGCCTCTCGGTGGTGGTATCGCCAGGATCGTTGGTATCTTCGTTGGCGCGAGTTGCGCGACCGAAATGTCGTCAAGCTGGAGGGTCACGGAGGTCACGATTCCGAGGAGGCCGAAGCATCCACTTGCAGCACGCAGCTCGTCTGGATCATTGACAATTTGCTCCTCTCCATGAGCATCAACGTATCGAATCTCGACTACCAAATCAGAGAGCGTGGTCGACCCCAATCCCGAGCCATGACAAATTGGACCGTTTGTTCCCCCAAAGGTTACTTCTACCATGATGACGTTGAAAGGGATGCACACTTTCTTATTGCTGAAGCACCATCTTCGGAAATAATCGTTCGTAGTGCCCGCCATCACTTGATAGAACGAGTGACCTTTGCCAGGAAGTCGATTTCCGATGGAGCCTATAGGGCCGTGTATGCCAACAAGTTCGCTTGTCTTGAGCCATTCGGGTGTTGGGGGCTGATAAGGCAGCGTGGTGGTAGTGGCAAGTGGCAAGAAGACAACAATAATATCGCCATCTGCTCCGAACAAATTACTATGTCGGCAAACTTGAGCGATGTACGGGGCTTCAATACGACATAAGTTGCTACTTACGCCCAAGTGTGACGGAAACCTGCGACCCGCACACGCTTTCTCTGGGAACTGGCGAATTTGACGAGGTTCTTCACGCCAGCAATGGTACGAATGACCCAGATTGTCGATGGCGTGTTTGAAACCGTCTGTCCCCAGTTTTGGAATGGCAGAGACTCAAACACTAGTGCCGGTTTGCCGTCTCCCTCGAGAACATGGGGGTGGGGTATCGCTGCAGGGAGCTTCGTGGGTTTGGGCACATGATGCATCATGTTGTGCATCTTTATCGTCTCCGCAGCTTTCTGGACCGATTCAGAGTGGTCCAACTCAGGGGCCCTGGCTGCGTCAAGGAATGCAACAAGCGGCCGTAAGTCAGCCTGCTCCTTGACATGCTGCATCAAGTCTTGCGCTAGGGCATTGTTCTATAGCCTGGATCAACCTCAAGCCATCAGCAGTAGCTATTTGCTCACCGTAAGGGAGAGTTCAACATTGTTTCCTTCAGAATCTTTCATCCTTGCACAATCCTCGTCTTTGCCAGAGGGGGGTTGACAGTAGAACGGGGGGTGGAAACCACGTATATATGTCCTATGACAATGCCATAAGGAGTGTTCGTAGCAATACAGCGGATTTGGAATTGCCCGCGATTTAGCAATTCAGGAGAATGAACAGCGAAAAAGCCTGCCCGGTCAAAAGTGAATGGGGCGGGGTACGACCCCGTTCGTAAAAAAGGATGAGCGTTACAGTAATCACCAGCACGCTCTAGTGCTCCTTCTGACTTCATACTTCACATGCATAATGTTATGATGCATGTGCTGTTGAGTGTTACATGCAAAACAAGGAGAGGACGCCTTCTGAGCGCTAAGATAACGATCGTATTGACACCCTATTTTGGATCATCATCGGACCCGCTTGGGTCACTCATCCAAATTGGGTCCCTAACTTTGGGAAACTAGTGGTAGCTCACCATGCCATCAAGGACGGTCACATGACCGTCGGAGTCATTCATCCGAATCGGATGTGACGTTTATTGTTGGACTCTTGTCGCAAAAATGATTGACAGGATACGACAACTCCTCGAGACCGCGGGAGTCCAGTATGCCCGAATTGATTAGTTTCGGGCATCAGAGGCTGGTCACCCGCGGAGTGGGTATTGCGCACAGCAAAATTGAAATTACCTTTTAGTCATAGAAATGCATAGAATGTGGCATTTGTACCTGACTCCGTGCATGAGGAACACTGGACCACAGCAAGTAGCGGAGTCCCTCTGGAGCGCTCCACAGCACCTGAAGCACCTGCCTGGTTTTCGTGATGTGCTTCACGTGAACACCGTCATGATTACTATACCCACGATCAGCGATCGTCTGAAATGGCATTCGTCAATCAGAGTTGTCGCTGTAATCCGGCAAACTCCGAAACATGCATGCCCCTATTTGATATTTGCTGCTGTTTCAGGGTCACTGAATTTGCATCCAAAAGATTTTCTCATCGCTTGCTGTGGACAGCAAACCAAATTGTTCGCAGCTCCTTTTCGTCCTCTCCTAAGTTTGAGCGTCAAAAGGATTGGAATAGTGCAACTGCATTGATAATAGTATACAACAATTATATAATACTGACGATCACTTAACTCTGGGCATCCGTTTCCATCAGATAAGTGGATCAACCCGGAAGATAGGAGGGCACAGGATGAAGGCCGTGTCTCCAAGCTAGTCAGCCTTGCCGCGTTCCTGATAGGAGTGGCATATAGAGAGGAACAAACCGTGAAAGCACCGGCGTTGCTTGCGAGAGAAAAATCAAGAGGTTGAAAGTACAGCAGTTGCGTTGGTTGCGACAGATGCATTTTCACCAAGTGGCAGCGTCGGCGACTTAACATGACCTGTTGCAGCAGTCTGTTCAATCATCGCGACTAAAGCAGCATTTGCATCAGCAGTGTTAGGCAGAGCACCAGTAGGTGGAATCTCGTCTGGGCTGGGAACTTTGGTATTCCGTAAGGTTGATTCTGCATCATTTGTCGCAGAATGTCTGGGAGCAAACCAACCAACGCGGCAGAGGTGATAAGTATCACCGGGCGACGGAAGTCAGTGTAGGTGCCTTGTGAAGTTGAATGAACCAATATTCATACCGAGGCCTCTTCGGGGTGGATCCATCATCATTGACAGGTTTCTGAAAACAATGTTAAGCATTTGTTCACCCGGATGATAGTATACAGAAACTCCAGCACATTCCAGAAGCAGATGCTGACCTTAGATTTGGTCCTCTTAAGTTTTTTCCCGGGGCCATCCCTCTCACCAGGATCGAAAACAGAATCAGGTAAGGTGGAGCTAGTGAACGGCTCAGATCATTTTTAATGTGCCCATCCAAGGATAACAAAATCCCACCTTTTGAGATGCCGAACGACGATTGACATGGTAGACGCATCAAAATGTTCCCAGCTTTTCGCCATCTTCACGAACTCGTTAGCAGGATACGATATGTCAAGCTTGCGTGCTCCGGGAGTGCCGCCTGTAAGATTGTCATCGTGGCAGCATTGAGAATTTCACGCCATAGAACGCTATAACCGAAAAGAAGATAATCGGAATGGAGTACAATTACGTACTTTGCTTCGGACGAAGTCCCAGGCCGACATAGAAGGTCGAGGTGCATACTGTGCGATGGGCTGGAACATCTTTTACATCATCCAGCGTTCGCTTGGCCACATCCGAGGGAACATCTCCTTGGACAATTGCATCTGATTCTGCGTCATTCTTGCAGTAGAATGTAGCATCAAAACTTTTCGTAAAGGGATGGGCAACAGTTACGCCATCAACAAATTCCAGCTTCATGATAAGTTGCCGTATCCGTGATTCCACGGTGCCAGACCTAAGGGCACAGGTATAGCGGGATAACATCGAATGGCACGAGTTTCCATACCATTTCAGCTGAGTGGCTGAGTCTCCCGTTGAGGCTATAACCCGAAGATAGTTATGATACCTGTGAAAAAAGTCGTGCTTTTGAAATAGTTCAGTCCATTCCGCAGTGCCAATCATCACTCGATCAACAATATCCGCGCCTGTAACAGCCCTACTTAAGTGTTGGAGAACAGTAGAGATGCCAAACGGGACTAACCTCGTTTAAATTCTTGATTCATAATTGCCTGTGTGGACTGGGTGACGTTGTGAGTTGAGCACATGGCTGGATAGGCAGGTGTGACAATAGGCATCCTATGAGCTCGGTCCGAAGGGTAAAGCTGAAAAAAAAAACCATCAAGCTGCCTACATTCCGCCCGGAGGGACGCCAACACATACTTTAGGGTTCCAAACCCTGACTTGGAGCGGACCGTCCTCGATTGGCTTGAGGAGGACAGGAGATGGCCATTGCCTTTTTCGAGACGTCAAAGGGCGAGTCAGAGTGTATGAGAGAACACACAGCACCATTGATACATGATGATGAAAAACCGGCTGACGATAGCCCCGGCGTTGGCATTCGGATAAAGTTGGCATATTCGCGCGACAAGCATGGCCCAGGCAACCCCACCCAGGAAACCGTTGACATTGGAATAGATTGCTCGCTCTAAGGAACAAAGTTAGCTTGTCTCTATCTGGAGAACACGAAGGGTTTGCTGACTTTGGGCCCAGAGTTTTATGCATCGCAACGCATCACGGAACACTGAGACGTTTGGAACCAGGCGGAGAATTTGGTCTGTTACTCGGGAGCCTTAGGAGACAGCCGTCAACAAAAATCTACAAGGAAAGAGGCATGAATAGCGCACCTCCGAGGCTCCGCACACAGCGCTCGTCAAGATTCCGCAGTAAGTTATCATCTTTCAGTTCTAAATCATCTGGTATGCTTGACATTGCGAGTCGAGCAAAGAGAAAATCGAAAGCTACCCCTGAAATGTTGGCGGTGATGATTGGGACGTATGCCTCCGGAACACCCTTGTATTAAAGCATAGGTTGTAAGCTGAAGAACGACAGTTGTCCGCCAGGAGACCTCACAGCAACATCGGTAGCACCCTCGAATGCCCTCAGCATTGGTTCGAAATGTGTGAAAAAGTCTTCCCTTTCAATGTGCTTGGGAACAACACAGAGAGTGTCAATGTCAGTCCCTGGGCCATGAACCCCAAGTCGATAGGAGCCAAAAGTAAATATCTTTCCTCCAGCTGTGGATGCCATTGTTTCGGAAAGGCCGCGCTCAATCATCACATCATGGACAAACTTGCGGACGAGAACCGCAATGCGTCCCAGCGTAATTTCTCTAATGCCGGACCAATCGGTAAGGCACCGCAAAGCGCACCACCCATTGGACGCACCTGAGCTTGGACTCCTCCTGTGATTCGTATGAGTTCCTGCCTATAAGTTCCTGCTTCAAAGATTCCGTCACTTCGATTTCTCGTTGTGTCGGACCAGCCGTTGATATAGGTGGAGTCACACCATATTGTTGCGTACTGTTAAGAGGCATTAGCGTGAGCTCACATGGAGTACCGTCATTCAAAGCTTACATGGTGGACATGACGAACAGAGTATGCAAAAAGCTCAAGAACGGATGTTGCCGATCACATGTCATATGTGTGGGTTCAGGTTCACAAAAGCATCACTGCTAGATCCCTCACTTCCCAAACAGACATTATATAAGGATGGTGACAAGTCACCGCTATTCACACTTGAGATTATGATACACAAGACAGGTCGGAGCTCAGGAAACAGGCATCCACTTAAATTTCCATTTGCCCTTGGACCCCCTTCTTCGGCGGAACGTTAATGATTTCTTTTCCTTCCCAGAAAGTTGGCAGCTCGTTCCCGGGAATGAAAATCCTTTCAACACCTCCCTCGGTTATCACACACATTCGTATTGTTCCCCCTGATGATCCATCACGAGACATAGCAAGGGCAAGAGCTGTTTAGGGACAATCAGCTACACACGAAATGACGAGAATCGTGATGCCTTACTGTTCTTTACAAATCCCACAGTTTCGTCTCGTCCCCAGCCTTCCCGATAGGTAGCATCACAGTAACCATACACATATGTTGAACCAGAGCCTAATCGGTGCGCATGAGTCTGATGGGTCATGTTCAAACCAATGGAAACACAAACCGCCAATTGCCCAAGGTTGGCGAAATAGACCACCCCCAAGTGGGATATTGTATACACTTGGGCCTTGTTCCTTATCCCACCCAGCAACGATAATACCAGCAGAGAGCACATCCTTGTTGTCATAACAAAGTTTCTGGAACAAAGCGGCGGCGGTATGAACTGGAGGTGGTGCTTCATATTGTTGCCTAGAAAGGGGAAATAAACGTTCATACACGTAATGATCCAAATAATAGTTTCACTTACGCGTACATCTGCAAGTAATAGTGAACAATATCAGCTATTGCTTGTGTGTCAGCTGCTGAGCCTGAGCGACAGCAGTATACCCTATCATGGATATGAGTGAGCTTGTCCGTGACACGGTTGGCCTACGACGAAAAGCTGAATCAAGGGCTCGAATCGCAAGGAAGGAACCTTCCTCACAATGTAGCTTCCCGAAGTTGTCCGACTGTCAGCACCTATGACCACACCACCTTCAAATTGAACGGCCATGATGGAGGTCTAAACAGGAGATTCCTGCATGGGAAAAGGATTGTCACGGCCAATCAAGACAGTAACTCACGCCAAGATTGATCTCCCCAGCTTTTAATCGTTGCACGTCGACGGTGTTCATTGTGTCGGACCGTTGAGATTTGACGACGCGTGGCTGTTCCCGAAGACGCGTCAGCCTAATCTCGTGGCCCATTTGGGACAAAATACAATTGACTGCTCGATTGACTGGCTCCCTGAGATATGGCGCCTCAGGAATTAGCCTCGTTATATTCACAGCTCAGATCAGAGTTCTCTTTGTCGTCCCCTGACTTGAAGAAATGCGGAACTCTCCTGAGCAAGCTGAAGGTTCGTGCAATGTCGGTTACTTGACCTGGCTTGCGCTTAGTTAGAGTGTGCAAACATAGATTGGTCTCGTTGAAGCCGGACTTTTTGTTCCTCAAGCGGATGCGAGCCTCGATGATTTGTTGGTGACACGTAAGCCCTTCTTCATGAGGTCCCGATTTCCTCAACTGCCTACTTTGCCCTCAATGCATGCGCAGGCGAAATACTTGAGATTGGCGCTTTCTGGAGCATAAGGATCAAAGATGTCCCTTCATTCGACCGATACTTCTCGCAGCTACAGACATTCTACACAGAATTCAGGTTCGCCCATGTTCATAATCTGAATAATGTCAATCCCTCAACATCAACCTTTCACTAGCTCCAGCCTTCCTCCATCGCCCCGACAATATGCTGTTCAGGGTCTCAACCTCATCCGATTGCTCACCCAGAACCGTATCGCTGACTTCCACACCACCTTGGAATCCCTGCAATCGGATGCCATAGCCGAAAATCCATTCATCAAACATCCTGTAAACCTTGAACGCTGGCTGATGGAGGGAAGCTATGGAAAAGTGTGGAATGCGCGAGAAGAAGCGCCATCTGAGGAGTACAAGTTCTTTGTTGATAGTTTGATGGGGACAATACGGTATGGCTGCATTTCCCCATATCGAAATCATCACGAATTCCCTTGACAAGGCTAACTGCTAAATAGAAATGAGATCGCCAGCTGCGAAGAGACAGCGTACGACAGTCTACCAGTTAGCGAAGCTGCCGCTCTTTTATACTTTAAATCCTCGAATGACCTCATCCAATTCGCTCAGCAGGTAAGTATTGCTTCGCTGGCGGCTCGTGGCGGACAACTGACCTACTTCTAAACAGAGGGGCTGGCAGGTGGACCTTGTCAACCAGACGGTCCATTTTGTGCGGAAAGGCGAGGAAAAAGTAGCCATTCCAAAGAAGCAAATGATCGTTGCGACGTTGGAATACGCAAAGGAGCTTGAACAGATTGTGTAGAGTGTCTCCTGTACGGCTGTGGCCTTAAACTCAGGAGGCTCGGTCCGCCGGTGACGGGGCTAGTTGTAGACGATAGCTATCTATCGATATAAAGCATGTTGCCCTTCGCATCTGCCCCTTTGGATAGATGACAGTCTGCAAGTAGGTGAACTGACGTATCGTTGTCATAGACACCGTGGACTCGCCCGAGAAGACACGGCCGCCAGCGCCAAGTGGGCTACTATCCCAACAGAGGCTGATGATATGTGTGGAGGCAGACCAAAAGCCTGATGGAAATTCTAAGCGCCGAGATGAATGTATTGGCAATTGATTCAGGATTAAATTTCACGTATGGCCACAAAACGCAAACTCGGGTCCATTGCTTCAGGCAGCTTCGTCGACGAGCTCCCACCGTCTAAATCACGGCGAGTAAGCTCTCCGGGACCATCCACTTCGTCATCTGAGGAGGACCCTCCAGAGCCAGGTGAATCTGAAGCCCCAGCGCGCGGAATCCCTGATGCAACGCTTTCCGACTTTGAGTCTGATGATGACGGCGAGCTTCCTTCCTTAAACTTACCTGAAAGGGTTTCTCTTCCCTCTCGAGTCATCTCCCAGCCTGCACCTCCAATGAGGAACACAGCAGCAACCACACAACCAGAGCTTTCCATCGACTTCAGCGCGCTTGGAATTTCGTCTGATTTATCCCGGGCACTCAAAAAGATGTCAATCAGGACCCCGACACCTGTTCAGGCATTTTGTATACCCCCACTCCTTGCTGGTAGGCTCGCCTTCGATATTGTGCAAGATGTTTACATGACACTTTTGCACAGGAAGGGATTGTATCGGCAACGCGAAGACGGGGTCCGGAAAGACCGTCGCGTTCGCCCTCCCCATCCTACAAAAACTAAGTCTCGATCCTTACGGGATCTTCGCCTTGGTTTTGACGCCTACTAGGTGATTTGATTATTTTATAAAAATCAGCTATCTAATATTTTTACGCGTCCTTCAGAGAGCTAGCGCTTCAAATTGGTGACCAGTTTGCTGTACTCGGTGTAGCTCTTGGTATTCACACAGCAGTAATCGTCGGTGGCATGGATATGTTGTCGCAGGCACTGGAATTGAATAATCGACCTCATATCGTTGTGGCCACTCCAGGACGTTTGGTAGACCACCTGAACAGCGAGTCAGGGGAATGGAATTTGTCTCGAGTGAAGTTTCTGGCAAGTGACCATTGATAACGTGAGAAATCGTGGGTCCTCATTGTTCGACTTCCTCTAGGTCCTCGATGAGGCCGATCGTCTTTTGACCGACACGTTCGCTCCAGATCTACGCGCCATATTTGCTGCCCTACCGCCTGACCGTCAAACTGGTCTCTTTACTGCTACAATTACTCCCAAGATCGAGAAGCTTTCGGACGCCCCTCCCAGGCCTGGGAAGCAAAAGCCGGTGATTTATCGGGACACTTCAACGTATGTTGACTCTTATCCTTATATCAGGCACTTTCTGCTTAAGATGCTCCCCCAGCGTTGAGACCGTCGATACTCTCAAACAATACTTCGTTATTTGCCCATCTCATGTACGGGAGGTCTATCTCTTCTATCTTCTCTGCCACCCACCCGAATCTATCGCCCACTTGCGAAGGGAGGCTCCAGCAAAGGTCAAGGCCAGATGGAAGCAAAGAGACGAAGATGACACCCCCATATTGTTTCCACCTCCCACCATTGTCTTCGTGACTCACCCCAGGACTGCTGCCTATCTCACGATCTTACTCCAACACCTCGGTATACCAGCTGCCGCCCTACATTCCTATCTATCTCAGCGCGATCGTCTGTCAAGCCTCCACTCCTTTCGATCGAGTGTGAGTCCTGTGCTCGTTTGTACAGACGTTGCATCTCGTGGGTTGGATATTGAGGACGTTGGCATGGTTATCAATTGGGATATGCCTATGGGGAAGTTGCGCAAACGCTTTCTGGAGAAGGAGAAGCGCAAGGGCAAGAGCGAGGTTTCATCTGAGGTGGCAGGCACTGAGGGTAACGAGATTAGGATAAGTGAGGACGAGGATGAAGGAGGTGCAGAAGATTATGTCCATCGCGTTGGTCGCACGGCACGTATGGGACGTGGAGGTGTCGCGGTCAGTTTCGTCACAGAACGAAAAGGAGACACAGTGATGGTAGAAAAGATTGAACAGCGCATTAGTGAGTATGAATTATATGGGCCTTCTCCTTTTCCGCATACAAATCAATACTTCATTCATGGTTTAGAAACGAGATTGGAAGAGATGGAACTTCCTGAAGCTAAAGTGCTGATAGAATTAAATAAAGTTTCGGTGGCAAAGAGGACGGCGAAGTTGGTGAGTAAAAACTAGGAACTGTATCTTTACTTCCCTCCCACGATTGTGCTGATCTTTTTCGAAGAACTTGGAAAATTCCAACTTTGGTGAACGGCAAAGAATCAACAGAAAGAAAGGAAAAAACATGTCGAAGCAGTCATGAACGCCTTCGATACCTCTGATCGTATCAGGCGACGGCAATTCTAATTGATCGACTAGGGTGTCAAGGACATTGCAAGGTTTATCCTTCGTTGGACAGCTAGGCTGGATTTCCTCTTGTATCATTATTACCGTACAATTCTTTCGTCCACCCCTGACTTGAGGGAGTGAACAGGTCCGTACCCACGGGGGCCTAGATAAATAGCCTATGCGTTGTCTAAATGCAGTAATGGAACATTCTCGGCCAACCTTAACGATGCCGCATATGCTGGTGCCATTCCGTTTTCTGTCCCCCACTACGCCAATCGTGCGGCATCCCGAGACATTCGTTCATAAGCTAAGGATCAAAGCGTAGCCACCTGCGCTCCTCCGACTCTGAATTCCCGCAGTCGAATCAACTAATATAATTAGTTACGTTGACAGAAATGCAGGTTGCTCAAAGCATAACCAGCTCAATATATTCCCACTGCGCTGAAACCTTCCAAGTGCAGGCATCGTAAATGCATAGAGACGACGATTACTAATTCACGAAGACCGCTTTTCCCGTTCAACCGCAAGGGAGAGATGACAGGTGTGGGAATTTCTCGAAATGGTGCAATGGTGCAATGGAATCACCCGGGTGGCGACTTTCGAGCCATTGGGCCACCCATTTGACCACATTACAATTAGCTATGCCACCACCCAAAAAAAAAAAGGGGTTCGGGATGAAGGTCTGAACTGTCGAAATCGGGACATATGCGCCATACAACCCTCGGCGACATATCCTAGCTTGGTTCCTATCTCCGCTGGCATGAAAGCTCCCGGCCATTCTCACTCATTTCGTGCCACCAGTGTCAGCGTCAAATCAACCATCATACCTATGAGCTGGTTGAACGAACGAAGCGCCTCCCGAGGATGTTGTGTATAAATGGTTGCTTGTTGACCTCCGGTGTTGCCCATCGGACACCCTCAGTTCTGGAAAATATGGACAAGACCTTCCAGTGCGGACATCCTGGCTGTCAGTCAGCCGGTAAGCTCTTCACTAGGAGTGACTTGAGGAGGCATGAGAAGACGCATTTGCCTGGTTCAGAAAAGTAAGTCCTATCGTCATGAAATATCAGGACAATGCTCATTCCATGCCAAAGACCCCATAATGTAGTGAATGCAGTAGATATTTCGTCCAGAAATGCGGTTTGGACCGTCATCGCAAAGAGATTCAGTAAGGAAACTTTCGCCCCCCAGTAACACTATCAATTGTCTAACCTGATCTAAAAGCGAAACATTACAGTTCGTATGCAAGCTTTGTGGGGTAGGGTTCCAGAGATATGACGGTCGGAGGAGTCATATGGAGAGGGAGCATACGTCGAGTCGCCCAGATAATAATGGCGACGACCAAGACGCGGATCCCGGCGGCGGCGACTCCTCATCCACGTCATTTCCGCTTTCCCTTCCCCCATCAACAGACTTGCATCGCCCACTTCACCCTTCTTATTAGAATACGGCGCACCGTTTTGCTCTGAAGGGACGTCGTCTCATGTTCTAATGATCCCCCGGCCCGTGCCACTTCCCAGCGCAACTATCCATAGCGCTCCTCCATTTGCCGCGGAGTCGCTGAATGGCACGGCCATCGGGATTCCAGCCTCTTCGCGATCAAACCCTCTCTTCTCGGTTCTATGCACGCCCCTCAAGTTTTACCCGCCGCTCCTATTCCATACTTACCGATTGGCTTTGATTTTGGCATACATCTTTGGCGCAGGGACAAGGATTCCGCTCTTGTACGCCTCAGTCGAGCTGGGAGAGGGACTTGGTCCAAAGTGCTAGAGTCTTTGACTCCGCGCTGCTCCCCAGTGCTGGTCCATCGGGGGGCCCATTACATCATCCCCACGCATCATTCTCCTTCGCAAGATTGGCCCCAGCCGCCGAACGGCCAACACCAGCGATCTGGAGGCTCGAGTCCCAACCCAGGATGGAATGGCCCGAGCAAAACCCGCTCGACCAAACCGGTAACTTGCTCGACCACCCCCAGGTGCCATTCCCCTCCGATGGACTCATCCAAATGACGGAATGGCCGTCACCAGAGAGACCCAATGTCGATGTATCCGACCTCGAGATGGAACAGCGAGCCGAGAACTTGTTCCAGGCGTCGTCCTCCGCCAGACCCATCCCAGTGGCCGAATGGCCGACAGAGATACTCGATTTCGATGCTTTTGAGTATTGGAGAGAATGGCTAGAGCAAGACCCAGCTTACCTCGATTTCAATGACGCATTTAACTAGATTGCTTTCTTGACTTGTTGGACTCATTTCCTCCTTCCGATCTGTATCAAGACATCGCTTCTTGATCATCATTCCCTGTTGAATCATGTCAGCCAATTTTCGTTTTGCCCATGTCTTGTATTATCTCGCGACCCATATTTATCCAGTTACGCTGCGTGGTGGGGGCGTTGGTGTGAGTCTATGGCCAAAGCCATGATCCCTGTCCGACTGTGGGAAGGGGACCTAGCGTAGAGTCGGAGTCTGGCCACCCCGAGCCGGGCCCCTCCGTTGTTGTCACTTGCAAGCACTCGGTGCGACCTGAACACGTGCAGCATGAGCACGATCCAGGTGCCCAACCGGGTCTTTCATTCAGTAGAGCTAGCACGGCCGAATTCCTAACCGACCCAATCTTAAGAAAGGCCGATCTCCGGCTTCTCCCGTCCACCTCTGTGCATATCTACGAACCGAGGTTGGAAGAACTCAGTAGAGCAATAACGAAACAAGAAAATGATTCACTTACTCTTTTTCCGCGGGTGCCGAGTGGATCGTACTTGAGCGTGGTATGGGAGAGGGAGCTAACTAGAAGATTCGGGTGACACTGCCCCCGAGTGAATGCCTGCTCGGCGCCTTTTAGAAGACCGGGGGATGTAGGTTGGAGCTTGGCAGGGAGCCGTAGCAGCGGGTAATGACAGTGTTTGCTTGCCGTCTACGAATAAAACGAGGGAGGATTATAGATTAGCAGGGAAAAGATGCCGAAGATCGAGGAGTGGGTTCTGGCCCCACCTGTTCCCATTGAAAACCCTTGTATACATATCGGGTTATTTGAACTGAGCCCAACTCAAATATGGAACTAGAGTCAGGATCGTCAAAGTATGAGCATCGAGAGATAAGATATATCTCATAATTTACCCGCCAGCATGGGTGCAAGTATGTCTTTCCCCTATATGGTCCCCAATTCATATTCTACCACAGCCATCGGGCTTGTATTTGCAATGTTAAGAATTCCCATTGGGAGTAAGAGGGAAAGGGAACACTTTGCCCCGGCGGCTAGAGAATGGCGGCGATGGAGCGTTGAGATCGGAACCTGAGTAGGGAACGAAAGAAGCGAGCTTGAAACTCAGCAGGGTATATCGTGTTATCTTTCATAGGTAATGAGTCGCCGGAACGTGCGATCTTTCCAGGGTCGAACGATAGTCTATCTACCAAACGTAGTCCGATCACTCGCAACTATGTTTAAAGCTAGTGCCATGCATACCACATTTATGAAGTCGATCATCCCGCAACGATCGAATCGGGCGATGCGTCAAATAAATATACACCCATCCTCCTGCATAGGTCCATGGACTGGAAACGTATGTATCGCACTAAGACGCGTTCTGCGCACGGAGGATGTGGTGGCACGGGTGGGGGGAAATAGTCTTACAGTATCCCCCGCGCGATTTCGAGATGACAGAGGGGGGGGGGGGCGATCGCAACGCGACGATTCCAATCAAGTTCCAAACGTTTAGGGGCATACTGCGCGAGGTCGAGACCATTACTGTATAGCTATTGAGCCATCAAGCCACCAAGCCAGGAAGGGATGCCGTTTGATGTTGATGAAGGATCTCTTGAGAACTTTAATGCCACGTACCAGACTGTATCACAAGAATCCCCCATCTCCCCACGCGATAAGACACTGAGGGGCAATTCCGAAGGCGTCTCCCTCCTTCTGTAGAGAAAATGAGATCGTGAGCAATCAGTGGGGGTTCTGAGAATGATCGATGAAGCTGTGATTTTCCCACGCTTGGATATCGGGCGCTTAAACACCCACGCAAGCCCCTTGCGTGGGGATATAGGCGCCCCAACTTAGCAACACATGTTAAAGGGACGGACGCTGGGACCTGACACCACAACGTCTCCCTTTGTGTTTTCTTGCCTGTCCTGACTTCTGTGCCTGCCCTACTCTCTAGCGAATACATAATATTCTTCATGGGTCATCACCGTATCGATTCGTACACCGTACGCGCCCGCGCAGATCAGACAGGCACAGGTACAAAGGGACGTAGCATACGTGCTCACACACACACATCGATCTACCTACGTACGTACGTACAAAGGCATGGACAACCGATTCGAATAGGAAAGAAAGAAGTTCAACAAGCACTGCAAAACTGCGCTTTTTTTTTTTCTCGTTTACAATACTGATGGTGGCTTCAATGCCACACTCTTCGATCTTGACACATCATCAGATCTTCATTTCAGAATCGCAACTCCTCCTCCTCCCCCCCCTTTGCAATCGGGGAGGGTTGCAGATTGCTGCAAATAACAAATGTTCTCGTTCCAGCCCTCCATGCACAGCATTGCATGAGGCGATCAACATATTAGGAAAGAGAAATCAGCGGTGAATTATGTAACTCGCCACTTGCACCCCCCCGTACGTTCACATTTTGTTGAATTGTCAAACTTCCTTATTTGCATGGTGGCTCGAGTGTTACTTATACTTTCAGCCTATCAATCAGTAAAAGGCTCATCGGCCATGCTTTGGAGTCCCAGATCCACATTCGGCAATGGCCCCCGCAGATCCAGTCATGGTCAAACATGCGTTTCTGGAGTCCCCCCCTCTTCTGCGCCCTAAGGGGGTTCGAAGCTCTCGCTAATAAACAACCGATAACGCCCGACAATCGTCTTGCCCGGCCCCGCGCGCGTGTCTCCGGGAACGTCATGAACCCACCTCAATATACCACGGGTACGGGATCTTTTTCCATCACCGTCTAGGCTAGGCTAGCTAGCTCAGCTAGGCTCTATGTTTACAGCCTGAGTAAGCAAGTTAGTACCTCCAAAATAATCACTTTCACTCAATTTTTAATTCCGGCATAGTAAATCATGATGGGTATTCTCATAGCCTATACAAGTAAATGGAAAAAAAAACAGGAACTCAAGTGGCCGCGATGCTGCGACCGCGGCCGCGACACGCTTTCCTTGACATGGCTTACCGGAAATCGAAGGAAAACTTATCGCCACCACCACGATATGTCAGCACTTAAGCACCCATGACAACAGGATATGCATTTAACAGTAATCCATTCCCACCACCCCCCTCTCGCTTTCTCACCGGCAATTCGGGCTCATGCATCACACATGGCTTTGCCCACGTACAATTGCGTATTCATCGTACCCCCCCCCCCCATTGATTCATTCCTTTTACAACTAGAGACCGTAGCATAACCACAACCCTCGGGGCAATCTCACACCGTCCAAACAGTACACGGAACACAAAATTTAATACTTTCGAATCCAAAACATGGGTAATCACAAAGCCGAAGGGGGGGGAGAGAGGGGGAGGGACAAGTAAGATTCGGAGGTACATATGAACGGCTAGTTGTATCGTGCCGATGCATCGATGAAGCAAGAAGAGATCGAGGAAGTAAACGGGATCAAAACAAGGTCTTGAGATCAAAAGATTTCATCACGACGGATGAAAAAAAATTTAAAAAATTAAAAAATTAAACGTGGATTGGCAATTACTCCACCAATGGTGCTTGTCCACGAGAGCAAGGATTCCTGATTGCAGCAGCGAGCTAATAGTAGCGTACCTATTTTTTTGCATGTACTATAAAACTGCTGATATCGTCACAGGCATAACACAAGGAAATGAAAAAAAAGGGGGGGGGGGGCCGGTGAAAAAGGACCGAGAACTCATGGTACGTGCATCACCAGAGAAGAAAATGTAAACCACCGGCGAACGGCAGTACATACTGCCTATCAAACGTTATATGAGCGGTACTCGCAATTGAATCGAGAACGAACTTGCGTCGAGCTGCGCCGTATCGTGCATGTATGACGATCGATGCATGCAACATACGCGCAACGCGCACCAATTGCCGAGCATGTCGAATCTATATTTGTAGGCACTAGCTAAGCATACACAAGTACCTGCATTGCATGCATACATCAAAGCTTGGACAGTCGAAAGGAGAGAACAGGGAGGAATGGGTCGTTCACTGTCGTATCAATATCGAGTTTTTTTTTTTTTTTTGAGCTTTCGAGCGGGGGAAAAGAGGTGATTTGAACCAGAAAACGAGGAAATTATCAATACATCATAACTGGTGGACTAAGTAAATCAGCGTTGGTTGTGTCAGAAGAGAGAGAGATGAATGGTTCAGACAGGAAGCGAACAAGTGAAGTAACCATGTAGGAGTTGGAGGAGGAAGAGGAAGAGCGAAGAAGGATGTGTGATGTAGGATGGGATGAGCAACAACAAGCAGCGGAATTGGGGAGACGACCATCAAAAAAAAGGAAATGAAGTTTGATACGACATGCAGAATAGGAAATGATTTGTAGAGGTTTGGGTGATCAGAGATATCATGGTAGCTTGAAAAGGTGATGCGAACAAGAGGGATGGGCAGGTACAGTCATCATGCATCGTGAAAGGAAATACAAACAGGAGGTAAGAAAAGACAACGACAAAGACACAAAAAGTAGCACAAAGAAAAGGGTATATCGGCACAGGGATATGCTTGTGGGGGAAAGCCCGCCATGATATTGCATAGCGATTTTAGGGTCCTTCTCTGATGACCCACCTCCCCTTCCTCTTACGATTCCGGTCGGTTTTGCCGCGAATCGCCAGACATGGAAGACCAAAATTGCACCGATATAAGATAGACGCCTCGATTAGTTGCTGCTATCAGGGAGTAGTCAGGCAGCTAAAAGGGCAGTACACCGACAGCCTGCCTGCTTGTCGCGCACACATGGATGCGCGAGATGGGACAAGTTGCCCACGAGGGACAGGGATGGAGCAGAAAGGCGAAAGCCTTGAGAGACTGTCAGAGTCGAGAGATAATCTGGCCCAGAGGAGGACAGGGGGGGTGAAAGAGGGGGAGAAGGAATTTACTGATTAAAGGGCGAAGAACGGCGAATTTCGCGCTAAGCTTCATCTCGTGTAAGCAAACGTTTGAAAGGCCGTCGAGAATGAACAAAATAGGTGGGAGGAATTCGATTACCCATCGGAAACAGGGGATATCAAGAGTAAAAAGCTCTGGGTGAGAGTTCTTGTGGTGTGTGGGTGCCGTTATTCAGAGTTCTTTGGAAATTTTTGAACTGATAAGTGGAACTGCTGCTTGGAAGTGGAGTTCTAGATTCATTCCAACCGAGATGTCAAGAGAATCCGCCCGGAATAAACCGATGGCATTCAAAGTCTGTGAACTAAAAGTTGGGACTGTGACGCAATAAGGACATGAGGCATGGGTGCGACGCATAGCCAAAATGGAAAAAAGGTATACAAACTTCGATGCGCACGCTCAGATCGTGTCCTTGACATGAGCCCACGCGTTCAAGACGGCAGAAATCCTGTTCTGCAGGTTGATTTTGCATTCCGGGCAATGCACCTATGACGTCATTCACGCCCGGAACCAGATCGAAGGATCAAGAAATCCCGCCAGAAATCGAATCCCAAGGGGAAAAAAGTGCGCATGTGCGTATCCGCAACAACGCAAGGGGAAGGAAATTTTCAACGGCACCGACCAAGACACCAGCAATACAATAAAGAAAAAGAAAAGAAAAGAAAGAAAAGAAAGAAAAACATTTGTCAATTACGGCTCTTAAAACTGCGGATAAGATGATCAGGATGAAATAAAATTCCAACTTACATGATCGAGGAGTGGCGCCAAACTCTTTGCAATCTCCACCGAGGGCATGTCCGGCCTTGCTTCCCACGCTAGATATGCCGTCGCAAGCGCCCAAGCGCGCTGCACTCTTTGGTCTGTACCATCACAAGGTGGCTGTCCCGGGCGGTGTCCATCCGGCTTGACGAATAGAATGCTCTTCAGCGCCGCGATCCGGTTTACATGCAGTTGCATAATTCGCCGTAAATAAATGCTACCCATCATCAGTGCTTGCTCGTCCGTTATCGTCGCAACCGACCGCACATGACGTGAGGCAGAAACAGCCAGCGACTCCAGGTTGTACAATCCCGCAAGTACGTACACTCGCAGAGCGTCCGCGCGAACGTGATGCAGAATCAGTCTTGTGATTTCCGTGTTTGGGTTTATCAGCTCCGGAGGGTTGTAACCGTAACGGATCATGGCTTGGGGTACCAAACTGAGCGTATCAAGTGAGGGTGCATAGCGTTCTGCGGATACGTTGTAAATTGCAAGGAGGAGAATATTGAGAACATCTGAGCGCTCCGGGACAACTAGGAGCGTCTGGGGTGTTGCGGGACGTGGGTTGGGTTGACGAGATGAGGGGCTAGTGTGATGTTGATGAGGAGAATTCGGATGCTCCGATCCACGGAGGGGTGGCGATGAGAGAGGTGGGGGAGGTGCAGATCTGTTGTGCACATAAGGCTGGAGGTCGGTCTGGGAAGTAGATGAAGATGGGAGAAGATTCGCAAAGTTGTTGGACGATCGATGCAGAAGTTTTTGACGATGCACGTAGAAGTAAACTGAGTCCGATGAGGCGAGAACGACGTCCGGGTCGACGTAGGGGATGATGTTAGCAGTTGGATGGAAGTAAGTTGAAACACTGATGAGAGGGGCCTGTTCAAGTTCTTGAGGAGAGCCTGCGGTGGACGCCTGTGAGCATAAAAGCGTAAGAACTTATTGATAATGGGAGGCAGAGAAGGAAGAGCAAGTTACAGGAGGAGTGGGAAACGCCGTGGAGCCCTGCTGAAGCATTGAGCCAGGTTGTGTCGGTCGTTGAGAGTACATTGCGGTCGGGGGAGGGGAAGATGGAGGGGGGTAGAAGTGATGAGGGCAGAAGGTCACCAGGGTTGTGATAGAAGGAAACCACGGTGCAAGAGCTGGAATAGATTGTTGGGGGCTATTGATACCGAGGCGGAAACAATTTTATCATGCTCAATTCTCAGGACATGGTTTGGTGGACGGGCTCGGAGCGCAACGGGCAGGGATATTTATGCGACCTTGGCATTGCTCACATACGTCCCATACACCGTCTCATGCATCTTACTACCCAGTAAACGGTTTCGAGTTCGGGTGGGGGATTATTAGTCGCACAATCCAAATTGGGTCAGGAGAGCCACAGCAAAATCCAATTTTGTTGTGGGCAACGGACAAAATGTCATTTGACTAGCTTTTCACACCTCTTCAACTAGCCCTACCCATAACTCCAATCTTATCGTAACAATGTATCATGGCCACTAGCATGTGCGACACATTAGTAAGCAGAAAATCGAAGGAAAAAATACAGTCAAGGGAAAAACACCATTCATACGTTACTAAGGGAAAGAAACACATCTCCCTGTCACCGCACTTCCTGCAGTCGAACCATCGTCTCCAACTCTGCAAAGACAACCTCCTCCATACCCTCCCTTGCCATAAACGAGTTCACCATTTCGGTACAGTGTCCACTAAGTAGGCCGCGAGGTTCCTTTTTAGGCGCTCCCATGCTAGGGGCAGCTGACCCGGTTGTAATGGAAGGTGGTGCGAAAGCTAATGGAGTTGCCAGAATCGGCTCGAACGAGTCTTCCACAGCGTCCAGTAACTTTAAACACTCAAACGCCCGTCGTGCCAAGATTGCATACGCATTCTTATCGTACTGCAGCGAAGCAAACGGCGCGCGGTCTGCGTAGCGTATACCCCCCAAGTAGAAACGTATGACCCGCAGGAATATGAAAGTCACACCAGGAATCTTCCGCAATTGAATTTTCAGAGAAGGCGGGGCGAGGAAGATGACCGTGTAAATGCAAAGCATAATTCGCTCCAGGTACCCCATCCAGGGTTCTAACACCGCGTTTGAGCCCACTGTCACGCTCAGGTCATTATCTGTGAACGGCAATAAGCGCAGGAACGCTCCGAAAAGATGGATGAGGGACCCGTGATCAATGTGCCTTACGAGCACCTTCCTATTCTGATCTTCCTGCACAAGGCGAGAGAAGACATCAAGAGTGCACTCAATTGAAGCAGGGGGAAGAGTGCGGTCCTGGATGCCGCCGTGGGCAGGACGAGGGAGTTGATCATAATCGGCAAGGGGAGAGAGAATCAACGAGAAAATACGGCGAATGGCACGGGTCTGGTGAATGTTGAGATCCAAGGCAGCCACGAGGATGGAAAGGATCTGCTGGACCTCCGAATGTATCCGAAGTATATCGACTAACTCTAACGAATTAGAGGACGGTCGGAGTGATCCGTGTCTATCTTCAACAACTTCCGTTAATCTCGCGAGGGTATCCACCAGCCTGGGATCCTTGGTCATGAATGAAGCATTGGATCCAATCAGAGATAAGTTGCGCAGGAGATTAAGAATTGCAATGATAACCGTAACGGGTTTCTGCCCTGGCTCATCGCGCGTTCGCGGTGCAGGCGCCAAAGAGACGGACGGCCCTCCCTCAATTTGACGAACAATGTCCCATCGTGACCAGATTTTAGGTGGATGAGTTGACAATGGTTGATCGTCCTCTTCTTCGCCATCAAAAGCTTCCTCCTCCAACAAATCGATGAGAGAGTCGAGGAGTTCGGGGCATCTCTCGAGTTGAAAGCCTCCTTTGCTAATTTGCAACGTAGAGAGCATCGTTAACGTCATTAATGCAGATGACACCTCATTTCCCAGGCCGGAACGTAATGACATGACCACACTCTCTAAATCGATCATGCCTATACGAAATCACCAAGAGACCATTCAGAGACTTGATAATTATCGAAAGGGGATGTAAACACTCACCAAGTTCGTCATGATGGCGTACCACTCGACGCTGCTGTAGAAGAGCGAGTCGCTCTTCGATCGCTTCGGGGCGACGACCGCCAACCGTATCTAGAGGCCGCGAAACAGGTACATACTCGATCTTGAATCGCCGTTGGCCTGCAGACGGAAGAGGATCGTCTGGGAGGATATCCTTGAGCGCTTCCGTGGGCATCACCGCTGGGGAACGAGGTCGTCTAACTCTTGAAGAGCCCGGATGGTTGCCGTCGTCTGGATAACAGTGCAGTAAGAGACAAATACATCAGAATGGAAATTTTCGTGGATAGTAAGACAAAACCGAGAATGCTTACGGGCTTCCAACCGTGGCTGCTTCTCGAGTGGCGCTTCTGGCACAATTCTGCGCTTTTGTGCTGTTGCCTCCGGACCTTCAACAACTCCGACGCTATCACCGGAAACACCTGCGGGCACGCGCACACCTCCTGGCTGCTGACCATGCATTATCCCCCCTGACGGACCTTGTGCATTCACCTTACTTGCCCCAGCCGCCGGATCCATTGGTTGCTCCGGAGATGGTTGTTGTTGTTGCTGATGACGCATGGCGGCTTTTTGTTGTTGCTGCTTCAGGTACCAATCTTCGAGCAGCCCGAGCACAACGTGGTAGTAGTTTTGGAGGAGATTAGCGACGGGGATGGGGTTCGCATTGTTCGGTGGGCTTGTATATTCAGGGAGGCCAAGCTGCGCTGCCAATGCAGGCCATTGGTGTAATTGTGTAATCTAAAATGAAACAGCAATGGTCAATCTCTCAGCCTAGCATAGGCGAATGCGACTGACTTTGGTATATCCCCCGAAGCGTTGTACAACATTCAGGAACAGCTCGTGAAGATCTACAGTTTTTCCCGCCAGACGAATGCAACCCTCACCGGGAATGTCCATGGCATTGAATCGTGATTTGCTGGAGTCGAAGGCGGGGTTATCAATACCAGTGAGCGACGGTGGAAGTGGATGACCACTCGACATCATCACATCGCTGAGTGTTTTGAGGAATTGCTGTCTAGCAGGATTTGATCGGTGATGCATGTGGGGAGCGGGTTGTTGAGGCTGCGATGGAGGGTGAAATGAAGCTGGTTGTTGCTGAAGCGGTCCGGATGGGGTCCCCTGTCTGGGGGGGCCGGAATTACTAGTGTAAGGTGGCTGACTTGATGGAACCAATCCACGCTTCCGGGGTGCAGCACTCAGGGCGACCACTTGGTGGGTGGCCGAGTCCGATTCTGCATTGTACTGCAAAAGGCGATATTAAAGAGGGCGGAAGTATTCGATCAAGAGCTTACGGAGGGCTGGCCCGGGACTTGAGCTTGAGGCGGCAACTGAGGCTGCTGTTGTTGCATATGCTGTCCGGAATTGTGTTCAGGCGCTTTCGGCTGTCGTCGAGATTGCCTACCAACAATACATGGTGTTCAATGTGGGGAAGGTAAGCACGCAGCTCCCAATTCAAAAACTCACAACCACTGCAGCACCTGTGTGGGAGGCGCACCACTATTTAGGCTTGTGTGTATGGATTGCTGAATGCTTGGATCTAGCTATAACGAGCAGCAGGGGTCAGGAAGCAGCGCATAGAGCGAGCGCAACGTTGACTCGCCCTCGGAAGGTTTTCCCTTATCCACGCCAGGACGTGTTGATCGTCAGGAGGCTGCGCCGACATCGTTCAGGTGGCAGTTGGGGTTGAAACACGTCTAGCTTACGTAAGAATCCAGTCCTCCTTACCACCATGACCAAAGCGATGAAACGTCGAAAGTCCCCGTCACCAGCGCGTTCGTTCGCCTCGCCTTCGGACGACGAAGACTACGACCAGCCTGATGACGATTTCGATGCTCCTCACGATGCAAAGCCCAATAAGGGGTGGGCTCCCGACGTTGTCGTCCTACCTTCATCTCCTAGGCCTGCCAATGGCCGTTCGAATATAGCTAACTACCTTCCCTACGAAATCCTCATCCAGATCTTCAGAAAGCTCACGAATAAGGAGGACCAACACTCCGTTTTGCTCGTCTCTCGCACATGGTGTCAATGCAGTGTTGAACTGTTGTGGCACAAATTGTCCGTCTCCAGCCTGCAGTCACTGCTTAAGATGATGCACATCATCACTCGCAAGGACCAAACTTTCGCCTATGCGACTTTCATCCGTCGCCTCAACTTTTCAGCACACTCGACCGGGATGACTGATGAAATTTTTGTGCGCTTAGCGCCGTGTGTTCGACTGGAGCGATTGACCCTATCTGGCTGCTCGCTGCTCACGGATTCTTCTCTCACCGCCGTATTTTCAGCTTGTTTTGGTCTCGTTGCAGTGGATCTGAGCGGTGTGACCGAGGTCACTGACGCATCGATCAAAGCGCTGGCAAATACCACGGTGAAGCTGCAGGGCATCAATCTTTCGAAATGCAAACTAATAACGGACGAGGGCGTTCTTGCCGTTGCGAGATGTGCACCGATGCTACGGCGTATCAAGCTGCATGGCCTTGTCCTCATCACTGACATCTCCGTGTCCGCGATCGCAACGAGCTGTCCGTTGCTCCTTGAGATCGATCTGAGCAATTGTACAAAGCTCACCGACCTCTGCATTAGGGACATATGGAAAAACCAGCATCATCTGCGCGAGCTCCAATTGGCCAATATCACGAATCTAACGGATGACGCGTTTCCTTCCCCACCGCCCTCTGTTCCGGGGCGGTCCAATAATTCCGTGAATCCCTTCCCCAACAGCAGCAGAATCGACCTTTCTACTGCTTCTGGTTCCGAGGAAATGCCGCCACTATACCTCTCATATCCATTTGACCACTTGCGCATCCTCGACATGACTTCGTGTGCGCAAATTACCGATGCAGGGATTGAGGGCATACTGTCCAACTGCCCAAAGATACGACATATTGTTCTGGCGAAGTGCACCTTGTTAACGGACGAATCACTCGCTAGTTTGGGTAAACTGGCCAAGAATTTACATTATATTCACCTTGGCCACGTCGCTAGGTACGCTTTTTGTTATTATTTGCAAACTTTGGGTGTTCATCGTGGTTTGTTTAGTATTACCGATCGGGGCGTCACGCAATTGGCACAAGTGTGCCCAAGAATTCGATACATTGACTTGGCCTGCTGTTCCAACCTAACAGATTTGTCCGTTTCGGAGCTTGCGTCCTTACCAAAGCTTCGGAGGGTTGGCCTCGTTCGGCTGCCGAATCTTACTGATAATGCAGTGTTCGCGCTGGGGGAGAGGCACACCGGACTGGAACGAATTCATCTAAGTTATTGTGATAACATTTCTGTTGCCGCTATCCACTTTTTGTTGCAACGCCTGCATAAGCTGACGCATTTGAGTTTGACGGGAATCACTCAGTTCAGGAGGAAAGATCTGCGCGCTTTCTGCCGGCCGCCCCCGAAGGTGGGTTCCTGATTCTTTGCTCTTTTGCCCTTGATTTTGATGCTCATCACACGAAACTCCATCAGGAATTTAACCAGCATCAGCGCATGGCTTTTTGCGTATATTCTGGCAAGGGTGTTACCGAGCTTCGGAAGTATTTGCATGGCCTGGCATTGCGCGCTATGGATGGGGTCCAGGAGCAGAATCTCGAAGACGATAATGATACTATTCATCCCAACTCGTTCCCTAATGGTGGTGAAGTTGACGAGCCAGAAAGCGAGGGTGATGACACACCAGCAGAAGATGCGATTGTTTGGCCACCATCCCACGCTAATCCCGCTCCCACTGTTGTTCCGCGTCAGCCACGAGGCGTTCGGGAACAATCGAGACGTCCCGGCCGCCAGCTTCTTTCTGCTGGTGGACCGTCTTCGAATGGTGGCCTGTTTAATGAGAACTCTTCCCAGCGTCCCCAAACCTCCCCGCGTCACACACGCAGCGCGTCCCGTTCAGGTTTACGCACCCCATCTGGAGCGTCGTCTTCCTCTCTTCGAGTTGAGGATTCCCCTGGTGTGGCATCGACGCCTAATCTGTCGCCAATTCTCGACGTGGCAGGACCATCGTCATCCCCTCGTGCGCCGCCCTCTTCACATAGTCGCCGGACCTCCCACTCGAGGGCTACTCGCTCTCCAGAACAAAGAGAAAGATCTACTCGTAATTCTCGCCGCAACAGTCTCCAAGGTGCCACTAATGCACCAACTTCGACTTCGCGAACCACTGCGCAAGCGAGCTCTCCCCCGCCTTCGGCTGCACAAGGTCAAAATACATTCGGTACTACCCGCCTACAGGCGTTAATTGCCAATATAGGTCCTGGTCGCTCACGAGCTCGAGGCCCCAGTTCCCGGGCCGCTGGTGGTCAGGATGCGGGGCCATCCACCTCTGGTGATCATTTGTCAAGCCAGGGACATTCGGTGGGCAGTAGTCGGCGAGGTAGTCAAGCAGGCCCATCTAACACCGTGGAAGAGCGCGCGCGCGGAAGGAGGGATGGAAGGATAGGCGAGAGAAGACGCGGAGGATCGAGGGACACAACGGGGCAACACACCAATGTTCTCTTCAATCGAGGCTCCTAATTAACACACACTTTAATCACTCATGAGAATACCCATCTATTTTATATACACGTGCGAACCACAAGTTTTCGAACTAATGACTCGTTCCTTTGTTACTTTCAATGGTTATGTAAAGCGTCCGCTGTGGAATACATATGTATCAAAGAGTTTGGGTCATTGCATGCGTTTACACGATGATGCCTTCGAGGATAAGTTCAAAAAGTATACTAGAGAAAGAACCGGGCATGGGCTCCGAGTCCAGTGATTTTCGGTCCTACTTGGATCCTCATTTGGAAAATGCACCTGAGCAGTCCCTCCGACTTCATCCGTCTCGCTCCTCTTCGAAGTCCCCCACAGCTTTCGCCAACATACCATAGAGCCTCAACCTGTCATGTAAATTCGACGCGGCATCATTGCTGAGGATATGATGGCGATGATGATGGCGATGAGAAGCCCCCGAGTTCGGAGTGACAAGAAGACCTCGAGCATTGGCCAGAAAGTCCTGCTGATCAATTATCAAGCTGTCATATTCCATCACATCTTGGTGAAGGACAGAGAAATACAGTCGGAGCAGTCCCGATCGACCAAAAGGTGGAGAAATTTTATTGAACGGGGACAATGATGAAAGGAATCGGACAAAAAAGAGGGAATCAGGACTGAGCAAGCATGGGGAAGTCTGGGACGCTCACCCTTAACGAACTTCCTATACTCTTCTGTGGTCACAAGCGAGCGAAGTTCAGCAGCAAAACTTCCGTCGATTGGCAATCCACGTGTTCCTGTTCCCCCCGCAACCACATGTGGGCCTTGCCTAGTCGGATTCGCACTTTTAGTCAATTGCCCATCGCCCATCGCGTTCTGATTTGCACTTCCAGTATGACGATTCTCTTTCTGTTGCCTTTCTCGTTCCCTCAAAAAAGTCAGTGATTGCCGAGACCCTGAGGATTTCACATCATGTAGACGCTCTTCCTTCCACGATTCCACTCCGTCGTTCGAACCCCTAGTACCTCCATGAATCCTGTCCCTATGGCGAAAAGAATCCAGAGGGACCATTATGGGAGATGGCGTTGTTTCAGGCAACGAAGGTAGATCAGGAAGATGTGTTCCAGAAAACTCAGAAGCAATAGAGAACGAGCAAGTCGAGTCGAGCGGAGACTTGGGGCCCGGTTCGATATCACGACGGCGTTCTTGCTCGCCACCGTCGTTCCCATCGTTAGCGAGGTTAGATACAGAATCCGAGGGTACAAGCTCTGTCATCCGATTGAAACGGTCAGCAGAACTGGCACCAACGTGTCTCATACCAGCACCAGCTGCACTAAAAGAGGCACTTTCGCCGGATAGAATACCCTTACCACTACCGCGATGTCTCCGGACATGAGTGTAGGACGAAGCCAAAGCTGGAGGCCGGTCAGATTCTGTGAAAGGTTGTGAAGAGACCATTGGAGAGGACAACAACTGAAGAAGAGTAGAAGAACGAGCAGAGGATTCTGTACGCCCAGAGGCTATAATACCTGGGTTACGGTAGCGGACCATCGAAGGATGTGGAGGACTCGAAAAAGCTGGAGGGATGTTTTCCTTGTCGCTCTTTGACCCCAATAGAGCAGAGACAGTAGCAACTGAACTGGCAGTCCGAGAGATAGATGATGCTTGCATATCACGCAGACTTCTGGTTCCCCTAACATCTGGAGCTGGGCGAGTTGGACCGTCCACGAGCGGACGCCGAAATCCATTAGCAGCTTCATTACCGTCCGCCGGAGAACTCTGATCAACATATACAGAGTTATCCCCTCCCAGTAGTGGCGGGAGTGCACCATCACCCTCAACATAGTTTTGATTCGAACGCTGTCGGGACCGAGCCGTCTCTGGCGGCAAACCTTCAGAACTGCCTCGACTGCTGGTATTCTTCTCGCGCTGCGCAGCCATATGATGCCTAGATGTGACACCAGTGCCCCGGGCACCAGAGAATGCCGCCTTCCGGTCCACGTCCCTTTAGTACTGGAAGCGTTTGCCTCAAAGAACGGGGTTCCAGCACGATGGGTCGGATACCTACCGTGCCACTGTGAACTGCTGCCCGGGTGAGAAAGAACTTCATCCACGTCATGAGGCGCACGACCCGGTCCGTTAGCTGAGGTTGTATTCCTTGAAGACTCTCCCAAGACTCGATTAACAGAATCGTCCCTGAGTTGAGCTTGTTCAGGAGCTGAAGTAGACCGAGAACGTCGGTGTTGGTCACCCTTATCAGCGTTGGGCACCTCGTCAGTATTGATACTGGCTGTATGACTTCCAGGAAGTGATTCATGAAGCAGCCCTGCCTGTTCGCCAGGATCGTTGAGATGCATTCCGTTGGCCCACTTCGGCCGATGGCGGCCAGAAGACTTGAGTCTTATGCTAGGCGGAGTTCGACTTGAGCGGGACACGGGTGAAACGAGTCCAGGAGCAGGGAGTGGAGACTGTACAGAACGTCTTCCACCCACCTCATCGTTTAAAGTACCTACATGGAAGCCAAGGATAGAATGAAGACTAGGCACGACGAGACTATTATCACGGCGAGAAGTACGACCGTTTGAAATCATTCTTGTTACGCTGTTATTAGCTGCTTGCGTAGACATACTAGTTTTCGGGGAGTGCGACTGGTCGAGTTTTTGAGTGCCTCTCGGATTGTCGACGCCAGCAGGAGCTGGGCGAGGTCCGCCAGACGCGGACTTCTCAACTCCCGCACGAGCGTCATCGCTGGTGGGGTCGCGGGTCCTATATAAGGGTGGCTTCGCGCCGGTTTCGATCTGGAGGGAGTTGTCGCGAGAGTCGCCCAAAGTTTCCAGGGCAGTTTCTGAGAATTCGGGGATAGGCAACCGACGAAGTGGTTGAGGATTCATTTTCAATCGAGGAACCTGGGAATAGCCTTGTGGAAGAGGCTCAAGAACTATGCTATTCCCAATCTGGGCTGGAACATGAGAAACGGGGACATTCCCTTGGACCGGTGACTTCAGAACATGAGGGCGATGACCATGATGCGAGAGACGATCGGACTTGTGTTTCGGAAAAATATTCTGACGGGAGACACGATTTGCAGGGTTAGGCGAAACGGAAATGATTGGGCTTGTAGTGATCCTCTCTGAAATGATGGAAGGTGAGCATGGCATAGCATCACCTCTCATCTTTGGTTTTCCTATGTGAGAATTTCCCTAGTGCCACGAGCTGTGTGATGCTAACCTGGAAGTCATTAATGACTGAGTTGATCGCCTCTTGGCGAGCACGCTCTGCAATTTTGAGGTTCTGAAGCTCGAGCTCCTCGACACGCTTTCTAAGCTGAATCGTTTGCCTCTCGAGGGCACTGTTCTCTCGCTTCATGCTATCAAGCTGGTGCAAAAATTGGGTCAGAATGATATTGATGTCCAAACATATTTTTTCTTACTTCAAGATTAAGGTATTTGGCATCAATGCAGGACTGGTCATGTTGATCGACCAATTCCTGGAACTAATGCAGTTTGGAAAGTCATTGGGCTTCCCTCCATCGATAAGGACCACTTACACCTGCAGCAGAAGAGGAGGGGAAAATTGTTCAAGCGACTTATACTGAGCCTGTTGGCCAGTTGAAGTCACTCAATCAATAGCAATACAACACGTCATCGGAAAGATGACCTACGCGCGTTTGTGGGTAGTAAGCGGCGAGTGATCGAGATATGGAAGTCGTATGGGAATGAAACGCGCTACTGCGTAGTTTATGCTCTGGAGAGACATTTGGCGACTCAATTGTAAGTTCTGAAGTGAGCGAGGGGACTGATGGCAAGGCAGGAAGAACAGGAAGATACGATTCTCTGCGGCGAGTGAACATCCCAGCAGTGGCAAGCGAGGAGAGAAACCGGAAAGAAGAGATCGTCCCGAGAAGACCTTGACGCGGAAATCTTAACGGCGCGCCTTTTGGGAAGAAGCAGTAGAGACACGACGCGTCCGAGATTCAAATGAAACGTGCAGAAGGAGCACCAGCTGTAGCTGGGACCTCCTAAGTTGGTTTCTGCAATGGCGCGATGAGCTGGAGTGGATGACTGTTAACGAAGCGATCGAAGACTGTATAGTCTCGGGGACGGCACCGTGGGAGATTCAAATGAACCCGATCTCCCGCCGGATATCATGATGGCAGCGGCTAGGGTTGGCTGGGGAACATTGACGAAACCAAGCAGACTTCAGCTTCTATATAGGCTGATGCCATCGCCGCCGCACGAAACGTCCCAAGTCGCCCTTCCCTAGCACACTGCAGCATCTCCAGAAAAGAGTCAACACGCAGGCCAAAGAAACAATGACCAAGAAGAATGACCCTTCAAACATTCAGCCTCTTCTTTCGAGCAGGAAGCGATCCCATACCAATTGGTGGTACGCTCTGCTCTGACGTTGTCCATCTTCGTTACCATTACTTGGCATATCTTTCATATCCTTGTTTTCAAGTACGACGTTCGTCCCACATTCTTCCTGGTATGCGGCTTGCTTTTCTGGGTTGTTTGCGTAGAAATTTACTGTTGCACTGCTCCTGCGCCCAAGACTGCAAGAGGAAAGACAAATCAGACGGTACGCCTCCAAACCACAGATGTGCGGCCCACGAAGCCAACTCGGTTTCTAGCTCATTGTCATTCCGATCGAATACGAGCTTGCACGTTCAATTGTACCAGAGGCATATCCTCTGCTCCCCGTCAACACCACCATTCTCCCCAATTTTCCAAAAGGAAAACACCGTAAGTGCCCCTGTCGGGTCAATCCCTAAAACTCCTTCCATGTCTAACCACCATATCTAAACCCAGCCCTCCTCGTTAGAACGGGTTGCGATTTTGACATAAAAAACACGGCAGGACTCTGGAAATTTGGCCTCGCCGTCCTCCTCGTCCCCTTTGTCGACAGATTAGGGGATAATCAAACGTCTTTCATGTACATAGCAGCTTCATGGCAAGACGAACCATTAGCTATTCTGCTTGCTAGTGCGTTTGCCGGTGTTAAAAGCAACCCTTCGATAATCGAACCGCACCCTCGAGATCTTCATGCCACCTTTACGGAAGAGGATGGTAACGGAAACACTCTAGAGAGATTTCGTGCTCGCGGCGTTCGTGACGACAGTGGGGTTGAGCTGGATCTGACCAAGACAGGCGCTGGTTCGTCTCCTTGGTCCGAGAGGGCCTTCACCGACATACTTAACTTCCCTTCGTTCGGTCTATATAGCGGGGACCTTTGTTTGGTAGTAAGTGCAGTCTACTCGGATCACGTTGATGGTGACTTACAATTATTATAATTCCAGCATTTCCAACATCTATCAAAAACTCATTCATTCGTCCACGGGAATGTAGCTATAAGTGCACCAACATTATTCAGCGATGAGAAAATCTTTAGAAATGTCTTTGTGAGTCCGGTTGTTCAGAATGAGTTGTGATAAATTTATGCTTTCCCCAACCATCTTTGCCATGAAAGGGAACCACTGCGAGCAAGTCATTCTACGAAGGGCTTAACGTCAACTGTCAACATTTCGCTTCATGGAACTTCCGGGCGATGGAGAACAATAAGGGCTATGGATGGTTTACAGATGATGGGTCATGATGGTCATGAGTAACGGACTGAGCCAAATACGCGCAACTACTATAATACGCAACACTGTCACTATTCTACGTTCCGGGACTCGTGAACAGAGCCAATAATTTATTACACATATTTCATGCTTCTCGGGCAACAGAAATGGTGACGTCGGACTGAACTTTTTACGCCTTTTGATCCATTCTGAGACGAAATCCGCTCGACATTTCCGCTCGGAAATCTTCTCGCTAACGCTAACTTCTCGCACTTACCTAGTGTTCTCCTAACGGGAGCCGACAGCCCCTCTTGCAGAATCACGCCGGGATGCGCTGTCGAGAGTAGCAATGACGGCAGGTTACGGGGTGCATGATGTGGTGTGAACAGTGGTCTACGTGCACGGTGCGACCCATGCATATTTGGTTGCAGTGCGCGCCAATGTATGATGTGCCCAACTCTTGGACCCCTGTTTCTAGTCGATTTATCGAGTGACGTTGTTCCAGACTAGAGCGGCGCACCCTTCCTTTTTCGGCATTTTGTCTGCTGGTTAGTGCTTGCGCTTATGGCCGAGAAGACTTTTCCTTGCTTCTTTCCTTGGTCCACGTACTCTGAACCGGGGCGTGGTTCTTGTTTGTGGAAATTGACTGCCTGCTGACACTTGTACGCTACCACGCGTGATACCGCTAGATCTTAATTCTTTTCTGAGCTTGTATCGGTTCACGTTTGAGCCTGCTCCAAGATGCCACTACGGAGCTTCTCAGGTGATATATCCGTATTTCCTCAAGTCGGCCGACTCACCAGAATGGTCGCAGTCGCATTGCTGTGTATCCTGCAACAGACTATTGTGACTTGTCAAACACTCCTCAATGCCTCTGGGTCGGTCAACAACACGGTGAGTTATCGAACGTAACGTTAGCCGGACATCACGGAAATTTCAATGTCGGAGCTTTCCTTGGTACATGCTAGTTGTTTATTGTCCCAGTGGACATGCGGGTCGCCCGTCAGTTGGTTCCTAAAGAGTATGGTTTGCTCCAGATCGATAAAACCCTCCTTCCCAACTTCCCAACGGACAAATTCCGTACGTCTGCTCCCTCTGGCTACCCGAGCCCAACCTAATCACTCTTCTATCATGAATCTGCACGCGGTAAAGCCGTCATTGTCCGTGGTGGAACAACGTTCAACATCACGGTGTCCGGCATCTCGACACAAGACGACCTTTTTTTCGCAATCTCCGGAATATTCATTCCCTTTGTTGACCGCCTCAAGAATGATCGGACACCCTTCATTTATAATGCGTACCTCTTTCAAGATAACGTTCTCACCGTAGCACCCACAATGCTTGGTGCAGGATCTATAACATACCTCTCTTCTATAGATCCCCCTGGAAGATCTAACAGGGCATACTATTTGAACAACAGGAACAATGCCTTTGCCTTTCAAGCAAACGCCCTGGCAGGAGGGTGGAGGATGATGTTTGATTTCTTCAAGACGGACTCAGGGCCTTGGGGTATAGGGACGTTCCTTGGTATCGCCAACTTACCAGCTTTCGGTCCTCTCAGTGTATTATGTTACAGAGTGAGTCACCTTATCGGAACAGTAGGGATATTACATCACCAATACTCCTTACCCGGATATACAATTTATATGCAGCACATCGAGTACGATCCCAAAAGCTACTTCTTTGTACAGGGAGACGTGAGTTTCAACGTCCCATCGTTGTCAAGCACTACGTTTCAGAGCGTCACGGTTGGCATGGCTTTCCCTTTTCTGAAGTCTGGAATATCTTGCCTAAGATTATGAATATGACTGTTTAGGGCTTAACCGCTTATAAGTTATTTCAAGAGGACCTCTCAGTGCCATGCAGTCATTTTGGAACCTGAACTCTGGGGAAGAATGTGATTGCGCGCTTTATGGTGGAGCCCCTTATGATGTGGATGCAATATCCATCAAGTGTACCTCTCAACTCTGCGGTCACCGCAAGGCCTTCAGTCTGGAATTGCATTAGGACGGTGTATTGCCCGGAGTATTTATGTTCACGGATTTTTAGACTATGTATACGTTTCACCCCTTCGAGCCTGGATCGCTTCGGGGCGACCTCCCCAGCCAATGATAACTGACAGCATTATGGCAACCCTAATGGAAATGACAGACAAAGGGAAACCGAACAAAGGTGTCTCTGGACCGTGCCCGCTGCTGACAGTGGAAGGCGCGCGCAAGGGCAATATGGAACGTTAGGTGCAAACGAGGGTTCGACACCACAAAAGGGGACTCCACTGCCAAAGAAGCAAAGAACGTAGCATGATAAACGACCTTCTGTCTCAAAACAAAGCTCTGACGAAAAGAAAAAAATACGGGAATATAAAAAAAAAACAATGCTGAGCACGTGAAGTGGTACTCTAAACAACGAAGAATCATTTCCAAGGAACTGGCTGAGATGAGTATTCCGGATCAACCGCGACCGAGCCCCACACAAGCAGAGGATGACGGTGCATAATGCATTTCCCCGTGGCCAACCTCAACACGCTGCCTCAACCTAGCCTACTCCCTGGGCACCCGATTGAACCCAGAACCTAACCTCCTAGGTACGTCCAGGAGGCTAAAATAAAAAAATAACTGACAGCGGTGGCAGGTTTCCTTTTTTGTTTTCTTCCAATATCAAGAATGCATGTGACGAACTCAATCGGTCCCAAGCAGCTGACGCTTCGAACACTGCTGCAACAAACCGAACATCGATGTCTACGAAAGATATCCTCGATCCATCTGCGGTGTTATCTTCACTCCCAGAGTTACTTCCGTCTGACGACAAACTTTTAAATGCGCCTCAAGATGGAATAGCCGCGCTTCTGCATACTGTAATGACGTTAATCGGCAGCCGCCTTGTTGGGCTGGATGATTCAGCGACAGATGCTGAATACGATAATAACGCACTCCCTTCTGAATGGAAGAAGCACTCTCCCGATTCGTATGGCTTTAGGTACAGGCATGAGCAGAGCAGTTTGGTGTTTTTCTTGAAGATCGTGAAGTTGTCGAAGCGACTAGTCGTTCACGGCATAGCATTGGAGGCACGTCCTGCAATAATGAGAATGTTCTTTTTTTCTGGGTGCTCAACGTATGCTTCGTTCGGTTAGGACGATAAAACGTATACGCTGGAGATTCCTGTTTCTGATTTCACGTCTGAATCAGCTTTCCCCTATGACACAGCGTCAAATGCATCTCCCCTTATCCATGCCTTCATTACATCGGCCCGTGCCAATGACCTCATATCTAGTTTCAAATTGTGCATTCTTCAAAAACTGATCCCGAGCCTTCAAAAGGAGGGCTACGAAGAGTACGCAACATCATCCCCTCCTATCTTCTCACAGCTTCGGGGATAAGGTTTTACTGACACCCGTTGCCTTTAAAACGGATTACAGATCAAATGAACCCAGTGCTCAATCTTCCCAAACAACCTTTCAACCCATCCCAGTCCGACCTGCCCCACCTCTGCAACCGTCAAATCCAGAACCATCTCAACCGTTCCAACTCCCCTACCCTCCTTCCGGTCCCGGAAGGAACCCCCTCGAAATTGGTCGTTCAGACCTAGAACCTCTCGGTGGATTGGGTCGAAACCCCTTCGCACCTCCTTCCGCCTTCCCCGGGGGAGACGGGATGTATGTCGGACCATCACATCCCATGTTCCGAGATAGAATGGATCCGCTGCGCCAGGGCAGTATTGGGACTGGAGGACCCCGCTGGGGAGGGGATGGATTCCTGCCTCCTATGGGTGCTCCCCCAGGAGCAAGGTTTGATCCTGTGCATCCGTTCCCGCCTCGACCTCATGGTGGGCTTGGACCTGGATTTCGCAGTGGACGTGGGACCGGTGGAACGCAGTTCGGTCCCGGTAGGTCGGGAGGTCCTGGAGATCCCGATAATGACGAATTTTTACCACCTGGCTTTGTGAGTACAGTTAATTCACGCGGAATCAGTTCTGACGCTCAAATGGGTGCCTTAAGAATAACGATATGTACATGTAATCTTCCTCAGCATTTTCCTGGTCGATTGTGTTTTTCCCTCTTCGATTCACCCCACTCTCATGCTTACCATACCTCTCCACCCAGTGTTTAAGGATTCATAAATTGTAACACCATTGGTACACACATCAGTTGATGGAGACAAATTAAATCGAGAAAAAAATGTGCAGTCCAGTGTCCTGGATTGAATAAGAACAAATGGCGAAGATGATGTGGAAGCGAAAAGTGTCATGAGGATCCTGCTCGGTCTACTAGTGATGGTTCGGGCTATTTCGTGTCCGAGATACATGTGGCGAGAATTTCACCATTGACTCTGAAGGGTCCGTGCACAGACTGGACACATCTCCTCCATGCGGGATTCATCGACAGTCCTCCTGCTGCCGGGACTGACAGCCGCCAAATTGGGGCAAAGAACGCATTAAACCAGGAAAAGGATGATAATTCCTTTGCTTTACGTACTATTGATAATGGCGAACTGCGGTGTTGCATCAGTGACAAGGTTTTCTGAGGAAACCCATTTATTCCGTACGATTACGACATCCTGCTCCGAAACATTCCTTAGGATGTATGCGGCTAATGCTGCAACTACTGCTTTCGCAGTCTACCTAAATCCCCGTCAGCCCTCAGGGCCAGCCCACTTGTGGCGGTCCACGCTCACCCATTCATCCTGACCTCCACGGGCAAATAGAGAATGCCCTGTAACACAGGGGATTGGCATGAAGATATAGGACGAGACTTTATGACTGACCACAGCCTGGAATGTGTGTCGTAGGTTGCGCAGAAGACATGAGCAGGCGATGAAGGACTGACCATAGTGAATGAGCGAGCGCTGAAAACGACACATGAACTAATAAGCATGTTAGCTAGTGAGAGTGGCTTCATCCAAGCTGCCGTTCTTGCTAATTACCGTGAAGGCGACTCAGATTTCGCTTTACAGCGCGCGTGCTCAAAGACGATAATGGCGAATGCATAAGCACATCCTGCTGTTTTATGGGGCTTTCTCCAGTGGCAAAGATGCCGGAGCGGAGAGACGCAGCGCCTCACATAGCGCGATGATCAGCGTGATAGCTCAGCACAGGGGTATTGTTCTTCATGAGTGGCAGAGGTGGCCCAAATCAGCCAGCTACCTCATTTGAAATTTGAAACACAAGCGAATCGGGATCACTCCTGACAAGGCTCTTGCCGCAAGGAAAGTCAAAACATCAAACAATGCCACCCTGCTGGCGCGCAGCAGGATCTGAATTGTATTGTGTGACACCCACTATCACAGGTGCACAGGTCAACTCGGAGGGTCCGTGACAAGGCCTCATGTTGGCTGGCCCTTCCCGAAGAGATCTCACGATTATACAATCCCGCAAGCGGCACCTGTTGACCTGGAAAAGTTCTGAAACACGGCTGATCCAGGTCGCTGGAATATCTGTGTGGAGGAGGGGATCGTATTTTCCCTGTGAAGGGTGATGAAAAGTAAGTTTATCGGTCACATTAACCCCTCATCCCTTACCTGCGCCATGTTGGCATGGACCACCGGAATTGTCGATGACCGTGCTGAGTCCCCCATTATAGACCTCTGTGCTGGTTATCAGCATAGATTAATGGAGCTTGTAAAAACCCCGCACGATCAGCTTATCTTCTGATACGTCTGGGTTCATGCCGATGGTGTGCTTTGCGACAAAGGCACTCAGCACGGACGCGGAACCAGCTTTGCAGCTTCCAGATCGTTAAAATGACGGCACATCATGGCTAGTGGCAGCGACGCGATTCTGCGGACAGTGCTTTGATGGATCGTTGATGAGTATTGCTCGAGTAGTATAGCAGAACGGGATTTGAGAATTGTTATTCCTCAAAGCGTGGGGAAGTTAAGCTGATAGTACTGCGTCGATCTTGTTCACCGTACTTAGTTCAAAAAAGAGTCACGCGACATCTAAGCCTACCACTATTAGTATAACTGCCATGGCACCCCCAGACACTCCTTCGGGCGGACATACTCAGTCCTCCTCAGCTAAGTCTAATCTGTCCTCCCACTATGCTGAGCATAAACGTGATGAACTTCAAGCATATGAATACGATGAACTTGTTCATAAACTGAAACCTTTCCAGACTTTTAAGGACATCACCAACTTCTTAGGTGTTCCGAGAATTCGATCCCAGGGGCCGACCTTCCTCTGCCCCTTGGTGACTCCAGAAGAAAGTATTTCACAGGACTGCAGCAATTTGGGAAACCTTTCACGAGCATCCCTACTCTGCGGCAGATGTTGGAGACCGCATATGATGTCCTGGAAGGTATTTTGGTCTTATCGGCTTTCTTCCATATATTCACATGGCTGCAGTGTTGCGGTATTTGCATTTCAAACCCCAAATCCTACATCGCGACATTAGCAAAGGGAATGTTCTTTATATCGATGATAAGATGTGCCCGACGACAATTGCCCATAGTACGCTGCATGCTGACTCTATTGGAGCAAGCAAAGCGGCTACAGCCACTGCGACAGGCTTACCCCTTTGCTTCATCAAGTATCTCCTCAATGAGAGGTATGCTGCTGTGTGGGGCGATGGGGCAGTCACTGATGCAAGGCTGAACCTAGCTGTGATCCCTGCAAGACATCGGCACTGCTCATTGATTTTAACCATGCTGAACACCATGCAAGCAAACAGAGTCCTGAGCACAAGCGAATCAAACGAATGGTTGGTTGTGTCTTACCTTCTTTTTGTAACCTATTCCCATTTGCATTGTTACCAGGGCACCCCTGTCTTCATAGCCCGTGCTGTCCAACGGAGGGAACCAGTGCCAATTTTCCCTCCCTTGGTTCTTGCTGCAGTACCTGATAGTCCTGAACCCTATACTTTGGCCCACCCAGACCGTGTTGCGAAATTCCCGTCCACACCGGTGAGATTGCTCACTGACCACCCAGGTGGTCGTAACAATCGCGAATGGAGGCACGAACTTGACCACGATGCGGAGTCTGTCTGGTGGTTGCTCCTTTACTGGACGGTGACCGCCCAACCCAAAGAAGAGCCAGATGAATTCATTTCTCACTCCATCTGGCTGCTTTTGACAGGAGGTGCTCGGAGTTCACTAATTTGCGACCTGGCCAGTGGGCCCGGAGAGCCAGACGAGGGCACTGGGACCAACATCCACACCCTCTACAGCACAGCACTGCAGCCTTTGTTTCGTAAGCTCGCCGGGATTCTTGCCGTCGACAGATATTGGCTGGAGGACTCCGAAACCCGAAATGCACCACAATATGTTAACGAGGCATTTCAACGTTTGATCCTCCAGTTCATCCTTAAACACCGTGAGGCAGATTTCATGGTGCGCCAGGTTAAAGAGCGCCCCCGTCGAGTTGAAAAGGGCTCGCAAGAGCCAGGCTATTCTGCTACTGCTAGCCAGAGGAGGAATGCTGAGGTCAGTAGCAAAATCGGTAGCAAACACTCATCCTCCCTTTCCTCGATCCAGGAGCACATCACGCCTGCCATGGAGGTATGCTATTGAGGCACTCTTTGGTCTTGGATTCCTGTTTCTTACGGACGCATTTCCTTAGGACAGTGCACATGGAGGTGAAGATATGGATTGGTCTGTCGACGAAGAGTGAGATTGATGAAGTCATGAAAGTCCAAATAATATGTAATCCCCTCAATAAGCATGTAATATGGTCTGTTTTACGTCGTCAAGTTGTGAAATAGCTCAAAGCATCTAGACAGAGTCATGTTCTTGTCAGGTTCATTGAAAGTCGTTGGCCCTCAACCGACATTACGTGTAGCGATATAGTTCATCCCACACTCAACCGACACTGTCCCCCCAACGCGTCTGCGTCACCCGATCTATAGCATGGCCCCGATATACTATAAACGCTATAGTGGCGTTGACAGGTCTTGCGCGCTCTTTTCCTTCACTGAGTATCCACCGCCGCGCGACGCCCTGCTCATCCAACTCACTGCGTCACTGAAGTTGCACTAGTTCTCACTGTCCTGCCATGGGATCGTCTCCATTTTCGTTCTAAACTTAATCGGTACCAGGGTGATTCTTCTCATATGGTTGGGAGACTGATGCCCACCCAACCCTTGTTTGTCTTTCACTCAGACTCTGTTCGCATCAATATATGCACAACATGGAACGTACATCCTCCTCATCCCTTTGGGGCGTCTATTTCTCAGGAATCCGGTTTAGGTCGGGTCGCCACGGCAATCTCATGCTCGTTTTCATGCCACCAATACAGCAATGACGAGCCCGGCTTTATCTTCTTGCTTTATTAGGAAAAGCCCTCTTCGGCAAATGCGGCCACCTCGTGAAGGGCTTAAAAGGAATCGCTTATGTCGCCCCCCTCTCACTACACCTGAGCCTATCGCTCGTTGGCACCTCGTTTTAGGAATCTAACAACGCTCTAATTACGAACACTTTTTGCACTAGGCTTCATCTTGAATCCATCCTCAAACTAGAGTCCACTTTTATGTGCCACTACATGGTCAAATGGAAACATTATCGTAAGGGTGATCGTTCCTGTCGTCGGAATTTCACTTACCGAAGTTGTGTGGCTCTGACTAGGATGCAGTTCGTGCAGTCTTGCCTGCCATACTAATCAAGAGTATTTTTATTTAACGCGTATCTAACAGATCACCAGGAGGAGGGTGATGGCCGGGGACAGCATGTGAGAATCCCATTTATTCTAGTTTCGCTAGCTTAGTTTTTCTTTTTCTCTTGCTGGGTCTTAGATCGACTGCCAGAATCCCTCGTGCAGATTTAGCGAGACTCATGATCCAGAGTGTCAAGGCGGGGCGTGTTTGGCCCGAGGTACCGTGTTTTCTGGTCATTTCATCCATTCCTCGCCAGATAACAATGCAGTGTCACAATACACATAGGCCATATCCAATTGTAAGTATCCTCATCGACACACCGTCGTCTATTTCACCTTCTACTGATTGGCTCTGCCGCCGCCAGTCGGGAACAAGATCAAACAGTTCACGAAATTGTTGAAGACTATCAGATGTGTGGGGGGTGTGAATGTGTTCTCAACCCATATTCCGACGCCAAGAACATTTGGTGGGTTCCGGAAGAAGGTCAGGCGTACAACTCGGATGATGATTGGATTAACACTTCGGATTGGAACGGTTCTGACTCTGGTGACGCAGACCCACAAGACCAAGTTCAAAACCAAATAGATCAAACTTGATGGATGTTCGAGCGTTCATTCTCAGGCTGGTCCATCGGTTGCTTGTATTACATGGAGTTCAACGCAATATGCGTAGATCGCTTCTCGTTCGAATTCTTCTTTTCGTTTTTCCACCTTGATGGTTTCTCTTCATACCATTTCTGGGTGCCATTTTTTGTTCGGAACCCCTGTAATCACGGATATGTACATACATAGGTCTTTTTATGACACTTACTAATTTGCAATTTCGCTACGATACTTGAACAGCAGTCGAATCAGTCTACAAATTGCTCTTATGTAATAAATTTGTGGCCAACTCCGCTTGGGTGGCTTAGTTGTGGGAAGTGACTTGAGATTTTTCGGTATCAGAGTTCCTGCAGTCCCCATGGATTTTGCTCAAAAAACGAACGTGGTTATGAGCGGATCCGGGGTCTTCGCACCCCGCTGGTCCGCAAACGGAAAGACACTAACATGCACTCGGTATAAATGAAGCAGCATCCCATCCCATTCGATCCCCATAATATGGTTTGTTCAACTCCGCCGACACACAACTGAGGAAGACTAGCCTCGGTAAGTAACTTGAAGGGCAAATTAAATTCATACTTGCACTCAACCTCCAGACGCGGTCGTTTCGAGTCGCGCGCCCGTCCACGAGTGCGCAACGATGACTGGGTACGAGTCTGGCAGGTGAACATGTATCGAGCGGATGGGGCCGGGCATTTGTGGTGCCTGATGGCAAATCCTATTGCAATATTGTTGTCTAGAACACCCTGACTCAATTGGTCATCCTCAGGCCACACAGGCGCGGCACCAGAATCTCGTACAAACGAGGGTGGATGTTGGGATGTGCAGCGTTCACGGAATCCACGCAGAAGCCGGGGTCGGCTACATGATCCTGTACGACGTACGATTACTTGCAAACAGTGAGCGCCGCAGCATACACCTTCTCCTCTTCGCGAACTCACGTAACACTAGTACCCTTTCATATCCAGCAAGGTCAAAAACGTGCATTAGTGTGAATTACCTAAATTGTCACACACCAACTATGTAGTACCAAAATAGCCACTAATAAGCAGCGATCAACGATCAACGAAGTTTAGCATTCCAAATGAAATATTTAATGTCTCTTTCGGATAAATCATGGGGGCGGCCTGAAGAATGGGAGAGACAACGGTTCGTGAGGCGGAGTCGAGGAACAGCGCATGCGATTTCGGGTGGGATGATGCAAGTATCTTTGAGAAAATACTCGTGACATAGTCATGTCATAGTCTTCCAGTATCTATCGCAATCCGTCCTGCGATTGCAACTGATGTCGTGGGTTGTGCAGCTGCTGAATGTGGTCCCACACCTGACGAATGGTGTTGGGACTTCATTGTCATCGATGCCGAATCAATGGACGAATGGTGCTGTTGGATGATAGGAGGCTCTTTCCCCCAATCCCTGCAAAGTCCAAAGAAAGTCCGACAGAATTTCCCGAATTCGACATGTGGGTTGAATTTGCGCCATGAACCCTGAGCATAATGTGTTAAGCGCGCAGCTGGATCATTGAACCCTCGGAAGAAAGGAATTTTGCTCGCTGACGGACTGCCAAAGAAAGGATATTAGAAAGCAACGAAGAGAAAGGAGACAGCACTTACTGGAAGCCGGACTTGGGCAGTATGAGGACGTCTTCAACAATTTTGCTGGGCGGTGCGCTACTCCTGAAATCTAGGCTTGTCACTGCCATCCATCGCAACCCTGCAGTATCAGCAAGCCACCTACTGACGACCCTCGTCACCATCACGGGCCCCGTCAGGTCGACGGCATATGCTGTCATCAGGGTACCTTCCTTTTCTTCTTCTTCAACATCTTCACGAACTGTGTCTTGGAAACGGGTGGCAATGGGATGATGAGGTGCCATGGCAAGCGCCCAATTGGTGAGCTGGGTTGGGAAGCCATAACCAGCGCGCCAATAGGCGTCGCTCTCTTCTGGGTAATCAGCCTCAATGCCAAATATGGCGCCTACGAGGGGATCGGATGGTAAGACTGTGGATTCCTTGAGTGAATGCGAATAGTGGATGGGGTTAGAGGCCGATGATGGCGATGGCGCTAACTTAGAAGGAAGGTCGTAGGGTGATGGGACTCTTGATGGCTCAGGGTGGACAGGTCGCACAGGAGGGGCACCATATGATGCGTGTAGCTTAGTATCCGTCCAATTCTTAAGATCTATTCCCTGTATCCATGATGAAGGAGCGCGTAGAGGCTCCGTGTCCACATCACCATACTAAATGAAAACGTTGATAATCGAGTGTTTGGCATCAGAATTACACCACAACCAGCAAGTACAACCCTCAGTGAGGGGTATTGGGAACACTTACAATTCCCCCAAACCATTTCAAGACAAGAACCCGGAAGACGTCGGTGCGCTCCACGATCGAAGGCAGCGTCCAGAAGATATCAAGAAAATCTGGTTCATACTTATTCATGAATGCCTCTATCCCGTCGTCATCCCATAGTATGTACGCCATCTTTACACCGTGGGAGTTGGGTGCTGGTTGGCAATATGAAAGCCAAGTCCCAACAGCGCGAATGATGCCTGATGACCATAGACGATGATCCATTGTTTTCCATGTTTGATGCACTATTAGAGGAATTGAGGAGTATTCCATGTATTGACTTTGTCCTGTAGCCAGCGTGTATGCGAGTTCCGCTGCTTCGAGAGATGTTTTGGGGGTTTTCGCGATGCCGGCGGGCAGCGATGGAGCGTCGAGTAACCAAGATTTTGGGATATGCCATCCTGTAGAGCATCATTAGAAGAAGCCGTGAAGGCCAGGGCATATCTTCGACTCACTACCGCCGGTTCCTTTCTCTTCTGTGATGGTTTTCCATAACTCGGAATCCAATGGCGCCGAGGGGATGCAACTCAGAAGATAATTGATCAAGAGGAGCAATGATGCCAGGCACGCAGCATATCTTAGTAATGTGCGACTGAGTAGACGAATGATGGGCGACCGTGGTGCTTTGTACTCGACGATTCTCTCGTCAACCTCCAACTTAAAACTATCCCTTCGAGGAAGCACAGAATATCTAGGTGCCATCCTGGGTGCCTAGTATTTCAAGTAAAGAGGAAAGGGGTTCTAATTAGATGAGAGATAGCAAATCCAGAGAGTAAAGACCGTCTCAAATAACGAGCAAAGGAAAGGCGAAGAGCAAGGGGGGGCGATACTTTTGAGTTGATCCCATTACGGAACCAATTGTATAGCAATCAATATCAATGTTCCAAACACAGCAATTAATAGTGCTGCGGTTGCTGGAGGTAATTGCAAATTTCAACACCTTGAACCGTGACACTCTGGATTTACAGCTGCAGGAAGGAAAGATCAGATGAATGCATGTATGCGGACATCTGGGTTGACTAGAAATGCCCGAAAATGGAACTTTGCCCTATCCTATCGTAAGTAATATGACAGCCCACGAACGACGGATTTTTACCATGACGATCAATTAATAACGCGATCTGAGATACTTCGTCGGGAAATCCTTCATTCGAACATCCCTAGGTCCATGATATATTACAAATGCCTCGCAGGCTGGGCAAATTACGACTAGGATATTAAAGCTTTCTTAGTAGGACTCCACAACCACGGGATACCGCAGGGTTGGGCCAATGCTTGCGCTCCAAGGAGACTCATTCAAGCCGTGATGAATGAAGGGACCCCATTCGTATCCACAAGGGGTCAGCCATGTCACCCATATTTTGGAGACCTGATTAGGTACCCAAAAGCGCTATATATATATATACCTAACAGGCCAAAAGCTTGTTGAATGTTCTATAACGTTCTCCAACGGAATGCTCGTAATGATTAGAATGTTCTAAAACCACGACTGAACGTTCTAAACAATCAGTGAACGTTGTGTGTATGTGCCTAATAGGCCAAAAGGTTGTTGAACGTTCTATAACATTCTCCAGTGGGGTATTCTGATCATCATTGAACGTTCATTGAACGTTCTAACTGTCATTTGCCGCAGGTGTCTGAATGGCGGCAACTTCCCTCGGCAAGATTCAATACAAAGGAGGCAAACGCCGAGATCAGGTGATGAATTATTCGCAACTGTCTAGTTCTTTCCGTCTCCCCATCCTCTCCCCATCCTCTACTGAACCCGCGCAGCGCCGCGACCACCGCCAAGCCTCCCTTCCCTCCTCAGTCCTAAGCATACGCTTTGCGTCCCTCGATTGGGGTGTGGCCTAGCTAACTCATCGTTGCAGTGAGGCGTGGGTTTGTTGTAGGGTTCCATGAGGTTTGCCGGTTTCTTCAGTTGGCATGAACCGCGCTAATTGTCTCTCCCCTGTAGATTGTTCCGCTGATTGTCTCTCAGCCTAGCTAGTTCAGTATTCACAGAGTTTATCAGATGATGGCCTAACGGGGTGGGTTCGTTATTCCAATTGGAGCTGCAACCCCGTTCTTCGCAACAAATCTGATGACTTTTTTTTTGCAGGCTTTGACCTGAACTCGCTGTGCTGGTAAGTTTGTCCCCTGATGATTGTCCTCTTTACGTCCCATGGCCCACTTTCCCCTCGTAAATTCATTTTACTTTCCATGGCGTCAATGCAATGGTATGAGGCTCGGTTTGTTTGTATTGTCCGAAGCAATTAATATTTCGTACCTCCCTTGTATATTAGATTTATATCCCCCTCCGCGACTATTCCGTACCCCCACCAGCTGACTCCTGTGGAATCTGAAACTCTTGTCCTCGCTTTGAGGTCCCCGAGCTTGTACTGGGCACGTTCACTGATTGTTTCCGTGTTTTGTCTTGCATGTCACGCTGCAGCCACAATGTTGCCTGCCCATTTGCTCTTCCATTCGCCTGCCAGCTTGCCCCGCTTGCCATGTTGCTGACATCAACGTGGATGACATGGGTCTCAGATCCAAATGACCCGGTGTTTATTCCTATTTACATTATGTTTCCAGTGGGTGCTTTCATTGATTGTTCTTCAACTTGTGTCTAGTAAGCAAATTTTTTCTCCACCCGGTTTCGTGATTGCATTATTTTTCTATTATGTTTGCTTCCATCACTGCTACTAACATAGTTTGCTATGTATTCCAGTTTATTTCACGGGACTAATCGGAGTCGGGCACGTGCGACTTGGAGCTGTTCACACTGCCGCAGCGCTTGCGCTCGGTGTCACTGGTATGTTTCCCCAGTGCAGCCGGGCTTCTAACTCACGCTTGCTTGTCAGTTACCCCTCGTTATCGCGTGGTTATTACTCTCCCTTCCATGTGTTGCTGTTTTCTGTAAGTGTATTTTTTTAACCCTTTATTTACTTGATTTGTGAATTGTTCGCCCTCAGCTCCTGTTCCTCCCCGCTCAGGCTGCATTTCCTCTTTTGTCTACCCTCCACCTCCCCCCACTCCGCCTTTGATTACGTTGTATCTTAACTGTACTCTCTTTGTAACCGGCCCGCCCTCAGCCGTTGTTTTCCTGTTCCGCAATCAACATTCTGTGCTGGCCCGATGCTAGGCCGAGTCCGCTGTCATGATGCCTATTCTCTTTCTCCCTCTCTATGTCACGTGATTAGAGGATACAAACAGTTATGACCTTAGCTGTATTGTAGCGGAGTTGTCCGAGTTTATTGTTATATTGTTATATCTACTCATAGAGTTTCCGGAATTAATGTTAATATTGTTATTATTACATTGTTATATTCGAGATCGGCACCAAATCCGCTCAAAGAGTTCCCGCGCTATTTGATGTCACATGCATGTGAGAGTTGGAGCTGAATTCATGAGACAATTGCCCGGCCAACTGAGGGAAATGGCCACACTGTGGGAATCGCCATGGGCCAGCAATTACAACTTACATTGCGAAACCCTCTACATTCTCTGGGTCAAGGCGAGCATCTTCACCCATATCTAATGCTGCCATAGCCAGAGCCAGAGCCCCGTTTTCCTCCATCTCATCAGGCTCTATTTCATCATTATCATCATCATCTTGACTTGCCTCATCCGCGCTGTCCACACCATCATCTTGACCTGCCCCGGGGTACTGAGTATTGGTGGATTGAACGTTGGTGTAAAGGGAACAGAAATCCTCCTTTGACATTGGAGGGGTGGTGTCCGGCCACGGAAGTGCATCGTGAGGACAAGGGACATCTTCGGTGTGATTCTGCCATGAAATGGAGAGATTGTGAAGTTCATGGAGCCATTTGAGAGCAAGAAAGGCCACGTCAACGCTGTTCCTTCCTTGACATGACCGAAAAAGTGACTCATATGCAGCATGCTCATGAGCCAACCAGTGTCGGAGGTTAGCATGCTCTGCAGTGAGTCTGCGTATCTCAGACCGGCAATTATTTGCTTCCTGCATATAGCGAATGCTCTCACGAACACTAGAATCCATCACCCATTTGGGGAGCTCTCCCTCTCCGGGCTCTTGGTCAAAGAACTCTTGCCAAAGATCTTGATCTACATCTAACTTGAGGATGGTGTCACGGCTGAGGGAAGGTGGGAGATACTTATTTTGGTGGGCTGGAGAAGTAGTCCGAAGCCTCCTTAGAAGCTCTAGCTTCTCGTTGTATTTTCGCAGTGTAATGTCAATGGCAGATGATCGGCCCTTCACTGCTTTCTCCACATGGGCCTTGACATTTTGATCAATGGTGCGAGCTTTTGAGCGATCAAGTATGTTGAGTTCGAACCGTCTTGAACGCAATTTCCGAACAAGCTGCTCCCTAAGGATTCGAAAATTGATGAGTTCATTTGTCCACTCATCCTTCTTCAGCCGCTCCAGCTCTTCGAAGGCAGCATCGCCCTGTGCTCCAAGCATACGCATGTTTGTGGCCAACGACTCCTTCAGCCTTACAATCTCTTCTGCCACTTTCTCCATGAATTCTTGCGACTCAAACTGACGAACTGGATCATCTACTGGCCTGGTCCGAACAAGCTCCTCATAGAGTGTCTCTTGGGTCTTTAACTCGGTCCTCAGTGAAGTAATTCGATCCACTAGCTTCTGGGCCGCTGTCTTCGATTGACGCTCTAAAGGTTTGCTGTAATAACGTCGCTGGTCCTCAAACTGTGCCAACAGATCAGGAACCGGATCATCGTTGTTCTTCCCCGAGTGACCGGTAGCTGCATTAAGTCGCCCCCTGGCCCTCTTTAGGTGGCCTCGAAGCCATTTTCCAGAGTCAGGGGACTTCATGGACTCAATGTGCTCAACCTGGACATCAATTAGAAAGAGGCGACGATAATGGCCAGTAACTCGAAGGCCCGGTATCAACTGTCGCAGCTGGCTCCACACCCTCTCACAACCTTCACCATCCGTGAGGCCCCAAAGCTCCGATTTACGTGGATGGTACCAAAGCTGACAGGCATACTGGTGACCATATGCATGGAAAATGGAGACACCCCACGCGATTCGAGATCTCCACTCCGGAGCAATGTTGTATTTCTTCAGGGTACGATCTCCCTGACATCCTATGTCATACAATATTCCAACCCGCCATGAGCCCGGGACGTGCTCAAAGAATTTTGCGACGAGCGCGAAAAGGTAGTGCTGTTTCTCACCGGCCGTCTGGACGTTAACGAGGAATAGGGGTATATCGTGGCGACACAGGATCGCCATCACTCCAGTGTCCGCAAAATAGTCTGTCGATGCCTTAATGCGTTCCCCATCGGCAGCGATGAAAGACTCAGAACAAGCATCATATGTAGAGTTCGGGACTGGCAAGCCAAACTCCCTCCTATCATCTGCACCAGCTGGAGCACGCTCAATGTCCACCTCCTCCCCTTCACGGTTTCTGCGCTTCCTGGAAGACTTTTTAGTGGGGCGGATGGTCTCGACGTGTTCTTTCCAAAACTGAACGAAGTCCTCAGACAAAAATACAGTTCTCGGTGACGTGAAAGCAGGATCCTTCCCCCCGACTTTCTCCTCCATTCCACGCCGACGATCCTTGTCTTTAATCCGCTTTAGTTGGAAATTCGCATCGCAACATATGATGGCCTGTACATCCTCCCCTTTCGTATAGGACCCACCAAAACAGAGGGGACATCGAGAACGGAGGAAAGAACTAGGCTGATCATCAGCATTAGGGTTTGGAGTATGATGG